TCGAAATTTCCTAAAATACAAATTGAGGGCTCGGATCGAAGAACCGACGTTTGTAAACGCACAGAACATTGCGAAGCGTCCGGTTCTTCGATCCTAGCCCTCAATTGCATCACTAATAAAAATTGGATTCAAAAAAAAATCTTTGGTATAAATTTTGTTGAGGAACAACTTCTGCCCATCCGGGTATAATCGTATTTATGAATGTTTGGCCCCTTATTTTTAGAAATGTCGCTTCTTTGTTATTGTGAGGAGGAGAAAAATCTTCGATGACCGATAGGTATATGAACTAGGTGGGTTTAGCATCTCGAGAGATTAATAGTGACATAAGTCATAGTCGTTAATCATCGATTAAGTGCTCATCGATTGGTCAGGGCAATTTCACGAATTTTCGTGAATTAGGAAAATGTTCCCCTTGAATTTGGTGCCTATATATATACTAGAAACTTTAGGGGGGCACCTATGTCAGCCACCAGTATGTCACCATACAGACCAGCACCCCAGTACAATAAAACAAGCGATCGATATGTGCACTCGACGAAAACGACATATAGAATATGATAAACTTGATAAAAGAGGGAAATCACTGCGTCGAAATCAAGTTTAAACTCTTTTATTTGTAATATTTAGGTATACAGTATTTTGTGAACGATTCTTTGATATCCCCTTAAGGAACTTGACACAGTCCACTCCAAATTTTCATGATAAGAGAACGATAAAATTTGTGATGATGATGATGATAAATTCTCAGAATGGTAGAATGTTCCTTTTCTCCTATATTTTTGGAAAAACATTCCAATTTTTGAAACGAATTTCTTAATTATAAAAATTGAAAATTTGAAATATAAAAAAAATGAATTGCACTTTATTGTTGAGTGAAATATTTTTCCAAAAAGGAAGGAAAAATGAATCATCGTTTTATGAGACCCTTCTCGGACGCATAATCGCCGCAGCAAAAACTGATTGAATTCCCCCAAAAATCCAAAACCTTGGGCTCAAAGCCGTCTGTCGAATTCGTATATATATGTATACACATTGATATATATCGTCAGCATAATAGTTCTATCGGAGCATTTAGCCATTTAGCATTATTGGCGAGATTTGGGGAAACGATCATCACGCGTATACTAACGGATTCGTCGCAGCTTGCGTCTTGTTTGCAAATAGATCTTGTATATTTAAAAATGAAACTTGTCAAATTGATTATTATCCGGTAGTTTAAATTCTAGAGTTAAATTGAATTGCTTCTTTTCTTGACATTATTTTTTTGCTATGCACAACTTTTAATGTACCTTTAACTTTTTTGACCCTTTCAAATTTTTTTCAACTATCATAATTTTTCAGTTAATTCAGCTTTTTTAAAAAAGGTCCTTGAACTCCGTAATTTGATTAAGAAAAGACTCTCAAAAAATAATTTTTCATCTTCTGCTGATTATCGGCTGTGGTTACTTTTTACGAATTGTGAATTAAATTAATTTTGATGACTCAGATAATTATTATTGGAATTGTTCTAGCATTAGTTTAGGACCAGTAAAAAATTTTATAACTATTAATTGTTAGTAAACAGAAGAAAATGTTTGCTCAAAAAATAATTTTTTATCTTCTGCTCATTATCGGCTGTGGTTATTTTTTATGAATTGTGAATTAAATTAATTTTGATGACCCAGATATTAATTGGAAATGTTCTGTAATAGTTCAGGACCAGTAAACAATTTTGGTGCTAACAATTATTAGTAAACAGAAGATAAAGTTCGCTCAAAAAATAATTTTTCATCTTCTGCTGATTATCGGCTGTGGTTACTTTTTATGAATTTTTAATTAAAATAATTTTGATGACCCAGATATTAATTGGAAATGCTCTAGCAATAGTTTAAGACCATTAATTAATTTATTTTTTAATTTAAAGAAATTTCTGGAATTTTGTCTGTGTTTAAAGATTTTTAAAACATTTTTAACTTAAAATTAAGAAATGTTTTTTTCTCATTGCCACAAAAAATCTCTATGGAAGAAAAATTTTTGGTTTTCAATTCTTATTTATAGTTTTTGTTATTTGGAAATTTGAAAAAAATTTTTGAGTTGAAGCTGTATTATTAGGTCAGAAAGTTTTTTAATTTTCGACTGGAATATAGGATTTAGGAAGAGACTATATAGGATTTACGTTCTATGGCGATAGAATGGGCAAAAGTTAGTAACAGAAGACGATTAAAACAAGAAAATTGGTTCAAAGTATATAAAAATAGTTACATTTTAATAATTTTTATTGTTACAGTTATTAGCTGTTTGCTGACAGGCACAAATGGAAATTTGCCATTTGTTAGATACATTCAATGAATAGAATTTTGTGTTTGGAAAAAATAGGAATGCATACATATGAAAATAAGAGACTTGAAAAAAAACCCTCGATTTTGAAGAGGATTTTATGCAACCATGAGGAAAATATTATCCTTCAATCCACGTCCTTTCGTCGTGTTATTTTGATAGAACGCTTTCCGTTGTTCTCAATTTGATCGAACGGTTCTAGAGTTGAAGAGAACCTATTTATTTTCCTAACGTTATACCACACATATATATAGAGAGAGGGAACACCCACCAGCCCTTGTCACAAAAATGGCGACCTCCATCTTTATGGCGCATATAGTCCTTATAACGGATCCAAAGTATTGTTCCACATTCAAACTTTTTAAACAAGCATTCAATGCGGAAGTTCGCTTTTTTTATTATCCGACCGGGTGTTCTTTTTATTATTTCCGTTTACAAATTATAAGAAATAAATTTTTATTTATGCACTCGAGATAAATGTTTTATTACCAAATGAATCTATTTTTATTTTTATTTTTTGTTTTTTGTTTTTATTAAACACACACACACACACACACACACACATGTTTAGTTTGTCCTACAGTTTTGGTTGGTCTGAGCAGATTTTGTTTTAAGGTGAATAAATATTTGTTTGAAACTTGAATCTGCGGTTGTATACTTTTCTAAATCTGAATATAGTCACTTTTGACTAATGAAATAGTCTTAGTCAAAAACTATACTAATTAGTAATAGTACTAATGAACCCTTTAAGTGCCGATGACAAACATTTTGTCCGTCAAATCTTTGCCATGGCCTCTAGTACTTTTTTACTACCAATTAGTATATAACTTTTAACCATAAAAATTAGTCAAAAAAATTACTAATTCATTTACTGATGAAATCTTTTTTTCTTTCTTCATTAGTCAAAAGTGATTAATTCAGATTTAGGGATATCTTTTTGATCAAAGAAAGAATTTGTTTGTATGCATAATTTTTTGATTTTGAATATTTTTGATTGATTTTATATTCAACTGATAATGTTTTAATGATATTCAAAATTATTTCAAAAATTGTTTAAACAAAGTGGAAGTATTTATTTAATCATTAATAAAGGAATGACCGTTGAGAAGTGCTTGTGGTTTTAATAGGAAATCATGTTAAATTTGTAATCTATAGGATTATGATGGTAGGTGCAACTCAATTTGTGATGCATCTGGAACTATCGTGATTTTAACAAAAGACACGTGACCCTTGGCACGTGCATTCGTTCATTCTATAGTCATTCTTGTAAAGTGAATTTTTGAAAATAATTTCAGTGCTCCTATTTTCTTTTAAAAATAATCTTTTTATAAATTCAATAATCGAAATTCTATCATCAATTCAATACAACTTTTTATATTGATTAAAAATTTGAGAAATTTCTATAGTTTGAAAATTTGTTTGGAATTATTCCAAACAACATTGGGATCAATATTCATTCTTCCAAATTGTGAATGTTTGGAATCAATTGAATTTTTTGTCATTTAAAGTTTGTATCACTCAATAAAAAAATTTGGTGCTCTATATCAAAATTCCTCTCTAAATCTGAATTAGTGAATTTGTAAATTGCCCTCAATTCACATTAGTAAGAATATTTATTAATTTTTAATTAAAGTATTAATTGTTAATTAGTTCCTTTCACTAATTTAAATTTAATCTTTTTTATAGTTAGAAAAATTTGTTAAATGCCTGTTGTCGACGGGCGGCTAATAAATAAAATATTTTAAATAATTAAGATTATGGATTTTTATCAAACAATATAATATCACACTAAAATTTGTTAAAGTTGCTAAAATCAAAGTTTCGTTATAATAAAAATAACTTGTTGAAAATATCTAACAAAAAAGTAGTCTGTGACTAAATGAAATATACAAAGCCTCCTCATGAGGAAGCAAAAATGAATTAACATTTTTTAATTAATTCTTTTTATATATAAATTTGGTTAATGAAAAAAGAAGAATTCTTGTTGTAAAATATGATTTATTATTCAAAAGTAGAAATTCTGTACAATGTTTTCCCTGAATCGGCGCAATTCCTTTTTATTAATAAGAGCACAATATGGGGGTATAGTAATATAAGTATAATACTAAGATACTTTCTAAAAATTAACAAAAAAATTAAAAATGAGATCAGAGGTATGAGATCAATAATGAGACCTAATACATATATCCTGACTAGACAAAGAGGAACATAAAAACTGATATATAAAATTTAATAAAATAATACACTAAAACAAAATTACTTTCTAAATCCGCAGTCTCAAAAAAATTATAAATAGATAAAATCAAAAAGAAAAATTTCACTTAATCTAAGTATTGAAACTTATATTTTATAATACAATATTTAAAATAGAAAATATTTTCTTAAAACATTAGATAACGATATTCATTTTACTTTTTTACATTCTGCATATAATTATTGTACTTGAATATACGTGTCATTGTCGCTAAATATAAACTGGTCTAAATCGTAATTAATCTTAATTAGTGACTTTCTACTACGAAATATTTCAATTTTAAATTAGTTTATCTTTTTAAATTAGTAGTTTTTTTTAATTTTCTGCTTTATTTTCTCTTCTTTATTTTTGTACCTTTTTCTTTATTATTATTTTTTAATTTTCTCTTCTTTATTTTATTTTTTTTCCTTTTTTTATTATTTTTTCTTCTTTTCCACCAAAAAAAACTAGTCACAATAAAAATTAATTACGATTTTTACTAATTTGAATTTAGAGTTTTTAAAGGCGCTTTTCCTACACTCTTTTTTTTAAAATTGAAAAAATGTACATTAGTCTTTTCTTTCGCTTTTTGTATAATATTGCATATAAAGATACGATGTACAGTGCAGCATAACTTGTTTTCTTCGAAAAATTATCTATTTTTTGGATAAAATTTTAAAAATTATTTGACTTTTATTTATAATTTATATAGTTTTATCTAAAATATTATTTTCTTAGACTAAAAAAATTGATCCTTTCACTTAATCATTTTACAAATGTTTATGTAAAAAATATATATCTTGCTTACATATATAAAACTTTATACATTCCTATTAGAAAATACTTATTTGACATTTGAACTTTAAGGCTTTTATGCATTTATATACTCCTCCTCGATTCTGCACCTTCAATTTCTAATCACTTTATATTTAAGTATTACACTCAATCATTCAACATCTATTTTAAAAGTACCAACACTGAGAAAGGGTTTTTTTTCTTTGTTCACTCAATTTTTTCTTTATCTTTGATTTATTTCTTCTTTATTTTTACTTTTTTTAATTTTTTTACTTTTCTTTTACTTTATTTTCATTTTTGTTTTCAATTTTGTATAATTTTTTTAAATATCAAGACTTCAAATTATTTCAATAAATAAAGAGGAATAAAGGATGGTTTGATATTTGAATGTTTTGAATTTATGTAGTTTTCTCTGTGCATGTACGTTGAAAATTGATGTTGAAATAATGCATATTTAGAAAATAGTTTGGTTGAACAAAAATCAATCAAAGTGTTTTCTAATTTGTTAAAAATAACTTCGCCTCTTGATTGCAACGCAGGGACAATAAATAAATAAATAAATATTAGAGGAAAAAATACTTCTAGAGACATTGATACATTCCTTGATGTGGCATATGATGGTGATGAAGATGATGATTGAGATTATGATGATGTTGAGTTGGAGGTATTTGTGGAGTGTACATTCTTTGGTCATAACATGCTTGATATTGAATCGGTGGACTGACACTTTGATCACTGTAACAATCGTATTCCTGCCATTCGGGCATGAACCTTTCTTGTGGATAGGGAAATGATGTGTGTGCAGGTCCAAGTCTTTTTTGCGCAGCGACGGCACAACTGCCAGTCGATGATGTTATCATATTTCCAGTGTCACTGATACTCACAGTCACATTGCCCACATTAACTGTAATTTCTCCACTATCTGAATTGCCCAAAGTTTGTGAGAGTGCCCAAATGTAGTTGTGTGCGAAGCGCAGTGTCTCGATCTTGGTTAATTTTGTGTCTTCCGGAAATGTTGGTAGGGTCATTCTTAGTTTCTCCAAAGCGTCGTTCAAGGTGTGCATCCGGTGCCGTTCGCGATCATTCGCCTTTATTCGTCGATTTCTTTTCAACTTGAGCACCTGCAGAATAAAGAATTGTGAAATTTGAGTGTCATCGCGTGTACAATTCATCTTTTAAGAAAGAAATTTGTTTTCATAATAAAGAATTGTTTGGTTCTGTCAATGAATTTTTAGTTGCGCTCCCTTCTTTGTATGGTCGGGAAATTTATTCGTGATAAAGTTTTCTTTGCTTCTATATCAATTTTTAGTTCTTTCTAAGAGAAAATTTGTAATAAAAAAATTTATTGAAAACAAAAAAATAAATTCGAAATGGAAAAGTAATTTTAATTACCTGTGTTGGACTCTTGCAACGAGTATTCCGTGTCTTCTTTCTCCTTTCCTCCTTGAGTGGTGTAAATAAATCGGCGGCAATTTCATGTTTAGGAGATTCGTAACTGACGTCAAATCCAGAATCAGAGGAACTGGATAATTCGTCAAAACCTCCTTCACTGCAGTATGAATATTCGGACGACATTTTTTTTTTGGTTTCGATTCTCCTTGAGATGCGTTTTCTACAACACTTTAAAGAAAAATGCACTTTGTTAATTAAAGATTTCCCCACTTTTATTTAATTAAATAATTTTAGCTACTATTAGACAATTGTTTTGAAAGTATACTTTAAATATGTAGAAAATAATTGTAAATTACTTCGGAGGGTAAAAAATGTAATACAATATAAAAAATATTATTTATAAAAATATACAAAGTGAATGTATTTATAGAAAAACATCTAGTTATTTTTCAAAGAGAATTTAGCTCAATTTCAATCAACCAAAAAATGAATCAAAAATATACTTCAATCAAATGTGAATTAAGTCAAGTATAAATTTTATACTTTGTCGAAAAATTTTACAACAGCAGAAAAAATATGTTTTTGACTCACTTTTTATTTGATTCAAATAAAAATTGTAATTATTGGTTCAAATAAAATTTATTTCGTTCGAATAAAAATCGTAGTTGAAATAAAATTTGTTTGGTTCGAATAAAAATCATAGTTGGTTCAATTAAATTTTATTTCGTTCGAATAAAAATCGAGGTTGGTTCAAATAAATTTTATTTGGTTCGAATAAAAATTGTAGTTGGTTCAAGAAAATTTTATTTCTTTAGAATAAAAATCGTATTTGGTTCGAATAAAAATTGTACTTGGTTCAAATAAATTTTATTTAGTTCCAATAAAAATTGTAGTTGGTTCAAATAGATTTTATTTGGTTATAATTGATTCAAATAAATTTTGGTGTATGGTTTTTTGTCTGATTATATTGTGAAACATAAAAATAATATTTTGATTGATTAAGCAAAATAGTTTCTTACGCAAGATTAACGAAAAACTCAAATAAAAAAATACGTAAGAAATTAAAAGAATTTTAAACACAAAAATAAAAATTAATACCTTATTTTCACAATTAAGATGGTAAAATATAATGCACTTGTTCACTGGTAGTTCTATTGCAAATATATTTTTTAATAACTTTTTTTTTAGTTTGCCAGGCTTAACGGCATATTTTCGAGTGTACGATATATAAAAACACAGTAATAATGGTGAAATCGAAAACACTACCGAACCTCGCGGGGTAGAATTTCAAACTGTACCGGTGCCAAGGGTTTGTGGAACATATATAGACCATTTGGAGGGTTTTTTACCCCCACTCTTCACGCGTGGTACTAGACTGAAGAATTCACCCCATATCTCCGCCCTCGTTCCCCACTTCCTGGTACACAAGACGCGTGCCATGCTTGTTAGAGGATTAGAGGTTTCGAGGGTGATTAAACCGCTTTTAAATTTTTTACTTATGAAAACTGTTTTTTAAAAGAAAGAAAAGCGTTTTTTTGTGGCTTGTGAAACAATGGTTAAACATTTCGTTTTATATTTTATTTTTTTAGATTTCAGTTTTAAGAAATATTTGGATTTCACGGGAAAAATTTATTTGATTCAAATAACCGATTGTTTGTCTATCAAATAAATATTTGCTTGAATCAAATAATTTTTAGTTAAGTTAATTAAACGGTGTTTGATAAATAAGAAACTGAAATTGTGGGAGCGAATACAATTTATTTGATTTTAGTAAAAATTATTTGATTCAAGTGTAAATATTTACTTGATTGACTATAGAAATCGGTTATTTGAATCAAATAAATTTTTGTCGGTGCAGTATTCGTTGAAACTATTGTTTTAATTATAATCACTTGTATATATAATTTTTATTAAAGTGATTAAAATTACTTGTTTGTTTAATTTTCGTTTAAAGTTAGTAAAAATTAATTTTCTTCTTCTCTAGTTTATTTTTTTAATTTCTAAACTTTTTACGAGTTTTTTGTAAAAGATTTTAAAATATTTTAAAATATTTAAAAAGATTTAAAAAGATTTAGAAAGATTTAATAAGATTTTAAAATATTTAAAATGTATACGTGATGTATAGAGTAACTTTTACTATATTTACAAAGTAAAACCTAAATTTTTAAGAACTTCTGGGCATGTCTATCAACTTTTAAATTTTAATATTTTCAAAGTAAAAGTTGTTATACGTTTGAAATTATTTTTTTGTAAAAATTAATAAAAAAAACTTTTAAATTTACACCGAAAATAGTAAAAGTTGCAAAGCAGAAAGGCACGCAGAAGTTCAGCTTTTACTTTATAAATAATAAAATAAATATTTTGTAAATAGTCAAAATATCTTTAATTAAATTGAAAAAAGAAAAGAAAAAATTTAGAATATTAAAAAGAATAAGAAAGTCAACTAGTTAAAATTCTCAGAAAACGAAGAGTGTATTTATTTTTGTTTGAAAACAATATAAAAGAATTTTTGCAGAAAATAATGGGGGCAGTAGATGAGGAATTAAAAAATTTTAAGGGGTGTGTTTTTCAGAGATTTGGTTTCATTTCTTTTTTTTTTTTTTTTTATTTTAACAAATTGACAAATCTCAAAGAACTATAAGGGTATCTTGTTTCTTCTTGGAAACAAATGTTCTAATTTTTCTGACACTAAAGTGTGAAAAAATTAGGTTACGCTTTTCTTATACCTGCAAATGAAATGGGTTCCGCCCTTAACACACTGTACGCAAAATTCAAAGCGGCCTCTCGTTTTTGAAGCGCCACACGAGCCTGCCAATTATTTTTTCACCTCGTGTCAAATGTGGAAACGCCCTTGTTAAACTGTTTCAAGCTCTGATTAATGTTGTCCTTTATGTATATTTAGTTGCCACACTCTTTTGACTTGTGGAAATGGCTCTTCTTTTTCTTAACGATATAGGTTTTGTCATTTATTTAAAAAAAAAGAAAAGGTATTTCCCAAATGATTAAAGGTTATTTATTGTAGTGGGGCATCATCTTAACACTTTGGAGAAATCTAGTTTTGAAATGAGTGAAATTTTAATTGGATTTCGATCACTTTTTGAAGCAAAAGTAAGATTTTTATTCTTAATTTTCATTTTTATTCCTCTTTTATTTTTCGTCTTTAATTTACACCTAGAGAATAATAAGTTGAAAAGTAACATGAATTTGTAGTCAAAAAAATTGTCGCATTGTTTTTTATTTTTCGTTTAAAAAAAAATTTTAAGACCTAAAGTTATCTTATTTTTTTAAATGAGAAATTCAAAAGTAAGTTGAATTAGAGAAAAAAAAATTGAAACGTTTTCGAGTTATAAAAAAAGTTAAATTAAAAGAGTAATATGATGTTAAAAACGCAATAAAGTCAGTGATAGCCATATGTCATTTCTAATCAATTGATAATACGAGATTGCTATAGAAACCAACAGGTAGCACATTTATCGAAAATATAAATCTCATAATAATGTGAGTCAGCTTTCGAAATCGTGTATAGATAAACAAAGGATATTAATTCGAAAAGGAAATAATAAAAAATTTGCTTTTGAGTGCATGAACCCTTATTTATTTGAAAATTCTGAATCTTCAAGTATAAATGAAGTTTTTTTCTTTAAAAATATTTCGAATATTGGCTTAAAATTTCAGATTATAAGAAACTAATTTAAAGAACTAAAGTTGGCAACAAATTCCAACCTATATTTTCAACTATATGAAGAAAATATTTTAAATATTTATAATAAAATTATTTTTATAGTAATTTTTTGAAAGGAATTCTATGGTCATAAAAAAAATTGCTGAAAAAATATTTTGACCCTTTTTGAATTTTTATTTTTTCTAAAAATTGAAAGATTTTTAAATCCATACGTAATTTTGTAGAAAATATGTTTTTGTATCCATAAAAAAATTGCTGAATAAAAAAATTAATATTTAAAAAAGTTTTAATTTTTTCCCAAAAAAAAGTAGTTTTCAGGTTAAGAATTTAAAAAAATATGATTATTATTAAATTTTATTATACGAAAACTCATTTGTTTTTTTTCTAACTAATTTCAGAATATAAACTTTTTCAAAAAAAATGTTTTATCGAATAAATTTTTAATAATTTTTTTGTAAAAGTTTATGTTCTGAAATTAGTTAGAAAAAAACAAATGAGTTTCGTATAATAAAATTTAATAATAATCATATTTTTTTAAATTCTTAACCTGAAAACTATTTTTTTTTTTTTTTTTTTTTTTTAATGCTAAAACTTTTATAAATATTAATTTTTTCATTCAGCAATTTTTTTATGGATACAGAAACATATTTTTCTTTTAAAATAAGTGGAAAAAAGTCGCATTTTTGGAAAATAGTCGAAAAAAGTCATAATATCCGAGGCCTGCATTTATTTTGTTGTTTACTTCAAAAATGTTTGTGTAAACTTTTCCGAGAAGTTATTTTTCTTCAATGAAAGTCTCATAAACTTTCTTCATACAAAGTATATATGGAGCATTTTTTTGTCTATATATAGCAGGAATATTTTAAAGTCCACTTTCTTTTCATTCGTGTAAACGAAAAATTGTATGTGCTATACATTCAATTTCATTTAGAGTAAGAATAACATTTTCAACAATTACGCGAACACAAAGAAAAAAATTTTTTTAATCAACTAAATTATTTTGGTTCTTACAGAAAAAAATCCTCACCTGGATCAGCTACAAATTCAGTTTTTTTTATTCTTAAACTTAAAATATATATAATTTTTTTTCGTATACACATATTGACGTGTATAAAAAAAAGGAGAAAATTTTCAATACAGATTCTTGTTATAACCCTTTTTTACGCTTTGAAAATTAGCCATTTGATAGTAAAAGGCTTCCGTGAAATTGTGTTCTCAATTGCCGAACAGAAAATTATTGGAAATTACACGAAAGATTTGCTTCTAGGCCGTGGAGAATCAAAAATCAAATAAAAAAAAGGGGCGTACGGATTCAAGTTGTACTAAATCGACAGAAGGTTAAATTATTGGGAGCCGATAAAAAAAAAGGGTTTGCGTTTTCGTTTTTATTTCAGTGACAAAAGTCGTTCTCCTAAATTAGGTAATTTATTGGCAAGACAAACTCTTTTCCATTGGTTGAGCCTATAAATTATTGCCTACTTTTGGCACAAAATTTATACGCGAGCGGAACTTTTAATTTAAATAATGGATATTTTCCTTTTTTCCGTAATTTTTTATTTCTTTTCTATTTTTAAAATTTTTTTTCTATTTTCTTTTTATTATATATTTATACATTATAACATAGTTTTTCTAAGAATATCAAATTGAGACAAAAAACGTATCAAAACGTTGCTTTGCAACAATTTTGATACGTTTTTTGTCTCAATTTGAATATCCTTAGAAAAACTTTAAATTTTAAATTAGGAAAGAGTCGTTTTTATTCTAAATTTCTAATTCATATAGTAAAATTCTACTATATTTTTTTAAGCAACTTTAAATTTTTTACTCAAGTTTTAGTGGAAATTTACTATAAGAATTAGTAGAAATTTTTACTGAATTAAATTATGGGACGACTTTTTACTAATTATTATTTAGAGAGTAAACAATATTTTCTTAGATTGAGCATAAAAATCCTTGTTTAAAATAAAATGTCTTTCTTGCATAATTTTCAAGGAATATGTCTTTTTTATGTAACAGTATATGGTGAGAATCACAGCATAATTATATTAGAAACTTGAGGCAAAAAAATATGTAATAAAATTCTCAAAGTAAAAAATCCCACGATATTATTCTTCCTCATATGTAACTTGTTTTAAAATCTACCAAATCTATTGTACTTTCTACTGCCAGGTGAAATTGCACGTTTCATATAAAAACTAATGAAAAATTATATTCTCAATTTTTAAATATATATTTATATGTTTGTTTATTATTATTATTTATTAATATTATTATTATTAAATTTTATTATTTTTATTATTGAAAAAATTTTAATTCTATTTATTTAATTAAAAAATAATAATAGTAATAATGATAGTAATAATAATAATGATAATTTTTAAAGTCGTCTTGTTTTAGGAAAAATATTTCTTAAATTAAGACAATTATTATTTATAATAAGAATAATAATATTATTATTATTATTGTTATTATTATTTAAAATGAAGGTTTTTCATACTAATTTTGCCCAAAACATATTTTTTTTAACAATTTCGTAAAACACTTATAAATTATTTATGCTATAAACTATATTATGTTTTATAATTATTAAAAAATAATTTTTAAGTCTACAATACAAATTGAAAAGTTATTGTCAAGGTTCTAGCCCCTGTACCTTGACAACCAGTTCATACTCCTTTAAAAATTTTCTCTTCACTTTTACGTGACCTGGAAATTTATTTATTTTTTAATGCCCTCCCGCAAATTCGGCAATAATTGACCATTCAAATGTTTTATCGTGAAAATAATTATACGATATATATTAAATAATAATTTTAATAATTAATTAACTATATACACCTATGTAATTAATAATTATTAATTTCTTTTCCCTTTTTTCGGAAAAAGGTATTTTAAATTGTTGTTATTAATAATTATTTATTTATACGTATGTATTGTGTAGAGGAGATTTAATTGAACCTCTCTACTATTTATACACTCTCTGTGTGTGACTCACACTGATCTTATGCTTGCTCTTTCTCTTTTCTTACCGAGGTGCCTCTTTCAAAACGAATCGAGTCTTAGCCGAACCAAGACAAGACGATGGACGCTTTTTCTTTAATTCTCTGTGATGATAGTTTTTTCTCACTAGTGAACACGTGCTTTGTTTATATATTAAAATGACGTGATTTTTGTGCAAAATTTGAGGATAAGGATTAACACATGAGAGGTAAGTTTATTAGAAAGTCATTATTAAGAATACATCTTTTCAGATCCATGTGATCATTCACCATATTGAAGAGTTGAACTTTAAAGAAATTAATTCATTACCTAATAATAAAAAAATTAAAAATGTGCAGAAAAAAATTATTCTTGGGGGAAAAATTGAAAAATTCCGTATTCGAATGGTTTATTTACTGTAATTCGAATAGTAAGGAATAATAATGATTTTTACTCGACTGTAAGAATTTTTTTATTCAACATACGAAACCTTTGTGAAAGTAATAATTGTACCTTTGGTATTTTTATTTACTGTTTGTTTACTATTAAAATTATTTTATTTCAACTGTATAGAAATTGAGTAAAATCAGTTGCGTGGAGGTTATAAAGATTGAATTCCAAAAAAAAATGCATTGATATTTGTAAAGTGAGTCACTGGAATTCTTGATGATAAAGAGTGAACTATAGAATAAAAATGAAGAAGAGGTAAAAGCTGTCGGTCATTCACTGAGAAATAATGCGAGGATATAACGGGTATTAAACAGTCTAGGACGCAATGAAACAGTTACTTAGACGCGTGTTGTGTTACACCTATGTTTTTTAGTCAGGTAGTAAAGCCATCTTTGGCCATCCCTCCGAAAATCTCGAGATTTCAATGCCCGCATATAACAAATATTAAATGTCGCTTCAGAAATTCTATTCTAAACTTAAGAATATTATCTTGATTCTTTGAAGCGTTTCAAACAATTTTTAATTTTTTAAACATACAGTAAATCTAAATTTCTTAATTATTTGAAAAGAATAAATGTTTTGAAAGAAAATCTTAGATAAGGATATCTTAAAGTCGGAGTAGAGTCAAGAGTTACAATATAGTTGTAGAATTTTTTTAATTTTCTTTGAGATTAAAACTGTTTTCTTAAAAAGTTGAAACTGAATAAATAAGACTTCTTTTTGTACTTTCTTGTAACTCCTGTAACATTGCTTTTCTTGTTTTTGTTCCTGTTTCTGTTCAAACTGTCAATAAAACAATTTATTAAGTTGTAAAAGATTCGCGAACATGACACAGAAATAACAAAGTCTGAATCCGTTTACATCTTAAAACGAAAATGATTCAAAAGTCTATTTCAAGATTTAAAAATATGGGTCAAATCATAACTTTAGGACTTAAAATAATACTTTTAAGACTAAAATTCAATCTAAAATATATAAACTTTTTTAGTCAAAAGTTAGCTAAAAATTACAGATTTATTTGTAAAAAGAATTAAAAAGAAACAATGCTGAATCGAAACCATGGAATTTAAAGAATTTTACATGTAAGAGCCAACAATTCTGGTGAATTGAAATAAAATGTTAATTTAAGAACAGTATAAAATTAAGATTTAATTTTTTTATTTTTTCTTGTAAAAGATTCGCGAATACAATGATGGATATTTTTAGAAAACAGCATTAGAGTATATAAAATTAAATTTAGTTTAATTGGAGGAAAACGTATGAAGGAGAATTTATGCGTATGCAAATAACTGTTTTATACCGGATATGTATGAAAAAACGTTTCTAGTACCGGTTTATTAATATCGTACTCTGACAAAAATATGTGCAGTATGCAGTTTGCGTATTTAAATATATCTCTGTCTTGTGTCATTAAGTTAATAGCTTTTTTCGTATGCGTCACAAACTAATAAGCGTAACCATTCGAGAATTCAGGTTCAATGCTAATTACCTTCATTGAAGTTGTAAAAGAGAAAAATAGAATAAAACGAAAGCATTCGAATTTAACTCGTTATATTAATGCTAATTATAATAGAAGTCAAGATTATGTTTTTAACATTAGAATAGAATTTTCATTAAAAAATGTTCCTTGTTTTAAGAATAATTTTTTTCAAGAATTTAATTTTTTACTCTAGGTAATGTTATATAAATCGGACTCCGATTTGGGTCTCAAATTCTTAAATTAATTTCTGTCTGGCAACATTTCTAAGACAACAGTCATATAGAAATGTTGCGAAACTTTCCTTCTGCCGATTAAAATAGAAAACTTTCTTTCAGTGTAAGAATTTCGAAAATTTGGACATAATGTTGATAAATGTATTTTAAGGTGACAATGTGGTCGTCTTTATTCCTTCTGATAACGAGTTGCTGGACAATATGGGCACAGATCATAAACAGAGCACCACATTTTATTCATGGAGGAGACATGGCAAGGTTATCAGTTTCCGAAGGCACTTTGCCAGGCGCTCCAGTTTACACACTTCAAGGGGAAGATCCCGAAGGCTCAAGACTGCATTATTCCATCAGTGGGGAATATTTTACCGTTGACAGGGAGAGTGGCGTTGTAATACTCCGAAAGCCATTAGATCGTGAAGCTCAAGACATTATTGAAGTTATTATCAGTATAACAGGTAATTTCTTTAAAATTCGCCCTACTGAATTTTTTTTCTCTTCGCGAAATCCAAACTTCTTTTTATTTGTTAATATTGTTGATTAAATGAAGAAATGAAGATTATTTTGTGAAAGTAGAACTAATTAAGAAGGAAATATTACACAATATGAAATTAATTTCTGCATGTAACGCCTCTTGGCAAAGAACTCATTGTCCATTACGTGTTGAAATATTACAGACGAGGGTATCGCTGGCTCAGAACCAAATACTGTATCTTTACGTCGAGAAATAGCGGTTCTGGATGAAAATGATAATGCTCCGGTGTATCATGGTCGTCCTTATGCTGCCAGAGTACCAGAAAGTGCAAAAGTAGGAGGCCTCTTGCTCCCACCAGGAACAATTACAGTAACAGACCGTGACGGCGGTGTCAATGCGGACATTTCCGTTTCTTGCATTCCCGCTTCCAGTGATGATGATGTATGTCAAGTCTTCTCTGTGTCCTCTGAAAAGGTACATTGCATTCTTATATTTACCTTTTTTCCTCTTCCTTATCACAGAGCGCAAGAATATTCCAATAGTAAACTTAAGAGGTATTAAAAATTGTTACAACTTAAATTAACACCAAAATGAACTAATAAAATTATACATTATAGTGCATTACAGAGGGCGAGAACAAAACTACAAAATTAAGTTTACAATTAGGATTTATCAAAAATTAAAAAATTCGTTTATTAAAAATATAATCAACAAAGTACCCTGTAAAATTTACATTAGATTTGTCTCCCAGTCGATTTTTCTGTAACTTTAATTTATAATCATTTTTTATAATATAAAAAGAGAATATTATTCTCTACAAGAACTTCGAAAAGTTACAGGAAAATCGACTGAGAGCCGAAACTAATTTAAATACTGCAGGAACTTCTGCTTACAAATTTACTATACAATTCGTATTTATTAAAAATATAATTAACAAACTTTTATTTATTTGTGGTTGGTCATAAAGTTTTAATCAATTAACAGATGTTATCGACATCTAATAGAAAGATTGGAAATTATGAGACAAGAAAGATGAGAAATAGAAAAATGAAAAAAAAAATTCATTCGGTAATTGAACAGACAGAACACAGTATGATTCTGTGATCTTCACAAACAGCTCGTTGGCAATTTTTACACACAGTCTTGACTTTCCTGTCTGCAGCTCTCGGGCAAAGACTGCAGCGAGTCGCTTTTCTTACTTTCGTGGGACTTTTAGGTGGCGGTGGTGGTGTTGCATTTACTTGCAAAATAGACTGAATAGACATCCGTAATTCCTGTCGAAGATTCGGGAAAGAAAGCCGTAGTCTCAATTGTGGTTCCACGAGTTCTTTGACTAGTTTTTTGAGAAACTCCCTCCGAGTTAAATTTGGATTTTCATAGTTAAAATTGTGCAAAATCAAGGCGTTGATTACAGCTTGATCCATCATACCATACCAAAAGCGTAAAGGCCATCGGAATGTTTTTCTAGCCACGGTGTATTCGTCGCACAATTTGTTAAAATATTCAGTGGCTCCTTTTGTACTATCGTAGAATGAAATGATAGTAGGCTTCTCTGTGTCCATTTCAATTTCGACCAAAGAGTGTAGAGTAGACATGGTCAGTAAGAATTTATCCTCCCTAGGAACGTATTTGACAAGTGTCTTCGTTTCATCGAATAGAAATTTTGAAGAATACAAAGGAGCATCGCTCTTCAAACTCTGGGGAATTTGACCTTTGGTTTTGCGAATGGAACCCACCATTGTGATCGAATTTTGCAGCATTTTATCGAAAATTTCCGTCGAAGTGAACCAATTGTCACAGGTGATGTTTCGCCAGCTACCCTGAATTGTTTCTGATAATTTGCGAATGTAGTACGATGGTAAACTTTCCGTAGATTCTTTCTCTGTTGTCCCCACATACGGTTCTGCGGAGTACATGTAGAAGGTGTTTGAATCATTGAGCATGATAATTTTCATGCCGTACTTGTCCGGTTTTGCGCAATTGTAAACTTTGAAGGGACATGGTCCTTGAAAGGAGAGTACATGATCATCAATGGTACAATATAGTGTCGGTGAATAATATTGAGTGCATTTGGAGATGAAGTCTTCCCATATTTCCCTCATGGGGGCAAACTTGTCTGTTTCTCGACGTGTTTGTCTGGTTGACTTGTCGTCGAAATGAATCATTTGAACTAGGAATTTGAATCTGTTTAGTGGCATTGTACTTCGGTATAAGGTCGACCCGAAATCGAGAGACCATAAGTCTTCTAAATTTGTGTTGACTGCTTTTTGTAGACCGGAGAAGTAGAAAAGTGCGAGGAGAGCTTTGAATTCTGGTAAGATTAGATCGTAGTATGTGGGGGAGAATACATCACAAGTTTTTGTTTCGTTTCGCCATTGGCGAATATATTCGTTGGTGTATTTCACTATTTTTTCCAGTAATTTATCAGTGAATAATAGAGACCATGCTTCTAGAGGACTCTTTATATTTTTCGCTTCTCCTCTAGGGCCTGGGTAAGCCTCATCTTCTATTTGATTATCGTTGGGTAGCCTCTTCCACTCTTTTGTAAACCATTGATGTCCATTTTCTCCACAAACGATATTAGGCATAGTGTCGATACAATCATTCTGAAAAAGGATTTTTTTTTATTGTTTGCATTATTGTTATTTACTATATTTACTACGTTTTCTATTTATTACTACTATTTTATTTACTATTATTACAATTTTTCTACGGATATCAAACTGAGACACAAAATGTGTACCAAAATTGTTGCAATGCAACAATAGTCTTAATTTTATATCCTTAGAAAAACTGTGATACTATTGTATTTTATGAACTATTTATTTATTAATTTGTACTATTATTTATTTATACTATTACTTATTTGTATAAATAAGTACTTTCTCAGCTACATCGTCGATTTTTGTATTTTATCTAGTTTACTAATTTCAGTATTTGTTATTTTAATTACCTTTTCTATGAAATCCGTTTCTATCGATAAATCATTTAAATCATCTTCGAAGTCTTCCTCTGAATCCGAATCTGACATTAATTCTGCATGATCTTCTTCTTCGTCGGATGGTAGATCATCAGCTACGATTTCTTCCCCCTCCAGCAATTGATTTTGCAAGGATATTGCGTTGCGTATTAGGTAATGTCGAGACATTTTCTGTAGAAAAATATTTTAGTTACTATGCTATCATTTTATAGACGCACATAATATTATCAACCTGGAAATGTCAGGGATTTTTATAAACCTTGAAAAAACCTGGAAAAGTCAGGGAATTTTGATCGAAATCCTGGAAAATTGTTGTTTTCTAAAGTTATTGTGTTTATTCTTGAAATCTAATTTTACTTAAATCTTCATGTTTTATAATAATATTCTAGTGTTATTGAATTTAAATTTTTTGAAAATCTTAATTTCTATGAAATTAAGGGAAATCAGGGAAAAATCTGAAAATCAGAGAGCTATTTAATTTGGTAAAATATAAATGTATTTTAAACACCTGGAAAAAGAGAATGAATAGAGAATAAATTTATAAAATCATAGCTAAAAATTGATGAGTTTGGGGTAGTAAATTACCCCAAAGTTTAAAGTAAAACAAACCTGTTACGTATGAGTCTAACATATTCCAACCTTAACTTGATATATTTTGAAGGTTTTGAAGTTAAGGTTAGAATACATTGTTTAAGGTTAGAATTTCCCAGCAAAAACGTTTCTTTTTTGTTATAGTAAAACTTTTTTAATGCATATGAACTTTAGACTGATGCTGAATTAGATAAAGGAAAAGAGAATAGAGGAAGAATAAATAAATAAAATTCACTTACCTTGACAATATTGTGACATCACAGAGTAACTGGGGTAGTGAAATGCCCCATGTGTCTTTTAATCGTACTGTTTCTCACGCAGACTTTGCGCGCATATTCAGCCAAGGTCGATTGTTCGACATGCTTTAGGTGACTCTACAACAAGCGTTTTAATATATCTGAACGAAAATCTATACAGACCAATGCGCCTGCTACAGCTTTTAGATTTTTATTTTCGATTCACCTTAAATTCAATTTCGGTTAGAGTCCTACCTAGGGACGTAGTTTGAATTTTATCTGAGGTATCTAAAAACCCCCGTAGTTGTTCTTTTTGAATTCAATAAAAATTAATCGAGTAGAAGAAATAATATTTTTAACTATGAAAAAGAAATTTTAACTTTGAAAATTATTTAATTTCTCTACCAGATTAGAATTATTGATTGATTACATTTGGGAAAAATGTAGAAAAAAAATTTAAAGAAGCTTTAAGTGAGAAATGATTCGAAGAGATTATTAACTTCTTCAACCTTTAATATTAATTACCGAATGATAAATTCCCTTCCTTTATCCTTAACATTTTTACTAATTCAAATTTAGAGAGTACCAGAAAATTGATAAGTCTTGATAAGGTTTTATAAAATTTGAACAAATGTAGAAAATTGTCTTAGGAATAATTAGGATTCATGTCTTTTGTGTATAAAATAATGAAAATTAATTTCTTTTAACAGTTGGCAGAGGGAAAATACGATGTACAGATAACTTTATCCCAAGCACTGGATTACGAGAAAAGAAATTCGTATCTTATAAATCTTGTCGCTATCGATGGAGCCAGTGATCCTTTCAAAAGATTACAATCAAGAGCTACTATTGCAGTTGATGTTCTAGATGTACAGGTACTTGTAATTAGTAATCTAATTATTACATAAATGCAAACATAAAATTTATAAACTTCTTTTCTTCATCATTCTACTTAACCTTCTTTTTCGTTCAAAGGATCAACGACCGATTTTTTTGAATTCACCGTACAGTGCTGCTCTTCCTGAAAATACTCCGGAGGGTTATCAAATTTTAACTGTAAAATCGCGAGACGGTGACAGTGGTGAACCAAGACCTCTGCTACTGACTTTAGAAGATGAAGAGTTTGGTCATTTTCGACTTGACGTTACACGCAAAGGCGATGTATCGATTGGAAAATTAATAACGACAAATATTTCACTTGATAGAGAGGATCCAAATATTTTGCAGAATGGGGGTATTTATAGTTTTAAAGTGAAAGCCACCGAACTTATTAATAATGAGATTCCTGGCGATTCGTCCATGTCAATTGTTACGATTGTTGTGACCGATGTTGATGATCTGACACCAACTTTCAATAAAAATTACTTTTCGCTCAGAATCTCTGAAGACATCGGCATGGATACACCTCTTCCTGGTAAAGACCCCTGTTTATTTTGTTAACAATATTAAGACATTTGGGGTCTTAATATGTAAGGTAAATGAAAGTGAAATTTTCTAGGTCTTAATATGGTTGTGAGTGACGGTGACGTTGGGGACAATGCAAAGTATTTTTTGGCCTTGCAAGACGTGCCTAATTATCCAGGAATTAGTAATGCCTTTGTTGTCAGTCCGGAGGAAGCTCAGGGAAGAGTTCCAGTAGTGATAAGAGCCAGAGATGACAGTGTATTAGATTACGACGTCTCTGATCCAGCTTTACGAGAAATAGAATTCGAAGTCACTGCATCCGTTGCTGGAACAATAGTATGTATTACAATCTAGTAGTTGATCTACTAAATCTAGTAGCTAAATTACTATTTTTTTCACTTGCTTTCTCTTTTTAAAGGTCGCCACTTGTAGAGTGCACATTAAACTCGTTGACGCCAATGATCATAGTCCGAAATTTTTGAAGTCAGTCTACAAACTCTCGGTTCGAGAGGATGCTGAGATTGGAACACATTTCGCTGATGTATTTGCAACAGATCGAGATAGTGGAATTTTCGGGGACTTAACCTACAGTCTCGGTGGTTTTGGATCAGAGAAATTTAAGACTGATCCAAAAGAGGGTGGTGTTTCAGTAGCGAAGGCATTGGATTATGAGACACAAAAGTCGTACACATTGACAATTGAGGCCAAGGACGGTGGCGGAAGAGTATCGAATGTTAATATTCTCATCGAATTGGAAGACGTTAATGACAATGAACCTGTTTTTGAACAGCAGGAGTACTCGAGAACTGTGAGAGAAGGGGCCACTAGTTTCGATCCTCAGATGTTTGTCAGGGCCACTGATATCGATGGTCCTATGCATGGCAATGGGAAAATCGTCTATTCCATCAGCAGTCACAATAGTATGACTGATGGTATTTTTAAGGTGAATTCGGAAACTGGTGAGGTAACAATGCTAAAACCGGTGCAGTCAGGAGACACTGAGCGTGGAATTTATCAACTTACGATACGTGGAACCGATCTTGGCAAACCGCCTTTGTATTCGGAGACTAAAATATTTATCCGAGTTGGCGTACCGGGAAATCAGAAACCAGTTTTTCGGGGAAATTACAAAGCTGGCACTCCTGGACCAAATAGTTACAGAGCAAGACTTTTGGAAAATGCTTCGTCTGGCACTGAAGTCATCGTTGTAGTTGCTAATGATCCCGACGGCAGGGACAGTTTATTACAATACCAAATTGCTTCTGGAGCCAAAGATAACTTTGTCATCAATTCCAGGTATCAATACTTACGAAATTGTGCTTCTCTAAAACCAGAAAAAAGAGATTCTGTTTGGTCCAAATAAATTCTATTTTGTCTAACTAAAACTTTGTTAAACTAAAATTAAAAATTATGTCTAACTAAAAATATTTTCTTACAGTTCCGGTATTATAACAGTCTCTCCAGACGCGAGATTAGATTTAGAAACTGGTGGCGATAAATACAAAGTGATTGTTTACGCAATTGATTCGGGATTTCCTGTCAGGGAAACAGCAAGTACAACAGTCACTGTTAGCATAATTGATGTTAATAATAAACCACCTGTTTTTAAGAACTCAACGTACCTTGTCTATGTCTCTGAAAGAGCAGCCATAGGTAAGATGAAACCGTTTATCTGCTTAATTACTATATATAACATGTGATGATAATTATTTTAGTTGTATAATTATAATAGTAGTATAATTGTAATAATTATTCATTTTTTATTATAGGGGATCAAGTGTTAAAAGTAGCAGCCTTTGATCCAGATTTAGACGCAAATATCGAATACTCACTGACAGAACCCATAAGAGCTGTTGATAAGACTGGAGTTGCTCTTAAAACAACAACACCTTATGATTATAAAACAGCATTTCGAATTAATTCTACAAGTGGATTGATAACAGTAAATAGAGTACTTGACTATCAAGTGGCTGCTGTTATAATTCTTACGGTTGAAGCGAGAGATCTGAATGCAATGGAGAACAAAGATAATCAAGTGGCGCGAGTGGAAGTCACTGTTTATATTCAAGCATACAGTGATGATAATCCAACGTTCACTAATGCTGGTTGGTCACCGAATAATCCTACCATTCGTCTTTCGGTATCTGAGGAACAACCTTTAGGAACAACTTTAATGATGCTCTCGGCTAAAGAACCAATGACTGGATATCCCGTTCAGAGATTTGAATTGATTAGGGAAATCGATGACGAGGGATACGTTAATGTTGGAGTGCAAAGCGGAAATGTTGTTCTCAGTAAAAGACTCGATTATGAGACTCTCGATCGAAAGGTAATTGATAAAAAAAGGAAAATTTTAATTTGGAGAATTTTTAGAATTTAGTTTTTAAATAACGATAGTCTGACTGTTTTTTGTTTACTTTTTAGTTGATTAAATTTAAAGTTCGAGCTCTGGCAAGAGATTACGACATTACTCGTCACATGTCTGAAGCAAATGTGATAATTCAAGTTCATGATATCAATGACAATAGTCCGATTTTCACTCATAAAGATTATAAAATTGCGATACTTGAATCGGTGACGCCTTCGAAAATAATTCTCAATGTTAAGGCCACTGATATGGACAGTTCGAATACAGAAGAGGAAAAGAAACGGGGATACGGAGAAGTTAGATATTCAATCACTGGCGAAAATGCCAATATGTTTGAAATAAATTCGATTAATGGAAATGTTCAGGTGTGTGTTACTTCTATCTTAGTTGTTGCATTTATTTACAAATAGTTGTATTTATTTACAAATAATTTTATTTCTTTATTTACAAATAGTAAATAGTTGTATTTTGTTATTTCTTACTAAATAATAATTGTATTTACTTATTTCCAAATTTAATATTTGAGTTTATTATAAAACATGAAGATATCGAGCATTTCGAGTCGAAGACTCGAAATAATCGATATCTTCTTGTCTTATTATAATTAAAGATAATCAAGTGATAAAATAATTATTTTATATTTAATATTTTAGATTGTTCAAAATTCCAGTCTGGACAGGGAAAAACAATCGGTTGTTCGATTTTACATTATTGCGTCAGACATGCCAGAAGGAGGAGTGGAACAGAAGACAACGAGAGCATTGGTGACTGTTGACATTTTAGACGTTAACGACAATGCTCCGAGTTTTCTTCAAAATTCCTACACGGCAGTAATTCCCGAAAATGCTGCACCCAGTGTCAGTATCGTAAATATCACAGCTGTTGATCCTGACGAAGGTGCGGGTGGTACTGTACATTATGAGATTATCGACGAAGGAGAGGCAAACGGTCTTCTGAAGATTAATCACACATCGGGTGAAATTTCATCAGCTAGAAAATTGACCGGAAAGGGAAGAACTGATCCCTATGTGATGAGAATAAGAGCCCAGGATGGTGGACTTCCTTCTTTATATTCAGATGTTCTGTTGACACTCTACATTGGAGATGTTGTCAGCAATGATGGAGTTCCACTTTTTATTAGACCAACTTTAGATGAAATTGCGTACATCGCGGAAAATTCGACAATTAAAAGTCCTGTGTTTCAAGTTGTAGCTTCTGATCCCGATGATCCAAATTTACCGAATGGTAAAATAATGTTTAAATTCCTGGAGGATGGTAACTTTGTCAGTGATTCGAGTGCTTTTCAGATAAACAGCGAGACGGGTTTAATTACCACGAGAAAACTATTGGATAGAGAGTCCAAGGACTCTTATACTTTGATTCTGATTGCTCAGGATTTAGGCAGTCCTCCTCAACAAGCGACTCGAATACTTCAAGTAAAAATTATCGATATCGACGATCATAAGCCGCATTTTAAGAGAAATCTCTACAGTCCTCCGATTGAATTAAATATCCAAGAGGAGTTGCCCCTTAATTCGAAGGTTGGCGTAATTGAAGCTGTCGATGAAGACATTGAAGAGAATGGAATGATTGATTACGCGATAATTTACGGTAATGAAGCGGGTATTTTTTCGATTGAACGCTTAGAGAATAATTCGGCAATTATAAAGGCGGTGAAACGATTGGATCGTGAGGCAAATGATAAGCATTTACTGACTGTAAAGTGTTTCAAATATTTGCCGAATAAGTTGGAGAGTTCGCTTTCTTTGAAACTTTATAATCGTCAAGATCCATCGGAGAGACAAATTCTCGTGAAAGTGTTGGATATCGACGATAATAAACCGCATTTCATGAAGGAAAACATAACTTTGGGTGTTCGTTTAAACGTACCAATTGATACGAGTCTGATAACTTTAGAGGCTCACGATCTTGATTCGGATGCACTGGCGATAAATTATATTATGGGAAATGTCTCGTTCGTCTCTCTAGTCGATCCAACAATGTCGCGAAAGGAAATACCGTCATATTTGTCACTTAATTCCGAAAGTGGTGAACTTAGAACCACTGGATCATTGGCGAGCTATTCGGATGGTTACATGGAAATTCCAGTAGCTGCTAATAATTCCATTGAAGCCAAAAGGCAGACCAGTATTGTTCTGAGGATATTTTTACTCAGAGATAGGGACATGTTGAAATTTGTCTTCTCGAAACCACCGGCCGAAGTTAGTAAAACTTTGGAGAACTTTGAGAAAGCTGTACAGCAAGCTCTGTCGTTGCCAATAAGTGTGAATGTTTATGATACACAGTTTTATTCGAAAGACGATAATTCACTTGATTTTTCATCGACGAGCTCCTGTTTTCAAATGGTTGGAAAGGAAGTTTATGATCTTCGTGAAATGAAGACTTTGCTGACTGATCCAAATAATGAGGAGTTGAAGAAAGTTTATAGAACATATCATGTGGACAAGGTGCAAAATTGTGCGAAAACTGTTTCTCGTGCTGATGCATCGAAAACACAAATGTGGGTTCTGGCTATTGCTGTATTGGTGGGAATCGCTACTATTATTTCCAGTTGTACTCTCTGCTGCATGCATGCAAAGTAAGATTTTCAATTTATATTTTTTTTCTCTCAGTCCCAATTGATCCACGACTCAATTATCTTCAAGTGTCAGATAGCTATAAGAAATAACACTCGATAAAATTTATCAGACACTTCTCAAGAAGTGGATCAAGTGGGACTTGAAAGAGAAAAAAATTAATTGTAAGGATAATTATATTAAACATTAATTAGTCTAATTATGATACCAATTTAGATAAAAAATATCAAATTATGATATTAATTCAGGGTTGTCACAGATCAGAGAAATCTGGAAATTTAAGGAAAATTCAGGGAAAGTAGAATCGGTCAGAAAAAACTCAGGAAATTTTATTAAAAGTACTGGAAAAAAATAAATTTTTAGAATTTAATTTTTTGAAAAATTTTAATAATTTGAATTCTTTTGAAATTAGTTTAAATTTTTAATATACATTGAATTTATTATTAAAAATTAATAATAGATTTATTGAAGAATTTTAGTTAAAATTAAAAAAAAGTAGTTACAATGTTATAATAGAAAAACAAAATTAAATTTTTGTGGCAACCCTCTATTGTATTGTACGGAACAAATCTAAATAAAAAATTAATTTCTCTTTTAGGTATAAAAAAGAATTGAAACATGCACGACTAAGAGAACAGCCAAGATGTTGCAGTGCAGCATCCCACACATCTAGACCAACAGTTGTTGCTCTGGGACCACACGAAAATCCCTATGAATGGGGAGCTGATAATACTCTTTATCATCCCAGTACAGTATCGAGGCCTTAAAAAGGTGCAATTTTTTTTTAATAATATTTTACCTTTTACAGAATTTTAATCGAGTGCCAATTATTTTTTTTCCCGTCTATTTTCAAATATCTGAGCAATCTTTTTCAGTTGAGATATTTAAGAAAATGCAAGCGGATATTAAAATGTGTTTTAGTCATATTTATTATTATTTTTATATATATAAAAAAAAGTTATATATAAAGAAGAGAAAGGTATTTTTTTTCTTTTCAATGAATATTGAACAAAGTGTTTATATTATCGTATAATAATTTTGTATACATTTTTTTAGCAGTTACTTTCGTTTGACGCACAAAAATTTTGTTGAGATGCAATATTATGTACATTCAATTAAAGTTAATTTAGATATTTATAATTGAATACTTATTTCATTACTTTCAAGTGTCTCCAATTTTTGCTACTATATACTTTTTGTTAACAAATAATAATTTTCAACGCTTTTTTTAATTTTTCTGTTTTAGTATAAGAGAAAAATAATAAAAAGGCCTTTTTATTTTTAATAATAATAAATTTAGGCCTTTTTATTATTACGCTTTTTTTAATTTTTCTGTTTTATTATAAACAGAAAAAAATAAAAAGGCTTGATTACGTAAATAAATTTAGGTTTTTTTTATTATTCCCTAAATTATATTAATTTAAAAAAATATGTTTAATGTTTTATTATTAAAACAGTGGTGGGTAAAAATTATTAACAAATTTTCAACATTGTTCACATTTATTTTAACAAACATTCAATTTTAAACAACAGTTCTAAACATTATAACTATATTTTCAACAGTTTTGGGAATTATTATTATGTCCTCGGACATTTTCTCATTAACATTTTTTATTTTGTCTAAATTTTTTGAATCTTCAAAAAATTTGATATATTTTATTGAAATTTTTGAACATAAATGTCTAATTGTTCTTTTTGCAAAAATTGTTTTCTTTTTTTTGTTTTTAAAAAGCAGGAGCATTACTGATTCAATAAAATAAAAGCCCAGGGAGTTATATAAATAATTATAATAATAATAATTAGCTTTACTTATTTTAAATAAATAAAGCTTATTGCTAACTTTACTTAATTTTAATAAGTAGAGCTAATAATTTATTATAAGTAATAATTAATTATTTTTAATTCCTTGATCTATAAAAATACTGTTATCAGCAAGGCTTAACATTTTTTTTTATAGTTAATTTATTTAACATTTACTTTTTAAATTTTCAAAGTTTGTATTTACGTTGACAAATTTCAAGCATGAATTGCTATTACAACTAATTTATTATTTTAAAATGACTCTTTTAGTGATTTGAGCTTTAATATTAAAATTATTTTAATACTTAATTTTAATACTAAATAAATGGAAATATATTTAATATAAAGTATAATAAATATTTTTCTATAAATAAAATTATTTCTAACGCCGTTTTGTATGAAAACTATAAAGCTATAAATAGAATAGCAAAATTATAAATTTATTTTTCGAGTCATTCTAATTTATTTATAGCATTATCTACATTTTAGAATTATTCATTTTAAATCGTTTTCAACATTGTATTTTCTAACTCTAAAAATTTTTCATTGAAAAAATATTCTTTTCAAGTACCTATTGTACTTTTAACTATTTGTGGAAAATATGGATTTTTAATATTACAGTGAAAAAAATGCATTCGATTCAAATAACCTACTTGTCTATTATCGAATAAATATTTACTATAAATACAATAATTTATTAATAAATGTTTAATAAATATTTAATAAATATTTTATTTAAATATAATAAATTTTATTTGAATCAATTTAAGTACAATCGAATTAATAATTTCGGTATTTGAAGCAATTACTATTTAATTGATTTAAATCAAATTTATTTGATTAAGTAAAAAAATAAATATTAATAGATAATAGATTTGATTTATTTGATAATAGACAAGTAATCGTTTATTCGAATCAAATAAATTTTTTTTTTAGTGTAAAAACAAAAAATTCTGGAAGAACTTTTTAAAATTAAATACACTATTAATTTAATTAATTATATTAAATGCACTAATTATAATAAATAGGCTCATTTAACAGTCAACTATTTCAAATAGTTGATTTTAAATATCTTTAGTAAACTTTAACATTGTGTTGTATAAATATTTTCATCCCGTGTTCATCTAATTAACATTGATTTATTTTTTCTAAAACTTATATTTTAAACTCATTTTTTCTCAATACAATTTTTCATGGCATTTTTTTTTAAATTATAAGTAGATACAATAATCAAAAATATTGCACGGACAATTATTTATAACTTGGATAAAGTACATATAAAATATTTTGTTCTTTTTTTTATTTTTAATTGTCCATGAAAAAATTTAATCGAAAGAATTTTTAAACAGTATAATTTAATAAACAATGATCAAAAAATCATTTTGGTGTTTATAAAAAATATTTTTTTTTATATATTTATTACATGGAATAAATCACAGAATTGTTTTAAAAAACAAGTTAATAGGTCGTATACTCTTTTTTCTTGATTAAAATTTGTTTTTCTTAATATTTCACATGTATAACATTTAAAAATTGATCTCCAGGATCAACAAGAACATTTTTTAGTGCTTTTTGCACGTTTGATGATTATTTTTCTCCAAACTAATTTTTAGACTTATAATGAAAGCCCTTTTGGAAGATTCGATATTGGACAATATTATTTTTCGATTGACTTATTTTTTTTGCTTTGGAGTTTATTCGCTTACATAATATATGCGATTTCTTTCTATTATTTAATGATGTCTTTTTTTAAACTATTCTTTCATTGGATCTGTGCAAAATGAATCGAATAGAATTGTTCGGCTCGGTTTATTTTTCAACTGCTTTAGAACAAAATTCGATTCGCACCTTGTTTTTCATAAAATCTATATTCATACATTTTAATTTAAATTACTTTTCATAAAATTTATATTCAAATTTAAATTTGGATTATTTTTCATAAAATTTATATTCATATTTGAATTTTAAAAAATATTTTCTTTCATTTTTTTTTTGTAAAAAGAAGAAATTCTACAGGTTTGATAAGTATCATGTCGGTGATAAGGTGTTATTTCATTTTTTCCTTTCTTTTTAATTAAATGTTTTATTGTCAAAAATAAGTACTGAACTTTTATTGCATTTGTATAGAAAATAGGTGTTTTAAATGAAAATACAAAATAACTGACGTGATACTTTTCATAACACTGTTATTTGAAATTCTAAAAAAGCTCTGATAAAAAAACGCTTTGCGCTTTTAAATTTATTCATTATCTATTATTGTCTCGATTTCCTTTTTTCATTTTCAAACGAAAATGAATTTGTTTTTTTTATATTTAATATCATCGTTTTCAGCGATTTTCTTTTTTTTTTTTTGAAATTCAAAAAATTGGCACATTTGGCAAGCACTTGCACTTGCGTGCTATTGTCTGAAATTTCATTATTTTAGCATTGAAATATACTTAAAATAGGCATATTGTTATTCTTTTCTAACAATCAATATTTAAAATTTGGCATTTTGTCTTCTGAGATCATTGGGAATTATCATTGTGAGAAACGACCCCAATGTGAGAGTAACGCAAAGACCTATATTTGCCCAAAAATCACCCCATTCTTTAATTAAAAATCCAGAAAGCGATGTAAATGCAATTCCAAAAACTTGTGTCATTGCATTTAGTAGACCGGCTGATGTGCCTTCTGGTTCGGGATATGTTAATTCTGCAGCGAATTCGAAACCGACTGGTAAATATCCTGTCATGAAGAACCTGAAGAAATAAAGTTTTTTTTATTGTAATTGTCAATAGTCAATTATTGCAATGGAAAAAAAATTTATTTGATTCAAATAACCTGTTACTTGTCTATTATTATCAAACTTATTTGATTCATGCGAATATTTATTGCATCAAATAATTTTTATTTAAATCAAATAAATTTTATTTGAAGAAAATACGATTTATTCGATTTAAATAAAAATTATTTAAAACAACTGAATATTTATTTATTTGTTAAATCTACATTAATAATCGATGTATTCCGGTAAACTGTTGCAGTTTGTTAATTTGTTTGCAGTTAATTGCTGTTTGCTTTTTTGTTTTCTAACTTTTTTAAAAAAATTTCTTTTTAAATGCTTTCAATTTTAAAATTAATGATTTGAAAATAATAAGATTTTAGCAAAGAATTTTATCAAACAATTTGAAAATAATTGAATTCTTTTGACGAATTTTAATAAAATTCTTAAGAATAATTACATTTTTCTAGAAATTCGATTAAAATTGTATTAAAAATAATGGAAATTTTGCAATGAGTTTTATTATTTATGAAAATAATTGAATTCCTAAAAAGAATTTTATTATTTACGAAATTAATTGAATCTCTGTAAAAATATTTTATTATTTATGAAAATAATTGAATTCCTTTGAAGAATGTTATTATTAATGAAAATAATTGAATTCTTGCGAAGAATTTTATTAAAATTTTTGAAAATCCTAATTAAACTCTTTCTAAAGAATTTCTTTGAATTTTTTTTGAAATAATGGAGTTTCTTTAATAATTATAATTAAAACTTTTGAAAGTAATTGAATTTTATTAAAATTTTAAGAAATAAATGAATTATTTCGAGGAATTTGATTAAAATTATATTAAAAATAATTGAATTCCTCCGAAACATTTTATTATTTATTAAAATAATAAAATTTTTTCGGGTAATTCAAGAAAAATGAATTCAAAAAAATTAAATTCTTTTAAGCAAATTTCATCAAAATTTTTGAAAATAATTAAATTGACGATAATTGAATTCTTTTAAACAAATTTTATCAAAATTTTTAAAAATAATTTAATTATTTCGAAAAATTTTGTGAAAATTGTATTTAAAGTAATTGAATTCCTGTGAAAACTTTATTATTTATGAAAATAAATAAATTTATGCGAAGAATTTTATTAAATTTAATTTTATTAAAATAGTAGATATTGAAAATACCTAAATTCTTTCGTAGAATTCAATATTTTTGAATTATTTCAAAAATTTCTTTAATTTTTCTAATATAATCGATTTTGTTAATAATTGTAATTTATAAGTTTAAAATTATTAAATTTTTTCAAATTAATTGAATTAAACAAAGAAATTTTTTCAATTTTTCAAAATAATCGTGTCTTGAATAATTATAATTGTAAATTTGATTATTGAATTTTATTAAAATTGTATTGAAAATAATTGTATTTCAAAGACGAATTAATTGAATTCTTTCGAAAAATTTTTAAAAAATTGAATTCTTCCGTGAAATTTCATTAAAATTGTATTGAAAATAATTGAATTTTTGCAAAGAAATGTTACTATTTATAAAAATAATTGAATCCTATTGAAGAATTTTGTTAAAATTTTAGAAAATAATTGAATTCTTTTAAAAAACTTAAAAAATAATTGAATCTTTTCGTAAAATTTTATTACTAAAATTTTTGAATATAAAATTGAAAATAATTGAATTTTTGCAAAGAAATGTTACTATTTATAAGAGTAATTGAATCCTACTGAAGAATTTTGTTAAAATTTTAGAAAATAATTGAATTCTTTCGTAAAATTTTAGTAAAATTGTATTACTCATATTTTTAAAAAAAATTTTTAAAGAAATAAACAATAATATTTAATTATCGTACTTAATAAGTAAATTATAAAAATTCTGAATCTGAAATTATTCAAAAATTTATATTTAAAAATAAAAAATTTTGTAATTTGCATAATAATAATAATAATTAAATTGAATATTTAATAGACCAGTAATTATTTATTTGAATCAAATAAATTTTTTTTCGGTGTAAAATTGACGAATTAAGAATTAATTTTAAAGTAAAAAAATAAAGTAAAATAGGAACTTGCCCTAACAATCCAGCGGTGATATAAACAACATAAATTTTTCCACAATCGAGTGTGAAGGTAAAAATTATCATTCCAATTAAGGAAAATAAGTAGACACCAAGAGTAGTTTCCCTGCGAATAGAAAAATTAATTAAAATCGATTTCAATTAAATTAAAATGAAAATAAAGTTAAAATTAATTAAAATCAAAAATTTTAACTCATATTTAATAACTATAATTTCGAAGTAGATATAAATTTAAAGAGAATTAATTTAGAAGTATAAAAATTTAAAGAGAACACTAACTTGAATTTGTGCGTTTTGTCTAAGACAACTCCACACATCACCGAACCCAGCATCCCAGCACAAACGATTGTTAAACCAATTCTGCCTGCATCCATACTCGAGTTCTAAAATAATAGCAGTATTTTATTATTTTCTCTGCATGACAAAAGTGATGAATGATAATTAAATTTTTTTTCAATCCATATATTCTCTAAAGTGACACTTGCCTCATAATGCTTTTCAAGAATTTGACTGAGTAAAGTGCTGATGGCATAGAAAATTCCAACGTTAATTGCATAGCTCAGCAAAAGTATTAGATAACCGATATTTGACATTAGTCGTTTGACTGATTGGAAAAAATTTTCGCTATCCTCCGCTTCTCGTTGAACCGCTTGAGCTGGACTGGGCGGAAGTGGTGGTTCAGCTTTAAAAACTGCGCAAAAATTCATTGTACACATGAATATTCATCAAAATATTCAAATACAGTAGAAATCTTGATTTAAAAAGCAGGAGAGTATTTATTCTTTTTTTTTTTTGTCATCGCATCATTATTATTATTTCTATTATTATATATAGTAGACTATATACAGTAGACTATAAATACCAGATTTTATATGTCAAGTGCAACCGAAGTTCAAAAGTGAAATATTTGGATATTATTAATATTCATTCTTTTACATACTTACATATTAAAATTAGTGCTAAAATTACGGACGTAAAGCCTGCGACTATATAGAACATAAGTCTCAATCCTTGGCCAACGACTTCTGGATCTTTACTTTCTGGAACTAACATTGGTGGGAATAGGAATCCTATTGCAATTCCTAACTGGAATAAACAAGTAAATAAATTATTTAAATGAACTGGAGAAAAATAACAGGGCTCGAACCAATGAAAGTATTTAAACATACGGACTTTACGAATCAAAAATTAAAAATTACGGTCCAATTACTGACAAAAATATAATCAAATTATTATTATTATTATTATTATTATTATTATTATTATTATTATTATTATTATTATTATTATTATTATTATTATTCTATGAAAATAACTAAAGGTTTGCATAGAATTTTATTAAATTTTTTTTTTATTAATTGAATTCTTTTGGAAAAGTTTATTAAAATAGTAGATATTAAAATCATTGAATTAAGAAAAATTTTTAAAAATACTTGGAATTTTGGAGAGGAATTTAATTATTTCTAAAGATAATTGAAATTTTGACGAGAATTTTTAAAACTTTTTGTACATAATTGAATTTCTGCGAAGAATTTTATTACTTTTGAAAATAATTGAATTTCTGCAATCATTTGTAATTTCCCCAAAATTCTCCAAATTATATCGTACAATTTACGAACTTTTCGCCTTTTCTCAATCAAATTACGGACTTTACGGACCTTTTTTCAAACAAACTGACTTTTACGGACTTCAAGCAAATTTACGGACCTTTAAGGGATTTACGGATCTAGTTCGAGCCATGAAATAAGTATTGTAATAAAAATCTGCACTTAAAAGTAAATTTATTTGACTCAAATAACCGATCACTGACAAGTAATAAAAATAATAAAAAAAAATTTTTACTTCAATAAATATTTCCTTGAATCAAATAATTTTTATTTAAAGCAAATAAATTCAAACCAGTAATTATTTGAATCAATTGAATTTCAATATTTGAAGGAACTAAATGATTTGAATAAAAATTGTTTGATTCAAGTAAATGTTTATTTGATAATAGACAAGAGTAAGGAAAATGTATGAAAAAATAAGCAATTATAATGTTGATAGTAAGGTAAATAACGGAATGTTATTGTTTTGCTCATTGAAATTAAACAAATTATCTACCGCATGAGAATAGAAGTTTAAGCAGGATGTGACTACGTCCAATTACTATCTAGTGAGAGATTCATCAGCATATTGAGCATCAAAGTCATCTCGGAAATTCTATTTGACTAAGTACTATTTTAAGATAGTTTAATGCCGTTTATGTATTTGTTTCCTCCCACGTTCTATTATCTATGGACCCCTATTACAATTTTTATTTTCTTTCTTAAAAAACAATATTCTTATCTTTTATTTCTTTTATTTCTTTTCTTATTATCTTTTCTTTTTTTCTATACTAGTTGTCAGAAAAGAGAAAAAACAGTTTCGATGTAAAACTAAATTATAGCAAAAAGGATAAATAAAAGGTATTAAAAAAGTTTTAAAACAGAAATAATGAGAGGTAAAAAGAATAGAAAAACAGTTTCGATTTAATTTAATTGGCAAAACAGAAGTAAAAAGGTAAATCAGTTTTTAAAAGAAAGAAATATTGAATTGAATAAAGGAATATTAATTGAAAGTTTAGAATTTTTTTTATGAGATGATTAATGGGATAAACTCGTTTTTTCTTAATGGCAATATGCAAAGAGCGTTTATATACCATTTTAAAACAAATTAGGTGTATTAGGGAGTAATGGGGAGCACCTTGGCTAAATTGAATCACTTATGATACATGTATATATCACATACACGTCTATATCACAACATTACACAACTGATTCAGAGATTAAGTGATTATTTTAAATCTTTAAATTTGGCTGATAACAAAAATTTCTTTTAAGCTCCAAGCAAAAAATAATACTAAGTAAACAACGAAAATAATGTAGATTTAGAAGAAATGGTATTTTTATTCTTTAATCCTAATTTTTATCCTCGATATTTGGATGTACTATATCAAGTAACGACTTTTACTATTTTTATGTAATTTAAAATAATAATAATTATTATTATTAAAATATCAGGTTCCTTACATTTTTTAAAGAAAGGGGACATTGAATATAATTAACGGAATGAATAAAAGAGAAAAAGAGAGAAAAAGAGAAGGAAAAATGAATTGAGAAATTAAGGGATTACTTGATTTCCAAAAACGCCTATACTGCAAGCACTCGAAACTTGGTCTGGTCCAAACCAAACAGCCGCCAATCGTGCTGGTACCGATAGAATAAAAGTTTGACTAACTGCCACCAAAGAATGGCCAAAAAATGCAAGCCAAAATCGATCGGGAACGGCACTAAAGACCTTTATCCAGGAACCAGTCGCTGTTCCAACAGCTCCGAAAATTGCTGCAAATCGGAGACCCTGCAATTATTTTGCACAATTATTAGTTTCCTGAATTTCAATATAATTTCAGAATAATTTCAAAATAATTTCAAAATACTTTAAAAATCAGGGTGTCTACTAACCAGGAATTTTTTCACCAAATTAAAAAAAGTTTTATTATTTTAATTTGATTTAAAAAAATGGCTTTTTATTTCAATTTTTATAGATATTTATACTGTTCTCTAAATTTGAATTAGTTAAAAATAATTAATTTGATAGTAAAAAATCAGTTACTGATTCAAATAGGATAGTATGTAAATAAATTTTTAAAAAATTATCGAATTAATAGAAATTTTGTGAAATTCAACTGAAAATAATTTAATTTGTTAAAGAATTTCATTAAAAACATTTTAAAAAATCGAATTTTCAAAGTACTTTAATTTAATAATTGATAAATAATTGAATTTTACAAATGTCACATTCTAATGTATTCATGTTTCCTAGTGCGAAGATTAATAATTAAAATTTTTATTAGTTTATTTAAAAAAAGATACATACTTAAAATTTTTTAATAAAATTGAATTTTTGCAAAGTTTTTTGGAAAATTCTGAAAAATAAGATTTTTATAAACAAATAATTGAAAATTTTTTTAATAATTGAAAATTCTTTACATTCTATTAAAAATAATTAAATTCTTTTAAAGAATTTTATTTAAATTTTTCGAGAATAATCAAGGGAAGTTAGTCACCGTAATTATAATTTTATTTTTAAAAATTTCTTCGCAATAATTCAATTTTTGTCATAAATAATAAAATTCATTGCAGAATTTTAATTATTTTTAATACAATTTTAATCGAATTCCTCGAAAAATTTAATTATTCTTAAAAATTTTATTAAAAATCGTCGAAAAAATTCAATTATTTCTAGAAATTGTAAAAAAAAATTCTTTTCAAGAATTCAATTATTTCCATAAATAGCAAAATTCTTCAAATTTACTAAATTCTTTTCAATATTATTTTTAAAAAAAATTCTTTACAAGAATTGAATTATTTTCATAAATTTCCATAAAATTCTAAAAACCAATTCAATTATTTTCAAAAGTAATAAATTTTTTCGCAGAAATTCAATTATGTTTAAAAATTTTTTTAAATTCTCCTCAAAATTTCAATTATCTTTATAAATAATTAAATTGTTCTCCACAATTCAATTATTTTCAAAAAATTTAATACAATTGTAGGCAAACATTTAATTATTTTTATAAGTAATAACATTCTTTTGAAGGATTCAATTACTTTTATAAATAGTAAAATTCTTTGCAAAAATTCAATTAGTATTAATACATTTTAATAAAATTGAATTAATCAAATTTTCAATTATAATTATAAACAGACAAGATTATTTTAAAAAATTGAAAAAATTCTTTGTTTTGGAAAATAATTCAATTATTTTCCAAATTTTTAATTAAAATTAATAAAAAAAACATTATTTTCAAAAAATTTATAGACACTTGGCATAAGAATTTAATTATTTATAAAAATTCTAATAAAAATTTTGGAAATGGTCCCAAAGTTCTGAACGTTCAAATGAACGAAATTTATTTATTTCTTCTTTAATTTAAATATTTATTACAACAATTTTTTGTTGATATAAAAAAAATGAACTATAAAGTTTCTAAGTGTAAAATTTAAGTTTTTAATTTTTATTGCGAACAGTTATTTATAAAAATATTTGTAATAAAAAGTGTTTCGTTCATTTGAACGTTCAAAACTTGTGGATCATTTTTGGAAGGCATTTGTAGATTTATTCATGTTCGAAATCAAATAAATTTAAATTTGATGAGAAAAAAGAACAGGGAAAAATTAGGACCAAGTCGGGAAAACCCGGAAATTTTGTTGAACGAAAATAGTAGACACTCTGGATATAATTTCAAAATACTTTAAAAATACTTTGAAAATACTTTGAAAAAACTTTAAAAATTCTTTCAAAATACTTTGAAAATGACTTTAAAATTGACTTACAAATTTGTCTAAAAGGTAGCTTGCTGGAAAAATAAATGGTATATAGGTAATCATAAAAATCATGCTCGTCATGTCGATGGCAAAAGTTGATACTTTGTAGTATTCGGCAACTGTATTTGCAATAATGCTGAATTGAATCCATTGCATGGCATTGCTGGCACTGTAGAAAACAAATATTCCCAAAATCAACCATCTTCTTTTGTATAATTTCGTTTCGACCGCCTGTAAAGTGAAATTTCAAATGCTATGCAATATTGCTGTTCAAAATCACAATTTTTGAATTTTTAATCGAACTTATTAATATGCGTTGAGTCAAAGTTATGATATTTAATTATTATTATATTATTGCCAAATATTCCAAGACCGAAATATCCAGTACTTTTAAAATAAAATTCAAAAAGAGTAGAAAATAAAATATTTGTTTTGAGTATAAAAAATTTAAAATATTTCTACCTGCGTCGGTGATAAACCGCCCTCAACAGCTTTAACATATTCCGCCGATGATTTTGACATTTTAGAACTTCATTCGCTTTGCAAAATGATAAAAAATCCCTAAAATAAAAATTAGATATTAATGGCTTATCATTTCTATACATTAAAATTTTTATCATTTTTTTTGGTTAATTTCTAAATAAAAAGCAGATTTTTTTTTCTTTTAACGTGTCTAGAAAAATAGTTTACATACTCGTGAAATAATAATATGCAAGTATAGGAACAGTAACTATAACTATAATGTGACAGCTTGTTCAAAAGTCTTCTAATTAGGAATGTTGCTTTATTTTATAATGACTCTGAAACTTATGTTTCTCTTGCATTGTGTTTTAATTAAAAAAGAAAGAAGAACTTTGTCTCAAGTAAAACCAAAGTTATAATTGGAATTATATTTTTATAAAAAATTATTTTTTCAATTATAGTTGTATAAATAAAGTTATATTTGTATTTAATTTATTTGGTAGTCTCTAAATTTGAATTAGTAAAATTTACTAATTCAAAAGCAAATAAATAAATGAATATACTTAAACATACTGGAAAATAAGAAGAATAGAAAATGGTTATAAAATTATTATAATAAATAGTTATAAATTATTATAATAAATAATTATAAATTATAATAAATAATAACAAATTACTATGATAAATAGTTAGAAAATAATTCCAAATTATCATAATAAATAAGACTATTTAATTTAAACTATTTGAGTTCGATATGCTCAGTATTTTTTTTACAACAAATTTTTATTTTTATAACTATTATTATTATTTTATTCGGTATAAAATTATTTTATTTTCATTATTATAGTGATTTAGTTATAAAAATAAAAATTTGCTATAAAAAAAAATGCTGAGTATTGAGCATATCAAGTAAAAGCAGTAATTAAATTAAAAATAGTTTAAATTAAATAGTATTATTTTTTATAATTGATTATTGATAGTTATTATTATGATACGATCAAAATAATAATTGAATAAGAAAAAAAAAAATAAAATTATGACAGTAAAATAGAATAATAATAATAAAATAATAACGATACGGTTATAAAAATAAAAATTTGTTATAAAAAAAAGATACTGAGCATAGCAAATTAAATACAGTAATTTCGTTCTCGCGAAAATTGAAATGTTTTTCATTCTTTTTTCTTGCGGAAAGAAAAGAAGAACGAGTTTCATCGTCTACTTTTTATGAAAAAGAAAAAAGGGTTTATATTTCTTTTTCCCTCCTTGAGAAATAAGATAATAGCGAGATGGAATCTTTTCTCATTTTGAGAGTTCCATTTTAGTACTACTATACTGGACCAAAACATTTAAAATTGTTTTGTTCTCAGTTTTTGAAGGTGGCAAAAAGTGCTGAAAGTAACTAGGATGAGATTGTATCGAAAATCGATTAGGAATGTGGGTTCCCGAAAATTTAACGAGTTTTGTTGAAGGTCATAACGTCATATACACCATAAAGCAACTTTATAGATATTAAATATCTTTCCAATAATAAAATAATAATACATTATATTATAATGCCTAATGTTAGGGTTAACATAAATATTTTATGTTTCAATATTTATAATGTTTCATATAATATTAATATTATAGTATAAAAATTATAATTTATTTTTATTATTTATTATTTATTATATATTATGTATATTATATATTATATATTATAGAATTTATTAATTTATTATTATAATTTATTCAATTAATATTTTCTAGTTTGTTTTCTTTTCCGAGTGTTTAAATATCTAAAGTATCGTAAAATAATTTGTTTCGCTATCTCTAGAGCAATTTAAATAAAATAAAAATTATCATTTATCAGAATTTTGTTATCTAAAAAATATATTTTTAAAATAAAAATAAAGGCCATGCCTACTTGAAAAATACAAGAATTCGCAATGGATTTTAATAAATAAATCCGAATGCTATTTTTCACTGTTCAATTATGTTAATGATTTTAAGAGGAAAATGATTAGAATTGCATATAAGAGTAAATTATATGATATTTTAATGATCAATTATCAAATAAGTAGAATATAAATAAATTTGTCTATTTCTCACTCTAAGCAAAAGACAGAAAAAAACAATTATATTATTTGTGTTTATTTTATAATTAATTATAATTATTATGATATTAATATATTATAATTAATAATTTAAGAAATAAATAATAAAAATAATAAAGTGCTTAGTGTCGTTTGAATTGAACTGCATAATAAAATAATAATTCATTTGCTAAATAAAATAAATAATAATTACAGAATTTATAATATTTATTAACTAATTAATTCAATAATTATTTTAATTAATTTTGATTAATTAATTATTGTAAATTATTGTAAAATATATTATTTATTATAATATTTATTTATAACTTTTTATATTTCATAAATTTTTTTTATTTATATTTAACTCCGTCTGTACTTGACTATTATCAATTAAATACTAATTTGAATCGAATTTTTATTTCTAAATATTATAAATAAATCAAATTTATTTCAATTAAATTTACTCTATAAGTGCGAAAATAATTTTTCTATTTCAACAAATACAATTTAATTGACTTAAACAATAATTTTTCAATTGAAATTCTTACTCGATTCAATTGAATATTTATTAGGTAATTGTAAAGCAAAAGTCAACAGATTATTTGAATCAAATTGTTCTGTTTAAAGGTTTATCGTCTGCATAAAAAGCTTTAGTTTAACATTTTACCAATTATTATATAAAGGATTTTTTTTATTGTTTATATTTTAGGCAAATAAATCCACTAATTTGAGAAAAATAAATAATTAAAAATAGAAAGAGAATACATATTCTCAAAATTTTTTAAAAATGTTTACTAATTTAAATTAGTGACTGACTTTTTGCTTTTGAATTAGTAAATTTTACTAATAAATAATAATTTCTAGTAATTTATTAGTGAAATTTACTTTTTGCTTCTGAATTAGTAAATTTTACTAATAAATAGTAATTTCTACTAATTTATTATTTACTTATTTTACTTCTTATTATTATTATTATTTTAGTATTTTTTTATTAGTAAAATTTATTAATAAAAACTGACATGTTGCTTTTGAATTAGTATATTTTACCAATAAATATTAATTTCTACTAATTTATTAGTAGAATTTACCAATTCAAAATCAAAAAGTCAGTCACTAATTCAAATTAGTAAACAAATTTTCTAATTAAAATTTTTGGGAGTATAAATAAGAAATAAATAAATTTAATAAAAGGAAATAAAAGGAAATGCAAGTAAAAATGAAAGAAATATAAATAAATAAATAAATAAAAAAGTAAATACAAAGAAATAAAGAAGAAAGTACAAAGGAAGAGAAGAAAATACAAAGAAAATAGAAAGAAATATAGAGAAGAAAATAAATAAAAATAAGAATATAAATAAAATTATAAATAAAATTCTAATATAAAGAGAACGAATAAAGTAAAAATAAGAAAGCAAATAAAATAAAACTAATTAAAGAAACATTGATGAGATGACAAATATCGAATTAGAATAAAAGTTTCGTGGAAAAAATACAAAAGAATTTTAATTGTTTTACTCACAGTTTTTTCCTATTTCTCTCTAGTTACTCTGACTTGAAAACACTTTTTTTTTATTATATGTACGATTATTCACATTACGAAAATATATACGTCTGATCTCTGTTAGCTTTCTTATCACAATGAGTTTATCTTTTGCAGTATTTATTTTCATAAAATATTCTTTAGTTGCTCCCAAAGATTATTAAGACCCCGGTTTATTGTCGCTGTATACTTTGTTTATAACAAAAAAAGGGTAAAAAAAGAAAAAAAAAGGTCCACGTGGTTCTAGATCTATATTTATATATTTACAAATTCATCAGCTCTTAGGCTTCATTCAATTGATGGTAAAGTAGAATCGTCCTCCGATCAAAATAATATTTACTATACTATACATCTTCCTTTGTTTTCTCATTCATCAAAAATAAAATTTTGCTCTCTTTATTTGCTATTTTTCTTGGATTAGAAATTTTATTCTTAATTTCGATAAATTTCTTTATTTTAAATTATTGTTGGAGACAATTGTCTGGAAAACTGTTGTTATATTCAAATAGTGCGCGCTTTCTTCGATTTTTTTTCTTGTTTTTTTTTTTGGATTGGAAAAAAAAATTAAAAAACAAGGTGAAAAAAAGTGTAAGTTAAACTTGTTGGGAAGGAACAGCTGTGTTTGGTATGATTATGTGTGTGAGCAGGTATATCGATTAGTTGAGGGAAAAAAAAATTGTTTAAAAAAATTCTGTCGTTGGATGATTGTAATTTAGTGATTTCCGATAAATTGTTATTGAAATAAAAAAAAAAAACGATTTTTTGTTATTAAAAACGAAAAATTTGCCAGAGAGACTTTTATCAGTGATGTTTGTTTGACGAGAAGCGAAGCTCAACTGGCTGTATGCTTCTGCGCGAATAGGAACATCGCATAGCAGTACTAACTCACTCACAATTTCATTTGAAATAGGTGTTATAAATGTGCCTTCAGTTGCTGCTGCAGCAGCATCAGCATCATTATCATCATAATTGTCATACACCGAAAAATTATATTCTTACTTTTAGAGTATTGATTGTCTTTTATATTCGAGAATAAAACCATCTTCTTTTTTCATTTTTTATTCCTGCTTTTCTATTTTTTTTAAATAAGAAGCAATTTCATGAATAGGGAATATTTTTATTTCTATAGATTTTTTTATTCCTTGGAATATTCATTTCTTGCTCCTTCGAATATTGTTTGTTGCTTCAAATATTTTTTTGTTTCTTCAAATATTTTTTTGTTTTTAGAATATTCACTTTTGGTTCCTTCGAATAATTTTTTGGAATTAGAATATTTTTTTTGACCCTTCGAATTTTTTTTTGGTTCTTAAAAAAAAGTTATTGTTCCTTCGAGTATTTTTTGTTCCTTCAAATATTATTTTGTTCCTTCAAATATTTTCTTGTAATTAGAATATTCACTTTTTGTTTCTTCGACTATTTTTTGTTATTAGAATATTTATTTTTTGTCCCTTCGATTTTTTTAAAAATTCAAAAATAAATAAAAGATATTCAGTTTTTGTTCCTTCCAGTATTTTTTGTTCCTTCGAATATTTTTTTGTGATTAGAATATTCACTTTTTGTTCTTTCGACTATTTTTTGTAATTAGAATATTTATTTTTTGTCCCTTCGATTTTTTTAAAAATTCAAAAATAAATAAAAGATATTCAGTTTTTGTTCCTTCCAGTATTTTTTGTTCCTTCGAATATTTTTATATTCCTTTAAATATTTTTTGTTTGCAGAATATTCACTTTTCGTTCCTTCGAATATTTTTTTTTAATTAGAATATTTTTTTTGTCCCTTCGAATTTTTTTTGGTTTTTAGAAGAAAGAAGCTTTTGTTCCTTCGAGTATTTTTTGTTCCTTCGAATATTTTTTTGTGATTAGAATATTCACTTTTTGTTCTTTCGACTATTTTTTGTAATTAGAATATTTATTTTTTGTCCCTTCGATTTTTTCTTTTAAATTCGAAAATGAATAAAAGATAATCGGTTTTTGTTCCTTCGAGTATTTTTTGTTCCTTCGAATATTTTTTTGTTCCTTCAAAAATTTTTTGTTTTTAGAATATTCACTTTTAGTTTCTTCGAATATTTTTTTTAATTAGAATATTTTTTTTGTCCCTTCGAATTTTTTTTGGTTCTTAAAAAAAGAAGCTTTTATTCCTTCGAGTATTTTTTGTTCCTTCGAATACTTTTTTGTTCCTTTGAATATTTTTTGTAATTAGAATATTTATTTTTTCTCTCTTCGAATTTTTTTTTTTTTTTTTTTGGTTCTTAGAATATTTATTTGTTCCTTAGAATAGACATTTTTTTCCTTAGAATATTTTTTGTTTATAGAAAATTCATTCTTTGTTCCTATAAATATTTTTTTGTTCTTAGAATATTCATTTTTTGCCCCTTCGAGTATTTTTTGTTGCTTTGAATATTTTTTTGTAGAGTAGAATATTTGTTTTTTAGTCCTTAGAATTTTTTCTTTATTGCTTGAAATACTTTCATTTCTTGGAATATTTATTTTTTATTCCTCAGAAGATTTATTTTTTATTTCTCAAAATATTTATTTCTTATTCCTAAAAATATTTATTAAAATATTTATTTCTTAAGCCTCTGATTATTTTTTATTTATTATTTACTCCTCGGAATATTTATTTTTTATTCCTCAGAATATTTATGTTTTACTGCTTGGAATATTTTTTCGCAAATGCTTTTCATTATTCAAGAATATTATATTCAAGAAGGTGGAAAGAAATAAATTTTTATTCATGTAGAAAAATTTTTTCTTACTTCATCCAATATTGAAATAAACGTAAAAAATTGAAATTAAATTTAAACTTTAATTAAATAAATACACTTTCATTTAATTAAATTTAAACTTAAATTTAATTACATTCAAACTTAAATTTACTTACATTTAAATTAAATTGATTTAAATTTGCTGCGGTAAAAGTTTTCGAAGCAAGTAATATTTATGAACTATTATTATTATTATTTTTGTTGTTATTATTTTAGTATTGGAAAAGTAATTGTTCTTGGAAAATCCATAAGGAAAAATAACAGATGATTAAAGTGGTATTTCCTCTTTTTTTTCGTTTTTGCTTTTTTTGTTTTATCGACAAATTGTGAAAAGAATAATGAATTCGTCTTCTTCTTATGTATACGAAAATTTATATTTAAATTACGTAACTCGCCCGGGCTTTGGAGAGGCAGTTTGGCATTTACATTTGGATTCGTCTTTAATGGTGGTTCTACAATGGGAGATTCTGCATCGATAGTATGTCGGCGTGACCTCGATGCTCTGTCAAGTTGGTGCGTGCGCATTTAAATTTTTTTCCAGTTTTTGGGAATTTTTTTTTTATTTTCCTCCCGAAAATACAAAAAAAATTTTCAATTTTTCAATTTAAGGGAGAGGTAATTTTTATTTTTTAATAACAAATTTAATTTGTTTCTATAATTTTTCTATTTTTTTTCTATTTAATTCTATTTCAAATTTGTTTATATAAATTAGAATTTATTATTTTTGAGTTCGTTACTTTTGTTTTATTTTAAGAATATCCTTATTTCAAGAAAATTAAAAAAAAATTATTTTTCATAGGGAATAAAAAATTAGGGGAAATATAGATTAGAAAGCAATTGCTGTTAAAAGAATAATTAAGATTATTCTTTTAATAAAATTAATAGAATTAAAATATTAAAAACATCTTCTAACAGTATAGTAACAGTAGTTACGGCCGGAAAAGTCAGACGTGTCTGTTAAAACCACTACTACTTGTTTTTTTTTTTTTTACTAAAAACGTCTCATTCACCCTGAAAAGTATCCAAAAAGCACTAAAAAATACTAAAAATACTAAAAAATACTAAAAAAAGACTATAAAAACTATTTAAAAATTATTTTAAAATAACAATTATGCTCTAAAAAATAATTTTTTCGTGAAAATAATTCCAGAAAAATTCAAATTTTTTTTTATTTGTAAATAATTAAATATTCGTAAAATGAAATATTCATATATTTATAAATATATTTATATTTAAATAATTAAATATTCCTAAAATAGAACAAAACTAACTAAAAAAATATAAACACAAAAAAAAAAATTTTTTTTTAACAAATATATTTTTATTTTACCAGGAGTTATCCTAGTGGAATAAAAATATTCTTGATAAAAAAAAATTTTTCTTTTTAATTCAGAAAGATGAATAAATTTAAAGATACATATCAATCTGACAGAACGTCAATATAAATAATAATAACAAACAAAATATTTTTTTACATCATTTCTTAATAATAGAAATTTTTCATTTTATCTAATCTATTTATCGTAACTCTCTTTTATATCTAAAGCATATATTTAATAATAATAATGATAATAATAATTTTTGCTATAGAAAATAAGAGTAATGAAAAATCTGAAATGTCAAAGAATTTTATTATAGAATCTTTTTCTAAATTAGACTATAAATACTACATTTCCAGTTCCCGATTTCCCAGTTGTTACGCTATGATATCAGTGAATGTATGATAACCGGTAAGTACCATTTTCTTTAGAACGAGACTCAGTCTTTACGATCGTACACCACAGGCAACAGGTGTTGAACTTTTCAAAAAGTACAAATTTAAAGAAAAAAAAAAATACAATGCCCTAAATATAAAAAAGTTCACTCAATATAAAGTATTAAGAAAAAATAAATAATGTCAAGCTCAATTCTTTTTTCTTGAAAAAGAATTTTTTTTTTTAATTTTTCCTTTAAATTTGAGAATTTAGTAATTAAATAAAAATTTTGATTATAATGGTAAAAATGTATGTGTCACCATGGGGAATTGCGGCATTTTCCTGCCTTTGTTTATTATTGATAACATTCAAAAAACGGTGAGTTTTAAATTTAATTTCGAGAAAAAAGATGAATAAACAATTCTTTTTATTTTTGATTTTTGTTTAAATTTAAAATCGTTTTAAATTTAATTTTGAGAAAAAAAAGGAATGAACAATTCTTTTTATTTTTTATTCTTGATTTTCGTTTAAATTTAAAATCGTTTTAAATTTAATTTCGAGAAAAAAGATTAATGAACAATTCTTTTTATTTTTTATTCTTGTTTTTCGTTTAATATATAATTTTTTTTTTTTTTTGCTAAATTTGTTTCATATGATAAAAAAAAGAGATTATCTAATGCTTCTCTTATCTTTATCTTAATAAAATTTCTTCTAAAACAGTAAGACACACTCTCTTCCTCATTTCTTATCTGAAAAGAATTGCATTCTCCGGTAGATTTCACTGTTAGAATCGCAACTGTTTGAATTCACGCATGAAAAAATTTCAGGTCAACAAATAAACACGAAAAAAGAACAAATGAGCACAAGATTATGCGCCAATTTGTATGAAACCTTGATTGACAATTACTATTTAATGGAATTTTATAATTAAAATATCTAGTTAGTTTAAAAATATATTTAATAAAAATATAGTTTTAATTGAAATATACTTAAAAAAAATTTGATTCAAATAACCAATTGCTCGTCTATTATCAAATAAATAGATAAAAAAAATATTAAAATATATTTTTAATCCAAATACACGAAAAAAAATTTGATTCAAATAACAAATTACTTGTCTACTAACAAATAAATAAAATAAATAATAAAGAAATAAATAAATACTTGAATCAGATAATTTTTAATTTAGTCAATTAAATGGTATTTGCTTCTATAGAATTTATTTTATTTAAATAAAATTTATTTGATTTAAATAAAATTTATTTGATTCAAGTAAAATGTTTGACAAGCTATCAATTATTTTCATAAATAATAAAAACTTCACAGGAATTCAATTATTTAAAAAGGAACTGTCATGAATTTTTTCGAAAAAAAATCACTTAATTAAACATTTTTTATAACTCAATTATTTTCATAAATAATGAAACTCATCGAAGAATTTCAGTTATTTTTATTACAATTTTAATTGAATTCCTCGAAAACTAATTATTCTTAAAAATTTTATTGAAATTCATTGTAGGAATTTAATTATTTAAAAATTTGTTGATAAAATTTTGAATAAGAATTCAATTTCATAAAACTTTTAATTATTCAATAAATTATTTTTTTTCCATTTAAATAATGAAATTCTAGTAGAATTTTCAAATAAAAATTGATTTAAAAATGAATTTCAATGAAAATTTTAGATATAATAATTGAATATTAAAAGCAATTTAACAATTCTGTGGAAAAATTTTTTTTTGAAACTGTTCAATTGCCATTTTTTAAAATTATTTAAATTTTTTTATTTTCTAATATATATTTAATTGAAGAATTACCGAATAAACGAAATTTTTAAACAAGTGGATTATTTAATCAAAATAAACATTTAATTGGAACTTATATTTAATTAAAATATATTTAATTGAAACGTATATTTAATTTAAAAAAAATTAATTAAAACATATATTTTATTAAAAAAAAATAATTGAAATACATAATTAGAAAATGTAATTGGAATAAGCAACGGAAAATGTATATAAAATTGAAAAGAAATTAATCGTCTTATCAAATTTTCTTATCACACACACAATGTGTATCATCGTTCTCGCGGCAACTTATTATGACACGTATACTCATTACTGCAATTTCCTCCGTTAAAATACGTGTAATAATTTTTCAGAAATATCTATAAACTATTGTATAGATCCCGAGGTAAAAACCATATACATTACAGTAGAAATAAAAATTTTTTTTTTTTTTTTGACACGAAAGAAAGAAAGAAATTTATGACTCTACAATATAATACGCGAAACTGACTTGCAAAGACTGGTGTTTATTTAAAAACACGTTCCTATTTTTGTGTCGTATCGAAAAACTTTTTTTTAAATATGTATGTACATATGTATATTGTATGTAAAGTGAGGCGATAGGCTCCTGGCAATAGGCAATTCCATTTCGTCGCGAGATGGACACGTGTTTGCACTTTGCAGGCACCGTAAGAAAGTATTTTTTGTATAATTATTTTTTGTATATTGTTATTTATACATTTTTCTTAAAATGAAAAAAAAATTAATTATTTAATTCAAATAAATTGATTATTTGTCCACAACGCAGAAAAAAATTTTTTTTAAACAAAATATAATTTATTTGAGCTAAATGAAAGTATACTTTTATTTAGCTCAAATAAATTATAATTTTGTTTAAATAAAATTTTTCTCTGAATGGACAAATAATCAATTATTTGAAGTAAATTAATTTATTTATTTGTTTTAAATAAAAATTTTATTTGAATCAAATTACTGTTAATTAGTTAATTAACTTTAGTTAGCTTTATTTAGTTACTTAACTAATTAATTGGTTAGTTAGTATCTAAATAATTAGTTAATTAATTCAGTTAGTTAGCTAATTAATTAGTTAATTAATTAGTAAGTTAGTTAATTAATTAGTTAGTTATTTAATTAATTAGTTAGTTTATTAATTAGTTAATTAATTAGGTAGTTAAATAATTATTTAATTAATTAGTTAGTTAATTAACTAGTTAATTAATTAGTTAGTTAATTAATTATTAATATTAACGTAAACATTAATGTAAGGATTTTAGCGATTATTGAAAATCGCATTACGTTGAAGTATGTGATAGATTAAATTTATATTTAAATTAAAATTTAATTTAAAAGCCAAGACACGAACGTACCGTTTGGTTCCGTTGTGGAGGATGGGGAAGGCAGGAGGAAGTGAGCCCGGAAATGAAGCGTATAACCATAGCATTGTTAACCTCGGTGTAGTTCGTCCCATAACTATAGTGACTGCTGCAAAAAAACAAAAAACAATAATATATTTATTAAAAATATTTTTATTCCTCACACTTAAAATTAATATATACTTATTTTGGCATTTATTTAAAATTGAAGCTCTTCATGAAATCAGTACAAGTGAAAAAGTTAACAGTTCTTCTTCTCCGAACAATTTTATGTAGAAAACATAAAAAAAGGTAGATAGAAAATTTTATACACATTTAGAATTTAGAAAACTATTTTCTAAATATTTTTTTAAATATTTAGAAATATTTTTTAAATATTTAGAAATATTTTTAAATATTTAAAAATATTTAGTAAATATTTAGAAAATAATTTTAATACTATATTTTTTTTTACCAAAATTTAAATATTTATTTCTTTGAAAAGAAAAAAAAACAGTTTCTAATTTTAAAAAAATAAATTGCAAGGATTGTGTTCTTAAATTTAGAATATCCGTTTATTCGTTTGGCGTTGATGTTGAATGCAAATATCAGACGAACGTAATATTTAAATTGGATATACAAAAATAAAGGACCTGAAAATAATTGACTTCTTTTACATTTTTAGACATGTTTATTTTGACGTTTTTAGCCAATTAGAATAATTGAATTTTACATAGATGTTTGGAAAGGTCAACTGTCAAGATCACAGAGCTATTTGTGGTCCAGATAATAAACCAAATTTCTCATCTATATGAAATTCAGTCAAGTGTACATATCGCTCTTCACTTCTTGAGATGCAAAAAATATAAGGATTTCTATCTTCATAATATGTGCATAAATCAAATAAATCAATATGTGTATTACTAGCACCAAAATAATACCGCGATGTGAGAAACATAAATTAAGGATGAATCGTTTCAATTTTACACAAATTATTTATGCTGTAAACAAAATAATTTTTTCTAAAATTGAGAATATTTTTTTTTAATTTATTTATTTTAATAATAAATTTTATTTATTTATTAACGGTTTATTAAAAATTTCTTAACAATTTATTAACAACTTTTTGACAATTTGTTTATAACTTTTTGCAACTTGTTAACAATTTATTAACAAATTTATAATTCGTTTATCAACAATTTAATAGCAATTTGTTAATAATTTATTTACTATTTTTTAACAACTTGTTAACAATTTAGCACCAGTAAATAATGAATAAATTTATTTATTAATTTATAAATAAAATAAATATTAATTTATAATTAGAAAATAATAAATAAATTATTTAATAAAATAAACAACAATTTATTAACAATTTCTTAATAACTTTTTGACAATTTGTTTATAACTTTTCGCAACTTGTTAACAATTTATTAACAATTTATTAATCGTTTATCAACAATTTATTAGCAATTTGTTAATAATTTATTTACCATTTTTTAACAACTTGTTAACAATTTAGCAGCAGTAAATAATGAATAAATTTATTTATTAATTTATAAATAAAATAAATATCAATTTATAATTAGAAAATAATAAATAAATTATTTAATAAAATAAACAACAATTTATTAACAATTTCTTAACAATTTATTAATATCTTGTTAACAATTAATAAATTGCTTGTTAACAGTTTATCAACAATTTATTAGCAATTTGTTAACAATTTATTTACAATTTTTTAACAACTTGATAACAATTTATTAAAAATTTGTTAACAACTTCTTAACAATTTAGTAACAGTAAATAATAAATAAATAATAAATAAATTTATGAATTAATATAAATAAATTAAATAACAGTTAATTAACAAGTGTAACTAATAAATAAGTGTATTAATTAATAAATAAATTAAATAACAAATTATGAACAATAAATAATAATTGAATAATAAATAAATTTAATAATTAACAAATGAATAATAAAAAATAATAATAGTAATTAATAATAAAATTAATAATAAAAATAATAAATAAATAATTAATAACTTGTTAAAATTTTATTAATAACTTGTTAACATTTTCTTAATAACTTATTAACAACTTGTTAACAATTTATTTTAAAACATTTTAACGCAATTTATATTACGTAATTTATTTTTTAGTAAAATTTAGTACATTTCCTAAATTATATAAATTTGATTTGAAATTTATTTTCAACATTAAAACTTGGTATATTTATTTAACATTTATTTTTGCACATTATTAATATTTTTTCGCGCTAATAAATGACAGTTTTATGCAATGGAAAACATTTTACATATTTCGTTGAAAAATTAAACTTGTTCCTTAAAGAGAAAAAATTTCTTAAGAAAGTTGCAATTAAAACAAGTTTTCAAAGAATAAAAATTTTTTGTAAAAAATATGTCAAAGGCACGTTTACTGAACTTTCCATTAATATTTTTTTTTTATTGTTGAATATTAAAGTTCAACTATTTCGATATTAAAATATATACGTGAAAATTTTTTGATTATATTGAAACAGAAACAATTGTATTTTCCCCTTGACATCACTTTCATTCTGCAATAAATTCACATACACAACGAATACCAAAAAGTACTCTCAAAAATGGGACACAATGGAAAAATAAAAAAAAAATGAAAAAAAAGTTTAAATTTATTATTTTACGAAAAAATGTTTCTATGTTAATAAAAATGGTAACAGAACGAGAATGGAATGTATAGTAGTTTTATTATTTAGAATAGAATGGTTTTTTTAGAGATAAATTTCACACTTGTACAAAGGAAAAAATAAAATACTTTTTTCAATGAAAAATTAATGAATTAAAGTAGAGTGATGCGGTTGGTTGAAAGTAAACATGAAACACACTTTACTTTCAGTCTCGCACCCGTGAGACTGTCACTTTCAAAACAGTCTCCGCAACAGTGCAACATTTTATAAATATACAGTCATTTGTTTCTGAATATAAATTCAAATATGCGCATTCGCTACATTTTTTCAAACTTTTAACAATTAATACTAATAATAATATAATGAACAAAACAACTGTAGAATATATTGATAAATTATCAAGAAAAAGTGCAACAATATAATAAATAATATAATTGTTGGAGAAAAGAAAATTTAAATTGCGAAAAATTTGGTTAAAAAGTGCGAGAGAAAATAAATATAAATAAAATCAACAATCAGTGAGAAAACATCTGCGGAAAATAGTGCGGAAATACTTAAAAATTACTCTGTGTAAATAAAATCCCTTGACAAAGTGAGAAACTATAACCATTGTACTTGTGAGAAAATTAATGACGTGACAAAAGGAAATTCTTGCAAAAAAAGAAAAATTTAGTAACAAAAGAAAGAGAAGAGTACTCTTATATTCGATTTCAGGCGAGATTAATTTTCTTTGAAAATTTTTTTTTTATTTCGGTCTATTATCAAAATCGGTATTCTTTTTAATATAATAAAATATTCTCTTTGAAATCTTTTGTATTTTAAAATCTTTTTTCATTAAAATCTGTTCATTTTTAAAAACTTTTATATAATTTTTATAGTTTTTATAGTGTAATAAATAATTATAATTTAATTTAATTATAATTGTGGGAAAAAAATTTCTATTGAGTTCAATTTTTAAATATTAAAACAATATTGAGTTAAGGTTTTAAATAAAAAAAAAAATTGAGTTAAATTTTTAAATGAAAAAAATATTTAATTAAATTTTTAAATAAAAAAAGATTGAGTTTAATTTTGAAATCGAGAGAACAATATTAAAATTTTTTGAATTTTGTTAAAGAAAAAATGTGCAAGAAAGTCCAGTGTCTCGCGGAGACATTTTGACCTTGACATTATACTGTAATAGATAATCAGATGATAATATATGTAATAATTTTCAAAAGAAAAGAAAAATATGGCGACATTTTGTTTTTTCTTTTTTCTAATTACTATCGAGGTCGTTGTACTCAAGGTTGTCACATATGATCCAGAGATTGAAGAAGAAAATTCAAGAACTTGGTTCAACTAAATCGAAAGTTAAATTTTTATTGTAACCTTCGCCTAAAAAATTCGATACAGAAACATTTACACTAGAGAAAAAATTATTTAGTTGATTTAAAGATATTTTCTTTTGATCAAATTTGGAATATCTTTGCTATACAAATATTGTTGAATTCAAACATATTTTTTGGTTTATTTTAAATTATATGTTTTAATTAAAAATATTTAATTAAGTATGAATATTATTAATTAAATAACAATATTATTTATTAAATATTATTCAAACAGAGAATATATTTTTGAAATTAAATATAATTTAGTTTTGTACTTTAATTAAAAATATTTCGATAAATTTATTATTCAAAAATAATATTTTGAATTTTGAAAAAAGAAAATTGAGAATTAAATTGAAAAGATTAAAAAGATTGAGAATTAAAAAGGAAAATTAAAAGCAAAAGTAAAAAAAATCAGTTTAAATTAAAAAATTGGGTACAACTTTTAATCTTTGAAAAGAATGAGAATATAAAAATTATAATAAATACCGATGTTTTTGTATAAATGACAAGAAAATTTTACATTATAACAAAAAGAATTTTAAAAAGAAAAAAAAAATTCTTTTTTTTTCAATTTGACTTGACGTGACTCGAATGAGATATCCGGGTTTTTCAATAATGTCTAGAAACGTTTGCAAAATTTTAATGATGACAGTATGACGAGTTTTATTATTATTAGAAGAAAACAATTTATAAAAGAAAAACGTATTCTTTTATTAAATGTAAATTGTATTTCAAAAGAACGGTGAAACAGCTTTTAATGTTTATATGGTAATTTCAATTATTTTTCGTTATTATATTTCACCCCGAATTTATTAATCAAAATTAATCAAAATTAATCAAAATTATTGTAAAAAATTATCAAATTTATCAAAAAATTGTTGTGTTTGAGTCAAATACCATTTTGCAAATAGAATTTTACAAAATTTTCTAAATCTAATAATTTTTATTTAAACTAAATAATCAGTACAATTTAACCCTAATTTCAGTATTTGGAGCAAACACAATTTAATTTACTTAAAAATTATTTGATTTAAATAAATGTTTATTTCATAAATTAAATTAAAATTAAAATTAAAATTAAATTAAAATTTTTTGAAAATTAAATATTAAAATAAAAATTAATTTAAAACAAAATAAATAGAAATAAATAATGCATAGTCAACTCTTGGATTGATTCTCAAGGAACAAAAAATTCAGATTATCGGGGAATTTATTTATCAAATGTTAAAAAATAGAAAAGTAGTAGGAAAATTTTTAATGGGACCCAAAACCAATTTTTATTGAGAGTTGACTGTATATTATGAAATGTCCCTTAAATATTTGTACAAGAACAAAACAAATATTTAAATATTTTTCGTAAAAAAAAATGTAGCAATGTTGTTTTTTTGATATTTTAGACGAGCTGTGGATTCAGTAAAAAAGAATCGTTGCGCCTGTTGCCTGAAACCCTTCTTGATTGATCGTCGTGAAAATTGCAGTGACTGTGCAGCAAACTCTTGTCTCTTTTGCCATAAAAATAAGTGAGTTAGAATTTTCTCTTTCACTTTTTAAAATTCATTTAAAGATTTTATATTCATAAAATTCTGTCTCTTATTCATTTTCTGATAAAAAATATAGAAAGTTAAATTTTTTGCAATAGAGTCAGAAAATTATAGGATTAAATTTTAATAACTGGAAGGAATGAAATAAAAAAAATCTAATTCAATCCCCTTGAAGAAGCAGACATAAAAAAATCTAATCTGATTTGAATCCGGACACGGAACGAAATTAAAATCTAATTTCATTTCAGAGGAGGAACGAAATTAAAGATCACTTTTTTGATATACAATCTATACAACTCTTCTGTATTTTATTTCATACAAAATAAAATCCATTATTTGTCATTCTATATTCTTGGAGAAGAGTGAATTAATTTTCAAGAAAAAGTGTGTTCGCGTGTGCATAAATCCATTGTCCTTTGTCAAAAAGTGATTAATAATTAATCTGATAATTCTACCCCAAGAGTGCGTGTTTTACTTTTATGGAAAAGTGCTAGAGAAAATGATTTTTCAAATGAATAAAAGATCATTATTGTCGATTCGAAGAAGAGATCCTTTTATGCTTTCAGTTTAAAACAGTTTATGTGTTCTTTCCATTGATAATAATTAATAAGCTAATTGTACCCTAGCACTGCATGCTTTATAAGTATCCATTGCATTCAGACTAGAGAAAATTATTTTCCAGATTCGGCTATGAATTATTTATTGGCACTTTCGATTCTAAGATTCTCAAGTACTTTGTAACTTTAGTCTGGTATCGTTCACGACCAAATGAACATCTCATTCCGTTTACTTGTTCTCTAAAAGAAGGAATTGTATCTTGGACTTAAAAGTTGAATAAAAATTACTATATTATAGTAATTGCAATATTAATTTCTATTGTAATTAGAATAATACTTTCAACAAAAGTTATAACAGTAATTGCAATAATAGTTACAACAGAAATTAGAATATTAATTATAACAGTAGGTAATTATAACAATAGCAGGGCTCGAACTAGATGATTGCTGAAATTCAATTATTTTCAAAAGTGTTCAAATTCTTCGCGGAAATTCAATTATTTTCGTAAATAGAAAAATTCTTCACAATAATTAAATTATTTTTATAAATATGAAAATTCTTCACAGAATTTATTTCTGGGAAGAATTTTATTTTCAGGAATTTTTGTAAAATTCTTTTGCAAAATTGAATTATTTTTATAAATAAGAATATTCATAGCAAGAATTCAAATATTATCAAAATTTTTTTTAAATTTCTCGTTCAGATTTCAATTATTTTGATAAATATCAAAATTTTCCCAGAAATTCAATTATTTTTAGGAATTTTAATAAAATTCTTTGCAAAATTCAATTATTTTTAATTTTTTATAAATAACAATACTATTTATAACAAGAATTCAATTATTTTCAAAAGTAATAAAATTCCACGCAGAAATTAAATTATTTTCAAAATAATTTTTAAAAATTCTCGTCAAGATTACAATTATTTTGATAAATATATCAAAAAAATTTTCCAGAAATTCAATTATTTTTAGGAATTTTAATAAAATTCTTTGCAAAATTCAATTATTTTTATAAATAACAATATTCATCACAAGAATTTAATTATTTTCAAAAGTAATAAAATTTCTACACAGAAATTCAATTATTTTCAAGTGTTAAAATTGTTCGCAGAAATTCAATTATTTTCAAAATAATTTTTAAAAATTCTCGTCAAGATTACAATTATTTCTATATAAGTAGCAAACTTCTTCTCAGAAATTCAATTATTAACAAATTTTTTTTTTAATTTCCTTTCAAGATTTCAATTATTTCTATATGTAGCGAAATTCTTTTCAGAAATTCAATAATTTTTAAAAATTTAAATAAAATTCTTGGAAAAATTTCAATTATCTTTAGAAATAATTAAATTCTTCTTCGAAATTCAATTATTTTCAGAAAATAAAATTCTTGACAAAATTTCTATTATTTTCAAAAATTTTCCTCAGTTCAATGATTTTTAATATCTACTATTTTAATAAAATTTTTCAAAAGAATTCAATTATTTTCAAAGAAATTAATAAAATTCTACAAAAACCTTTAATTATTTTCATAAAATAATAAAAATTTTACAGGAATTCAATTATTTACAAATTTTTTATAAATTTCTTCGCAATCATTCAATTATTTTGATAAATTATAAAAGTTTTACAAGGATTCAATTATTTTCACAAATAATAAAACTCATCGCAAAATTTCAATTATTTTTAATACAATTTTAATCGAATTTCTCGAAAAATGTAATTATTCTTAAAAATTTATTAAAATTCGTCAAAAGAATTCAATTATTTAAAAATTTTCTGATACAATTCTTTATGATATATAAATATCAAGAAATATTGAATTATTCAATAAATTGTTTTTTTGTATGTAAATAATTGAATTCTAGTAGAATTTTCTAATAAAAATTGATTAAAAAATGAATTTTAGTTAAAATTTTAAATTATAATTGAATATTCAATTATTAAACAAAAATTTTGATAATATTCAACACAAACATTCAATTAATTTAAAGAAAAATGAAAACTTCACTGGAATTCAATTATTTAATAAAGAATTCGCATAAATTTTTTCGAGAAAATCGAATGTTTTAAAATTTGGCATTAAATTCTTCGCTGTAATTCAATTATTTTTAGCAATTTTAAAATTCTTTTCAGGATTTTAATTATTTTTATTAATAATAAAATCAGTCGGAGGAAGTCAATTATTTTCATAAATAACAATATTCATCACAAGAATTCAATTATTTTCAAAAGTAATAAAATTCAATTATTTCCAAATTTTTTATTCAATTCAATGCAAATTTTCAATTATTTTTAAAAAATTTTCGTAATTCAGTAATTATTAAATTCTTCTTCGAAATTAAATTATTTTTAAAAATTTTAATAAAATTCTTGGCAAAATTTCAATTATTTTCAAAAATTTTCCTCAATTCAATAATTTTTAATATCTATTTTAATAAAATTTTCTAAAAGAATTTAATTATTTAAAAAAAACTTAATAAAATTTTCCAATAGAATTCAATTATTTAAAAAAATTTAATAAAATTCTACGCAAACCTTTAATTATTTTCATAAAATGATAAAAACTTCACAGGAATTCAATTATTTACAAATTCTTTATAAATTTCTTCGTAATCAATCAATTATTTTGATAAATTATAAAAGTTTTACAGGGATTCAGTTATTTTTCGTAAATAATAATATTCATTTTAGGAATTCAATTATTTTCATAAATAATGAAACTCATCACAGAATTTTAATTATTTTTAATACAATTTTAATCGAATTCCTCGAAGAATGTAATTATTCTAAAAGATTTCATTAAAATTCGTCAAAAGAAATCATTAATATAAAAATTTTGTTAATAAAATTCTTTATGAGAATTGAATTTAAAGAAATATTCAATTATTCAATAAATTTTTTTTTTTTTGTATTTAAATAATTGAATTCTAGTAGAATTTTCGAATAAAAACTGATTTAAAAATGAATATCAGTAAATATAATAATTAAATTATTAGATAATAATTGAATATTAAAAGCAATATCGTGTAAATTTTTAGAAATAATTGAATTTTGAAATTAATTTTTTTGAGAAATTTTAATTGCGGATTTTTTTAAAATTATTTGAAGTTTTTATTTTCTAATATATATTTAATTGAAGAATTAACAAATAATTAAAATTTCGTAAAATTAAATATTGTAAGCAAATTGATTTAAAAATTATTGTCAAAGAACTTTTTTGAAAATTATTAAAAATAATCGATTTAAAGAAGAATTTTAGTTAAAAATTTTTGAAAATAATAATTAAATTGATAATGATTTTATCACTCTGTCATCTTCATGTTTTATAGTTATGAAAAATTTAATTTATAGTTTTAAGTAAAATTTTCTCTTATATTTGAATCGGACTGGTTATATTTTTGTCAGTAATTTTTCAATTTTGGTCCGTAAAGTCCGTATTTTTAACTACTTTCACTGGTTCGAGCCCTGCGATAGTTACAATAGTTAAATTACAACAGTAATTGCAACAATAGTTACAATAGTAATTAGAATATTAATTATTACAGTAATTGTAAAAATAGTAACATCAGCAATTGCAATAATAGTTACAATAATAATTAGAAAATTAATTATAACAGTAATTGCAACAATAGTTAAAACACTAATTGCAGTAACAGTAACAGTAACAGTTACAGTAGTAAATACAATATTAATTACAACAATTATAAATGATGCTTTGAAACCAAACAACTATGGAAGTAGCAAAAGTTTCTTTCACCGTTATGAAATATTTTGGAATTTGGCGACCAAAATCGTGGACTTCAGAATGGTCCATACAATTGTATAGATTGTACAGTGTCTTTAATATCACATTGTTTTTGACATTCTCAGTCTCAATATTAATTCACATAATAAACAGTTCCGAGAGTGTTGACACACTGACAGAATCATTAATTGTATTTCTAACGTCCTGCTCGTCATGGGTGAAAATTGTCATAATTCTGCTGAACCGCAAGAAAATTATTCAGTTCGATGATATGTTTACTGAAAAGTGTTGCAGACCACGCGACAATCAAGAAACACAAATACAACAAGCTTTTGATTATATTGACAGGTTCAGCAATAAAATTTAATTTTTATTTTTATAAATAAATAACTAATGTTGATGAACATCTTGAGATTCAATATGGAGACGCTACTCTCCACCTGCGAACGCCAAGGTCACCGCTAGACGGCAGTTCAGTTGATAAAATCAGATTCCTCGCCACCTTGTGGTGACCTTGGCGTTCTCAAGTGGAGAAATTCAATTTATCCCTCAAAAACTTTTTTGTAATTAATAAAATGCAAAAAATGCTTTTGTAAGAATAATTTAATTATTAATGTAATTAACTAATTTACATACATGCGAGCAATGCCCTAAAATAATAATAGTAATTATTATTATTATAAAAATAATTTTTATTATGTTATATAATAATAGTAATGATAATAATAAATAATTTTTGTGTAATAATTTTTTTTACACAGGAAATTTACGATTGTTCTGTTGGAAATGAATATTGTTATTGAATCCGTAATTTCATTTGCTCCAACATTGTTATCATCAAAATTAGCTCTTCCTATAGAAAAAATGTGGATTCCTTACAATGTTATTGATACAAAAATTTATTTGTACATTACATTTGTCTATCAAGTTTTCAATTCCTATGCACGCTCGATTTTAATATGCTGCGTAGACGTCTATATGATAGTTATGATGCGGCAAATTTGTGCTCAGCTGCAAATTTTTAAACATCGATTAAATCTTTTACCGCTATTGATCACTGAAAATAATCATTTCATTGAAAATAAAAAGAATGAATTGAAAATTCTTAAGGATTGGATAAGTCATCACAAGCATGTTTACTCGTGAGCGATCAATTTTTCTCTTCATTTTATTTCTTTTGTTGAAATTTTTTTTATCTATTTTTAATTATTTATCTATTTTTAATTATTTTTCTATTTTTAATTATTTATCTATTTTTTAATTATTTATCTATTTTTACTTAATTATTTATTTAGGATCTATTTTTATTTGTTTGTTTATTTATCTTTTTTTTTTATTTCTCTTTTTTGTGCTTATTTCAGAATGGGTAAAAAGTTGAATGAATTATTTAGTATTTTGACTTTCGCACAATTTTTTTTGTCCACAATAGCCCTGGGAATAATAATTTATCAGTTGGCTAAAGTGAAAATGTTTTCGTCCACATTTTTCTTTATTCTCTTTCGTTTAAATAATTATTTACTTGAAATTTATCTTCTTTGCTGGTTTGGAGAAATAATGATCAACGAGGTAATTTTGAAATTTAAATAATAATTGGGGAGAAAAATTATCGCTTTGAAATAATTTGCGTGAGGTCAGGCGTACTATTTAATATTATTGTATTGAAAATATTTGCAAAAATTGTGAATTTTTTTCTATTACAGAGTGTAGATGTTGCACAAAGAATTTACGAAGTAAATTGGTCCTTGTTTTCGACAAATTCAAAAAAATGTTTAATTATGATTATGTCGCGTGCGAGCATTCCAATACAACTCACGGCTGCATCTATTATTACACTATCATTTGATACATTTTTCAAGGTTATTTTTTTTATTATTAACTAAATAAAAATGTTATTAAATAAAAATATAAACAAAATAAAAATATAACTGAGTAAAATAAAATAAAAATGTTTCTATGTAAATTTAACAAAATGTATTTTTACAATATTTGAACTAATTATTATATTATTTATGTTGTTCGTTCTTTTTAATATTTTTCAGATAATCAAAATATCTTATTCGGCTTTCAATTTTTTACGAAATTCCTAAGAATTTTTTCTACCAGTGCATAAAATATATTTAGTAACGAAGAGATTATAGATTGTAATAAAAAATAGATTTTCAATAAAAAGTATCAAACCAGGTTATGAAGTTGATATTAAAAGAATTAAGAAGTAAAAAAATAATTTTTTTCCCTTTTCGAGAGAGAATTGAGAGAATTATTATTATTTTCAGCATAATTGCAATTTTATTTATTATTAAGTAAGCAACTATTAATTATTAAGCGTGAAATTTATTAATGCAACATTTAGAAGGTATTAAAAATGTTGGAAAAAAATTTATTTATAAATATTTATTTATATCAAGTAAATATTTATTTCTATGAAATAAATGTTTATTTCATTCAAATAAATATTTATTTCTATCAAATAAATATTTTCCTTCTACCAAATAAATATTTAGTTCTGTCAAATAAATGTTTATTTCTATCAAATAAATATTGATTTTTATCAACAAATAGTTTTTATTTAACTCAATTAAATGGCACTTGTTCCAAAATTAAAATACAGAAATTATTGGTTCAAGTACAGTTTGTTTTTTAAATTAAGTAAAAATTATTTGATTCAAGTATAAATATTTATTTGATAGTAGACAAATAATCGTTTATTTGAATCAAGTAAATTTTTTTTCAGTGTAAATCACAAATATAAATAATTATTTATATATAGAAAAAGTTTAGGAAGTAACTGAAATTACTTAACTCACTTTGAGTTTTTGTTTAATTATTATAAAGACAGATTTTTATTCCTATAAAAATATTTTTCCACCATAAACATTTTTTAATATTTTTTATTCTATTTTCAGAAAATGTGTCAAGAAAAATGACAATTGTTTAGAAACTGTAGACCCATTGACGGAATTTTCAGAGTCTTCAATCGAATTCAGAACGACAAGTAAGAAATTTTGTTTTTTAAATTGAATTCATTGAATTAATGAAATAAATTCAATTAAATTCATTAATTTAATTAACTTGATATTAATAATATTATTTAAAAAATATATTTTTTTACATATTTTGCAACACGCGGAACTTTTAAAAAATAAAATAAAATAATTTCTTGTCTTGGCTTTACTTTGTTTTAAAGTCAAAAATATTTCGCAAATAATAATCATATAATAAAAACAAGAAAGAGGAAAATGGTGAAGTAAAATGGAAAAAGTCACGTGATAAAAAAAGAAATGAATTCCTTCGCAGAAGTTAAACCGTTATGATATTATAAAATCTGAACAACAAAATCTTATACTATGCCAAAAAAAAAATTGTAAGCCGTTATATTAGGCTTTCACAAGAAGAGCAATAACGGCTTGAATACAATTTTACTACTAGAGAGTAATATAGTAATTGAATAACCTTTCCATACAGATTGGACAATTTCGTCTCGAAATAAACATTTTACACTGAAAAAAAAATGTATTTGACTCAAATAAACCATCATTTTTATATGAACAATTAAATATTTATTTATAGCAAATAAATATTTCTCTTATGCAAATAAATATTGTTTGTTAAAATTTATTCTGATTTTCAGGAATTTTTAACTGAAATTCTTCTTTAAATCAATTATTTTTAATAATTTATTAATTTTCGAAAAAGTTCTGTGACAATTTTCAAATATATTTATTTACCATATTCGATTTTAGGAAATTTCAATTATTCATGAATTCTTCAATTAAATATAATATATTTAATTGAAGAATTTACGAATATTAGAAAATAAAAACTTTAAATAATTTTAAAAAAGTCCGCAATTAAACTTTATCAAAAAAAATTAATTTGAAAATTCAATTATTTCTAAAAATTCACGCTATATTGCTTTTAACATTCAATTATTATCTAAAATTTTAACTAAAATTCATTTTTAAATCAATTTTTATTCGAGAATTCTACTAGAATTCAATTATTTATTGAATAATTGAATGTTTCTTAAAATTCAATTCCCATAAAGAATTTTATCAACAAATTTTTAAATAATTGAATTCTTTCGACTAATTTTAATAAAATTTTTAAGAATAATTGCATTTTTCGAGAAATTCGATTAAAATTGTATTAAAAATAATTGAAATTCTGCGATGAGTTTTATTATTTTTGAACAATATATTTATGAAAATAGTTGAATTCCTAGAAAGAATTTTATTATTTACGAGAATAATTGAATCCCTGTAAAAATTTTATTATTTTTAAAAATAATTGAAATTTAGCCAAGATTTTATTAAAATTTTTGAAAATAATTGAATTTGGGGAAGAATTCAATTATTTCTAAAGATAATTGAAATTTTCACGAGCATTAAAAATAATTGAAATTCTGCAATGAGTTTTAATATTTTCAAAAATATATTTATGAAAATAATTGAATTCCTAAAAAGAATTTTATTATTTACGAGTAATAATTGAATCCCTATCAAAATTTTATTATTTTTGAAAATAATTGAAATTTTGCAAAGAATTTCATTAAAATTTTTGAAAATTGAATTTTGGAGAAGAATTCAATTATTTCTAAAGATAATTGAAATTTTGAAGAGAATTGTAAAAAAATTTTGAACATAATTGAATTGTATTCTTCGCGTTTTTTTTGGTCTTTTTGAAAATATAGAAATTTATTAACAACAAGAAAAATATTCTTCTCTATTTTCTCGTCTTTTTGTTTATCGTATAATAAATGAATTTCGTTTTCCTTTCAAAAAAAAAAAAAAAAAAAAAAAAAAAAAAGAATAGAAAAAGGAAAGAAAAATTGCATTGGAAAGTTGGCAGTTTTCTTGCACCCGATCTTTATGTACCTATATATTATGCATGTGGGTGTTATTTCTTCTCAAATTTCATGATTCTATTGAACTTGCTTCTCAGTTCTGAGACCTCAGTTATGCTCCAGTACTCTCTCGAGCAACATCGGGCCCCGTTATTCGCGGTTTCTTTACATTGGACCACGTGATTTTCTCCACTTCACATATATATATATATATGCACTTGTGCATTAGAAAAAAAAACCAACGAAAATTTAAACGAGCGTGATGTAATTGAAATTGAAATGTTAAAATATGAAAAAAAAAATGAAAAAGATGAAATCACAATTTGATGACGATAATGATGATGACTTAATCATATAAAGGATGCGAAATATTTTTTTCTTTAACCAGCCTTCAAAGTGTGTTATTATAAAGAAATATTACCACAAAGAGACATGGTATTTATTGTGATTAATTGTAATAATTAATTATATCGTAAAATGTTATGAAAAACATAAAAGCGAAAATAATAATTAAATATTGTACAATAAATATTATTATTGGAATATTTGATGAGTAAGTATGTGTATATAAAAGTTTGAAAAGAAATTAAAATTTTTGTTGTAAATAAATTTTTATTAAGTGAGAAATAAAATATGTAAAGTTTATTTATTTAGGAAATAATTTACTTAATTAGAAAACAATTTACTTATTCAGAAAACAATTTATTTGTTTCAAAATAAATTTATTTATTTGGAATAAAATTTATTTGTTTAAAAAACAATTTATATATTTAGAAATCAATTTATTTATTTAGAAAAAAATTCATTTGCTTCAAAATTTATTAATTCATTTAAAAAAACAATTTATTTGTTTTAAAATCAATTTATTTATTTAGAAAAAAATTCATTTGCTTCAAAATTTATTAATTTATTAAGAAAACAATTTATTTGTTTTAAAATCAATTTATTTATTCAGAAAAAAATTCATTTGCTTCAAAATTTATTAATTCATTTAAAAAAATAATTTATTTGTTTCAAAATCAATTTCTTTATTTAGAAAAAAATTCATTTGCTTCAAAATTTATTAATTTATTAAGAAAACAATTTATTTGTTTTAAAATCAATTTATTTATTCAGAAAAAAATTCATTTGCTAAAAATTTATTTATCCATTTAGGAAACAATTTTTTTATTTGGAAAAAAATTCATTTGCTTCAAAATTTATTAATTCATTTAGAAAACAATTTATTTGTTTTAAAATCAATTTATTTATTCAGAAAAAAATTCATTTGCTAAAAATTTATTTATCCATTTAGGAAACAATTTTTTTATTTGGAAAAAAATTCATTTGCTTCAAAATTTATTAATTCATTTAGAAAACAATTTATTTGTTTCAAATAAATGTTCTTTTTTAAATATTAAACAATTATTTCTTTGATCAATTTATTAAATTTTCTTTGAATTAATTAATTTATTTAGAAAACAATTTATTTGTTTCAAATAAATGTTCTTTTTTAAATATTAAACAATTATTTCTTTGATCAATTTATTAAATTTTCTTTCAATTAATTAATTTATTTAAAAAACAATTTATTTGCTTCAAAATCAATTTATTTATTTAGAAAAAAAAATTATTTGCTTCAAAATCTCTTTATTTATTTAGAAAACAATTTATTTGTTTCAAAGAAATGTACTTTTTTAAATATTAAACAATTATTTCTTTGATCAATTTATTAAATTTTCTTTGAATTAATTAATTTATTTAGAAAACAATTTATTTGTTTCAAATAAATGTTCTTTTTTAAATATTAAACAATTATTTCTTTGATCAATTTATTAAATTTTCTTTCAATTAATTAATTTATTTAAAAAACAATTTATTTGCTTTAAAATCAATTTATTTATTTAGAAAAAAAAAATTATTTGCTTCAAAATCTCTTTATTTATTTAGAAAACAATTTATTTGTTTCAAAGAAATGTACTTTTTTAAATTAAACAATTATTTCTTTGACCGATTTATTAAATTTTCTTTGAATTAATTTATTTATTTAGAAAACAATTTATTTGTTTCAAAATCAATTGATTTATTTAGAAAAAAATTTCTTTTGCTTCAAATTTTATTAATTTATTTAGAAAACAATATAAATATGAAAAAATAATTAGTATAGGAAAAGTTAAAAATAAAATCGAAATTGTACAAATTGCAAAAAATTTGAAAGAATTTTCAGAGTTTTTAATTTTTTTCGAAGAGAAGGAATTTGTAAAATATTTTTAAAAAAATAAATATTATTTTTAGTAAGTATATATAATTTTAATTATATTTATACAATAATTTATTTTTTATGTAATTTTAGAAGTTGAGCATGTGCAACACGATTTGGAGACGACTGCGGGTGATAAAAAGGAAGAAAATTCGATGGAAATTATACGAGACACAGATGAGAAAATGATAGAAGAACTAATTGAAATAAATATAAATCCAATAAATCGAACTTATCATCATTCAGCATGTAAGCAAAATATTTTACTATTTTAGCAAAATTTTTACAATCAGAAAAATCATGTTTTTTCTTATTAATATATTTTTTCTACTCAGAAAACTTTTTATTTGTTTCAAATAAATTTTATTTTTGTCTATTAAAATTATATTTCTTTCAAATAAATTTTTTTTTTGTTGATTAAAATTTTATTTGTTTCAAATAAATTTTATTTTTGTCGAATACAAATTTTTATTTAAAATAAATAAATATTGATTGTAGATTCTGAGGAAAATATACTTTTATTTAACTCAAATAAATTATATTTGGTTCAAAATTGAAATTTTTCTCCGGATGTAATTGTTTCAGTTAATTGTTTCGTTATTCTAGAGAAACTTATCATTGTTCCTGCAGCCAGAGAAAATTTTTCTTTAAACAATTAAATATAATTAATTGAGTAAAATAAAAATAAATTTACCTTAGAGCCTAGTAAATTATTTATTTGTTTTAAATAAAAATTTTATTCAACAAAAGTAAAATTCTAAACTGCAAATAAAATTTTCTAACAAAATAAAAAATTTGCCCACAACTTATCGAAATAAGTTTTTAAAAAAATTATCCAGTACATGCTGCCACCTTCTGAGCATTCTTGAGAATGTAAATATATTTATTTTTCGTAGAAAATATCATTTACTACTTTTTTTGTCTTTTTTTGTAATTTTTTCTTTTTTTTCTATGAAAATGATATAATCACTTTTTGTTATCAGGCGAAAGATCAAGGATTAACAAAAAAAAACTAATTGAAATTCAATTAAAAAAATTTAATGTAAAAGATTTCAAAGTACGCAAAAGTTGATACGAAACTGCAGATATTTAAAATATTTTCAGAAATTTTCTATAGTGAATATTCATCAAAAATGTTGCTAAAAATTATTTATTAATAGGTATTTATTATTATTTATTATTATCATATTGACAAATTAAAACAAGAGGGTATCAAATAATTTAGAACAATTTTTTTGGACTGAAATTTAGCCATGAGAATATAAATTTAAGTCCTAAAATTGTCTTAATCTAATTTTCAAAAATTTAAGCTTAAAAATAGTAACATTTTTTTTGTTTTTTTATTTCAAATGTTTTTTGCTTGAAAAAAAATAATAGTACGTTTAAAAGTAGTTACTGCCTTTATCGTATATATATAAATTGAGAATGTATGGGTATTCTTATCTCTCTGCGTAAAACTGCATAACAACGAAATACGCTATTCTTTTTTCTTTCTTGTTTTAATGAGGTCAAAATCGATAAATGTCAACATTAATCCATTTAAAAGAGGTTTATTAAAGAAGAAAAGTATGCCGTCTACCAGTTGAGAATTGTTTTATACTTGCAGGGAAGAAAAAATTCTATCTCCACTTTTTCCATTCAGACAAACTGAATTTTTACTTTTAAAAGAATGTTCGGCCAATTATAAATGAAACAATAACTAAATATAGATAAGAATGAAAAATATTGGAAAAAATATTGAAAAATGATATATTTTCCACGCCAAGAAAAAAATAGACAATGTCAGTCATTAAAGTTTATATAGACGTTCAACATAAATTTTCTTTGGTTCAAAAAAAAAAATTTTGTTTCAAAGAAATTTTATTTGGTTCGAATAAAAATTTTGGTACGAATAAAAATTTTCTTCCAAAGAAATTTTGATTCAAATAAAAATTTTGTTTCAAATAAATATTGGATCAAGTAAAAACTTTGTTTCTAATAAATTTTGGTTCAAAAAAAATCTTTTTTCAAATAAATTTTGATTCATATAAAAATTTTGTTTCAAATAAATTTTTATTTTTTCAAATAAAAATTTTGTTTCGGAGAAATTTTATTTGGTTCAAATAAAAATTTTGTTTTGCAGAAATTTTATTTAGTTCAAATAAAAATTTTGTTTTAAAGAAATTTTATATTTGTTTCAAATAAATTTTGGTTCTAATAAAAATTTTGTTTCGAAGAAATTTTATATTAATTCAAATAAAAATTTTGTTTCAAAGAAATTCTGGTCCAATTAAAAATTTTGTTTCAAACAAATTTTGGTTCAAGTAAATACTTTGGTTCAAATAAAAATTCTGTTTCGGAGAAATTTTATTTGGTTCAAATAAAAATTTTATTTCAAAAAAATTTTATATTTGCTTTAAATAAAAATTTTGTTTCAAATAAATTTTGGTGGAAATAAAAATTTTCTTCCAAAGAAATTCTGATTCAAATAAAAATTTTGTTTCAAATAAATTTTGGTTCAAGTAAATACTTTGTTTCTAATAAATTTTGGTTCAAATAAAAACTTTGTTTCAAATAAATTTTGGTTCAAATAAAAATTTCGTTCGTTTCGAAGTAATTTTATGTTTGATTCAAATAAAAAATTTTGTTTCGGAGAAATTTTATTTGGTTCAATTAAAAATTTTGTTTTTAATAAATTTTATTTGGTTCAAATAAAAATTTCGTTTTAAATAAATTTTTCTCTGGTTGTACATTTCTTTTTATCAGCAGAAAATTGATGATAAAAAAAATTGTTTGACTAATTATTGAGTTTGGAAGGAAGCAAAAAATGGAGTAATTAGAGATTCATCTAAATAGTTTTTCTTTCCAATTGATACATATTTAATGAATGAATTAGAGGGAAAAGTTCAAGGCCGCGTAACATAATCGGCGACATTCAGTATATCTCTGTTGAATTTAGAATGAAAACAGGTAAGATCCCCCACTTAAAGAAGCCATAGAAATGTGGTACGTCGTTTCTTTCCAGGCTCAGTCGCCTCGACATTACAAACTACAAGAGTGTTTCTCTTTAATTAAAAAAAAAGTTGCCATCAAATTTTCGTTTTTTTCAATTTCCCAATTGAACAGTGTTTTTTCTTAAATGCGAAAAAAATACAGTGTCTCTAAAGTCTTTGTTTAAAAAAAAAATTCAGTGATTTATTCAACTGCTAATTAATAACAAACGTTTATAAACAGTCCAATTTAAATTTACATTAAAAAAAGAAATTAAACTAAAAATTAAAAAAATTCCAGTAAATTTTTTTTCAAAAAGTTATTAATTAAAAATAAATTTAAAAAATATATCAGTGATTTTTTTCAACTGCTAATTAATAACAAACGTTTATAAACAGTTCAATTTAAATTACCATTCAAATAAAAAAATTAGAAACAAAAAATTAAGTTCGAATAAATTTTCTTCAAAAAAATAACGAAATTCGAGTTCATTATTTTCAGTAAAAGGAAACAGAAAAAATATCGAACTGTAAATAGAGTAAATTGTAACTCATCACATGTGAATCAAAATTACGTAAAACTCAATGATCTAATGTTATAAACTTGAAAAACAAAATTGCGAGTTATTTTTTTATATAAATTTTCGATTTTTTAAAATTTTTTTTCTCAATTTCTTCGAGAAAATAATTTTTTATTAATACCCAATTTAAATTTTTGATAAATTGTAATTTTATCTATAGGACAATAAAATGTAGAAAAAGAAAAATTAAAAGAAGCAAAAATTGTGAATGAAACTAAAAGAAACGATTTTTTTTTAATTAAAAAATTGATGATTTCTTAATAATAACATTTTTTAATATTTAGAATATTAAAAAGATATTGAAAAAAATTAGAATTGTCCTTTTTTAAATTGAATTATAATAAAAAAAATTTAAATTTGTATTAATTGAAACTTTGAAAGAATTAATAATTATAAAATGGTTAGATAAATAAATATAAAGTTCCAATCATATCATTTTATCTTTCTATACAATATTATGTAATACTGATTATACTAATCGACAAATTTTAGATTTCTTTGTAGGTAGCAGAAAAATAAAATCTTTTTCTTCAAATTATTACGAATTTTTAGAAAACTTGTTTCTTATGTTTTGACAATTTTATTGAATTCTTTCAAAAATTGATAACGAAATTTATATTCATAGATATTTATAATAATTTATCATTTATATAATTTATAATTAAATTAAGTAAAAATTATGTGATACAAATAAATATTTATTTGAGGCAAATAAATATTTTTTTGATGCAAATAAATATTTTTTTAAGCAAATAAATTTTTTTTGATACAAATAAATATTTTTTTAATAGAAATAAGTATTTTTTTGATGCAAATAAATATTTATTCAATAGACAAGTAATAGTTTATTTGAAACAAATATTTTTTGATACAAAAAAGTATTTATTTGAGCCAAATAAATATTTATTTAATGCAAATACATAAATATTTATTTGATAGAAATAAATATTTTTTTGATGAGACGCTTAATCATTAAAATTTTTCTCAGTGAATAATTATTTATAATAATCATATAATTAATATAATTATAAATTATAATAATTCAATTTATAACTAAAAATTTTCCTTAGAATTTATAAGCCACGAAAAAGTACCGGAAAAGTTACAATACTTTTATATAATAATTTTTTTTTTCATTTCTTGAGGATAAAAAACGAATTTAAATTTTTAAAAAACAAAAATACTTACAAAAATGTATGTGACAATGACATATTTCACGAAATCAAAGTTTTGGAATTGAAAATACTGCCTAATAAATATTGCAATGCGAAAGAATAAAAAAGTGAGATGTGCTGAATCAAGACTCTAAGGAAGAATATAAAATAAAAAAGAAATGACGTGGTAATTAAAAACTGGAAGTGATGAGAATTCAATTACAACAATTATGTTAATTATTGTGAAAGTGTAATAAATGTTTGGGGAATTATTTAAAGAAATGTTAACTTTAATTGGCGGTCTAATTGTAATTTACTTCGTCTATGTAATCATCACGAAAAAAAATGGTAATCATTATTCAAGAGGACAATTTATTTAAACAGCAACAAAAATAATTAATTATTAATTATTTATTTATTTATAATATAAATCAATTATTTATAATTACTGATTAGATTCTATAAAGAAAAATTTATTTGATTCAAATAACCGATTACTATTTATATATTTAAATTATTTTATCAATTAAATGTTTAATTGAAACAAATAATTTTTATTTGAATAAAGTAAATTTTTTTTCTATGTAATTTTTAATTTAGGTTTAAAAACTTTATAATTAAAATTAAAAAATTAAAAATTAAAACTATAAAATTAAAAATAATTTTGTGAATTTAAATCTACTTTAAATACCAAAAGGTGCCGAATTTCAGTCTATCAAGCTATTCCTCTGCCCTGAAGGAGAAATGAGAAATATGCAAAGAGGGGATTATTAAAAAATTGCAAATATTGAGCTCTTTCACAATATTAATGATAGCCCAGGAATTAATTCCTTTCTCACTTTCTTCAATTAGTTTTCTTTTCTATTTGCCTTTAGCACTTAATTTAATTATAACGTATCATGAATTTTTGTTTATTTATTTACATTTATTTTTCTCGCAAGAAATTGCAATATTGTAGAGAAAAAAAAATTCAATAAATTTAAAAACAAATTTATTCAAAAATATAAAAGAAAACATTTAGAAATTCTCAATTATTAATATTTACTGTGAAAAATAAAAATATAAATTATTATAAAAATCCTCCTTTATAATTAGATTTTTTTGTCTTTTTTTTCTTTCAAACAAAAATAAAAACGTGAAATGAAATAATAAAAACAAATAAAATAAAATTTCTCCGAGTTGAATTAAAAGTGAAGGAGAAATTGCTTGTGACTGATCAACCAGTATCGTCAAAGTTGGCACTTGATTTAAGAAAGTTGCACAAACTTGTCTTCTAAATAACTTAGAAACTCTCTTATGGCAATTTTTCGATAACATTTTTTTATTCGATATTTTTTTCTTACAATTTTCCGATGACAATTTTTATTCACAATTTTTTTCTTTTTTTTTTTTGCTATTTTTTATAATATTTTTTTATTCAAACCAAAAAGAATATAAATATTTTATAAATATTACAAATATTTCTTATTACACTGCGAAAAAATTACTTGATTCAAATAAATATTTTTTTTATGCGAATAATTATTTCTTTGATGCTAAAAAATATTTTTTTGATGCAAATAAAAATTTTCTTTGATGCAAATCAATATTTCTTTGATGCAAATAAAATTTTTCTTCGATGCAAATAAATATTTCTTTGATGCAAATAAAAAGTTTTTTAAATAAATAAATATTTCTTTGATGCAAACAAATATTTTTTTGATGCAAATAAAATTTTTCTTCGATGGAAATAAAATTTTTCTTTGATGCAAATAAATTTTTTTTAAGCTTAGAAATAGTTTTTTAGAGCAAATAAAATTTTCTTTAAAGCAAATAAATATTTTTTTGCATCTAAGAAATATTTTTGATAGAATAGATAAATAGAAAAAAAAATGGACCAGTAATCGTTTATGTGAATCAAATAAATTTTGTTTCCGGTGTAAAATTACGGAAAAAGAAAATAAAATTTTTTGTTCATAAAAAGTATTAAATAAATTTTGAAATAATATTAATTAACTTTTGTTATTAGACAAAAGTACAACGAATACGGCGAGCATGGCCCAAATGGCACTCAAAGAACTTGTGGAACGTGTTGTCGAGGAGGCAAAAATGCTGCCAGGATTAAGAAGTTCTAAAGCGGAGAAAGAAAAGGAGAATTCAACCTTTGAAGATCTTCTAGCCACAGCCATACTTAATAAAGTAATTTTTTCAAAAATCAAAAACCAAAATTTCAATACCATTTTTATTCCAAAATTAAAAAACAATTTTTTTTCATTTCACAGGTGATAGAAAAATTTCAAAACGATTACGTTGACGGAAATAGAAATATCTTATCAGAAATATCTCCCAATAAGAAAAAAAATAGTTAGTATTAATATTATATTAAAAAGTATTTAAAATATCAATTTCAATGTTAATTTCAATGTTAATTTAATTACATACAAATTAAAAAGGAAAAAAGAATAATGGATACATTAAAACAACTTTCCTTTCAGGCGAAATCGAAACTAGTTTTGAAAAAGGACAAGAACAGCTGTCTCTTACGGTAATTGTAAAAGTTAACTTCTCCTTTTCGTTTATTGCAACTTTTTTCTATTTATTTTTATCTATTGAATAGAAAAAAAAGTGTGTTTACAGACTTAGGATTGCTAATTAATCCATTGAACCGTATACATTGTTGCTGCTTTTTTTTTCTTGAATCATTAACAGTTAATGATAGCAGTATCATTCGAGTCATTCGAGAATTATAGAAGAATGCTGTGGAAAATCTGCGTTAAAGATAAACAGCCATGGGAATGGAAGTTATTTATATTGTTCTCTTCACTGTACTGACCTTCCTTAAAATTGACTTGTTCTCGAGACAGGAAAAAAATTATACAACCCCATTTCTTGTGGAATTTTAGAAATTCTGTATGAAATTCCAATTTTTTTCTCTTAATATCAAACTAGGGTTGACACAAAGTTAGGAAAGTCAGGAAATTTTTTCAGAAGTACAGGAAAAATATCAAATTCCATAGAATTAATACACTGAAAAAAAAATTATTTGAATCAAATAACCGATTACTTGTTTATTACAAAATAAATATTTACTTGTATCAAATAATTTTTTTTTGTCAATTTAATTTTTATTTAAACCAATAATTTCAGTAAATACAATTATTTAATTGATTTAAATAAAAATTAATTCATTTAAATAAAATTTATTTGTTTCAAGTAAATATTTGTTTTATATAATAGACAAGTAATCGATTATTTGAATTAAATAATTTTTTCAATTAAATTAACTTAAATAAAAATTATTTGAATCAAATAATTTTATTTATTAAATTGACTTAAATAAAAATGATTTGAATCAAATAAATTTTTTTTAGTGTTTAAAATTTTTTGTTTGTTGTGCAAAAATAAATATTTCTGAAAAACTAAGTCCTTTTTGAAAATTATTAAAAAATAATTTATTTAGAGAGAAATTAAGTTGAAAATTCTAGAAAATAATTGAATTTAACTTTTTATTTTATTTAATTTAACTTTACTTTTTGCCTGATTATTCTAGATAGAAGAGCGCATTGAAGAAGTAGAAGAGGAAAATGACGTGGATTTTTCAAACACTCGACGAGTTCCATTTCCGGAATTTGGAATGGATATTGGTATTTGCACTTTTACGATCTTTTTTTCAATTTAAAAAAAATTTCAATATTGTTATTACTTAAAGAATATTTTTTCGCTTTAAATAGAAAAAAGAAAATTATTAAAAAAAAATTTTTTTTCATTTTTCATTTTTCATTATCCAGTATCACAAGATTCATCGGATGAAAATCAAGAACAGTCAGTTCACGATCATATAACTCCCCTTGAATCGTGGGAGGAAAATTGGCTTTTTCAAAAAAGAAAAATGCAAATTAGATCCGATCCAGTGTCAATGTTGGTTCCATATCCAAGCGAAGACTACAGAGCTCTGATTGGCGATAAAAATGTCGAGGACATTTCCTCTGACGATGAAATCGAACATGAACTGAAATTTGTAATCAGCAGCGCTACTGAATCGTCGGACAATGAGGAGGCAAATGTAATGGAAAAATTGTCATCAACTTTTTTAGGTGCTTTCGAAAATGGAATCGAAAAATTATCAACAACCTTTGGTGGTGATCAATTTTTCGAAAATGGAATCGAAATGGAAGACAATATCGAATTTAAAAAAGGAGATAATTCCGAGTGTAAAAAAGAAAATGAGTTTGAATGTAAAACAGAAGATAATGACGAATGTAAAGCGGGAGATAATTTCGAATGTGAAAAAGAAGATAACTTTCACTGTAAGAAAAAGGAGAACTTCGATTATGAAAAGGGAGATAATTTCAAATTTGTAAAGGAAAATAATTTTCAATCTAAAAAAGAGAATTTCGAATATGAGAAGAAAGAGAATTTTGAATGTAAAAAGAAAGAAGAGAATTTCAAATCAAAGCAAAACGAAATGTTTTTTAATGAAAAAAATGAGACTGAAGAAATGTCTGGTAAGATTTTTTTCCATTTGAAAAAAAATTCACCCTGAGAAAGATTTTATTTGAATTAAATATAATTTATTTAAGTTAAATAAAAATATATTTTTCTCAGAGTCCACTTATTATCTATTTGTTTTAAATAAAAATTTTATTCGAAACTAATTTTTTATTTGAATATTTTATTTGGTTCAAAATAAAAATTTCGTTCCAAATAAATTTTATTTGATTCAAATAAACATTTTATTTAAAACAAAATTGTTTATTTTGAAGCAAATAAAATTTACTTAAAACGAAATTTTTAATGAACCGAAATTTATTCGAAACTAAATTTTTATTTTAATATTTTATTTGATTTAAATGAAAATTTTGTTTCGAATAAAATGTTTATTTGAACGAAATAAAATTCTTTTGAAACAAAATTTTTATTTGAAGCAAATAAAATTTAGATTGAAACAAATAAAAAGTTTATTAGTCCCTGAATCAATTAAATATTTTTTTTCTGTGCGTTGAAAGTAATTTATGAAGAAATATTGAAATTTAATTTTAGCCGAAGATCAAGTTCAACAAGAAAGTGAATATACCGAACATTTTGACACTGCGACGCAAAAACACATGGACAGTTTGACGAAAATGTACGGACCGATGGGAATTGATGAAGTGGATCACGAATCGTCTTCAAAAATTTCTGAATTATCATTATCATCTTCAAAAACTCTTGGGTACGATTTAAAATTTCCATAATCTGTAATTTAAACACAATGATCTTAATCAAGATATCAAAAATTAAATTTCTTCACTAGAAATTTTTTTTGTCACTGAAAATATTTTGTTTCAAAATGCTTTATCAATTTTTGTGAATAAATGAATTAATTAATTAATTAGAAATTAATTAAAATCAAGCAACTTATTTAACCTAAATATTGATCGTTATTTGTTTCTTAATTTAAAAATTATTGAAAACTTTAAAAATCATCAGAAAGTGAAATAAAATTGAAAATCGAAATAGTCGAGATTTTGTGAAATTCTGTTAAAAGTCAGCTTTAGAGATTCCGTGTTGAAAGGAAATTTCTTTATGAAGATAATTTAACATAAAACGAAAATACCACTTTACAGGAAGTGCCGCGACTCTGCGGCTTTCATTAAAGGAGAAAATCTCGAAAATGAAATTGAAGATGAAGTTGAATTGGCCACACCTCCACGACCAGGTAATTTTAACCTGTCTGCAAATTTAATCAAATTTCTATAAAAGAAAAATAAATGGTGAATTAATTTTGTAGACAAAAATAGAAATGTTAAAATAACTAAAATTTTACAAATAACTAAATAAATATAATTAAAAATAACTAAATAATTAAAATTTTTGAAATAATTAAAAACAATAATAATAAATAATTTTGCAATAATTTATTAAAAAAAATGTTAGGTTGTTAGTTATTTTTCGTAATATTTTAAATAATTTGAAATTCTTTTTTTGAATTCTCAGGAACAATCGCAGAACGCGAACACAGAAAGTGGGAAAATGCACGTCCAATTAAAAATAATCCGTATAGCAAGAAAAATATTCAGAAGAGACTTTTGGAACGACAATATAATTGTTACAGTATAATTACTGAGTAAGTGATTGCGATTTTTTTTTCTTACAATTTCTTCTTTTGCAATTTGATTAAAAAAACATTTTTTATTCTTTCCTTAGGAGTAATATTTCAAAATCAAGTGATAAACCTTTACAAATTGTATTAGGAGCGAAGACTGTCGATTTCAAAAGGTAAAACAATTTTTTTAATTTAAGTTAAATTAAATTTAAATCTAATTTAATTTTCTAATTAACTAAAATAATTTAAATTTAATTTAAATAATTAAATTAATTTGAATTAAATTTTGCAATTTATTTTTACTATTTCTATAAAATTAAAAATTAATTGAATTATTAATTTAATTAATAAAATTAATTTTAAATAAAAAAATTCTGATTTTAAAATTTTATCACGAATAAAAAACAGAACAAAATTTCACACAGGTTTGCGAGAGATTATTACATCAACGATGCCATAACTTCTAACGAAGAAAAACAAAGAGATTTAGAAACAAATCAACATTCAAAAATTGAGGTGAGTTATGGTAAATTAAATATCTGCAGTTATTTTAATATAAAAAACGATGAGAATTTATTTAACGAGATTAATAACGCAATTAATCGAAAATTATCAAAAAATACGAAAACTGCAGAAAATATCGCAAATAAAAAAGACATTCCTCTCAATTATAATAATAATAAATTTTATAAAATTAAAAATTCTCTAAAAAGAGATTTTTTAAAACTGATAAATATTCGAAACAAACAAATCACAATAAATCCTCTATTTGATTATGAAAATAAAAAATCAGAGAATGAGTTTGAACACGATTCGGAAAGTTCCCTCGAATTTAAAAATAATTTCGATTTCATAAATATCCATCAAAAGGATTATGACTCGAGAAATAATTTTCGATTAGCGAAAGAAAATCAAATGACTTCTATTAATGGAAAAAGATATTGGAATTTTCATGCTGGGAATTATCACACATTTGGTGGAATTGGAAGACGAAAATTTCAGGAATTTAATAGTACAACGTTTAATAGTAATCAGTTAAATGAAATAAACTCACAAAGCTTTTGAGAATTTCTTGCAAGAATTTTGGAGATTTAAAGAATTAAATTCACTTGGCAGAATTATTTCAATTTTATGCAAAAAAAAATAAAATTTGGAACTTTTCTTAATTAATAATTAAAAACCTTTTGTTTACTATTTTATTTATTTTCTGTTTACTTTTTATTTACTCTTTTTATTTTTATTTTTACTATTTTAATTTTGTATTTACTGTTTCTATTTTATTTTTTATTTACTATTTTAATTTTGTATTTACTGTTTCTATTTTATTTTTTATTTACTATTTTAATTTTGTATTTACTGTTTCTATTTTATTTTTTATTTACTATTTTTATTTTATTTACTATTTTTATTTTGTTTTTTATTTCCTTTTTTAATAACTAAATATTTATTTAACTGTTCAACGGCAAATGAATCCATTTTTACCGTATTCTGAATCCTGATCGCAATAAATAAAGCAAGTGAGTATTTTAATCGAATTTTGTCTAGACTAACATGTTCTCGTGAGAAGTGTCACGATTTTAATTAACCCACAATAAATCTTCCAATTCCTTAATTTTTTCTAATTCAATTTTCAAAAATGCCACACAAGGACAAAGTTTAAAATTAAATTTACAAATCTTCATCTAAGACGAAGAGAGAAAAATCTAACAAAAATAGATAATTTTTCTAATACCTGAGAATAAGAATTGAAAACCAATTGTTGCCTTTCAATTTCCCATGGAGTCTATAAAATTATATAACGAAAATTATTTAATTTGTTTCAGGATGATATCATAGATTATGAATCAAATAGCCTCGTGAGTGGAGAAGGTCAATTAAAAGTTTCCAATTGTCAGAAGAATAATGAAGAAGCAGCAGCCATGAGAAGTTCAGGGGAAATAATAATACCATCGCAAAGTTGGAAAAATTCCGATGTTGAAAAATTATTTGAAAAAGAGCGAAGAAATAATAAGAATGAAATAAATGCAAGATTCAATAACAAGGATAGTAAAAATCATTGTGATATTAATTATGAAACTTCAAAATCATCTCAACAGAGAGTAATAAATAAATTGGATTTAAAATCATTTGGATATGAATGTGGTTTGAGACGAACGCAATCGATTCAATTTGATAGTAGAAATCACAGTCAAGCGCAGGAACAAAAACCAAAGATTGTCAAAGAAAAAAATGAATTTAATTCGAGTGAAATTGAAAATGACGACGATTTTCAATATCCAATGAGTGGCATATTTTCAGCGAAATCAGTGCCAAATATTGCGGATATTGATTTTTCTAATGATGAAAAACAAAATAGGAGGAAAATTTTTGTGAATTCAGTGGAAAATCTTTCGAGTGAAAATTCAAAGGGTTCGATTCCAATTTTACCATCGGTAAGAAAACTCGCTAGAGCGTTTAGCAAATCAACTGAAATTAATTCTTCAATGGTGAGTTGTTTGTATTGCAAAATTAATATATTACAATTAGGGTAAGTGCGGGTATAGTCGGACAGTACTAGTAGTCGGACACTTTCGTGTTTTTTGACAAATAAATAATAATGCATTGTGATAATTGCTTTAAAAAGTATACTAGACGAATGTGTGAAGTTTATATTTTATTAAAATAGTGTTATTTTCGAAAATAATTAAACAAGAAATATTTTATTTAATGCTTTAAAAATCATGGTGTCCGACTATAGATACAGCCATTTTCGAGTAGCGCGATGAGTGGCACAAAGTTTTGTTGATAATTAATCATAAATATTAAAACGTATAGGGTCTAAATATTATATTAATAACTTCTAATATGCTTTAATTCCATTTTCCAGCAAATAGCAATTAAAAAATTATCTTTTTCACTTTATAAATTCAACATATCTAAACGATGTCCGACTATAGAAACAAGGGGAAAAAGTGTCCGACTACTAAAGCATTCGTAATTTTTTATTAAAATGTTTATATTTTATTAAATACTCAACTATTTGTAACAAATTTATATGATTTTTAATCCTGAAGAACTCCTTTAATTAATAATGTGCTTATAAACACAGTAGATATTTGCTATTTCAAGAAAAAAAGCATAATTTAAGATTGTATCCTTAAGTGTCCGACTACTAGTGCATTTACCCTATTTAGTATTTAATGTTTTACAGAGTTGACACAAAAATTAAATTTTGTTTTTTCCTGACTTTTCCCTGAATTCCCTGATCTGTGGGAATTCTGTTTTAATAATATTAATATTCATATTTTAATATCTCTTTTTGTTAGCTAAAAATGGAGAAAAAGAGACCAACGACACCTGAAATTCTTCTCGTTGAAAAACCAAGACAGCTTGAACAAAACTCATCCGAAAATGAAAGAAACGCAGAAAATAATAAAAGTTCAATTGGCGATATCAGTATTATTTCTCCTGGTAAATTGAAAAATAATATTCAATTTTGGGAACAACTACAAAAGCAAAGTTAACAATTATCACTGTTATGAAAATATCGATATAAACAGATATCTAATAATCTAGATTTTTAAATGTAAAATACTGTTTTTTATACGCTCATTTAATTTTAAAGTCTTGTAAAATTTTAGTTTATTGCCATTCAATGTATTGAAATTTATTCATTGAAACCTAAAATCAATGAAGGGCGAATAATGTTATAAGAAGGAAAATATCTGCCATACGATTGTAAATTTAAAACAAATAAATAAATTATAATTACTATTAGAAAAAATAATTAAAATACTACTGGAAGAATTAAAACTAAACGATTTAAACGATTCGGATAAAACTAAATCTAAAAACGATTTTTCTTAGAGAATTTATTAATAAAAAAAATTAGTAATAAATTGTTCGGACCTTATGGAAAGGCACTTTCTCTAATTCCTGGGCATGTTGCCTTCGATAAAACCATAAATAAAAATCCACTTGAATAGCATTGCAGTCCAAATCTGGTGACTGTGTTTTAATTTCCTTGACAATTCTCTCAACAACTTCGATTGAACATCCTCGAATTTCGATTTCTTCCTCGGAATCTGCTTTCATTTCTATTTCTAAGTATAACAGAAAGAAAGAAAAAGTAAAAAAGCAACTTCATAGAGAAAAAGAAAATTCTTTTAAACAACTCATGTTTAAAAAATTATTTTTTGAATAATATTCTACAATTTACATACCAGATTCAAGTGAATTGAGTAAAGATGAAGTGTAATTCAAGGCATCAAAGTGTACGAGTACTTGTGGAACTCGATAATCAGCGAACATCGTCAGTTCATCAAGATCAGGAAAATTTCCCAAGCCTTTTCCTTTGAAACAAGCCCAAATATCAGCAACGACTATCTGCGCTCTCTTGTAAAATGAAACTGTCAAAAAGAAAAGAAATTTTTTAAAATTTTATTATGAAAAATTAATTAATTGATAAATTCATTATTAATACCATTTTTCGGGGAGATTTTTTGTAAATCTTTAATCAAATTAATAACTAGATTTAAGTACAGACTTCGCACTCGATAATTAATTTTAAAAAATTTTCTTTCAGAGAAGAATTTTATTATTTATAAAAATAATTGAATTTCTTCCAATAACTTTACTAAAATTTTTTAAAATAATTTAATTTTTTTTACGAATTTTATTAATATTTTTTAAAATAATTTAATTCTTGCGAAGAATTGTATTAAAATTAAATTGAAAATAGAATTCCTGTGAATAATTTTATTATATTTATAACAAAATAATTAAATTATTTTGAAGAATAAAATTGTATAAAAATTTTGTTAAATAATTGATTTTATCGAAATTTTTAGAAAATGCTATTCTAAATTAATTGAATTTTTGTGGAAATTTTATTATTTATATAGAAAAAAAATGAATTTTAGATGAATTTTATCAATTTTTTTTTAAATAATTGAATTCTTTTCGGAAATTTTATGAAAATACTAGATATTGAAAATAATTGAATTTCGAATATTTTTTAAAAATAATTGAATCGTTTTAAAGAATTTGCTTATAAATAATAAAAAATAGAATAATTATTGAGCGAAATTTGTAATTAAAGTTAATTATGTTTAATAATTATTTTAATTATTATGATTAATTATTATTTTTAAATGTAAATTCTTTTCCAGTTTTTCACTTACCTTTCTGGTCTTGATAAACACCTTCGTCGCGGAAACAAACAAAATCTTTGACAATAATATCTAACAATTTTAATGCTGATCCATTTGATTGTTTAACACATTCGAGAAATGTGCCTATAGTGATAAATGATAATAAATTAAATAAGTTTCCATTCTTTTTCACTATATTCAAAGAAACTTTAACGAATTTTGAATATTATAGTACCATTATATTTTTCAAGAAGAACTTTTCCAACCTCTTGTAAATTTTGCACTCTTTCCTCAATTAAAGGAATCTGAACCGTACCGGAATCACTTCGAAAAATATTCTCTAACTCTTTTCTCGTTATTTTCGAATAATAACCAGGATCCAAAATTGGAGTCCCCTCCTAAAAAATTTATCAATCGGGTATTAAGTTTCGAATAAAATTATATTTTTTCCACTTTCAACTTCGCTAAAAAAAAACTTCGCTTCATGGAAAACACCGAAATAGTCTTTGTTTCTTAAAAAATAGATTCTTCGGTTTTGACGAATTTTCAATAGATTCTTTTCTATTCTTTTTTTCTTTGAAATTTTCCTACAATTTCTTCAATTATGATAAAATAATTTAATAACGATTTTAAATACCTCTAGACTTCGTTTAACAGCAGCACATAGAGCAAAATATCCACTTTCTCCCTTCACTTCCCAATGGACATCATTCCTTTTCCTCCAGAAGCAAAAATTCAAGGTATTTAGCACGAAAATCCAATCAATTACTTTCGAGTCATATTCTTTTGGTAAAAATTCATGATTGAAGAAATTTTCCTTCGAGATTTCTCCGCTCTTCAATCCTTCGAGAATCTACAAAAACATCCAAGTTTCAAAAAACGGATTTTTGACAACAAATGTAAAAATATTTACTTATTAAGAACGAGGAGAATTTATAAGTATATAACAAAAATGAATGTACGAATAAAAAAAAAATGAAATAATGCCAACTTACAAATAAACAATAAATATTTCTAGATATAAAATTAATAACAAACTTACCAAGCATGAAATATCCTTCACCCCTTTTTCGTTAATGAAAACATTCTTTGAATGTTGACTTATAAATTTCGCCGAATCTCTTGGTAATAAAGTTATACAACTTTTGTTTTCTTCCATTTTTAACACTTTGGTTTTATTGAATAATAATAAAAAAGTTTAGAAAATTATTAAACAATTATTAATTAATTAAAATCATTAAAATATTGCCTACTCTGTAGATTCTTTATATTATGTTTTGAGGTTATGTTATTAAACCGGAAGAACCGGCTAAAAAGCGCTTCGTCCACACGCATGTGCAGAGTGCTCACTCCGCTCCTCCAATCAAATGCAAGCGTTACAGGCGCGAATTTTAAATATTCTAGATTTTGAAATTCGCGCCTATTATTTGATTGGTGCAGGGAAATGAGGCATTTTGCGCAAGCGCTGCATATGCGCGTTTTAACCTGCTTTAGTCACGTGACCTTAGAGAAACCAAACAAATCATGGACGTCAAATTCGACGCTGTATTAATTTTTCTAAAACTATAAAAACTAAAGTTTATTTGTTTACAAAACAATAATAAAAGGATACATCTGTCGAATAATTACTTCAGGTAAGAGTACAAGTATTTGGGTGTCTTTTTTTTAAACTTTTTGTCAATTTTATCGCAACCGAAATATGTCTCAGAATTTACATTTTACACAGCACGTTGTTTTTTATATACAATTATTTAAATATATAAAAGTACGGAAAGTATTAAAATAAATTCTATTTATATATATATGTTATTAAATTTTACTTATATATATCGTAATTCATTAAATTTTATTTATTAATATATGTTTGAATTTATTTCCTTAATAGGTAGTTTCGTTTTTCGTAACAAAACTAAATCTTTCACAAACGCATATTTATCTGTTTCAATTATTCATAACGAAAATCAATATTACTACACACACAAAACTTATTTTACTTGAATTAAAAATTTATATCAGATAATACGAGACGGTGCTCGAACAGGTAAAAGTATTTTAAAATAATATGGACTCTACGGAGCAAAAATGAAAAATTACTGACAAAAATATAACCAGTCAAAGTTCTTTTACAATTTTCAAATCCGTTTGTTTACAGTATTCAATTTTACAAAATTTTAATTATTCGTAAATTCTTCGATTAAATATTTATTAGAAAATGGAAACTTCAAATAATTTTAAAAAATTCAATTCAACTTTTTCAAAAAAATTAATTTCAAAATTCAATTATTTCGAAAAATTCACGCTATATTGCTTTTAATATTCAATTATTATCTAAAATTTTAACTAAAATTCATTTTTAAATCAATTTTTATTAGAAAATTCTACTAGAATTCAATTATTTAAATACAAAAACAAATATTTTATTGAATAATTCAATGTTTCTTAAAATTCAATTCCCATAAAGAATTTTATCAACATATTTTAAAATAATTGAATTCTTTTGACGAATTTTAATAAATTTTTTAAGAATAATTAAATTTTTCTAGAAATTCGATTAAAATTGTATTAAAAATAATTAAAACTCTGCGATGAGTTTTTATTATTTATGAAAATAATTGAATTCTTGTGATGAATATTGTTATTTATGAAAATAATTGAATTTTACAATGAATTTTACAAAAATTCCTGAATGTAATTGAATTTCGGCGAAGAATTTTATTAATTTTGAAAATAATTGAAATCGTTCGAAAAATTGCGTTAAATTTTTTGAAATAATATTACCTATATTAAATATTTAAAAAATTGAATTCTTTTGGAAAATTTTATTAAAATAGTAGAGATTGAAAATCATTAGAATAAATATTGAATTGAAGAAATTTCCTGAAAATAATTGAAATTTTGCCTAGAATTTTATTAAAATTTTTGAAAGTAATTGAATTTCGGAGAAGAATTTTATTACTTTTGAAAATAATTGAAATTTTTAAGTGGATTTAAACAATTTTTGAACATAATTTAATTTCTGCGAAGACATTACTTTTGAAAATAATTTAAATTTTAAATAATTGAATTCTTTCGACGAACTTTAATAAAAATTTTGAAGAATAATTATACATTTTTCAAGGAATTTGATTAAAATGGTATTAAAAATAATTTATATTCTACAATGAATTTTATTATTGATAAAAATAATTGAATTCCTAAAAAGAATTTTATTATTTACGAAAATAATTGAATCCCTGTAAAAATTGTATTATTTATGAAATTAATTGAATGATTGCGAAGAAATTTATAAAAAATTTGTAAATAATTGATGACAATTTTTGAAAATAATAGAAATTTTGCTAAGAATTTTATTAAAATTTTTGAAAATAATTGAATTTCGAAGAAGAATTTAATTATTTCTGAAGATAATTGAAATTTTTACCTATTTCGAGGCCTGTACGAGACTAAATTACTTTTTGTACACGATGGTGTAATAAATAATAAAGTGTATAGATTTCAAAAAACTTTATTATAAAAAACAGTCCCACAATTAATAGAATACATTCCAAACACCTCGTTCATCAAGCATATTATTAACTTAAAAAAAACTGATACATATTAAATGTAAAATATTGAAAAATGACATTTTGTATAAGTACAGAATCAAAATTTTAAAGTGTCATCACTTTATTCCATTTAATCCATTTAATAATACAATATAATTCAAAAAGAATTTTATTTTAAGATACACTCGATTGTTGATTATTCCTAAAGTTGTATTATTTCATTTATTATAGGCAACTATTTTCTGTAAAGTTTGATAATTGTAATTTCTATTCAACATTTATTTATTCTCTCCCCCTGTGTTTTTTTTACTCACTCACATACACAAATACACATTCGTACGCGCGCTCTAAAATTCTCTTTTTTGAAAGAGAACATTTAATTCGACATCAGCATTATTGTATTTAACTACTTATTACAAAAATGATAAAATTTGCAATAGTTTTTTTTTACACATTCAAAGTGAGTTAATTTTTTCTTTTTTGAATTCTAAAGACTCACTTAGAAATGTAATAATGATCGCTTATAATTTTTTTTTTTTAATTAGAGCTGAAAATAAATCTTGAGAAAATTACAATTGTTACATATTACAGACGCGATTCATTCATTCAAATAACATATTTACACATTATTTTCTTTTTCTTTCAACGCAAAAAACGAACGGAGTAAGGCATGTTATTTTTTTTCGTGTTACTTGTCTGGTTGTGTATGCAATATAGCACCAAAAAATTATTTAAAATTTTATCTATGTTATGTAGTTGAATAATAAAATTTGACAACGTACTCATTGGCTGTAATAGTCATTAAAAAATAATAGGGAGTGTTTCTTAGTTTAAAAGAAAAGAGTAGAATATATTTATCTTTTTTGTATAAAGTTTGGTAAAAAATATGGGCTGTGAGAATTTTTCTTCAACTATTGTGCATTGTCTTAGATTTAAAAAAGAAAAAAAAAATGATTAGGAAGGAAATGAAAATTTTCGAAATGAAAATTTCGGCACAGCCCATGAAAAAATTGGCCCTTATTGGAGAATATATTTATATCGCAGTTAATAGGATAAATCTTTCATTTCAAAGTTTGCTTTTCATATTCATCACACCTCCAGACTTTGACCCGTTTAGCAAAATGTGCTTTTTTTTAATTAATTCTCTTAATATATAAAAAAATCTAGTTCTATTGACTTTTAAGCTCTTTGCCAATACTATAGGAGACAATTTTGTTCCAATCGATTTTAGTTCGCATGACAGGTAATTGCCTTCGTAAAGCCTTAAACGTTGTGTCTGACATTGTTTGATAATTTTCAGATATTGCAGTCTGATAATCGTTCTCTGATTCCTCGACGAGTCGTATTAATTCCTTAGCAGTTTGTTTCTCGGATGAGATAGGCAGACTTTCTTTCACATCTTTACTACTGACTAATTGAACATTTCCGTCCTCGTAATAGTGTACTTGTACCTTTAAACAACCTCTTAATTCTGCAGTACCGGAACTTGTACTAAAACTCACTGTCCATACTGAACGCCAGCGTCCATTCCAGAAATTTTTAGGTTGAAATTGGTGATCCTCTATGCAAGCAGTTAGAGTTATGTTCCCTGTAAAAAGAATTTCGTTTTAGTAAAACAGGGTTGACACAAAAATTTAGTTTTGTTTTTCCCCGACTTTTCCCTGACTTCAAGACAAAATTTTGACAATTTCCCTGACCCTAAAGAATAAATTGATTCAATCTAAAAATTAATAGATACATAAAAATAAATTGTATTACATTTATTTACGAATTTCTTAAATTGTAAAATTATTCGTTTTTAACAAAAATTCTTGTTAAAATCGATTATTTTTAATAATTTTCGAAAAAGTTCTTTGAGAATTTTCAAATTCATTTGTTTACAATATAATTTTACAAAATTTCAATTATTCGTAAATTTTTCATTTAAATATAAATATTTGAAAATAAAAACCTGAAATAATTTCAAAAAAATCCGCAATTAAACTTTCTCAAAAAAAATTAATTCCACAGAATTGTAGGTAAAAATTTTATTATTTATGAAAATAATTGAATGATTGCGAAGAAATTTATAACAAAATTTGTAAATAATTGAATTCCTGTGAAATTTTTAGTATTTTCTGCAAATAATTAAAGGTTTGCGTAGAATTTTATTAAATTATTTTTAAATAATTGAATTCTTTTAAAAAGTTTATTAAATTGGTAGTTATTGAAAAATCATTGAATTGAGGAAAATTTTTGAAAATAATTGAAATTTTGCCAAGAATTTTATTAAAATTTTTGTAAATAATTGAATTTTGAAGAAGAATTTAATTATTTCTGAATATAATTGAAATTTTGACCAGAATTTAAAAAATGTTTTAAACATAATTAAATTTGTGAGAAGAATTTTATTACTTTTGAAAATAATTGATTGTCTGTAATTATTTGTATCTTCTTCAAAATTCAATTCGTTCTTAGTGTTTTTGTCTAAAATTCTTCTATAAATCCATTATTTTTAATAATTAATTAAATATGTATATATATTAAAAAATTTAACTAATTTCAGAAGAATTTCGCAAAACATAATTTTTTTTAAAAACAAACCTCCTTGGCTCTTTCCAAAGACAGAGCAAGCTCCATGTCTGTAGTGATTTTGAGTGTAGGTTGTTATTTCTTCTTGTAGAGCAGATCTCCAGGGCTCTGCAGTCGAATCCGGTTCGTATGCCTCATAATCCTGAGCTTCTTTTCTCAAATGATCGTATTTAAAATTCTGTTTACTCCGAGCATCGTAAAATCTCGAACCTCCCAAGTCATTGTGCTCGGTTATAAGTGCCGGATATTCACTTCCCTCTATCTGAATGCGAAAAAAATCAAACTTGTTAGAAAAATATTAACATATTTTGTTTTGAAAATAATCCTTTTATATAAAGTTCCCGACCTTTTTTTTAAATTAAAACACTCAAGCAATTTCAATTTCCAAAAACATAGATGTCTCACACTCTCACCCTACATTTCAACCTCAAAATAGGTCACACACTATCATCATTATCCAGCAGATAAAACGATAAAAATAAACTCCTTTCAAAACAATTTTCACGACAAATCACCATAAAAAGAAAATTACGAAAGTCATGATCGAAAAAAGTAAGTTTATTTAGCTTTCGAGAAAAAAAAGAGAAATGTCAATAACCTTTCGATAAAAAAAAGGATTTCGGCAATAAAGAAAAGAAAGTAAATTATAAATTGTATAGTAATTAATTGTTCCGAGTAATCCAAGGAATTAGGGATCAAAATTCGAGTATGTTGTTTGAATAAAAAATTGTTTTAAAAAGAAAATTGCAAGTTTTCAGGAAATTGTAGGTACCTTAACAGGCGTGAGCTGGTCCTTGTTGTAAAGTGCAAATGCACAAGACGCGCCCTCCTTTAATAAATTATCATTATTCAATAGAACTCTCACATCGTTAAAAACTTCATTAAACTCGCCAGGAGGCGAATGCAAAATAAAATTCGAAACTATTCGCACTTTTTCTTGATCAGGAATCACATCTCCATCCGCCGCCATCTTATCTTACCTTTACAACTGTACGCGCACGCACACCAACATAACCCAACTTAACCTAATGTGTCAAACGCCCTATACTCACAATACGATAAGACGCGGGTGAATCATATTAAATGTATACAATATATACCCATAAATATCTTTTTCTTTTCGAATAAAAAAAAATTTAATACTCCTAATAATTTGTCGAGTAAAAAACTGTTAATTTTGATTTATTTTTTCGTAATTACTACGGTTATTACAAAGGAAAATTTGTCCGTTTTTCCATAAAACTGTTATGATTCCTTTTTGATTTAAATTTATTTTGTATACAATATATATAAGTATTAGTATTTCATTCTATTATTTTATTTGAAAGGAAGAAAATAATTTTTTATTACTAATTACTAATCTTAGAAAATAGAAATTTTCTTTATTTTTTAGGTTATGTTTTTTAAGAGTGAAATATTCTAATTATATTATTGTTATTTTAATTTTTTCTTTTTTTCTTATTTAGATTAAAGGAAATGATAATAAGGGCAAAAAAGTAAGAATATTTACATTTAAAACATTTTTTAAATATTTGTAAATAAAAGTTATATTGATTTTTTTGTGTTTGTTTTTTTTCAGGGATTGTAAACATCTTGAAAACAATGGCTGATATTCCAATTATTAGCGATATCCTTTTAATGAAAGAAGGATCGTGCTCGGACACCTGCCGCAGTAGTATAATAGGTTTGTCAATTTTATTGTTTTCTTTTATTTCATTTCTTTATTTTCTTTTCTTTGATTTATTTTGAATTTCATTTCTTTCTTTTCTTGCGTCAAAAAAGGGTTGCCACAGGTCAGGGAAATCAGGGAAAAGTCAGGGATTTTTATTAAAAGTACTGGAAAAAATTAAATGTTTATGATTTATAAGAAAATTATGAATTCTTATGTCTTTGTTTGCCTCATAAACAAATTCTCAAAAAAACCTTAAATTTTTTCTATCTTTGACAATAATTTATTTTAAATAACTTAATTCTATTGAAGAACTGCCATAAAGTTATAATGAAATATTATTTTGAAAAATTTTAATTTCAATTCTGTTGAAATTATTTTCAATTTTAGAAATTTTAACGCAATTCTTTGAAGGAATTCATAACTATCTTAATAAATATTAAAATTTTTTAAAGAAATTCAATTATTTTCAAAAATTTTTTTAAAAATTCTCGTCAACATTTCAATTATTTTTATAAATAGCAAAATTCTTCGCCGAAATTCAATTATATTCAGTAATTTTTATAAAATTCAATTATTTTCATAAATTAAGGAAATTCGTAAATAAATGTATTAGAACATTTTTTTGAGTATCTAATAATTTTTAGAGTGAATGAGAATATTCTTTAAGGTCAGGGAAAGAGTCCAAAAATTTGTTTGGAAACTAGAGAAAAACAAAATTTAATTTTTGTGGCAACTCTGAAAAACAGGGATAATGTGAAAAAATTAAAATATTACTTAAGGGGACATTCATTTTTCTCTAAAATAGAGAGAACGTTAGTGAAAAAATTATTTCTCCTAATTTGTTCAATACATCGAATTCTGTATAATAAATAAAATATTCAATTCTGTAATTCTGTAATTTTTTTCAAATTTCTTATTAATTAAGAATTAATTTGAATTCGAATGTACAACTATATTACATGTAGGAAAATTTATTTTTTCTTTTTTAATGATAAATTTGTTTTCAGGTTTATCGTCTAAAATTACGAGTGGGTTCGTGTGAAATAATGTAATTTTCTGAAAAAAAAAATGTTTTAAAGGAAAAAAAGATGACAAATTGAATGTCCTCTTAAACATTATAATTAACGAATGATAAACGTAAGGAATAAATCTAAACCACTATGAAAGATATTAGGGAACGTCAGTTTGTGAGCAAACTCGATCGCTATCAACTTGAAGACAAATATTTGCGGGTGCTCGAAGAAATGGAAAGTTTGAAAAAACAATCCAATCAACAAGAAGATAAACTTAAAAGACTGACTACTAAATTAATGAGAGTTTCTGCAAATCCTTCGGCTTTTGTTAATCTTCATGATATTTGTAATGACAAGGAGAGAATTTCTGCTTTGGAATGCGAAAATAATAAGGTTCTCCCTTAACATTCGATTCGTCCTATTTTTTATTTATTTATTTTTTATTATTTCATTTTAGACGAATAATTATTATTCTTATTATTAATTATAAATTATTTTTTCCTTCTAGTTAAAAAATAAAGTAAATGTATTAAGAAATCAGTTATTGTGTTATGTAAACCAAAGATTATCGCCTAAGAAATTTCACAAATTTATGGTAGGAACACCAAAAACTGAAAAGTAAGTGAAATTTTTCTAAAAATATTGTAGTAAATTTTTAGTGTTTGTTTTGGTTTTATTTTTTTATTTTCTGTTATCGTAGAAACTCAAAGTTGAAAACCGACTCTAGTCAATTTTTGTCACCAAATAATGAAGAGGATTTGCAAAAATTTCAAGTACGTATAATTAATTTTCTATAATTTTCTAAATAATTACAAATTTTCTAAATTCTTTTATTTTTTGGTATTTGTTTAAGGAACTTGAATCACAATCGAAGGAAATGACATTTAGAATTTCGGAACTCGAAAGTGAATTAGTGAATCGTGATACTGAGAATCAAAGGGAAAAAATTGCGGACAATATTAAACACATTCGTAATTTGCGTTATATTAATGAATGCACTGGACAGCTTGTTGTGTTTGAAAATGAGAATAAATCTCTAAAATTAGAAGTCGAGAATCTGAGAAAACTTCTCGCCGACACAAAAAAGTGAGCATAACATTAAATTTTCGTTATAATTTTAATTTTAATGTAATTCTTTTCAACTGTTTTGTATTATTAATTTAAAATTTTTATTCTTTTAAAAACAGAATAAACAAAGAGATGACATCTTCGCTGCTAGTGGAAAGAAAGAAACTAACCGAAATGGATTTGCAAATTTTCAAAACAAAAGACTCGGAACTTTCTCTCAGGGAAAAAGATGAGCAGATTCAAGATTTAATGAACGAAATAAAAATTCTCCAACAACACAATAGCGAATTAATAGCACTAAGTACCAAGTATTCTAATGTGGAAATCGAAAATTTACAGTTGACGAACAAAATATCGGACCATGTGAATAATAACGAAGTTTTGAAAAATGCATTGAATAACGAGCAGGCGAATTCAATTGCTCTTCAAACGGCCAATTCGCAATTGCTCCTGAAATTAAATGAACTCCAGAGAAATGTCGATACATTGACAATTCAGCTGACGGTAAATATTGTAAAAAATTAAATTATTATAAAATAAGGGCTAGAACTAGATTCGTAAATCCCATAAAGATCCATAAATTTGCTTAAAGTCCGTAAAAGTCAGTTTAAAAAAAAAAAAGTCCGTAATTTTACTGAGAAAAGACGAATAGTTCGTAAATTGTACGATATAATTTGGAGAATTTTAGAGAAATTACAAATAATTGCAGAAATTCAATTATTTTCAAAAGAAATAAAATTCTTCGCAAAAATTCAATTATGTTCAAAAAATTTTTAAAATTCTCGTCAAAATTTCAATTATCTTTAGAAATAATTTAAATTCTCCTCCGAAATTCAATTATTTTCAAAAAATTTAATAAAATTCTTGTCAAAATTTCAATTATTTTCAAAAGTTTTCCTCAATTCAATGATTTTTAATATCTACTTAACTAATTTAATAAAAATTTTCAAAAGAATTCAATTATTTAAAAATAATTAAATAAATTTCTACGCAAACCTTTCATTATTTTCATAAAGTGTGTTTTTAAAAAGCCCAAAAATAGTAAATATGTAAATAAGTAAAGTGTTTTTCAAGAGCCCAAAAATAATAAAGCTCTTTATGCCATAAAACAGAAGAGAAAATGTTGATTTTTAAGAAATTCGGTTTTTTGAATTTTTGATATTTTTAATAAATTTAAATTTTTTACCAAAGGGTGGAGATTTTTAAATAAGTAAAACATTTTTCAAGAGCACAATAATAATGAAGCTTTCTGCCATAAAACAGCAGAGAAAATATTGATTTTTAAGAAATTCGGTTTTTTGAATTTTTGATATTTTTAATAAATTTAAATTTTTTACCAAAGGGTGGAGATTTTTAAATAAGTAAAACATTTTTCAATAGCACAAAAATAATGAAGCTTTCTGCCATAAAACAGCAGAGAAAATGTTGATTTTTAAGAAATTCGGTTTTTTGAATTTTAGATAATTTTCGAAAATTTTACATTCTTTACCAAACAGTCGAGACTATTAAATAAGTAAAGTATTTTCCAAAAGCACAAAAATAATGAAGCTAAATCCCATAAAAGAGAGGAAAAAATGTTGAATTTTAAGAAATTCGGTATTTTGAATTTTTGATAATTTTCGAAAATTTTACAATCTTTACCAAACAGTCGAGACTATTAAATAAGTAAAGTATTTTCCAAAAGCACAAAAATAATGAAGCTAAATCCCATAAAAGATAAGAAAAATGTTGAATTTTAAGAAATTCTGATTTTTGAATTTTTGATAATTTTCGAAAATTTTAGATTTTTTACCAAAGATTCGAGACTATTAAATAAGTAAAGTATTTTCCAAAAGCACAAAAATAATGAAGCTAAATTCCATAAAAGAAAGGAAAAATGTTGAATTTTAAGAAATTCGGTTTTTAGAATTTTTGATAATTTTCGAAAATTTTAAATTTTTTACCAAACAGTCGAGACTATTAAATAAGTAAAGTATTTTCCAAAAGCACAAAAATAATGAAGCTAAATCCCATAAAAGAGAGGAAAAAATGTTGAATTCTAAGAAATTCGGTTTTTTGAATTTTTGATAATTTTCGAAAATTTTACATTTTTTACCAAACAGTCGAGACTATTAAATAAGTAAAGTATTTTCCAAAAGCACAAAAATAATGAAGCTAAATCCCATAAAAGAGAGGAAAAAATGTTGAATTTTAAGAAATTCGGATTTGTGAATTTTTGATAATTTTCGAAAATTTTACATTTTTTACCAAAGAGTCGAGACTATTAAATAAGTAAAGTATTTTCCAAAAGCACAAAAATAATGAAGCTAAATCCCATAAAAGAGAGGAAAAAATGTTGAATTTTAAGAAATTCGGTTTTTTGTATTTTTGATAATTTTCGAAAATTTTACATTTTTTACCAAACAATCGAGACTATTGAATAAGTAAAGTATTTTCTAAAAGCACAAAAATAATGAAGCTAAATCCCATAAAAGAGAAGAAAAAATGTTGAATTTTAAGAAATTCGGATTTTTGAATTTTTGATAATTTTCGAAAATTTTAGATTTTTTACCAAAGAGTCGAGACTATTAAATAAGTAAAGTATTTTCTAAAAGCACAAAAATAATGAAGCTAAATCCCATAAAAGAGAGGAAAAAATGTTAAATTTTAAGAAATTCGGTTTTTAGAATTTTTGATAATTTTCGAAAATTTTACATTTTTTACCAAACAGTCGAGACTATTAAATAAGTGAAGTATTTTCCAAAAGCACAAAAATAATGAAGCTAAATCCCATAAAAGAGAGGAAAAAATGTTGAATTTTAAGAAATTCGGTTTTTTGTATTTTTGATAATTTTCGAAAATTTTACATTTTTTACCAAACAATCGAGACTATTGAATAAGTAAAGTATTTTCCAAAAGCACAAAAATAATGAAGCTAAATCCCATAAAAGAGAAGAAAAAATGTTTAATTTTAAGAAATTCGGATTTTTGAATTTTTGATAATTTTCGAAAATTTTAGATTTTTTACCACAGAGTCGAGACTATTAAATAAGTAAAGTATTTTCTAAAAGCACAAAAATAATGAAGCTAAATCCCATAAAAGAGAGGAAAAAATGTTGAATTTTAAGAAATTCGGTTTTTAGAATTTTTGATAATTTTCGAAAATTTTACATTTTTTACCAAACAATCGAGACTATTAAATAAGTGAAGTATTTTCCAAAAGCACAAAAATAATGAAGCTAAATCCCATAAAAGAGAGGAAAAAATGTTGAATTTTAAGAAATTCGGTTTTTTGAATTTTTGATAATTTTCGAAAATTTTACATTTTTTACCAAACAATCGAGACTATTGAATAAGTAAAGTATTTTCCAAAAGCACAAAAATAATGAAGCTAAATCCCATAAAAGAGAAGAAAAAATGTTGAATTTTAAGAAATTCGGATTTTTGAATTTTTGATAATTTTCGAAAATTTTAGATTTTTTACCAAAGAGTCGAGACTATTAAATAAGTAAAGTATTTTCCAAAAGCACAAAAATAATGGAGCTAAATCCCATAAAAGATAGGAAAAAATGTTGAATTTTAAGAAATTCGGTTTTTTGAATTTTTGATAATTTTCGAAAATTTTACATTTTTTACCAAACAGTCGAGACTATTAAATAAGTGAAGTATTTTCCAAAAGCACAAAAATAATGAAGCTAATCCCATAAAAGGGAGGAAAAAATGTTGAATTTTAAGAAATTCGGTTTTTTGAATTTTTGATATTTTTAATAAATTTAAATTTTTTACCAAAGGGTGGAGATTTTTAAATAAGTAAAACATTTTTCAAGAGCACAAAAATAATGAAGCTTTCTGCCATAAAACAGCAGAGAAAATGTTGATTTTTAAGAAATTCGGTTTTTTGAATTTTAGATAATTTTCGAAAATTTTACATTCTTTACCAAACAGTCGAGACTATTAAATAAGTAAAGTATTTTCCAAAAGCACAAAAATAATGAAGCTAAATCCCATAAAAGAGAGGAAAAAATGTTGAATTTTAAGAAATTCGGTATTTTGAATTTTTGATAATTTTCGAAAATTTTACAATCTTTACCAAACAGTCGAGACTATTAAATAAGTAAAGTATTTTCCAAAAGCACAAAAATAATGAAGCTAAATCCCATAAAAGATAAGAAAAATGTTGAATTTTAAGAAATTCTGATTTTTGAATTTTTGATAATTTTCGAAAATTTTAGATTTTTTACCAAAGATTCGAGACTATTAAATAAGTAAAGTATTTTCCAAAAGCACAAAAATAATGAAGCTAAATTCCATAAAAGAAAGGAAAAATGTTGAATTTTAAGAAATTCGGTTTTTAGAATTTTTGATAATTTTCGAAAATTTTACATTTTTTACCAAACAATCGAGACTATTGAATAAGTAAAGTATTTTCCAAAAGCACAAAAATAATGAAGCTAAATCCCATAAAAGAGAAGAAAAAATGTTGAATTTTAAGAAATTCGGATTTTTGAATTTTTGATAATTTTCGAAAATTTTAGATTTTTTACCAAAGAGTCGAGACTATTAAATAAGTAAAGTATTTTCTAAAAGCACAAAAATAATGAAGCTAAATCCCATAAAAGAGAGGAAAAAATGTTGAATTTTAAGAAATTCGGATTTTTGAATTTTTGATAATTTTCGAAAATTTTAGATTTTTTACCAAAGATTCGAGACTATTAAATAAGTAAAGTATTTTCCAAAAGCACAAAAATAATGAAGCTAAATCCCATAAAAGAGAGGAAAAAATGTTGAATTTTAAGAAATTCGGTTTTTTGTATTTTTGATAATTTTCGAAAATTTTACATTTTTTACCAAACAATCGAGACTATTGAATAAGTAAAGTATTTTCCAAAAGCACAAAAATAATGAAGCTAAATCCCATAAAAGAGAAGAAAAAATGTTTAATTTTAAGAAATTCGGATTTTTGAATTTTTGATAATTTTCGAAAATTTTAGATTTTTTACCAAAGAGTCGAGACTATTAAATAAGTAAAGTATTTTCTAAAAGCACAAAAATAATGAAGCTAAATCCCATAAAAGAGAGGAAAAAATGTTGAATTTTAAGAAATTCGGTTTTTAGAATTTTTGATAATTTTCGAAAATTTTACATTTTTTACCAAACAGTCGAGACTATTAAATAAGTGAAGTATTTTCCAAAAGCACAAAAATAATGAAGCTAAATCCCATAAAAGAGAGGAAAAAATGTTGAATTTTAAGAAATTCGGTTTTTTGAATTTTTGATAATTTTCGAAAATTTTACATTTTTTACCAAACAATCGAGACTATTGAATAAGTAAAGTATTTTCCAAAAGCACAAAAATAATGAAGCTAAATCCCATAAAAGAGAAGAAAAAATGTTGAATTTTAAGAAATTCGGATTTTTGAATTTTTGATAATTTTCGAAAATTTTAGATTTTTTACCAAAGAGTCGAGACTATTAAATAAGTAAAGTATTTTCCAAAAGCACAAAAATAATGGAGCTAAATCCCATAAAAGATAGGAAAAAATGTTGAATTTTAAGAAATTCGGTTTTTTGAATTTTTGATAATTTTCGAAAATTTTACATTTTTTACCAAACAGTCGAGACTATTGAATAAGTAAAGTATTTTCCAAAAGCACAAAAATAATGAAGCTAAATCCCATAAAAGAGAAGAAAAAATGTTTAATTTTAAGAAATTCGGATTTTTGAATTTTTGATAATTTTCGAAAATTTTAGATTTTTTACCAAAGAGTCGAGACTATTAAATAAGTAAAGTATTTTCTAAAAGCACAAAAATAATGAAGCTAAATCCCATAAAAGAGAGGAAAAAATGTTGAATTTTAAGAAATTCGGTTTTTAGAATTTTTGATAATTTTCGAAAATTTTACATTTTTTACCAAACAGTCGAGACTATTAAATAAGTGAAGTATTTTCCAAAAGCACAAAAATAATGAAGCTAAATCCCATAAAAGAGAGGAAAAAATGTTGAATTTTAAGAAATTCGGTTTTTTGAATTTTTGATAATTTTCGAAAATTTTACATTTTTTACCAAACAATCGAGACTATTGAATAAGTAAAGTATTTTCCAAAAGCACAAAAATAATGAAGCTAAATCCCATAAAAGAGAAGAAAAAATGTTGAATTTTAAGAAATTCGGTTTTTTGAATTTTAGATAATTTTCGAAAATTTTACATTCTTTACCAAACAGTCGAGACTATTAAATAAGTAAAGTATTTTCCAAAAGCACAAAAATAATGAAGCTAAATCCCATAAAAGAGAAGAAAAAATGTTGAATTTTAAGAAATTCGGATTTTTGAATTTTTGATAATTTTCGAAAATTTTAGATTTTTTACCAAAGATTCGAGACTATTAAATAAGTAAAGTATTTTCCAAAAGCACAAAAATAATGAAGCTAAATCCCATAAAAGAGAGGAAAAAATGTTGAATTTTAAGAAATTCGGTTTTTTGAATTTTTGATAATTTTCGAAAATTTTACATTTTTTACCAAACAATCGAAACTATTAAATAAGTAAAGTATTTTCCAAAAGCACAAAAATAATGAAGCTAAATCCCATAAAAGAGAAGAAAAAATGTTGAATTTTAAGAGATTCGGTTTTTTGAATTTTTGATATTTTTAATAAATTTAAATTTTTTACCAAAGATTAGAGACTGTTAAATAAGTAAAGTATTTTTCAAGAGCACAAAAATAATGAAGCTTTATGCCATAAAACAGCAGAGAAAATGTTGATTTTTAAGAAATTCGGTTTTTTGAATTTTTGATATTTTTAATAAATTTAAATTTTTTACCAAAGAGTGAAGATTTGTAAATAAGTGTAGTGTTTTTCAAAAGCACAAAAATAATGAAGCTTTATGCCATAAAAGAGAAGAGAAAATGTTGATTTTTAAGAAATTTGGCTTTTTCGAATTTTAGATGTTTTATTAAAGTGTGGGGACTATTAACAGGTTGTCTAATATTAGAAGATTCATTACAAGATTTTTATTATCGTTTATTTTTATAATTAGATATTAATTTATTGTTAAATATGTCAGTTACTATATTTTTTTAGTTTTTTTGATTTTCTATGTGAAAGTCAGGGAATTATTTTCCTAATCCTTGTTAGATACCCTATCTTTAAAATCTGAATTTTTGATATTTTTAACTAACATTCTGTGGAATTAATTTTTTTGAGAAAGTTGAATTGAATTTTTTTTATATTATTTTAAGTTTTTATTTTCTAACATATATTTAATTGAAGAATTTACGAATAATTGAAATTTCGTAAAATTGAATATTGTAAATAAATGGTTTTGAAAATTGTCAAAGAACTTTTTCGAAAATTATTAGAAATTATCGATTTAAAGAAGAATTGTACTTAAAAATTCTTGAAAATAATAATTGAATTGATAATGATTTTATCACTCGGGCATTTTTAATTATTATAAAATATGAAGAAATCGATGACTCCGAGTCGAAGACTCGGAGTAATTGATTTCTTCATGTTTTATAGTTATGAAAAATTTAATTTATAGTTTTAAGTAAAATATTCTTTTATTTGACTCCGACTGGTTATATTTTTTCTCAGTAATTGTTCCATTATTTTTCATTTTTTGTCCGTAAAGTCCGTATTTTTAAATACTTTCACTGTTTCGTGCCCTGTAAAACAGTTCCTTTTACTCTACAAAGTAGAAGAATAAACGATTTTTTTTATTCACAGACCTATGAAGAAATATCCGTGAAGCAGAAATCAACCCCAAAAAAGAAGGAGCGAGACGAAAAATATTCATATTCTCCACAAGCGTCTGAAAATATTCCCTCCGATTTGTCTAAAAATAAAACGAAACACTGCACGACGATCATAAAAGAAGAATTGAAACTGAGAATAGAAAAAGAATCACAAACTGAAAATAGTTATTTACAAAAGTCTGAGAATTTTCGTAAAAAAGAGAACGAATTTATTCAGCCAATTGTAAATTCGGAAATTCCCGAAAGAAGAAAACAAGAGGAAATTAATAGAAATACGACGAATATTCAAAATGGAAATACATTGTCGCCGGAGAGAATGTTGAAATTATTGGAACAGGCACAAATATCAAATCAAATTGAAATGCAAAACAACCGATTGAAACAAGTTGATCCCATTTCGGAATCGATACAAAAACAAAGGCAAGTTGTTAATCTTGAAACATTACTTTTTGGCGATTCCAATATCTTTTGACATTGGCTGTCGGAAAATTTAGTAATTTCAATCTGTCATTAGAAATATTTATTGTTGTTGGTGAAAAAGATATTTTGAAAAGAAATTTTTTTATTGTTAAATTGTATTTAAGAGGAAGAAAGGGTAAATTAAGTCAGAGGTTGTTTTGCAAACTTTAGTATTGATTTCACTTGAAGTAGGATTTCGAGTAGAAAATGTAGAATTTCCGCAGGGGCCAGAAAAATTTCGAAGAGAATTTTTATAGATTCTCTTATGAAAAATTCTCTTCTTTGAATTCTTTGAATATTTTCTAAATATTAATTTTTTAATTCTAACGGAATTTTTCTGTTAACCAAATATTCACTATTTATCAATTTTCTTATTCTTATTCACTTCTATTGTTAGCTTTATAAATTTTTTCTAAACTCAATATTGATCTTAGCGCTTCCATGGAGGAGGTTTTAATTTTAATCGATGTTTAGAAATACAATGAATAGTACAAATTTAATTAAGTAATGGTAATAATAATAGGAATAATATTTTATTTTTAAGGCAATTGTATTTGTTTTAAAAGTTGATCACGACAGATAAATGTATTGTTATCGAATTCTGGCACGTCTTTCGATTGATGTTATCGAATTGATATTGCCACAGTGTGGAACGTTTCGAATTATTTAAACAGACTAATTTACTTTCTTAATCGAAAATATTGTTAGTCTAAAAAAAACTCATGTACCTAGAGCAAATTAATTTAAAATCACTATTCAATTTTTGTACTTTGCAGACAATAATAAGAAAATTAAAGATAGAAACAAAAATCTAAATTTTCTTCAGTATAATTAATTTTTCTTCAATTTCATTTCTTTCGTTTGATTAATTTAAAAAAATTTTATTTTGATTTAATTATTTATTTAATGGAATATTTATTACTATTATTTCGTTAATTATAATTTATTTAATTTCTATTTCTTGAAAATCTTTTATTTTTCGTTTCAACTTTTGTAAACAATTTTCAATGTATTTTTACATTCTGTTTTTTTTTAACGATACGAGTTTATTTTAGGAACACCGAAAAGCCTTCCCTAGTCAATCGCACTCTTTTACTTAATAGATCAATTTAAACATCCGTTTGCAGATTGAAAGAAGGAGGAATGAAATTTATTCAAGATTTAGAAACAATGCAATATTTAAGCAGGCACATCGTCAATTATTGCTCGAATATTATTCCCTTTAAAGATCCAAATCAAATTCTATTTCTCTTCTCCGAGATTTTGAAAGACTATAATTCTTCCTCAAAATTTGGAAACAAAAATAATGTTCAGAAAACTTTTATTGACTCAAACAATAACGAAACGGAATTAGAGCCAAATTATCGTAAGACTGGAGAAAATGTTATTTTTCAAAATTATGAAATTTTTAAATCTAAATTAATTAAAAAAGAAGAAGATGATGAAGATGAAAAAAGCGAGAAGGAGAAATCCGAATGTTTCTGTATTTGCGATGGAAGGTGTCCCAATTATTTTTACAAACAAACTAATGAAAAATGCGTTTGCTGTTGTATTCAAAATTCCAAAAATTCGACTAATTGCGAAAGTTGTTCGAAAGGAAAGAATTTGTTTGAAAATATTGTTTCTGATGTTAATTCAATTAAGCAAACTTTTCATAAGCATCCAAATTTAGAATCGAAAAAAAAGCAGAGTAGAAATTATAATTCGAAATTATTGGATAATTCAATTTTAATAACCAAGGATCAAGGTCTTTTGGAAGTTCACATAGTTCGACTTCAATTGTCTAAATCGGTAAGTTTTAAAAATTAGAAAAGAAAATTCTATTTTTAGCCAAAAGAAAATTAAAATAAAATATTTATTATTATTGATACTTTTTTCAATTTTCAGGCAGTGCGACTACTCTATCAGGACAACGACCTATGGAAAGCATCCTTCTTCATTAGTTGGGACATTGAGGATCAAAAAACATCATTCACGCCAGTGATGAATTATCCAAATTTAAATTTTGACTCATCGTCGATCTTTGTCGTTCTTGATCTCTACAATTTTTTGCACTACATTTTTGAGAAATATATCACTTTTCGAGTTCATGCTTTTTATCCAAATAAAGTGACTCACACTGTTGCCGAAACAAAAATTTGCATCAAGGAGATTATCGACTATCCTCACAATAAAATGCAGTATATTTCTTCAGTGACAAGTGTCATTCCTTGTAGTTATGGAACAAATTTCGGCTATTTGTCTCTATGGATTCGACTCGGCTGTGATCTCAATAAAATCGAAACATTTAAAAATCAACGAGAAATAGTTTCAGAGAGTTCAAAAGTAACAAATGAATCTAAAGATAATCGACAGTCAATAAATTCAACGCCAAATAAGATTCAGAAGGAAAAAGCGGAAAATTATTTATCGTCCGAAACAGAGAGTGATGAGGAATTTATTCGAAAGGAAGGAAGCGAAAAGGAAGAAATGAAAAATTTTACAAATAGAAAAGGTAACAATTTGCAAATTATTTTCTTTATTATAATCTTTATTATTAAAATTTTTTTCTTTATTGAAATCAACTGCAAATATTTATAATTCAGTTGTTAAGAACGAGAATGAGAAAAATTTTGAAATCAGAAACAAAAGGAATAAAAATTCTCTTTTCCGAAAAATGGCGATAAATTCGAATACTTCAACAATATCGACGAATAGCGTTTTCTCAGAAAATGATGAATTCTTTCAGGAAAATGAACACTTGAAGTAAACTATCATTTTGTCGATATTCTAATATTCAGGGCAATAATTTTTGGTCCGTAACGTCCGTATTTATAAATACTTTCACTGCCCTGAATATTAAATAGAAAATCGTTTTCCTTACTTTAAATTAATTGTCTTTATTTAAGAATACTGGAGGAACTGAAGGCAAAAATGACAAAAAATTCCGATCGAATTGTGAATGACGACATTATGGAGTTCAATATGCTTTCAAATAAAAGTCAATCCGATAACACATTATACGAAGTACTCACGGATGACAATTGGGATAAATACAAGATAAAAAATTTTCAAACTACAAGTAAAAATTTTAATTGTACAGTTTTTACTAGAATTACAATTTTTCTTTAATATAAGAATAATTCTGTAATATAGAAACGTTTCATTAATATAAAAATTTGTCTTTAATTTGTACAGATAATCGAGATATTGATGAGGAATCAGATGATAGTGAGTTAGAGGATGATGAGACGTATTCTCTACACGATCAAGTAGGATTTCAATTTTTTATAAAATTCCAAAAAAAAGGAAACGAAAATAAAATTAATATCATTTTTCATTGAAAAACAACCAGGACAAGAAACTCAACTGTATAATAATTGAATTGAAGAGCATAAGACTATTTAAAGAATCCACCATATTTCTGAATCCAAATATTGTTCAACTTTACATTGAATATTCCTTTTTGGGATATTTTGGCAAAGATATGGAAACTTATTCCGTTCCTGTTCCGGAATCTCCAATGTTGGAAATGAAGTATAATTTCAAAAAGGGTGAGAATTACAATTTTAAAATAATAGTAATATTAATATTACTTTATTATTAATTGAAAGAAATTCATTCATAAAATTGAATTACTTTCATAATTTTCAATTTGAATTTTTAAAGAAACTCCATTTATTAAAAAAAAAAAATTCAAAGAAATTCTTTAAGCCAAGAATTTAATTAGGATTTTAAAAAATTTTAATAAAATTCTTTGCAAGAATTCAATTATTTTAAAAAACAATAACAATTCAATTATTTTTATAAATAGTAAAAAATAGAATTAAAAATTTAATTATTTTTAATAATAAAAAATTTCTTCTCTGGAATTCAATTAAAAAATTTATTTTTAGAATTCCAAATAGATGGAAAAAATCATTCGAAACAAAGAGAAATATTAAGAAAAATGTTGACAGGACACTTAGATCCGTGTATTAATTTTATTCTGGTTAGTGAACCTTTACCCGAAGAACAGTTTAAAGATTGCGAAGAAGTCGGGTAACAATCAATAAATTCAATTATTAACTAATTTACAAATTAATTATTATTATTTATTGTTTTCATAAAATTTATTAAATTCTTCCTCTTCTTCTTCTTCTTTTAAATTCTTTATAATTAATCAAATTATTCGCATAAATTCAATTGTTTTAAAGAATTTTAATATAAAATTATAATTAATTTATTATAATAAATTTATAATCTCAAATTATAATTGAAACTTTTAGATTTGCTAAATTAAATCTGAAGGACTATGTTTTGGGCAATTATACTCGAAATATGTCGCTTTTGATAAAGAACATTAATCAAACTAAAAACGTTGGACACTTGAGGGTAATTCGATAATAACTGAAGATTATACGAAACTTATAGATTGATAACGATAAATATATTTACACTTACTTATTTTTAATATACTTAATTATTTTTTAATATTAAATATTAAATATATTATTATTAATTGCCACTATATTATTAATTCGATAATATTCACTTCATATTTAGAATTATTAAACAAATTTACATATTTAATTGCAGATCACTGTCGATGGCATCGAAGCCATGAAAAATTGTTTATAGTCATTCGAGTTTAAATTATTTTCATTTTACTAAATTTTTTACGTTACTTGAAATTTTTTTGAAAATAAAAAAATAAAAATAAATTTTGTAATTCTTTACATTTTGTCGAAAGAATTAGAAAAAATATCGACTTACCAACTTGATTTATAATCACGGAAAAAATATTATTATATCTAAAGAGGAAGTTAAAAAAACGAAAGTTTTCAATAACATTTATTTAATAATTTAATAACAAATTAATATGGACACTTTGTAGTACATCATATTTATTTTTCATTGATAAGGGTAATTATTTCGATAATAATTTAAATCTAAGTATAGTATAAATATAATTTTATATTTATAAATATAATTTTACATTTTTATAAAATATGTTCCAAATGGAAGTGAAAAATGAACACATTGCATATCATTCTTAAAAAGTATTTTTACTAGAAGAAATTTATTTATTTATTTATTTATTATGAAAATATATTTAGTTTCAATATAATGAAACAATTTTCAGTTAGTGCGCTTATTTTAATTACACAAATATTATGCAGTTCTTTCAGGTAAAAATCTATTAGAGTCATAAAGACTAAAATATTTCAGGTACTTTCTTATTAAAAGTTTTTCTTTTACATTATTGCGAATAGAGTAATAAATAAATAAATAAATGACTTGAAATTTTAATTATTATCATATTTTAAAAAATGCAATCTCTTCCTTAGACGTTCCAAGTCTTGGAGAGATAATTAATTATTTAAAATTGTATTTTTTTTCAAATATATATATATAGACTTCAATTTACACTATTAAATGTACAAAATAATTTACTTATTAACATATAGAATTAATTTTACAGAAAGAACGGTCTTGAATAATTTAAAGGCTAAATTGCTTTTAGTAGAAGAATCTCTGAGAAATAAGGTATTTCTTATTTATAATAAGAGAACTCAATATTTTCCCCTGTTTTCTCTAAGAATTGTAAAAAATTCTAGATTAGAACTTTGGGGTTTTGAAAAAAAATTTACTAGAACGTAAATAAAAATTTAACACTGACTATTTAAATTGAGTTTTAAATTTTAAAACCGTTATGATTTTTTCTTTTGCCATTCAAAATGAAAATGGCTTAGTGTTTTTTTTTTTTTTTTGAAAACTAATTGTTTTCATAAATTCATGACTGAAAAATATTTGCAGTCTTTTCATTTCTTTGATGCAAAGCTCTACTTTTTATTTGTACAAAATAAGGCACGTGTAAAAGTAGAATTTTGTCTTGGCTGTGTTTACTGATGGTGATTCAGTTAAATTTTAATCAAGATTTTGATTTATCAATCGAACTTGTACGTTTTTCCCATTCGTTTATCCTTTTCAAAGGATAACATATTATCGCTGATAAGAGAATTAACGAGCCGGATATGTAAAATGAGGCATTATAACTTCCAGTCAAGTCTCTGAAAAGCCCTAGGGGAAAAAAATTTTATTTTATTTTTTCTTTTTTATTATTGTTGATAATTTTTGATAATTTCTGATTTTATTACCTGCCAAAGGTGAGCCGATTGCTGCCGCCATTCCTTGGAATAGAAGAAGAAGTCCAAAGGCATTTGTGAGTTTTTCCAGTCCAACTAAATCGACGACTATAATTGATCTCAGTGAGGCAAATACGGCTGGAAAATTAGGAAAAAAATTGAAATTAAAAGAAAAAAGGAGAGAAAAGAATACGATATACGAAAGTAATGAAAATTTTTTTAATTATTAATATTTGGCGATATTTTTGATGTATTAGATTAATTTTAATTTTCAGATGCTTACAAATGCTGAGACCGAAGGCTGCCGAGTAGAAAAATTGATACTCTTGAGAATACGAGAGACCGGAGAAAATTGTCAGCAATCCGCCTATGCTAATGAAGATATTGTTTAACATAAGAGCGTCAACTCCTGGAATACTGCTCACCACTCCGCAAAGGACACGACCAATTGTATTTCCAATTCCGATAATTGAGACTAAAAACATACATGTGGATTCCTCGATGCCGAATGTTTTTGCTCTGTCTGGAAAAAAATGAAATTTATTTGCAAAGTGGAGGCAGATTTAAGAAGGTTTCTTAACGAGGAAGGTGACAAAGAAATAAAAAAAGACAAAAAGGGAAGAGAAACAGAAAAAGAAGAATAAAAAAGTTTACCTGGTAAATAGATAAATGGCGTATAGAAACCCATCATTGTCAGAGATCCGCTAATTGCCAATATTAAAAATGAAGGACTTTTGAGTAAACTCCAATCCAACATTGTCGATAAAGTTCGCCTTACACTTTCGGGACACAAATAGCAATTTCCGCTTTCTTCCTCGGCTAAATCTTTCGCTGTCGGAAGTCGTGTCACAGACATGTGATAACCAACCGAAGATATCTGGTGAGTAAATTTTAATCATTATTATGTTGTTTAAATTTTTTCGGTAAATAAATTAATTCGGCTCATTCAAATTTTTTACAAAAGCTTTTTAAAATGTATTTTCAAAAATTTATATTGATTTAGAAAATGTTTCTAATACATTTTTTGAATTTTTTGATATTTATTTATTACTTTAAAAAATTATTTTAAATAAACATAAATAAATAGAATAACCGCTTTTAATTTTAAAATTAATGTATTGAAAGTCATTTTTAAAGAATTTAAAGAATTGAGATCAGAGGATAAAAAATCTAGATCAAAAAATCAAAAAAAAAGTCCAAAGTACAAAAAATCCAAAATAAAAAATTAAACATGTGAATTGCCACGTTTTTACTTTTTGCGCTATAAATAATAAAATTCAATTATTTTCATAAATAAAAGTATTTCTTGAAAAATTTCAATTATTCTATAAAATTTTTAAAACAATTGTTCCAAGAAATACAATAATTATTTTCAACAATTTTGATAAAATTCTTTACTCAATTTTTTTTGTTGGATTCTTAATTTTTTTGGTATTTTCGACCAGGACAAAAAATCTAAAAAATAAGTCCAAAGTGAAACTATTTTTATTTATTTTTTTGGATTTCATTCACTTTGGATTGATTTGGACTTTTTGTTTTGGACTTGTTGTCCGAATACCAATAATTGAAATTAAATATTTAATTATTAAATTTTATTAAAATTTTTCGAAAGAATTCAATTACTTTCTTAATATTGTAATAAATCCTTCGAAACAATTAAATTATTTTTATAAGTATAGTAAAATTCATTGCAAGAATTAAATTATTTTTTATAAATAATAAAGTTCTTCTCAGGAATTCAATTATTTTTAATACAATTTTAATAAACTTTAAGAATCAAATATTTTAATTATAATTATTAACAGGCACGCAACTATTTTAAAAAGTTGAAAAAAATTTTTTTGTTTAATTCAATTATTTGCAAAATTTGCAAATTAAAATTATTCAAAAAAACTACATTATTTAAAAAAAGAAATTCTTCAAAAAAATTTAATTATTTACAAAAACTCTAATAAAGTTATTTAAAAGAGTTTAATTTTCTATCAATAATTTTAATAAAATTTTAATAGTAAAATTATTAATTACAATTATTAACAGAATCGTTTATATTCGATAAATTAAAGAAATTTTTTGAAAGAATTCAATTATTGTCAAAACCTTTATTAATATTTATCAATTTTTTGAAAGCATTTAATTATTTTCTATATTTTAATAAAATTCTTTGAATAAATTAAATTATTTAAAAAAATTGTATAATAAAATTCTGAGAATTGAATTATTTTTTAAAAATTTTAATAAAATTCAATATTTAAATGTGAAATTTTAATTATTAAGAAACAGGATTATTTTAAAAACTTGAAAGAAATTGTTCATAAAATTCAATTACATTCAAAATTTTCAATTAAAATTATTTTAAAAAAACTCCATTATTTTAAAAAAATTCTTCAAAAGAATTTAATTATGATTTTCAGAAATTTTAATTAAATTTTTCGAAGTAATTCAATTATTCCTGTTAATAATTATAATTAAAAATTTGATTATTGAATTTAATGAAATTTGGATTGAAAATAATTCAATTCCTGTGAAGAATTTTATAAATATAATTCAATTCTTGTGAAGAATTTTACGATTTTTTAAAAATAATTAAATTGTTTTTAAGAGTTTATTAAAATTTGAAAATAATTGAATTTTTACGAAAAATTGTATTATTTATATAAAAATAATTCAATTCTTACGACAAATTTTACAATTTTTTTTTAAATAATTGAATTGGTTTGAAGATTTTATTAAAATTTGAAAATAATTGAATTCTTTCGAAAAATTGTAATAAAATTTTTGTTAAATAATTGAATTTTTCCGAGAAATAGTATTATTTATATAAAAATAATTGAATTCCTGCAAAGATTTTTACTATTTATAAAAATAATTGAATTCTTCCGAAGAATATTATTATTTATGAAAATAATTAAATTCTAAGATTATAATAAAAAAATAAATAAAACAGTAAATAAATATAAATTACATGAATTATTCTAAATTTGATGATTTGAAATTTGCAGTTAAGACAAGATTTCCAAGACGTACTTGTGACTTATAATGCGACAATCTATTCAAGGACCCTCCATAAAAAATATCATCTCTGTAAAAGGGCCTCTGATGGTCCTTCACTGCTGGACTTCGGCCATTACCCATCTTGAGACTTTTCTGGCTAATATCAGAACTTTGACGACGTCCACTAATTGTGTGTCTACGTATCTGGAAAGGATATCCGGTTTTTTTTTCAAGTATGATTCATAAAGTTTGTCTTTTTTTTAACATAAAGAAATTAATTTGAAATCTCCATACATTTTTCAAAGACTTAAAAAGATTTAAAAATACGTATTTGACAGCAGTCGTATATATACAAAACGAATTAAAGAAACAAGCAAACGGTATTGAAAAAAAAAATAACTCACTGTCGGTATTCGACCATTTAGCCTCTCCAAATCGCCGCTCAATAAATTATTTTCCTCTTCGACCGACTTTATTTCCTCGTCATTAATTACTTCCAAATCGGGATAAATCGGGACAGACAATCTTTTTTCCGAAGTGCTTTTTTTTCTCTCCATTCGTTGCATTTCGTTTACTTTATGCAGTGAATGCATCGATCTGCTGTAAAGAAAAAATTTGTTAAAATTAATAACAGTGGTTAGAAATTGAATTGCTTTTTGGAAGTCAATCAATTTTTTTTAGTATAATGATGAATTAGTCACAGATAAAGGAATTTTTTAGCTTTTATTTTTAAGCTTCAATTCGTAATTTCTTTTATTTCACCTTGAATTATTTGCGTATAACTAATTATATTTCATTATTATTATTGTTTATTCGGTTTTATTTTAATTTTTTTTTTAATTTATATTTTTATTGATTTCTTTTTATTGTCAAATTTTGACAAATTTTCTTAATTTTTCAATTTAAAAATCTAAACGAAATAACGAAATATATTTTACTAAAACGAATAATTTACCTTTTTGGTTTTAATTCAATTATTAGTTTTCTAATTTTATTTTAAAAAGGCATAATTTTCCTTTTTGTTTAATATTCAAAGTATTAGTTTTTTTAATTTTACTAGAATAATTATTTAATCAAATTCGTTTTTATTGTCAAATTTTCTCAATTTAAAAAATTTTAAAAACTAAATTTATTAAGAGGAACAATTATTTTTCTTTTTGTTTAAAATTCAATTATTAATTTTTCACTTTTTTATAATTCATTATTATATTATTAATCAGATCCGTTTTTATTGGCAAATTTTGTCAAATTTTCTCAAATATTCAATTTAAAAATCTAAATTTACTGAAAGGAACAATTATTTTCCTTTTTGTTTAAAATTCATTTATTATTTTATTTTAATTTTACTAGAATAATTATATTTAATCAGATTCGTTTTTATTATCAAGTTTTGTCAATTTTTCAATTTAAAAGTCGAAATTTACTGAAAGGAATAATTATTTTTCTTTTTGTTTAAAATTCAATTATAATTTTTTTAATTTTACTAGAATTAAAAATGTTAGATTCGTTTTTATTGTAAAATTTTCAATTTAAAAATGTAAATTTACTTGAAGGAAAAATTATTTTCATTTTTGTTTAAAGTTCAATTATCAGTTTTTTAATTTTACTAGAATTAATAATATCAGATTCGTTTTTCTTATCAAATTTTGTCAAACTAAAATTCTAAATTTACTAAAGGGAACAAATATTTTCCTTTTAGTTTTTTAATTTAATTATAATTAATTAAATTGTAATTAATTGTATTGTAATTAATTATATTATTAATTATACTGTAATTAATTTTATTATTAATTATATTGTAATTAATTTTCTAATTGATTATGTCGCAATTATGTTGTAATTAATAATATTCTAATTAATCATATCTAAACGTATAGATATTTGAAAATAGACTTTTAAAATAATCAATATTTATAAATAGAAAAACTAATAAAAGATTAATTAAATACTCCTTTACAATGAAAATGGAAGAGAAGAAAAAAAACGAGTCTTGATTAAACATTGACATAAATCATCTATAAAAAAGGAATAAACAAACTTTGAAAAAATACTGAATATTTACAAAGGAATAATAATTGTTATCGAGATTAAAGATCTTTATAAGGTGAGACTTTGTTTAATACTGTTAATATGTTAATTGTTTCAAGGTGAAGGCAGCATTACCGAACTATAAAGGCTAAAGTAGTTCATTTATCGGTGAATGGATGTTCCGACGAATTATCTTTATTACTTTACTATGTCGGGGCTGCTACCGATGAATTGAGCAGCAGTCGGATATTCTGTATTGTTATTAGTTCCAAAGAAACCACTTCGAATTGGCTGTCCTGCATGTAATGAACCAAGCGATAAACCTTTTCCCATCAGTGTTGTATTCGCTTCGATCATTGCGTTTTCCTCTGTCGGTTTAACTTTGATCCTCCTTGGTTTTAGGGGACGAAATACCGCACCAAATACAGCACAATTTAATAACATGCCTGTTGAGAAAAAATTTTTTTAATTCTTTTCTATTTACTTACTATGAAATTTTTCTCTACTTCCTCATTATGATCAATATTAGCAATTATAATTTATCCTCATAGAAGAAAACATTACTTTAATTTATTCAATTATATATAGATATAGATCAATCTTTATTGTGCGAATAATTAAATCACGATATTTTCTTTTCTTTTTTAAAACCTTGAAATTGTTTTGTTTTATTAATTTTTATCTCAAATATCTTGTTTTTTTGTACACGATAAGAAAAAATATTTGATACTCGAATTTTCGATTGAATATAGAAACTTACCGGCTTGTATTAAGAGTGCTTGTTTCCATCCATAATTTTTGATTATTATATCGGAAATTGGTGCGAGTATAAAAGCCCCAATTCCTGATCCACAAACGGAAATACCAGTCGCTAAAGCTCGCCATCTCTCGAAATAAAATCCTGTTGTTATTACGGCGGGTAAATAAATCAGTCCAGCTCCAATTCCCCCTGAAAAATTTCAAAGATTTGTTGAAAATTTCCCAAAAGAAATAACTTTCATCATATTTTTCAGTTTTTTTTTTACTGTGTCAGAGAAATTTTTTAATAATCTATGTAACCTACATTGCATAAGATTTAATTTGTTAATGAAAAGTACAAACAAGATAAAAGATAATAATTTTTCTCGAATAGTTGAACAAGTTTCTCTCTTTTTTTCTTGAATTTATTTATATTCAATATAGACTTTGTTATCAAAATTATCAAAAAAGAAAAAAAGTATCTTGAACATCAATGAAAACATTTTTTTTATCGATGAATATTTACAGAGGCTTTATTTAATTTCGCAATTGAAAAATTAGTTTCTGATAAAATGATGATAAGAAAATATTATTCTTGCTGTGATAAAGATTGCGAAAATCTATTCTCTTTTTTTTATGTGATCAAATATAATAAAAAGGCGACGATTTTCTGGAAATAAAAATTTACACACTTTAAGAGTGTGTAATTTTGATTAGTTGAACACGTGTGGACATTAAAATTATTGTATGGAGATTAAATTTTTGAGAATGTTTTTTTACCTAAAATTCCGTAGGTTATGTAGAGATATTCAATTGATGTGCTGAAGGATGAAAGTACAAATGCAATACAACTGACAACACTTCCTAGAATTGCAACCGATCTAAAACCATATCTGTTTGCCAAGGCAGAAACGTATGGACCTGGAAAATAAATTCACTGCTTTTTATTAATTAGAATAAAAATTTTTAATTCGTTTTTCAATCGAGTAAATTAATTGCTTCTTTTTCATCAAATTTTGCAACTTTTGGTTTTAATTTTCGATTGTAACTTTTAGTTTTAATTTTTGTTTGTAAATTTTAATTTCTAAAATTTATTTTCGAAACAATTGAACTAATGGAATTAATTATTATTTTAGGAACTGACCAGCCATTAAATAAAATCCCGATTGCAAGGAATTCGCCAAGGCCACCCGAGCTTTTGAAACTTCAAACGTTAAACTAATCCTGTCGAGAAAAACTCCAAAACTGGAGATAATTCCATCCACAACGAGATTGCACATGAAAGATGCGGCCACTACCAACCAACCCCAGCCTCCGTCCGGAGGAACCACCATTTCCACCTCGATGCCCTGAGGGTGAGAAAATTATTTTTTTTTTAAACGGAAATTTGATTATTTTCGAGAAAAAATTAAATTATCTCTAAAATTTTATTTTTAATATTCATAAGAAAAATAATTATGAACCAAAAAAAGAGAATCGTTGGAAGGTAACTTTATTGAAATGGGAAAAATAATTATGAACCAAAAATCAGAATCGTAGAAATTAATTCTATTGAAATAGGACATAAAAAATTGTCCACAAGTTTTGAACTTTGAAATTAATGAAATTTTGGTTAAAAAATATTTTCATAAATATTATTGATTGTGATAAAAATTAAAAACCTAAATATAGCAGTTAGCATCTTAAATTTTATAATAAACAAAATGAAATATGAAATACAATTAATTTCTTTTTATATGAGACGAAAATTTATTGTAAAAAATTTAAATTTGAAGAAGAAATAATTAAATTTGGGATTTATTTGAATTTTCCAAATTTTGGAAACATAAATAATCCACAAGTTTTAAACGTTCAAATAAACGAAATTTTGGTAATAAAATATTTTTATAAACATTATTGACTGTGACAAATTAAAAACCTGAATTTTACATTTAGTATCGTAAATTCTATAATAAGTAAAATAAAAAGAATAAAATATGAAATACAATTAATTTCTTTTTATGAGACGAAAATTTATTGTAAAAAATTTAAATTTGAAGAATAAATAATTAAATTTCGGGTTCACTTGAACTTTGAGAATTTTGGAAACATAGAATAATCCACAAGTTTTAAACGTTCAAATGAAGTAAATTAGGTTGAAAAAATATTTCTATAAATATTATTGATTGTAATAAAAATTAAAACCGAAATTTTACATTTAATATCTTTATAATTAATTTTTTTTTCGAACGGAAAATTATTGTCAAAAATTATAATTTAAAGAAAAAATAAATAAATTTCAAAGTCGTTGGAACGTTTAGAACTTTAGGAACATAAATGAAAAATAATAAATAAAAAAACGTTTTCTAATTTAAAAAATTAAAAATCTAGAACAAAATAATTTTTTTTTAAATTTTTCAAATACAAAACAAATGTTACATTTTTAAGGTGAATTTTTTTTAATATATGATAAAAAATTATTGTAAACAATTTAAATTTGAAAAAGAAATAAATTAATCTCATTTTGTTTATTTGAACGTTTGGAACTTTCGAAACATGAAAGAAATTAAAAATAAATAATAATAATTGTTTTCTAATTTAAAAAATGAAAAATCTAGGAGAAATTAATTTTTATTTTGTGTATATTTAATTAATTTAAATTATCTTCAATTTTTCCCTTTAAAAAGGAAGAAAAAAATCAACGTTCAATTTAGGGTCAATGATCCAAAATATACTATCATTATCAAAGTCATTATGGTAATTTGTTTTATTAATTAGAAAATTATGAAATTTCGAGGCCAATGTTTTAAATAACAGTAAACTATTAATGGATGCAATTAAAATTAATTTCTCTATAGAAAAAAGGTCATTGAACTCTGCCTTTGGACAAAAAACACAATTTTTTTATTTTTCAATATTTTTATCTAATTAAAAAAATTTTTTAATTTAAATTAAAAATTTATTTATTTTTATTTATGTCCTTTTTCATTTTTTTTTTTTTTTTGGCTTTTAAATTAATTTTTAAGTATACAATTTTTTATTTATTTTTATTTATGTCCTTTTTCAATCTTTTTTGTCGTTTAAATTAATTTTCAAGTACAATTTTTTACTTATTTCGATTATTATTTTGTATTTATTAATTTTTGTGTTAATTTTTGGTTCAAATTTAATTTCTTTAATTTACAGACATTTTTTATTTCAATTCAATGAATTTTCGATTCTAAATTTTGGTTTTCGGGTAAATAATTATTTTCTTTTAATTGGATAGGAAAAAAATTTCTCAAAACGATCCAAAGAACCAAAAAGTATTCTTTATTAGTTTAAAAAAAACTAAAAAAGATATTGAGTTTCTCTTGTTTATTCGGTTTGTAGTTTTTGATATTAATAGTTTTATTCGTGTAAAATTTTTACTACATAAAAAATCCTGGTCTTGTATGATTATTAAATAGTAAAAAGATGAATGTTCAGAATTTGAGAAATTCTTCTTTTTTAATTTAAAAATATTATTTGTTTTAGAAACTTACGACTACTATTAAAAAGTATTATTTATATTATTATTAATTTATATTTTTGATGTTAATAAAATTATTTAATAATAATGAAAATAATACTATTAATTTTTTTGTTATTTAATTATAATTAAAATAATAACAAATAATAATTAAAGGAAGAACTTATAATTTATTTAAAGGAAGAATAATAAATAATAAATAATAAATAATGTTTACTTGAATGAAATTTTTGTTATTGAGAATTACAATCCAAAAAACAAGAGAAACTAAATTTTACTATTTTAATTATTGCTTTTTATTATTATTATTAGTAGGTAATAATTATTATTAATTATAAATATTTCCATTTTTTCAAAAACTGATAAATTGTTTTTGATTCTTCGAATCGTTTTGATAATTATTTCCCCCCAGTAAACGAAATAGAAAAATTTGTATAATTAGTGAAAAATTAACAAATTTCGAATATAATTGAAGAAAAAAAATATAATCGGAATTATTATGGTAATAATATGAATTGGAAAATAAATGTAAAAATTCACTCACGTCATCTTTGTCGGTGAAATTGTCAAAAGGCACTTCTTCATTGTGATTGTTATATCCATTCTGTTTTACAGTAGATTTCTCACAATGTACTTTGTTGCTCTCTGTCGGATCCATGACTGTCAAGCGACTGTGAAACAAGTAGAAAATTGCTACACCAAAAATGCTACAGAGGTAGTTGGGAAGGGGGAGGAATGATAGTTTAGTTAGCTTTGGATAGAGAGAAATAAAAGAAAGAAATAAAGAAAGAGGCTTTTTCACAACGATGATGATGATGATGGTGATGAACAATCGACTGCTAAGCATTTACCAGATTAAAGTTTCTTCGCCGCGTGGCGCCAACGTAATGCCGCTCGGTTATTTATTTATTTTTATCATTTATCGAGAAACTGAAAAGAAACTTGATCTAATGGTTACATGTCAATATATTCTATCTATTTATTGGAATCCGGCTAAAAAGCAAAGTCTCAATTCTCATTCGTCGAGAAATTATCTTTTACAACAATAGTTGTACATATCAAAAGTTGATAAGAATTTTGAATTTGACGAATTTATTTTGACGTTCAACTCTGCGTGTAATCAATGAAACTATCTCGACCTTCATCTTCACTTTTGGTAATAATTTGTTATCAATTGTTAATTTTTATTCAATCAATTTTGAAAGAAGAAATTTTACCGAGAGGAGAATTATTGTGGTCAAGAAAAATTAAATGGCGTTGACAACAAAACATTTTTTCTTTCTTTCAGCAAAAATTGTTGTTGTTGACAAATTATTCCTTTAAAAATAAAATAATCGAAGCGAAAAAAAATGGTTTTGTTGTCAAAACAAAATATTCTCGCTATTCCTTCAAATTTGGATTTACTCTTGAATTAAATGAGAAAGTTCATAACAAGATTATCCGGTCTTTAGAAAAAATTATAGCTAATGAATTTACATGAGCTAACAAACTAAAGGAACACGCATATTAAATGTATAAAAATTCAGTGACAAAAAAACATAACAAAAAAGTGACTAAAGAATTTAAAAAATTTTCTTGCAATTAAAAAATTTTTTTAATTTCCTTTTGAATTTTTCAATTTCTTTTTGAATTTTCATTTTATTTATTTTTCAAATTCCTTTTAAAATTTTATTTTTTCAATTCAATCGTTCGTTTTTGTTTTTTGTTTTTTTGTAAATAATGTTTTGTAAGTTGTAAAATTTATCGTTTGAAATATTGTTGTGTCTTTTATCGGGGAAGTGTTCTGACAATTTTATATATTCAAATATGTGTGTGGGTAAAAATAGTGGAAAAATTTTATATTGCATTAATAATCGCCAATATAAACGAAACTCAAATATTTCGCAAGGATCATCGGAAAGAATATTATTCTATGGATGTTCATGATAGACAGTAATATGATGTAATAAACACTTTCCGGTTTTAAGGATAGTTTCCGATGAGTCACTGACAGCAATTCCTATGTACAATTATTAAATTTATCAAGTTTTCAAAGTGATGCTGTCCACTTGTCAGATTCCTAAACGCGTGTGTGACCAAAAAAAAGTGCATTTGAGGAATTTTCATTTATTTTTCATTTCATCGACAAAAAAAAATTATTATTATCGACTATATTCAATTTTTTTCCCCGAAGAATGATAATTTGATACTAATAATAATTTAATATTCAATATTTGTTTGGAAAACCGTTTTTTATATTTATCTATTATATTTTACTTATTCTTATTAGACAAATTAAAAAAAAATTTATTTTGAAACTATTTTAGATTCAAAATTTAAAAAAATTATTTTATTAACAAATTTACTAATTAATTATAATTATTTATTGTTTACAGAAACTGAAATAAAAATCTTCGCGGGGATTCAATTCTTTTCAATAGAATTTTAATAAAATTTCTCAAAAGAATTCAATTATGTATTTTTAAAAATTTGGTAAAATTCTTCGAAAAAATTTAATTATTTAAAACAAAAATTATTAAATTCTTTATGAAAATTGAAATATTTTCAATACAATTTTAACTCATTTCCTCGAAAAAATTAAATTATTTTCATAAGTTATACAAATTTTTGCACGAATAAATTATTTTAAAGAATTTTCGATAAAATTATTTATAAGAATTGAATTTTTTTCTTAATTAATTAAATACTTCGCATAAATTCAATTATTTTAAAGAATTTTAATAAAATTCTTCGCAAAAGTTTTATTTTTTTGCGAAATTTCAATAAAATTCTTTATAAGAAGAAAATTTAATTAAATACTTATGAAAAAATTTAATTCTTTTCCTAAATAATAAAATTATTTGCAGAAATTTAATTTTGGAAAATTTTGATTAAACTATTTAAGAGAATTGAAATATTTTTAAAATTAATCAAATTGTTCGCATAAATTCAATTATTTTAAGGAATTTGAATAAAATTCTTCCCAAAAATTTTATAATTTTGAAAAATTTCAATAAAATTCTGTATAATAAATAATAATAAATTATTATTATTATTATTTAGAGAAATAAATAATACAAAACAAATAATAATAATAGTAATAATAATAATTGAATTTAAAGAACAATTTTCTATAGACAAAAATATGAAAATACTGATTTAAAAATTATGGAAATAAGTAATTGATCTCTTTCGAAAATTTCCCTATTGATTTATAAGGAAAATAGTCGGTGAAAAAAAATTAAATTAATACGTTTTTCATAAAATATATGATTTGATATAATTGGACTAATCTCATTTTTTTAAAACGTTATCTTCAACTAATAGTTATTTTAATTGACTCAAATATTGAGTAACTATTTACTGATAGCTTACTGAAGCTAATAATTTATAATGAACTAGGTACTCATTATCTAATTCTAAAGTTTCTACAATATAAATTACATTATTATTTTTAATATTTTAATAATATATATACGCGGCGCGTTTAGAGGAAAAAAATCAAATATTCAATAAATTCATTCAATTTATCTTCTTTTTCTCTTTTTTTTCGAAATGAGAAAGAACATTTATTTTCTACAGCGTGTAATAAATTTTGAAGCTCATAACTATTAAATCTTTTGGATTCACCTTTTAAAATAAAATTAACTACTAAATTACAAATTTATTAAATTAAATTTATTACTTAAGAAATATATTTATTTCATTCATTATTATTTATTTATTATTTTTTTTTTACTTTAAAAAATAAATTCAAAATAAATTTATATGGTTAATTATTCGCATACATAATTATACATGTATATAAAGTAAAGTATAGTATATATATATTTAAACCAATAATATCTGTTACGAAAGATTTTTTACACTTACGTAAACACTGATAAGACAGATAGTCATAAAAAACATTTACAAAATTTTTGTATTTTAACAGTTTACTGTCAGGTAATTTTTTTTTATCCAATTGCAATTTTCTGAGGTCAAAATTTGTTACACTTTTGTAGTTTTTGCACTTTATATCACTTTTTTTTTAATGATGAATGAAAAAGTCAACAAATAAAATAAACTATTATTATTATTATCATAGAAACAAAATTACTTTTTGAATTGAAAATTAAAATGTTGATCTTTTCTTTCAGATGGAAACTTTTTGCCGATGCGGTTCAAATCGAAAAGGAAACAAAAATGTTGTTGGGAAAAAATTGAGGAGGAATGATAGATTTTTGAAATTGCCAAGGAAAGTGATCAACGAAAAAACTTTTAATTCAAGAAATTGAATTTTAAAATAATTTGGAGCGAAACACGTTATACAAAGTAAACGTGTTTCGAGTAACAGGTTTGCCTCCAGAATTTCTCTCTCATTTTTAAACTGATGTAATCCTTACAGTGTGAAACAAGATCCAAATATTCACTTTCATTTTCATATTTATAACACTTTTTTCCCTTTTTTCAATTTTTCCTTTTTTTTCCGCTTTTAATTTAACTGCGCACAATTTTTTATTCTGATCAAATCGATAAAAATTATTTTCTTTTCCTTGTTTCTTGCACTTCACGATTATTCAAATTTGCACTTTTAAAAAAAAGAAAAGAAAAGAAAGGAAAGGAAAGGAAAAATTAAAAAAAAAATTCACTGTATAATTGTTGATGAATTAATGAAGGAATTTTTTTTTGGCAGGAAAAATACCTACTGGAATAATCCGAAATTGGTCACTATTTGGAGAAAGAAAGAGAGAGAGGAGGAAGGAAATTTCCACCCACAGCTGGTATATATTGGCGGGTGCCAAATCGGTCAATTATGCAATATATAAGACGTTCAAGGCCAATGACCCCCAAAAGGCACTCCTCAAGGTAAATTTTGTACTTAATCGCAACACACGGCGAAGATGTGTCGCGTGCAGGACACGGTCAGACTTAAATTTTCTCTCTTCCCTTGTTCTCTGTTGTGTGTGTGTCGCTTCTGATGAGCGTCGAAGACGAGAGGAGAATAACCCAAATTTCTTCTTTACGCACGTTTCACTTATACAAATCTAATATATTCGCGGGTATCTTATAAACTCGTCACCGATACGATACTTTATTTCGACATACCCGTAAAAGATATCGTGTTTCTATTCATTTTTTTTTCTTTCTTTTTTTTCTTTTTTTTTTCTTCTTTCTTTCCTTTTTATTTTTTTTTACATCAGTCTCTCCAGACCTTTATTCAAATCAAGCTAATCTTCATTTTCTTCCCGGTATCAACTCGCGATGACTTTTAGTCAGAGAATCCACTCGACTGTTAAATGTTGTCTAAAAATAGGCTACCGGTCTACTGCCGAAAAGAGTGGCAATCAAATAAGGGAATAAATTATTTGTACGTGACAAAGTGCGCTCTCGTATATGGCTCATTTAAATAATTTCGAAAATTAAAAAAAAAACAGTGAATTAACGACAAATTTTTGCGGAAAGAGAGCTCGTTTTTGGTATATATTTTTTTGAAAATTTATTAGTTTTCCCCTTTTTCGGAAAAATTTGTTCTTTTACATATAGAAGCAAAAATTTCACTTTTGTTGATAAACAAATTTTGTTCATTAAAAAGGGGAAAAATTAAATAATTTTTTTTTTAACAGAGAGACTATTGAAAGATTCTTGATTAATATGTATTTTATCACATGACGTTTTATTTTTTTATCTATAAAGTGCAGAATTTATCCCTCTATCTGTGAACGAAATTATCCAATAAAATGGAATAACAGTTTTTAAATGATTATAATTCTAATTCAACATAAATAAACAAAAACGAGGAATTTTTCTTCTCTTCAATTAAAAGAATATGGAATTTCTTTTCTTATGTCTTATTATTTCTTTTCATAAATACTTATTTAATTCTATAAATTTTTTAAGTTTTTTTATTGATAATTTTAGTTTTTTTATTGCCCCTTATAATAACAAATTTGATATTATTTAATTTTGCCATTTTTCTTTAGGACAGAAAAATGTATATTACATTAAATTTAATTAACGTTTCGAAATTTTTTGATATTGTCGATAGATGATTTTTTTGATTTGACTATTTCAGGATTTTTTGGAAATAAAATAAATTTCGAATGCCCAGGAAGTAGTTGTATTGAAAGAGAATAGAATGAAAATACGATTAAAATGACACGTTTACGCATACTGGCATTTCTTGCAAAGAGGTCACGTTCTCTGGGTTAAAGTCCGTAAGTTTATCAAATTTTCTTTCATTTATTTACCAACAATCATCTTACGATAGAATGAACCAAATCAATCCGTAAATAGTTTTACAAACTGTAACTCTCGCTCTCTATCTCTCTCTTTCTCTCGTGTTTGTTATTACAAAAACAAAGACATTTTATAAAACAAACGAACCTTTAGATTCTGTATTGTGAAATTGAGTTAGGAAGTATTTTTTTCAAAATAACACATCCGACGTTTATTTTTCCCCTCGGATCATTTTTATCACAATCGATACAGAATACTTTTTTTCCCCTATTTTGCAAAAATCTGACTGTCGGACCTTGAAAAAAATTCATTCTCTAAAATTATTATTTATTAATTAATTAATTATGAATGAAAATGATAGATTAATTCATTAATTAATGAATAGTTAATTTAAAATTACAAATGGACGGATCGATTTTTTTAATCCAAATTTAGCCGAATTGAAGAAAGTCTATTTATATATATTTTTTTATTTAATAAAATTCTTCGCTGGAATTTTAATTATTTTAAAGAATTTTAGCAAAATTGTTCGCAAAAATTTTATTATTTTGAATTATTTTAATATCATTCTTTATAAAAAAAAAATTTTACTAAATACATTTAAAAAATTTAATTCTCTTCCTAAATAATAAAATTCTTCGAAGAAATTCAATTCTTTTAAACATTTTTTGTAGTATTCTTTATAAGAATCTTTTTATAAAAAATACTTAAAAATAAATATTTTTTAAAAACAATTATAATAAAATTCTTACCATGCTTTCAATTATTTTCATAATTAATAACATTTCTCGAAAGAATTCAATTATTTAAAAAAATGTTAATTATAATATTCTTCGCAAGAACTTAATTATTATTTTCAAAACTTTTCATAAAACTCCTTATAAAAATTGGAATATTTTTAATATTATTTGAATTAGACTTTTCCGTAGAAATTTAATTATTTTGAAAAATTTGGATAAATTTCTTTACAAAAATTCAATGATTTACAGAATCGAAATTATAAAAAAAAAATATTTTTAATTGAAAGCAATTTCGTTTAATTAATTTTTGGTATTTTTTAATCTTCAAAGCATTAAATTTGAATTTAATTAATTTTCAAATTTAAAAGATTAAAAAGGAAAATTGTAAAATTCAATTATTTAAAAAATTTTTGATTAAATTCTTTATCTGAATTGAAATATTTTGAATACAATTTTAATTCTTTTTCTCGAAAAAATTCAATTATTTTCGAAAATTGGTAAGATTTCAATTAATTTTTATAATATTTATAACATTTTTCGCAGAAATTTATTTTATTTTAGAGAAGTTTTGATAAAATTATTTATGAAAATTGAATTGTTTTTATACTGAATTAAATTCTTTAAAAGAATTTAATTATTTTTAAGAATTTTTTTTCTAATGGAATTCCGAAGGAACTTTTCCAAAATCTATTAAAAATAATCGCTTTGGAGAAGAATTTTACTTAAAAATTCTAAAAAGTAATTGGATTTCAATGTTGAAAATAATTTCGGAGAATTTACGGTAGCAATTTTTGGATTTAATTATTGAATGTCAAAAGATTCATGAAATTTTTAAAAATCTTAATTCCTCTGGAAAATAATAATTATTATTATATTTTTATTTATTTATTTATTTATTAAATATTTTTCTAAAAACTACTATTGATTTTTATAGTGAATTAATGTATTTCTTACTGTCAGGAAAAAAGTTAATTTGCATAAAAATCAATTAATTAAACAATTTCAATTTAAATATTTAATAAAATAAGCACTAAATTTCAAATCTGAAAAAAGTTCATAATTTATTTTTGCTCAATTTATATTTTTAACATTGAAATGTTTTTTTCTCACCGAAGCAAAATGAATAATTTTTCTAAAAAAAAAAGAGAAATTTTTGAGAACGTCCAACGCTTTAAAAATAACATTGTTGCGAATCAGTGTGTAGTAGATACACATATACGTATCCAGAAATAAAATATCATAAAAATTGTTTTCTGTTAGTCATAAACATATACACAAATTACGTATACAAATTCATTTATTCTATATTAACATATACATATTCGTATACATATAAAGTGTTGTTGATGGAATTTTTATTATGAATTTTTAATTTCACTTGATAAATGCATTTAAGTGATAAGAGGAAAATCGACCAGAAACATTTAAACTGAATATTTTGCACACAAAACAGAAGTAGAATTAATTATCCATTTATTTGAAGAGAAAAAAAAATTAAGTATTGAGTATTTCGATTAACAATGCGGTGGATATTCTTAACTAAATTTTAACTCAGAAAAAATTTTTGAAATTTTTCATTCAATAAAAATTAACAAAAATAAATGTTGAGCGAACGATTGAAAACAAATTTTTTCTAAACAATGAAAATAGAAAGGTTTTTTATCTTTTGAAAGATTTTTTTTTAATTTGATACTAAGTGAGAATTTCGTAGCAAACGTAAAAATTTTCCGCTTATCATCAAATTATAAATTAAAAAATTAGTAGGTATAAAGCAATAAATAAAAAAAAATAAATAAAAAAAGTAAAAATAAAAAAAAATTAAATAAAATAAAAAAAATAAAATATCAAAAAATATAAAAATAAATAAATATGTAACAAAAAATATATTCAATAATCACGCGATCAGTCTCGTATGTTAATTAAAGTCAATGAACTCGAAACATATCCCAAGAATTAGATATCTCTCAATAAGTAATTAGAATTCAATTTTCTAACAAGATTAGAAGTAATAGAATTTTTTTTCATATTTGACATTAAAAGAAGAATTTATTTTTCGACTAATTGCAAACTATTCAGGCTTCGAAATCATCTACTAAAACTATTTATATTCTTAAAAATTTTAATAAAAATAATAGAAATATTTCAACAAATTTTAATAATATTCTTTGAAACGATTCAATTTTTTCAAGAATTTCTCTTAAGTCAATTATTTTCAATATCTTGTATTTTAATAAAAATTCCTAAAAGAATTCAATTATTTAAACAAAATTTTGAACAGATTCTTCGTGAAACATTTAATTCTTTTTATAACTAATAAAGTTCTCATATTGGAATTCAATTATTTAAAATACAATTTTCATAAAGTTTTTAGAAAAAGGTCAAAAAATTTTTTAAATACTAATTGCGAGGATTCAATTATTTTCTCAGATATAATAAAAATTTTCAAGGGAATTCAATTATTTAAAAAGAAATTAATAAAATTCTTCGTAATAATTAAATTATTTTGATAGATAATACAATTCTTCTAAGGAATTCAATTATTTTCATAAATAATAAAATTCTTCTCAGGCATTCAATTACTTTCATAAATAATAAAATTCTTCTGAGAAAGTCAATTATTTTTTTTAATAAAATTCTTGGTAAGATTTAAATTATTTTTGTAAATAATAAAATTCTTCTCAAAAATTCAATTATTTTTATAAATAATAAAATTCTTCTCAAAAATTCAATTATTTTTAAAAATATAAATAAAATTCTTGTCAAGAATTCAATTATTTTTATAAATAATAAAATTCTTCCCATGAATTCAATTATTTTCATAAATAATAATAAAATTCTTCTCAGGAATTCATAAAAATTAAATTTTCAATTATTATTTTTCATAAATAACAAAATTCTTCTGAGGAATTCAATTATTTTTTTTTAATATAATTCTTGGTAAGATTTAAATTATTTTTGTAAATAATAAAATTCTTCTCAGAAATTAAATTATTTGCATAAATAATAAAATCTTTTCAGGAATTTTATTTTTGTTTTAAATTTTAATAAAGTTCTTGGCAAGAATTTATTTATTGTCATAAATAATAAAATTCTTCTCGGGAATATAATTTTTTTTAAATTTTAATAAAATTCTAGGCAAGAATTAAATTATTTTTGTAATCAATAAAATTCTTCTTAGGAATTCAATTATTTTCAGAAATAATAAAATTCTTCTCAGAAATTCAATTATTTTAAAAAATTTTAATAAAATTTTTAATAACAGTTCAATTTTAAGAAATATTAAATTATTCAATAAATTATTAATTTTTGGCAAATGTAATTGTAACAAATTTTATATTTAAAAAGATTTAATTTTTTTTTACTTTTAAAAATTATCATGTTTTTTTATATAAATTTTAATTAATTTTTTTAAAAATTACTTTAATGAAAATTTAGAAAATAATGGAACTTTTCAAAAAACTAAAATTGAAGTTATTATCAGGATGAGCAAAAAAGTAAATAATTTGATGGAAATTGGAAAAATGTCAAAAATCGAATGTTTTTAGTTGTCAAATTTAATTTTTTGATAACTACTTTTTTCAATATTAAAGTTAGGTACTTTTAGTCACTTTTTAAAAATTAATTATCGAGTTCGAAACCTGCTATTAATAATCTATTATCAGTAAATATTGAAACAAAGTTTAGAATTTAAAGTGAAAATACACTTTGCAACACAACAATAATAAAATATTTTGTTAAAAGAAAAAATATTTTATCATTTTGAATAAATCTAAATAGATCAGTGTATGGAAAAGAAATGACATCAACCGCAATACAAAGTCAATTAAATTGTTGTGACATTAGATAGTTGAGACTCAATCTTCCAGAAAATTTTAAAGTTCAAATTATCCTTTCACTTGGCAATCAAGTCACTTGTTAATCAAGTATAAATTACATATTATAATAAATTACAAGTAAAAATCTAGGTAATTAAAGAAATACACCTTTTTTCACTTTTATTTAGTTTATTGTTTATACCAAAGAAAAATAGAATGAATTAAAAACATAATAAATTTACTAAAAAAGAAGGGGGAAAAAAATAAAATGACTGGATTATAAATTAGAAAATCATCTGCAATATTTTTTTTAATACATAAACACATTCTTGATTGATGGGTATTTTCAAAGGAAATTTTCATCAAAATATATATATTTACATATATATGTTTATATTATCTTACATTAATTATTATTGACAACAATTGTATATTTAAATTTTAAATTTTGTTATTGTCATGAAAAATTTTTTGAATAAGAAAAGAAAAAAAAATTAACAAGTGTAGTGCAAATGGAATTTTTAAATTAAAGAATTAAAGCTTTCGAAAAGTTTTGATAAAAACGATTTTTACGAATTTTTTAACAATTTTTTGAAAAAGTGGTTTTTATAAACTTATGCAATAAATTTATGATGGATAATAAAATACTTTAGCAAATTAATTATCTGATTATTCATTAATTATCTTATTTACATTTATATTTTCTAGTTTTTCATTCTATTTTCAAAGAGTAAGTTTCAAACAAAATTTTTTTTTTTGATATTTTCAATTTGAAAATTAAAAACAAAAAACATTCACTGCTGAAAATAAATCATTAGATTTTTTTTTGTAAAAATTAAAACGGTGATGAATAATTGAGGTTTATTAAAATTAGTCTTGAATGTTTTCATTAATAAAAATTCTTTTCACATTAAAGCTATGGCTTTGTACATCAAAGACAAATGAAATTATGTGATTTTACTAGTCATGATAAATGACAATAAAATATATAAAATTAAGAACATTAAGATTTCGCTTACGAAGCTTCAAGCAAAATCGATTTTTTCAAAGATCTTAATGTTTTTTTTCTTTACTGATTTCCCCTAAAAAGCAACAATCAAGACTCGATGTGTCACAATATTCGAGTGTGACAAAAAGTCAACTTTCTTACACATACACTTTTTCTCTCCGATTCATTCTTTCTCTCACATACAAACATTACTTTATTGAAAATTTTCCAATCACCTCCGTTTTTGATTATTTCTAAATTAACTAAACGTAAAAATATATTTTTACTAATTCTCCTATATTTAAATACCTTTTTTCTTCTTATTTCTCATTAGAGAGAAAAGGATTGTTTCTTTAAGTTTATAAATTATTTTCAACAATCAGAGAAAAGAGGTGAGTGAAAAATTTCCAAGAACAGAAAACTTTAAATTTAAATTTAAATCATCTTCAGTAACTAAGTACTTTTAACAAGATTTATATACATTATTTTGTTTACATATATTCATATATTATAAATCACATAATATCAATAATAATTCTTCGCTATTTGCTTTTTTTTAAGTCACAGAATTAGTTAAACAGCGATTTTTCTTTTCGCTATTCACTTGTGTTTGTGGTGTGTGCCTCGTGTAGCATAACAAAATATTAGTCGCTTATTAGTTTTTTTCCCTGTCAATTAATCCTTCAATTTTTTTCAATTTTTAAAATTTTTTTTAAATCTTTCTTTATCAAAATTGACGGATTAATGAATGAAAAACTAGCCGTTAATCGGAATCTCGAACGTGAAAGTTGATTTATTTTCGAGATCTGCTTTATTTCTGCAACAATTTTTGTATCAAATTTCAATTTATTTTAAAGAAAAATTTGATTTGAAATTCGTCATTATGACATACTGATTCGCAAATTTTGCTGTTATCACAAATCTCTATATTTACAAGAGATGTTCGTTCCGCGGCAGCGTTGCTTTTATTTTCTGCGTGTTTCTAAATATGTAATAAATTGATTGATTCACTCAGTCACGTCGATCTTATGTACAATTTTTTTTTTTTTTTTAAGTGCAATTAAAACATCGGTTTGCCGCGAATAATTTAAGCCTAGGAATTATAAATCGAAATATAGATAATGAAAACTCTAAAATTGTAAATTGAAACGTAGAGAATTGATAAAAAAAAAAATTTACGTTTCTATTTACTTCTATATTTTTTTTTATATATAATATATTTTTTCTCAAATCTTAACCGATATGCACGTGCAAAAGCGCATTTTTTGTTTCACGATTTTTTCTTTCGAATTTTTTTTTTTATACTGACGTTCGATACTGATTAAGTTACTTAAAGAATCTACACTTCGACAGAGGCCGATTTATGAACTAAAAAAAACCCTTTTTACCCGACGGAGTTTTATTTTTTTTTCAGGCTTTGGTCAATTGCAGTCGATATTTTTTCATTTTGGTGCATTTTAAAGTGCTTTTTTTTAATAACTCCGAGGGGAATTTTTTTTCTTTTTTTTTAGTTAAATTTGTGCTTTGTTCGTTCTTGTGGTATTTTTTTAGACAATTATGAAAAAATACCGTTATTAGTTGGCCTTCTCCAAGAAACAGCTCTATCACAGAATGGCTTGGAGGGGAGGCAATTTTTCTAATGATGAAAGTAGAAGAAGAACCAGAAAAGCTCAGAGTATGATTATAAAACAGACTCAATCTGTTTGATTTCTTTTTCGGGTGGATCAACTGGTGACGGAGCAGTTTCCACAATTTCTGGAATATCGTCTTCGTTTTCTTCTTCAATATCTTCATCGATAGGTGTTAATTGATCTAATACCAAAGGCTGTGTCTGGAAATTGTTTTTATAATTTTCAAAAAGTGTCAACATATTTTGTATATTATAATTATCAATTTTTTATTAAAAAAATAATTAGTACATTCAGGAATCACAGACTTTCACCTTTTTTTCAATTTCTAGAATTAACCGATTCCGTTAATTTTCACCTACTTCGTAAACTTTTTATATTATTTTCAATAAAAACTAGTTTTTAAAATTTTTTAACTAATTTTTAATTAATATATATTTCAATAAATTAAAATTCTAAAATGTTGAAACTTTCATTAATTCAAATCTTAATTGACTCTGAATTTAAATCGTCAAAATTTTTAATCTTTTGAAATCAGTATTTCATTTTATTTTCAAATAATCTCAAAACCGATTGATCTAAATCTTTTCCCAAATTTAAACAAAATATTTGTAACTTTTATAATTTTTAATCTGAAATAATTGAATGATTGCTTAGAATTTTATTAAAGAAATTTATAATAATTAAATACCTACATTAAAGAAATTTGGTTTTGCATTGTATGGAAAATAATTTAATTTCTACTCGAAGAATATTGTTATTTTTAAAGATAATTGGATTTTTGGAAAGAATGATAGTAAAATATTTGAAAATAATTGAAATTTTGCAAGGAATGTAATTAAAATTGTACTGAAAATAATTCAACTCTTATGAAGAATTTTATTAAAATTTTCGAAAATAATTGAATTCTTTCGAGAACTTTAATAAAAATTGTATTTAAAATCAATAAATTTTTTCTAACAAATTTAATGATAATTTTATTGAAAATAATTTGATTTTTACGAAGAATTTTATTAAAATTTTTGAAAATAATTAAATTTTCTTGACGAATTTTATTTTCTTTTAAATTGAAGGATAATTGAATTTTTGCGAAAAAGTTTTTGTTACTTATGAAAATAATTTGTTTCTTACGAAGAATTTTATTAAAATTTTTAAAAATAATTGAATTTTTGTGAAGAAGTTTATTTTTTTTTAAATTGAAAAATAATTGAATTTTTGCGATAAAGTTTTTGTTAATTATGAAAATAGTTTGATTCTTACGAAGAATTTTATTTAAATTTTTTAAAAATAATTGAATTTTCGTGAAGAAGTTGATTTTTTTTAATTGAAAGATAATTGAATTTTTGCGAAGAATTTTATTAAAACTTTTGAAAATAATTGAATTTCCGTGAAGAATTTTATTTTTATTTAAATTGAAGGATAATTGAATTTTTGCGAAGAATTTTGTGTTACTTATGAAAATAATTTGATTCTTACGAAGAATTTTATTAAAATTTTTGAAAATAATAATTCAATTCAATAATTAGAATAATATTATAATTTTTTTGTCACCTATTCTTAGAAAATAATCCACCTTTCATCTTATTTAAATGGAAAAAGTTACTGTGATCCCTGAGAACATGAAATTTTATCTGTTTACAGTAGTAAATAATTAAAAAAATTTTACCTGTGGGGCAATGCAAGTTTTCATCATTGGCGCCATAAAGCTGGTAATGGTGCTCAAAAGAAACAAAAATCCTGCCATGTAAAATGTTACACTGTAACTTCCGGTAGCATCATTAATTGCACCAGCAATTGGTGGCCCTATCATTGCTGCTGCTCCTCTAAATAAAATTAGTAATCCAAAAGCATTGGTTAGTTTATCCAATCCCAAAAGATCCACCAGGATAATTGACGTTAGAGAAATATATCCCGCTGTAAAAATAATAAAATCAAGTGTTAATTAATAACATTAACATTTTTAATTTATAATTATATTTTTTCTTCCAATATTACAAAAATTAGACTTTTTATTATTGTATTTTTCGATATTTATATTATAATTTATAAACATCAAAAAATTTTGTAAATTGCAAACAAATTGTGTCCTTACATATTGCGAGTCCAAAGAAAACACTGGCAGCCACGTAGCCGCCATAAGAATAACAGAGTGGCGTCGCAGCCAGTGAAAAGGAACAAACTATCAAGCAGATATTATTCAAAAGTAAAGAGTTGACTTGCGGAAAGTCTGCAATATATCCACAAGCAATACGCCCAACGATGTTTGTAATTCCAATCACAGAGAGCAAGAATGTCGCCAAATTCTTATCAATTCCCTAGAAAAGAATTTTTGCATTTAATTATTTTTCATTCTACGTTTAGGGACAGAGTTGACACAAAAAATTAATTTTCTTTTTTTCCTGATTTTTCCCTGATTTCCAGACAAAATTTTGACTTTTTCCCTGACCCTAAAGAATATTCTGACCTGTGACAACCCTCTGAATATAAATAAGAATAGATTTTCTATTTACATCATTTTCAGCAGCTCTCGGAAGGTATACAAATGGAATATACGTGGCAGCCATTCCAAAAACGTTGCTTATGCCAATCATTAGAAATACGGGATTTTTCAGTAGTGTCATGTCCAGCATTGTTCCCAAGGCTTCTTTAAAAGAGTTCGGCAACACCAAACAAGGGCATAGAGGCTCTAAAAGAAGAAAAGAAATTTAGTTTTAAAGTATAACAAATGAACAACTAAAATTCTTTTTATGATAATCAAAAATGCTACGTACGTTGAGGTCCTTTTTCAAAATCACCATCTCTAACGTCTCCTCGCATTGATTTCGAAAGAGAAATGACACTTTGACGATAATTAGTGAGAGACTTTTGACTCTGATACTCTGGCAAATTAACTACACTACCACTATAAAAAATATCTTTCCGAGATAAGGGACGAACTATCATAGGCTTCTCCTTTGGCATTGCCTGTCTCAGACTTAATTTGCTCGTCGTAAAAGTTATGCTCTCTCCATCCTGAAAACGTGAATAATCGAGAATTAAAAAACAAATATGTAGTAACAATAGTATTTTAGTAAAAGTGAAATTAAATTTTTAACTCAACTTATTAATTGAATTTGAAATTATTAAATTTCGAATTCAATTAATAAATTGAGTTCCAAATTCAATTAAAAGTTGAACTTCGACTTGAATTAATTAATATAATAATAATAATAAAATACCAAATACTCACATCTAATTCGGTATTGTTATTTCGAGAACCCAACATACTGCTAACGGAAAGTCGAAGATGCAAACTCTTTCTAATATCTCCATTCGAATTCAATGTGGATCGGGAATTTTTAATTGCACTAAGGCTTGGCTTATATCTTTCACCTGTACTTGTTTTTCGTATTCTATCGAAAAATGGCACAGAACCATTTTTCGGCAATCCTTGAACGTGTGTTGTGAACGCCGGTTGCGATGCATTTCGTGGAATGACAGTTTTATTGAATTCATCAGCAGGTTTATTATCCAAAACGTCCTTTGTTTGTTCTTTGGTATCATCTATGGCTTTTTTACTTTTTGATTTGGTTGACGAGCTCTTCAAATCCATACTTCCACTGTTACTTGTCGCTCCACTTGACGAGTGCTCCTGCACTTTTACCTCAGAAATTGTCGGTAGAGTCGGCACAGTTGGTACTGGAGTCAGCGGAGTTCCTTTTATAATATGAGTATCAATTAATATAATCGACACAATTTATTTCATCAATTATATGCAAAGACTTTCATTCATTTTTCATTTACGATTAATCTTTTTGTAAAAAGATAAAACAAAATGATATTTCGAATTGCAGGGATCGAACTAGATTCGTAAATTACTAAAAGGCCCGTAAAATTGCTTCAAGTCCGTGAAATTCAGTTTTTTTAAAAAAAAAGTCTATAATTTGGTTGAGAAAAGACGAAAAGTTCGTAAATTGTACGATACAATTTGGAGAATTCTAAAGAAATTACAATTGATTGCAGAAATTCAATTATTTTCAAAAGTAATAAAATTCTTCGCAGAAATTCAATTATGTTAAAAAATTTTTAAAAGTTTCTCGTCAAAATTTCAATTATCTTTAGAAATAATTAAATTCTTCTCCAAAATTCAATTATTTTCCAAAATTTGAATAAAATTCTTGGCAAAATTTCAATTATTTTCCAAAATTTTCCTCACTTCGATGATTTTTAATATCTACCCTTTTAATAAAATTTTCCAAAAGAATTATTAATTATTTAAAAAATATTTAATAAAATTCTACGCAAACCTTTCATAAAAATTTCACAGAAATTCAATTATTTACAACATTTTTTATAAATTTCTTCGCAATCTTTCAATTATTTTCATAAAGAATAAAATTTTTACAGACATTCAATTATTTTCGTAAATAATAAAAAATAAAATTAATTGAATTTTGAAAAGGTTTCAATTTAAAATCTTGGAAAATCTGAATGTTTCATTATTTTTAACTAACAATTGTTTGGAATTAATGTTTTTGAGAAAGTTTAATTGCGGATTTCTTTGTGGAAATTATTTCAAGTTTTTATTTTTTAATCTAATATATTTAATTGAAGAATTTACGAATTATTGAAAATTTGTAAAATTGAATTGTAAACAAATGAATTGAAAAATTTTCAAAGAACTTTTTCAAAAATTATTAAAAATAAAGCATTTATAGTTGAATTTTCTAATAGAAATTGATTTAAAAATGAATTTTAGTTAAATATTTAGATAATAATTGAATACTAAAAGCAATAAAACGTGAATTTTTTAAAATAATTGAATTTTGAAATTAATTTTGTTGAAAAAGTTGAATTGAATTTTTTTTATATTATTTGAAGTTTTTATTTTCTATTATATATTTAATTAAAGAATTTACGAATAATTGAAATTTCATAAAATTGAATATTGTAAACAAATGAATTTGAAAATTTTCAAAGAACTTTTTCGTAAATTATGAAAAATAATCGATTTAAAGAAAAATTTTAGTTAAAAATTGAATTGATAATGATTTTATCACTCGGTCATCTTTAATTATTATAAAACATGAAGAAATATCTTCATGTTTTATAGTTATGCAAAATTTAATTTATACATAGTTTTAAATAAAATGTTCTCTTATTTTACTCGGATTTGTCATATTTTTGTCAGTAATTGGTCCGTATTTTTTCATTTTTAGTCCATAATGTCCGTATTTTTAAATTCTTTTCTCTGGTTCGAGCCCTGGAACTGTATTTCTTTTTTTCAATTTTCTTTTTTAAATACAATTCGAAATAGCTGAAAAAATCTTTTGAATTTCCAGAAAACTTTAATTACTCATAAATGAAAAATTATGAAAGTATTTCTATAAAATGAAATTGACTTTTAAATTCTGGTAAATTTTGAGTTAAGTTAATTTTCCTACCAGGCACTAATTGGTCTAAGTTGAAACTGGAGTGTACGCCAGGGTCAATGTTAATTGGCATTTTCATTCTCTTCTCCATGGATCCGTCTGGAAGTTGTACCATAAAATACGATCCTCCAATGCTTCCACGTTCCATTTGAAATCTTTTCTCCTCCGCCATTCTTTGAAGTAGCGGTTTCACTGACGATGGTTTGGCGTATTCCAGAGGCCTCATCAACGCTCCGAACACCTAGAAATTAAAGAATCGAAATAATATAAATAAAAGATATAAAAATAGCTAAAAAAAATAGAAAAAGTAGATAAACATTAATCTATCAAACTAATAAAAAATTAGAAAAAATAATAAATATTTGGAATAATGAAATATTAATCAAAGAAATAAAAATTAATAAAAATTATAGTTAATTGAAAAAGTAATATAAGTATCAATAATTGTAAAAACTGAAGATAAAATAAGAATTTTTATTATTCTTACCACGCAATTAAGTATAAGACCAGCTAAAATTAAATTCGCTCCCTGCCATTTATACTCCGTAAGTAAAATTTCTGCAAGGGACGGAAAAAAAACAGTTCCAAATCCTGATCCACAAACAGCTATTCCCGTGGCTAATGATCTCTTTGTTTCAAAGTAATATCCTACACAAACTACAGCTGGCAAATAAATGAGACCAAAACCAATACCTAGTAAATGAAGAATCTATATTTTAGTTAAACAGTCAATAATTATCATTTAAAAATATTTATACGGCAAAAAAAGTATTTTAAATAGAATAATTCTTTTTTACATACCTCCTAATACTCCATACGTTAAAATTAGCATATTGATGGATTTTGAAAAAATTGACAAGACAAATGCAATAGCACCAATACAACTACCAGCTATGCAGACATTTCTACAGCCATACTTATTTGTTAATGCGCTGACAATAGGACCTGAAAAAAGAAAAAAGGATCAGTTTTCGAAAAAAAGAATTACAACATTTATTTATTCTATAGAATAATATCAGGGTGTCTATTATTTTCGTTCAACAAAATTCCCGGTTATTTCCCGTCTTTGTTCTAATATTTCCCGGTTATTTTTTCTCATCAAATTTAAATTTATTTGATTTCTAACATAAATAAATTCGGAAAATTGTTAACTTCTTTCACCTTAATAAATAAATCTACAAATGGTTTCAAACATTTTTATTAGAGTTTTCATGAATAATTAAATTCTTTTGCCGAATGTCTTCAAATCTTTTGAAAATAACGTTTTTCTTATTGATTTTAATTAAAAATTTGAAAAATAATTGACTTATTTTCCAAAACAAAGAATTTTTTCAATTTTTTAAAATAATTTTGTCTGTTTATAATTATAATTGAAAATTTGATCAATTCGTTTTTATTAAAATGTATTGTACTAATTGAATTTCTGCAAAGAATTTTTCTATTTATAAAAGTAATTGAATCCTTCCACAGAATTTTATTATTTATGAAAATAATTGAATTTTTCTCGCAGAATTATATTAAAATTTTTGAAAATAATTGAATTGTGGCGAACAATTTAATTATTTATAAAGATAATTGAAATTTTGAGGAGAATTTAAACAAATTTTGAAACATTATTGAATTTCTGCCAAGAATTTGATTACTTTGGAAAATAATTGAATTGTTTTTTAGAATTTTATTCAAATAATTGAATTCTTGTAAAAAATTTTTTTTAAAAATACATAATATTTAAAAGAATTTAGAAAATCTGAAGAATTTTGTTATTTATGGAAATAATTGAATTCTTGAGAAGAATTTTTTTACATTTTCTAGAAATAATTGAATTCTCAATTATTTTCATAAATAATAAAATTCTTTAACAAAATTCAATTATTTTCATAAATAATAAAATTCTTGGCAAAATTTAAATCATTTTTAAAAATTTCAATTAAATTCTATCCAAAAATTCAACTATCTTTATAAATAATATAATTCTTCGTATAAATTAATTTATTTTCAAAAATTTTAATACAATAAATTCTGCCAGAAAATTCCATTATTTTCATAAATAATAATATGGTTAGCAAGAATTTAATTATTCTCATAAATAATAAAATTCTTTTCAAGAATTCAGTTATTTTTAAAAATTCCAATAAATTCTTTGAAACAATTTAATTATTTTTATAAATAGAAAAATTGTTCGCCAGAATTAAATTATTTTTATAAATAAGAGAATATTTATCAGGAATTCAATTTGTTTTTAAATTTAAATAGAATTCTTAGCAAGAATTTAATTATTTTCTTCAATAATAAAATTCTTCTCAGGAATTCAGTTATTTTTAAAAATGTTAATTTTAAAAAATATTCAATTCAATAAATTAATATTTTTTGTATTTAAATAATTGAAATTCTGTGATGAGTTTTATTATTTGTGAAAATAATTGAATCCCTAATTATTTTCAGTTGAATTTTCCAAAATTTCTATTAATTCGATAATTTTTTTAAAATTTATTTACATACTAAATTTGAATCAGTGACTGATTTTTTACTATCAAATTAATTATTTTTAACTAATTCAAATTTAGAGAACTGTATAAATATCTATAAAAATAGAAATAAAAAGCGATTTTTTTAAAAACAAATTAAAGTAATAAAACTTTTTTTAATTTGGTGAAAAAATTCCCGGTTTGGCATAAAATTCCTGGCTTATTCCCGGTTTTTCCCAGTCAAATTAAATTCCCGGCTATTTTCTGGATTTCCCGGTTAGTAGACACCTTGTAATAATAACTATTAATTTATGGAATTGAAAAATAATCACCTGCGCTGAGGTATACGCCAGATAAAAGAGAACCAACCCATGCTGTTGTAGCTTGACTCTCATTAAAATGCAGAGCAAATGGTTGATGAAATTTTCCAAATGTATATGCTATTCCATCAACTATCATGTTACACATAAATGATGCAAATACCACAACCCAACCATAGCCACCGTCTGGTGGCGGTGGTATATCGTGGTAGTCACACAACGATACATCATCTTCGGGCGAAGTCTCATCAGCACCTCCATCTCCCGTTAATTTGGCTTGTTCCTCTACTGAGTACTCGCTTTCCGTCTGGAAAAAAGAACAAAAAACATTTTTAATATTTCAAATAAAACTGTTTTTCTCCAACACAATTATTATTGAAAATTCAAATTAAATATTATTTTCTTCTCCAATAAATTATTCAAATTTCAAATTAATATCAAATTAATGAATAAAATTTTTTCCCCTTGCTGAATGCAATATGTTGATTCTCTGAATCAACTTATGGGCAGTTCACCTTGATTACAAAAGAAGCAAGAAAATCTTGTTTTGATTTCATTCTCCTTGTTCTTTGTACTAGGCATTAATAATAATATTCGATTAGCTATTTAATCTCTCCATATTCTAAATTTTTTTTAATCCGATCTTAACTGATTTTTTTTAAACAAAAAAATTTTTTTCTATTCTATTTCCCTGTTGTAAATATGCGTAAATTACAAAGATAAGAAACAAAAGGAAATTTAACCTAAACAGAATTTTTTTAAGCAAAAGAGGAAAAAATTCGAATTACATATTTATTATTTATTATTATTTACTTATTATCTACAATAGTAATTTAAATTATTTTTTCAGTATTTTCAGGGCTCGAACCAGTGAAAGTATTTAAAAATACGGACTTTACGGACCAAAAATGAAAAATTACGGACCAATTACTGACAAATATGTTACCAGACCGAGTCACAAAATTTCTATTATTCGTAAGTTCTTCAATTAAATATAAATACTAGAAAATAAAAAATTGAAATAATTTCCAAAAATATCTGCAATTAAACTTTATCAAAAAAATTAATTTCACAGAATTCTTAGTCAAAAATATGAAAAATTCAGATTTTCAAAGATTTTAATTTGAAACCTTTTCAAAATTCAATTACTTCTCAAAATTCACGCTCTAATGCTTTTAATATTTAATTATAATCGAATTTATTATTCAAAAAAATAATTGAATTCTTACCAAGAGTTTTATTAAATTTTTTTTAAATAATTAAATTGCTGAGAAAAGTTTTCTTATTTATGAAAATAATTGAATTATTGCGAAGAATTTTATTTAAATTTTTAAAAATAATTGAATGTCTTAGAAAAATTTTTTATTTATGAAAATAATTGAATTTTGGAGAAGAATATTATTACTTTTGAAAATAATTTAAACTTTAATTTTTAAATAATTGAATTCTTTCGATGAATTTTAATACAATTTTTAAAAATAATTATATTTTTCGTAAAATTTGAATTAAAGTTGTATTTTAAATAATTTAAATTCTACAATGAATTTTATTATTTATAAAAATAATTGAATTCCTGAAAAGAATTTTATTATTTACGAAAATAATTGAATCCCTGACCCTGTAAAAATTTTATTATTTATGAAAATAATTGAATGATTGTGAAGAAATTTATAGAAAATTTGTAAATACTTGAATTCCTGTGAAATTTTTATTATTTTATGAAAATAAATTAAAGGTTTGCGTAGAATTTTATTAAAATTTTTAAAAATAGTCGAATTTCGGAGAAGAATTTAATTATTTCTAAAGATAATTGAAATTTTGACAAGAATTTTTAAAAATTTTTTAACATAATTAAATTTTTGCTAGGAGTTTTATTACTTTTGAAAATAATTGAAATTTTACAATAATAAGATCGAGCCCTGCAATTGTAATTTAAATTATTTTTTCAACATTTTCGATTGTTTTCAAAATCCATAAAAGTTTAGTAAAAAAAAGAATTATAATTATTTAAATTGGAATAATAAAACATCTATAATTATTATACCTATAAATGTATACACTGAAAAGGTGCTTATTATGTTGTAAATTATCAACAAAACAAAAAGCTTATAGCAAGTCAGTGTCAACATTTTTATTCCAGTAAGCTTATTTAGTGAATCATGATTTACAGTCACACTGCAGTGACCTTAAAGAATCGTGTTCATTCCTTTGTTCATTTTTTTTTTAATCGAAAAATAACTTCAAAGAAATTGCAAATTTCTTTAAATAAAACAACATAAATAAGAGAAAATTAGATATCGAAGCACGTGCTTTGAGTTAATTAACGTTTAGGCATTATGCCAAGGACACGATCAATGACCTCAACAATATTATTTTGTATTGCAAAGAAATTGTAGTAGGCGATCATGACTTTGTTAAAAACACTGACAATGCTGACAATTGACAAAACGCACGAGATTAGAAAATGTATTGTTAGGTTAGGTTTAGAGGGCGGATCCAATCAGCTGATTATGAATTTGTCAGCAGGACGTGTCAGATGTAAAAATTAACAAAATGTTAACAACTCCAAATTCCAAAAAAAAATTTGCTTAATTTTCGACCTTGTTCATGCATTCGACATTTCGACCCAATTAAAAGCACAATGTAATTACCTAATTACATTGGTTTACTAATGTTAATTTGTATGATGACAGATTAGCACGTCACAAATTAATAAACAATAATAAGAGTTTTGCAAATTTAAATAAAATCTCATAATTACTAATGTGACATTTATCAATATTGACAGAAAACATAACCTAAAAGTCAAAGAAACAAAGTAAATGATTCACCAACAACTGTCATGGGTATTGTTTGCTCACGTGTTTTATCATGAAGTCTCTTAAGAATGAAATGTTTTGTTTTGAACCTTACCGTGCTTATTTTACGAACTCTTCGTGAGCCGTATTGGCTATACTGTGATTTGAGCGACACTCGTGACATTCTGCACTTTATTTTCTTTTCAAGAAATATTCTATTAATAGTAATAGGTGAGACACTGATGCGCGTAAAGCGTTTCGAAACAAATAGAATCAAAAGCCATGATTTTTGTTTTTTAATCCAAGGAGATATTTTACTCTTCGTTACTTGCAACAACTTTTTTTTCACGATTCACACAACAAGCCATTTTAAACAATCGAGCCATATATACAAGAACGCCACGGGCAAACAAGGTTCGATAACCGAGGCACTGTCATGATGCATCCTGCGTGTAAATTTAATTTTAATTTAAACTTCTATATTTATATCACATCACCCTCCACACATTCGATCTTCTTTTTTTCCCTCCCTGCTGGAAAATTGAAAGTCGACTCCAAATTCACTGCAGTAAAATTATTATTGGGAGCAAAGAAAAATGTATTTTTTAATTAATTACATTCCTTTTTGATAAAACACGAGTTTACAGCTTCTTGATTGAGTAATGGATGTTTATCTTGACACAATTTTCATAACGCATTGATAATAATTAAATTATATACATTGTTTGTATATATATGTCGCATATACAAAACATATTTCGTGATTTTTTGAGGTTAGGTTGTGTTAGTTGTTTGAGAAGGACAGTTTGTAGAAACTATACAGGATATTGTATACATATAATAATACACTATACAGATAAAAATAAATAAAATAGTTGCACTCTACTCTGTAGTCAGTTACATACTGCACGCAGCTCGACGTACCCCACTCTTTTGTGACGAACTCTGCGTTCAAAATTATGACGTGTTCTGCATCATTGTGTATTTAAAATACAATTAAAATCACAAAAACAAGGAAGCGTTCAAATTGGTAACTATTTTTTCAATTTTTTATTTTTATAATTTTCCAATTTTTATTAATAAAAGTTTATAATTATTGTAATTGCAAATTTTTTATAATAATAATAATAATAAAAAAATGAAAGTTTTTTTTGACAAAAATTTGTATTTGTTGTCTTTCAAAAGAAAACAAAAGGAAAAGTATTTTTTAGAAAAGATAAATAATTTTCAAGTTCTTAGTTTTTAATAAATTTAATTTAATAAAAAAAAATTGAATTTAAAGAAACAGAAAATTTTTTCTCTATTGGAATCGATAGTTAAAAAATTGTTATTGTTTCATAGCACACGAAGGTCGTGAGTTTAAATGCCTTTCTCACGTTTTTTTAATTATACATTGTTTCGACTTTCAGGTGTATTGGCAGATAATTTGAAAATTACACAAACAATAAAAATGCGGACAAAAATGAGGAAATAATCTACAACGAAGAAAAAATTCGAAGGTTTCGAAAGGAAAAATTGAAGAGAAATTCTTGATAAAGAATTATAGAATGAGAGAAGAAAGTTTGTGGAAAATATTTCCCACGAGCAGGCGGAGAAATAAATGTCGAAATAATTTTTTTTAAATGAAAATTATTTTTGTTTTGAAAGTGAGATACAATGCACTCGCACGTTATACGCAATGTCGTTTTATGAATTAATTAGATAACGAGCAACGACAATTAGAACTGGTAAATGGCCGAATGAAAACACCATCTGCTTCTCATCTCAAGTGAAAAAATTGGTAGCAAAGTCTTTTGATGAATCAGGAGTTCAAACAAGTGATTCAACTCGCATTTAGTTTAGCTAAACATTTTAATAAAAATGCATTCCATAAAATGCTTTTGTAAATTAAATTTAATCTCGACATAAATTCTTGGATTATCGTTTCTTTTTTTCGTATTTTTTTAATTGTTTCGTATTTTTTCTTTTTGTATATTTTCTCGTATTTTTTCTTTTTTAGTATTTTTTCGAATATTTTTTGTTTCGTATTTTTTCTTTTCTATATTTTTTTCCCTTTTTCGTATATTTTTTTGTTTCGTATTTTTCACTTTTTCTTATATTTTTCTTATCTTACTTTTCCCCTTTTTCGTGAATTTTTCTTTTTTTTTTGTATTTTTTCTCTATTTTTTTCCTTTTTCGTATATTTTTTGTTTCGTATTTTTCCTCTTTTTTGTATATTTTGTATTTTTTTCTTTTTCCTATATTTTTCTTTCTTTTCGTATTTTTTCCCTTTTTCGAATTTTTTTATTCAATTAAAAAGAAATTGTTTTTACTTTTTTTTGGGTTCAAATAAAAAATTAAATGCGAAAATTCAAAATGAAATTTTCAACTCGGGAAAAATTTTTCACTTTTAGCATTTTAGAAATGAAGGAAAAAAAATTCATTACAAATAGAAGATATCGGCCAACGTTACCGGTTTGATAAAACACAAACTGATAAAATACACTAAAGATAGATAATTTTATCAAGATTAGCAATTTATCTCGATTTTAATATACATATATATGTATGAAATTGTAAATGTTGTAGTTTAGTAATTTTATTGGTAAATTTTATCATTGAAAAAAGAAATTAAATACGAAAACTATAATTTAATACCAAGTCCTCCTTGAAAAGTCTTGAAAGTTTAGTTTTAAATATGTGCAATATTTAAAAAGAAAATGCAAGATAAGGTATTGAATTTTATAAGAGAAAAATTATCAATCGCAGTTGCCGATATTTTCTTGACCGCAACCCACATTCTCTCGTGCACATTTACTTTCTATGGCGCCTTGTACAATAAATTATGACACGCGTGTACCTATTCTTCTTCTTCGAGAAAATTATTTTATTTAGATAATTATTTATTTTATTTAAATAATTATTTATTTAATTATTTTTATTCTAAATTCTATTTTTTTCTGTTAAATTTAATTATGAATTGATTAATTAATTTAAAATACTAAAAATATGAATAGGAAAAGGGAAAAAATACAAGAAAAGGGAAAAATACGAATAAAGGGGAAAAATACGAAAAGTAAAAAATACGAAAAAGGAAAAAATACGAAAAAGTAAAGAATACGAAAAAAAGAGAAAAGGAAAAAATACAAAAATGGAAAAATTCGAAAAAAGGGAAAAATACGAGAGAAAAGTACAAAAACAATTCGATTTACTAAATTTAATTCGAAATAACTCCCAGTGAGTAATTATTCATTAAATTGTCCTCAAGGTATTTTCCAATTAATTTAAATTGAAATAAACGTTTGAAAAAGAAAAACAGGCCCTCATTGACGAAATATTGGGACATTCTTTCAAGTAATTAAGATCAATTTTTATCAGTGAGGAATTTAAGTAACTGGTTCTTATCAAAAAAATAAGGTATTGAAACGATTTCGAAATTTTAGATTAAACAATTGATTTTGACTTTTGAATCAAATCAAATCCCATTTTATAGACATTAAAATTTATTTTAATAAAAATTAAATTCAAAATAACCAGGAAAATAATATTCAACCGAGAATGTTTTGTTTTTCTATTCTAAATATTTAATAATCTTAAAGCGAAAATTAAAATTTATTTGCAAATTTAAAAGTAGAATTTTGATAAATTTTTTATATTTTTGGTAAATATTTAAAAGGACTTTTATTAAATGAGAATATTTGTTTCAGCGAAAGGATAATTGGATAATGAAGAAGAAGAAGAAGAGCGAGAAGAAAAAAAGAAAAATGCGGAAAGGAAAAAATGCGAGAACTGAAAGAGATGAGTAAAGACTGATTGTGATGAATAAGCTGAATGTGAATAAATACCGAAGTAAATTAACAATAGAAGGTAAACAAAATTCTCCATTTTTCGTTATTTTGAATAAAAGCGAAAAAGTGATTAAATATTTTCTTTTTTAAGTCAAAATTTTGCCTTTCTTTGAATAAAATAACATTTTTTTTTAAATTTCAGAGAAACAACGAAAAAGGAGAAGAATTGTGAAGATTGAATGAAGATTGAAAATGAATTGAAGAAGAAGGTCACTGTACCTTATTTTTGGACGGCATGTTTTTAAAAAAGAGGAAACGAGGATCTATGGGGGAAGTCTCCTCTTCAGGAAGGGAAAAATAATTCCCAAATGGACACTGTCCAACTATTCAAGGGAACGAATGATATTAAAATGCGACAGTTTATCACTCAATGGACGTGCCCACTGTTAATTCCCCACTACCTAACACAACTCATCTGACTTTAATTCTCTTCCCCTCATATGGAGTGCCATCTTCATTTTCTGTTTTTCTTTTCTTTTCTTTTTTTTCTCTCACTTCTGCTATAATGTTGCCAACAATAAACAAAGCAAATTGCGATAGATAAGGTACAAAGTTCTAGTTGTTTAACATTGTAATTTTATATAGGTATGATAGCATGAGAATCTGTTGTATCCGTTTTATTGCCGGGGAACGATTGTTGTTTCTTTCATGAAATTGAGTAGTTGACGTCTAATAATCGTGATAACAATTGAGTTTAATAGTCGTAGATTTCTCAAGAGTGTTGAAAATTTATTTTAAAAAAAGGCGAATTATATTTTTCAAAATAATTTTCGTCAATTTTTATTTATTTACCTATTTTTTTTAATTTTTATTTATTTACCTATTTTTTAAAAATTTTTCTTTATTTATTTTAAATTTAAACATTCGCACATTTATTTATTTATTTATTTTTAAAACAATTTTGATCAATTTTAGCAATTTAGAAAATTGAAAATACTTTCGCCGTTTGTCAACTATAATTCCCTGTTATTTGAGTGAAAAGTTTTTCCTAATTTGAAGGAATCGTGATAAGTAAAGGGTAGTGTGGGTATAATTTAAAGCTTAGAGACATTATAAACTTGGATTTATAATTTAAGTCTTGTAAATGTGTCACTTTTTTTTAGCTGAAAGGCAAGAAAAAAATTAGAGAGAAATTTAAAACGATCGTTTTGATCTAATTTCTCTTTTATTGACAAAAAATTAATTTTTTCAGAAGATAATTTTTTATTTTCTTGGTTTTATTTTGAATGAATCGTTGGTATTCAATTTTTTATTTGAATAAATAAATGAGTCAAAGGTAAGAGAAAAATTATTTAATTTTTCCGTTATTAACAAAAAATATAGTTTTTTGGTCAAAATTAAAATTAAGTGGAAATTAAATGAAAACGATCATTTTAAATTTCTTTCAAATTTTTTTCTTGCCTTTAAGTTTTTTATTTAATTAAAAGAAATATTAATTCAAATATTTATTAAAAATCGTTGTTTTCCGATAATCTGTTCTGAAATTAGTTATTTACTTTTTTGTTTCCTAACTTTTTTTTAATAATTTTTCTTTTTTATTTATTGTTTTCAATTTTTAAACTAATGAATTAAAAATCTTTGAATTCTTGCAAAGATTTTATCAAAATATTTCAAAATAATTTTATTCCTTCGAAGAAGTTTTATTATTTATGAAAAGAATTAAATTCTTGCTAAGAATTTTATTAAAATTTTTGAAAATCCTAATTAAATTCTTTTGAAGAATTTTGTTTTCAATTTTTTTTTCAATTATTGGAGTTTCTTTAATAATTTTAATTGAAAATTTTGAAAGTAATTGAATTAAACAAAGAATTTTTTCTTAAATTCTTAAAATAATCGCGTCTGTTAATAATTGTAACTCAAAATTTGATTATTGAATTTTATTAAATAATTAGGAAATAATTAAATTAATACAGGAAATTTTATTAAAACTTTGAAAATAATTGGATTTTTGGGAAGAACTTTGTTATTTAAGAAAATAATTGAATGGTTTCAAGAATTTATTAAACTTTTAGAAAATAATTTAATAATTTAATAATTCTCTCGAAGAATATTATTATTTACGAAAATAATTGAATTCTCGTGAAGAATATTATTCAAATTTTTGAAAATAATAAAAAATTAATTAATTAAAAATTAATTTTTTTTAATAAAACAGAGAAATTAAATCGTCTAATTTTTTTCTTGCTATTCAGTTATTTATTCAATCAAATATAATTGAGAAATTTAAAAATTGTATTTTAAAAAATATTTTTTTTTAGAATAATTTTTTATTTTCTTAATTTTATCCGAGTGAATCGTATTCAGAACGATATAAATAACTCGTCGAATTTTTTTTCTTACGAAGAAAAAAAATTCGACGATCGTTTTGATTTAATTTCTCGTCTATTGAAAGAAAGGTGCATAATTTTTTCGAATTCTTTTCTTTTAGAAATATCCGTGAAAAAAGGATTCGCGTGATAAAATATAAATTTCATGCACGTGGGTGTAAAATTCAGTAAACAGTTTATTTGAACTTTTTTGCTGGTTAAATTTCTCGCTGAACTCATTGTAGAATTCATTTGCGTTTTGAGACTCTTTTTTTTAGCGCCAAAAATAATTTCGAACTCCCCTTTAGAAAGAAACACGCAGACAGAATGCAACGATCAATACTTAAACTCTTTCACTATATGTGCTTCATATATGAACAACTAGGTATCTGACATTACTCCTATCAATGCAACGGATTACTCAGGAAACGATAAAATTTCAATTAATTCTTAGAAAATATACATAACATGGTGGTTGAGATGCAATATCTCTCTAGTTCGTTCGTCATTGCAAAAAAAAAAAAAAAAAGGAAAATCGATATTTCTTTCATTATATAATTTTATATTATAGAGAAAAAAATCCATGTAGAATTAAGTTGGAATATAATTCGGAAAAAAGTAATTAATTCTTTCTTATTCCTAATTTTTTTGTAAGAAATAAATTTTATTTGTTAATTAAGTTTAGCAATTGGATTCTTGCAATTAAATTTGTGTAGTAATAGTTTTTTTTATTATATGTCAACAATGCAATTTTCTTGATATAAATAAGAGAAATTTTCTGCGCGATATCGCGTGTGTAATAAAACAATTTTAAGATTCATTAAAGAAAAATAAAATTCTACAAAGTTTGCTAAAATTTTTGATATCGTAAATTTGTAAACACTATTTTCTTTTGTTGCAAAAAGTGTATTTTAAATTTAATATTTCAAAGAGTTTAAAATACTGAACTATCTTATCGCTTTTTGTCCTCCTCGCGACTAAGATATAAATTGCATATTCTTAATCACTTCTCTATAAAGTTTATTTCGCCTCTTATACTCATTATATTCACAATTATTTGTTTTGTTGATTTTATTGTATTGCATTTCATTTTCTATTTCGCTTTTTATTTTTTATTTTCTTTTCCATTTAATTTGTTTTTTATTTTTTATTTTACGTTTTATTTTTTTTAATTTGTCTTTTATTTTTTCTATTTTATTTTCCATTTTATTTTCTATTTTATTTCGTTTTCCATTTTTTATTTCGCTTTTTGCTTTTTGCTTTTTAATTTTATTTTTAATTTTATTGCAATTTTTTATTTCACTTTTTATTTTGCTTCAATTATATTAGAACTTGAATAGGTATACTGTACTGTTTACGATTTTTTGTAATTTGCATTAATATAGGAGGAAAAATGTGTTTGTTTGATAATATCTGAGAAAAAAAATTCGTACAATTTGTTGAAAAAACTTACTGAAAAAAGAAAAATCGATATAATGAAACTGTTGCATGACTGTGATATAGGTGTTCTACAGTATAATGTTGGCATTAAATCATTTACGTTTTGTAATCATAAAATGTATACACAGTGATGATACGAGACTAATTTAAAGATAATTTCAGTTTTTATGCCTTTTTTCAAAAATTTTTATTTCACATATTTTTTTTCTTCTTGATTTCATTATTAATTCTATTTCAAATAGAGAAAAAAAGTGATTTATCTATTTAATGTACAATTAAAACATAAAGTGACAAAATACTCTTAAATTAATTTAGAAAATATTTTATTTGTGTTAATTTAAAATTATTATTTATTAAAATTATCATTATTAATTAAAATTATTAGGAATTAAAATTATTATTGTGAATTAAAATCATTAGGAATTAAAATTTTTATTGTGATTTAAAATTATTATTAGGAATTAAAATTATTATTGTTATCAAAAATTGTGATGAAAAGAGAAATTCGAAAGGAAAAAACTATCTAAATTGCGAATTCAGAATTTTGTTAAATATTTACGTCACTTAATGTCAAAGACTTTTTTTTATTTTTATTTAATTTTTTTTAAATTAATTAAATTATTAAAAAGAATTTTCGAGATTGTTTTGATTTTAATAATTCAAAATTTTTTTGATTCAATATGGAAAGTATAAGAGGCAAAGTAAACTTAAAATAGTAATCCAATCGTTTTTCCTCAAAGGCTCGTGAAAACGTTTAGTTTCGTAAAGAAATAAAATAATAAATAAAAATTTCTTTGTCCCGAATTTTCTTTTTTGCAATGTCATCTTTATATTTTTAGCAATATAAAAAGAACCGAAACGAAATTCTTTAAGATAATTTATTTTTAGAATATTGCTTCAAATTGAAAGGAAAATTACATTAAATTTCGAATTTAATTTCTAAGTAAAAAATACCCAATAAAAAAAATAGTAATTAATATTCTATTTATTAATAATTTCGAAAATTTCGTTTTATTGCGAGAAAATGCAACGAATATTTTGTGATAAATAACAGAAGATGAAAAATGGTGGGAAAATTGCAACCATCAGCAATAATTTTTCTAAATTTGTCATTTTTTGATTAAATTTTGAATAAATTTTGAAATAAATTTGGAATAATTTTATAATAGTCTTGGAATAATTTTATAATAATTTTGAAATAATTTTATAATAATTTCAGAAAACTGGATCAAAACTTACAACTTGATTCGAGGTAGTTCGTGGATTAATTTGTAGGCCATCATCTTCGCCAATTTCTCTACTACCGTTGGGGCCCATTTATGCACCCTTAGATTTTTCTAAATTTTTTATAAAAAAAATATCAAAAGAAAAAACAAAAAAAAAAAAATTCGACACTACTGTCACTTGTCAAAACCGGAACAATTCACTTTATCCCGCGCTTCCCATTTCTGCGGGCTGTTCCCGAAAATCGTTTTTTTTCGGTTTTTCCGCTCTCTTTTTCTCTTTATTATTTCCTTTTTTTTTAAAGAAAAATTAAAAAATATTTTTCCTATCCCCTTTTTGGAACAGTGAAAAAGTAAATCTGAACTCTTTCTGTAATTCCAAATAAAATAATTCGAGGACAGCAGTTGGCGGTTCCTCCTCCTGGGCAAGGACGCCGACGCATCGGCGCCTCCGCGACCTTCTCAACACGCTTTTTTAGAAATAGAAATTTATTATTGTTTGTTCATTATTTTCTTCATTAAATTTTTGTTTTTAAATAAGATGTTTGTCGACAATTTATTGAATCACAATGATTTTAAACGGGGGATGGAAAAAAAAGTGGATAAAATTTTTAAAGGCGAACCCTGGGGCCGCGGCGCCCCGGGATCAATATTGGCCGTCCTGGCCTTTTACTCTGGTTTTCGTTGAAAACTATCGAGCACGCGCGTATACTCCTTCACCCCCAACCTGATCGATCTCGGACAGATTCTTTCTTTATACAAAAAAGCACTCTGTTCGTGTGCGTGGGGGAAGAAGATGATTAAAAAAAATCGGCTAGAAAATTTCTACTTTACATATTGATCACAAAAATTCACAAAAAAATTTATTTATTTAAACATTTAAATATTTTTAAAATATTTTTTTTAAACAATACACCCTGAATCAAAAGAAATTTTTTTCCCATTTTCTTCATTTTTAGAGCTCGAACCAGTGAAAGTATTTAAAAATACGGACTTTACGGAACAAAAATGAAAAATTAGGAACCAATTACTGACAAAAAATATAACCAGTCCGAATCAAATAAGAGAATATTTTACTGAAAATTATAAATTAAATTTTGCATAACTAATATAAAACATAAAGACATCGATCACTCCGAGTGACTCGGAGTGATCGATTTCTTCATGACTCTTTGTATTAATTCAATTATTTTCAAAGATTTTAATACAATTCTTCAGGAAAAATTCAATTATTTTCATAAATAATACAATTTTTCGAAGGAATTCAATTGTTTGTAAAAATTTTAATAAAATTCTTCGCTGGAATTCAATTATTTTCATAAGTAGAAAAACTCATGGCAAAAATTTAATTATTTTTTTAAATAATAAAACTTATCATATAAATTCAATTATTTTCAAAAATTTTTAACCAATTCTTCGAGAAAATAAAATTTTTTTTATAAATAAAAAAACTCTTCTCAGGAATTCTATTAAAACATTTCAATAAAATTCTTTTCCAAAATTCAATTATTTTCATAAATAATAAAATTCTTTAACAAAATTCAATTATTTTCATAAATAATAAAATTGTTGGCAAAATCTAAATTATTTTAAAAAATTTCAATTAAATTCTTTTCAAAAATTCAATTATCTTTATAAATAATAAAATTCTTCCTATAAATGAATTTATTTTCAAAAATTTTAATAATTTTTTAAAGATAATTAAAGAAAATAATTTAATTTCTGCAATCATTTGTAATTTCTCTAAAATTCACCAAATTATATCGTACAATAATTGACAATTTCTTTTTTTTATGAAACTTGCGGTATTGTAATTTATTAATATGCATATAAAATTTATTTTGATGTGGCTGATCAAGATTTTGCATTCAAAAGATTTTGTGTTGCTTTTAAATTTTTCTTAATTTTCTTTATTATCGTAATCATTTGATAATCTTCGGCTGTAGCGATTTTTTCGATTTTTTCCAATGGAATTGATGCAAGTATTTCTTGGAAATATTTCGGATTCTTTAAATTGCATGTTAATGAATCGAGAATATAGAGACAATATAGATTTATATCGTCCGGCGTTGATTCCTTAAAGCATTCACGTAAAACTTTATCTGCCACTTGAAAATCAAGTAACAATTCAACTCCAATTACGTTGAGACTGATGTTGTACAAAATGCATAGGATTATCCTGGAAAAAGAATTCATTTTTTATTAATTTAATAGTAATTTAGAAATATTTCATAAATTCATTTTATTTCATAATTAAAACATTTCAATAAAATTCTTTCTCCAAAATTCAATTATTTTCATAAATAATTGAATTTTTCAAAGGAATTTCAATTATTTTCATAAATAAGAAAACTCTTCTCCGAAATTCAATATTTTCTTAATTAGTAAAACTCATATAAATTTAATTATTTTCAAAAATTTTAATAAAATTCTTCGCAGAAGAATTATTTTGAGTTGATGGAATTTCTTAAATTTTAGATATTATTAGAAAAACGTTATGTAAGAATTTAGAAAAAGGAAAATTGTTGAATAAATTATTACCGCATTTTCAATCGTCTATGAGGTAATAATTTATATTTAGAAATATATATAAATTCCTTTGTGAGAAAATATTGGAAAAAAGATATTATCTTCTGTCAACTGTTTTTTGTCTTGAAAATATTTTTTTTCAAATATGACAAATATATACGAGAAAGGAAATTGTCTTTTATAGGTCAAAAGGCAAAAATTCATAGTTGAGAATTTAAAATATACTCCATTGTTCTTTTTTCAATGCGCTAAATTGTTTAATTTTGACTTTTAATTATTTTTTTAGAACTGTCTCTTGATCAATTAATATTAATTTCGAATCTTTTGCCCATTGGAACTAATATTAATTTAGAATTTCCTTCTCATTGGAATAATATTGATTTCGAATTTATTTCTTATTGTGAGTAATATTAATTTCGAATTTACTTCCAATTGTTAATATTAACAAATTTAAGAATAAAATTCTCGAAATTAATTTAATAATATTTCTGTGATATATTATAATTTATCCAAAAAAAATTACTTTTTACACCTCCATAAAGCATGTCGTGGAGTTGCTAATTGTAAATAGGCGAAGTATTCAACAAGATTCTTGATGAGTTCCTTTCCAGTGGCTCTTGTCACAATAAATTCCTTTCCACTCACAGTGAGATTTGCAGTGACTCCCAAAAGACTCATTACAAATTGACACTCATCACTATTAATTGGAAGTTCAGTTTCCCCATAGGTCTTTATAAATGAGAAGAAAGTGCCATTCACCGCTCCGAAAAATTCATCCAGTTTTATATACGGCTAAAAATTAACCAACAATACATAATTAAAATTATTCGCTTCTAATCAATTTTTTTTGTGGCAAAAATTAGCAAATATGTAAATTTAAATTGAAAATAAATAAATTAATAAGCAGAAAAATCAAGAGGTCCGAGAAGAATTTAATTATTTCTAAAGACAATTGAAATTTTGTCGTTCCCTGAGAAATACAAAATAAATAATTAAATATAAAAATTAGAAAATAATTAGAAAAAACTAAAGTTTCCAATTTTACTAATTTTTAAAATTTCTAATTATTTATTTGTAATTTATACACAAATTTCTAATTATCTATTTGTAATTTATACACAAATTTCTACTTATTTATTTGTAATTTATACACAAATTTCTGCTTATATTTATTTGTAATTTATATACAAATTTCTAATTATTTATTTAGAATTGATACACAAATTTCTATTTATAAAAAATAAATTAAATTCTCATGCAAAGTTTACAAAAAAAAAATAGAAGAATCGGAAATTACCTTTGAAATCCATACTTCTGTTACATCCGGTATTTTTGAAGCGTGCCATAAAAGATTGCCCAAAACTGCTCCTAAACTTATACTAAATTTACTGTGCTCTAACAACTGTAATAGAAAAAAATTCCTTCAATTATTTTCCAAAACGAATAAATTTTACTTATTCTTACGAATTACTTGTTCTTTCAAATGACACATTTCTTCCTCAGCTTCGAGTAATTTCTTCTTTTCGACTTCTAATTGTTTCTCCAGATCGACAACCTTCTCCTGATGCTCTCTCAATAATTCACTCGTATCCACTGGAAGAAATTTAAAACTATGAATAATAATAAATTAAATAATATAATTAATAAAATAATAAACTAAATTAAATAATAAATTATAATAAAATTACAATTTTCAATAAAAATAGTAAAATAAAATTATCGAATTTAAACTATAAAAATAGTGAAATAAAATTACTAAATTTAAACAACAAAATTTAATAAATATATTGTAAAGAATTCTAATAGAAATAAATTATAAAAATAATTAGTTCAAATTGTTTTCGATTACATTTTGCAAAATCATTCGCCTCCATCGAATTTGTTTCTTTTTTTTATTTTGATAAAAATTCTATAAATAAATTTGTAAATTGAGTTAGGGGATAAATTTTTAATTCTAAATTGAAATTCCAATCACATGTCAAAGAGATATTTTTCTGGTTATGTGAGCAGATTATTCACGAGAAATGCGAGTGAAACAATATTTATAATTAAACGTAAACAATAGCTGTCAAAGTTTTAATGAAAAATGGAAGTTTTGATTGGCATTTCAAACATTCAACAAGCGCAACGCGAATTTGAAGTAATTAATTTTAGTTACGTGAATTCTGTTATTAGTCTCAATATTTTTATTAAATTTTATTTTCCTTGTTTAGATTATTATTTATTTAACCAACAAATTTTTTACTTACTTTTTAAAAGTTTTTTTTAATGTTGCGTATTCTTTTTTTTCACTCGATCACTTTCTGTATTTATTACTTTTTTGTTTTGGTGTTTTGAATATTCTACAAAATCTTGATCAGCTTTTAAATTCCAAGTTTTTCAAATTTTACTTATTTTATTTATTAATTTTTAAATAATTTTCTTAAATACCAAGTTTCATAAAAATTTCGCTAAAACGAACTAAATTTGTTTGAATTCTATTTAAATTTTATTAAATAAATTAAATTTAAATTAAATTTATATTTGAAGATAAAAAATTATATATAATTTGCATAATAAGTGAAAGCAGTGTTTTTCACACTAAGAATTCATAATGTTAAAAAATCGATTTAATATCAGTCTGAATAATTTAGAAGAATAATTGCAAAAAGCAATTATCACATACAAGCAGTATAATTGCAATTTTCCAGATCCACTCGAAAGATAATTGTTGATAATAAACATATATTGATGAACTGGAACTTTTTTTTGTTGTAAATTGCAAAAAAGAATTAATATCCTTTCATTGTACCAATAAAAGACGACGTTAGCGTATCATTAGAAATTATTTCCAAATAATTTCTTTCAATTCCTTTTAATTCCATTTTTTCTTTTGAAATTTTTTTTGAAAATTATGAAGTGGCGTCCAAAAAATATTCGCGAAACAGCTTATCCCCTTTTGGCACTAAATTGGCTAACTGGTTTAGGTTTAAACGATTATCCAGTTGGCAATAGGAGAAATAAATTATTTCTCTTCGCTGTAATAATAATTGCAATTATTTATTCTGTACAATCGTCTTTCTATTTCATTTTAAAATGCCATGGTACAGGTAAATCATTGTTTTTATTACGTCAAATCATGTTTCTTCTTGAAGCATTTATTGCTATTTTTGCAATTCTTTACGGTTGGTTCAATCGTAAGGTAAGTAAGATAATATTTTTTTTTGCTAATATATTTTGTTTCAAAAAAAAAAAAAAAAAATAAATTTTTTTCTGTAAAAAAAAATTGTTGATTGTTAAAATTTTTAAAATCATAAATCTTAATTAACAGAGAATGAATCTACTGACTGAAAATATGGAAGCGCTGAATGAGACTTTCAAATGTTTATCCTTTAAGGAAAATTACGTTAAGAATTTTAAACAGCTACTTTATTGGATAATTGTGTATTTAATTTTATTTATTACAACTCATGTCATCAATATAAATTTATGGATGTCGAAAATACGGTCTCTGGAATATTTTTATTTTTGTAATATTATAGTTAATTGGCCCTATTACACGACTACTGCTGTAGACATAAGTTTCAACTTTACTCTTAAGTAAATATTTTAAACAAAAAAATTGTTTTCTTTATAAGGAAAATTAAAAAAATTAAAAAATTAAAATTAGAAAAAATGAAAAACAATTTTAGTAAGTAAAATAATTATTTGGTTTATAAATAATTGTGAACTAATCTTTTATAGGTTCATTGAAAGAAAACTAAAAATTCTAAATATTATGTTGATAAACTACTTCAGTAAAACTTCAGAACAATCAGTTTTTGACAACTATGTAAATAGACGTTCGTTTATCTCGATTGCAGCAACTGAAAAAATATCGGAAATGTCAATAAAGAGAAATGAACAGTATTTGGAAATAATTAAGTAAACTGCAAAATAAATAAAAATTAATATTTAAATTATTAATAATTTATTAATAATTAATAACTAGCAAATGTTATACGCGCGCGGAACGTCATATTCAGTTTATTATTTTTATTACATATGCAAATTACGAAGTTTTTTATTTTCAAATTTAAATTTTTGAATAATTTCAAAACCAAAATTCCAAAAATTTTAATATAATTCTTTGGAAGAATTTAATGATTTTCAATAAATTACTTTGAAAATGAAAAACATTTGTAAAGAAAAATTATTTTAAAATTTAGAAAACAAAAAAATTTGTTAAGAGAGAGAATCTAAATATTCATTCCTTTTTTTTCCAGACACATTCACTTGCTACTCTATAATTTAACATCGAATATAAACGAAATTTATGGAAAGCATTTACTGCTGCATATTATTTTGAATTTTTGTTGTTTTACAGTATGGTCTTTCGGTCTGGTACTATATTATGAAAAAAATTATTATCTAGCAGTCATTTTCATTGTGTTAAGAATTACTATAACTTCCATGAGATTATTAGACATTATTATACCATGTTGTGTTATCAAGAAAGAGGTTCGAATATCAGTAAACATTTCAATTATTTTAATTATAATTATTAATTTAAAAAAAAATTTCTTTTAAATTTTATAAAAAATACAATTTAAAAATATATTTACAAAGCTCATTTGTTACAGACAGAGAAGATGAAAGAGATTCTGACAGATATGAAAAACATGAGAAAAAATGTTTCATTAACTGAAGAGGTAGATTTTTTAATTACTATGATTAATAGTAGACTAAATGACTAATTGAAATATTTAATTTCACCAGATTGAGCATTTCTATCAACAGATTTGTCTTTTGCCATTTAATTTCACTATTTGTAAGTTTAATACATTGGGATCTGTATTTTTAATGCAGGTAACAATTTTAATTGTTTAATTTCATTTTTATAATTATTAAAAAGTTTTTTAATTAATTTAATTGATTTAATCAATTAATCAATTTAATAATTCAGTTTTCAGGGAGTATCCTTTCATACGTGTTTATATTGGTGCAGTTTCATATAAATTTGGATTAATTGCTTTTATATTAAGAAAATTTTTCAATTTAAATATTGAAAATATTATTTTCAATAAGAAATATAATTGCTGTATGTTTAATAATATTAGAATCAACGAATTATTTATGTATAATACGTATAATAAATTGAAAAAAGTAATTATAAATACCTGTTGATCTCGTTGATTTAAGAAAGTGAGGTTAGGTCTCAGGTTGTTTTTGTCACGTTTTTGCACATTAGTCAAATTATTTTCTAAACAATATACACACACGTTTCGTGGAATAATTGATAGTGAATAACTATCATCTTTCTAATATGACACTGACCATTCTATTCATTTTATTATTAAATTTTTATGTTTTTAAACATCAACAACGTCGTTGAAAACTTGAAATGCAATTTATGAGTTTGACTTGCAGACAACTTCGGACGAATCGAGTTTGGCGCATACATATTTAAAAAATTTTCCCGCCACTCAGTTAAGGAGCGCTCACACTGACAGTGAAGTAACATTTTTTGCATAATTATTTATTCCTGCAACGGTAGAAATAAATATTATTAATTATCAATATTTGAATAATATTATAATTACGTTAAATTTCTAATAAAGTTTTCTTATTTTAATTATGGGAAATTCTGCAGGAATTAATCAACTGTCGGTAACAAAAGTCTCTTTAGTGTAAAGTGTTTACGGTGTTTACACAAGTGTATGTTATTAATCCATTTGGTATTTATACTATTTCATTAAAAATCTATTTTAATTGTTTGAAAATTATATTTTATTTCTTTTAATTTAAACACAATGATCGTTTAGAAATTAATATTCTAATAAAGTTGAGTAATTAACTAGTAAATGTACTTTAATTTTACATTTTTCGTCAATTGGTCAACATAACCTTGATTATTTATTTACATTAAATGATTAATATTCTTTTGTAAAAACAAAAGATGCAAACAATCAAATAAACAAAATATTTTTAAGAATTTAACATTATTTAAATTATTAATTAATAACAATTTAGGATTATTAAACTAAATGAAATTTTCAAGTCTAAGTTTACTTAAGTAAATAAATAATATATATAATGGATGGCAATAAATCTAATTTGCTAAATTTTTCTATAATTTTCGTTTTAATTTTTCATAATCTATGTAAATATAAAAAGATCTGACAAAATCTTTTTTTCAGGTTTTATTTTTCACTGGAAAAAGAATGATTGACCAAAGTGTAATTGGAATTGGGATTTTAATTTTTCTGGCTGTGATATTTAATTTCTCTCTGCATCGCATTGACGAAGGACATGTTGGTGTTTACTTCCGGGTATGTTTTATTTTTTACTCACAATGTTTTTTTTTTAAAAAGGGGACAAATAGAAATACTTCTCGAAATTATAAAGAGTATAAAAAAATTATTTATTTTAGGGAGGAGCTTTATTGCCCCATGTCAGTAATCCTGGATTTCACATGATGATTCCCGTCCTTACGTATTTTCGTTCAGTGCAAATAACTTTGCAAACGGATGAAGTGAAAAATGTCCCCTGCGGAACTAGTGGAGGTGTTATGATTTATTTCGATCGAATTGAAGTTGTTAATATTCTAGACGGCGGTGCTGGTAAAGAAAAAAAATCCCATTCTCATGGCTTTTTAATCCAAAAGTTAAATTAATTAATTAATTAACCGAAATTTATTTATTCTTTTCAGTTTACAATATGGTTCGAAATTTCACCGCCGACTACGATCGAACATTAATTTTCAATAAAGTTCACCATGAATTAAATCAATTTTGCTCAGTGCACACTTTACACGAGGTTTATATCGATCTCTTCGATCAAATTGACGAGAATTTGAAAACTGCACTTCAAAGAGATTTAAATGAACTTGCGCCAGGTTTACACATTCAAGCCGTTCGAGTTACAAAGCCAAAAATACCAGAGACAATTAGAAAAAATTACGAACTCATGTAAGAAGAAATTTTCTTATTAAATTAAATTTCACGTTAAATTAATATTTTCTATTAAAACAGGGATCGAACTAGGTCTGTAAATCTAGCAAAAAGAACTGTGAATTCGATTAAAGTCCGTAAAAGTCAGCTTTTTTGACAAAAAAGTCCGTAATTTGATTGAAAAAGGACGAAAAGTTCGTAAATTGTACGATATAATTTGGAGAATTTTAGAGAAATTACAAATCATTGGAGAAATTCAATTATTTTCAAATATTTTAATAAAATTCTTGGCAAAAATTCAATTACTTTCAAAAAATTTCCACAATTCAATGATTTTTCAATATCTACTAATTTAATAAAATTTTCCAAAATAATTCAATTATTTAAAAAAAATTTAATAAACTATTTTTAATACAATTCTTCTTAAAAATTTCATTATCTTTATAAAAACAAAAAATTCAATTATTTTCAAAAGAAAAACTTTTTCAAGTGAATTAAATCATTTTAAAAATTTTTCTTTTAAATTTTAGTTTTTTAAATACAATTTTTAACTCATTTCTCGAAAATGCAATTATTCTTAAAAATTTTATTAAAATCCTTCTAACGAATTTAATTGAAGAAAAAATTCAATAATTCAATAAATTATTAATTTTTGTATTTAAATAATTGAATTTTAGTAGAATTTTCTAATAAAAATTGATTTAAAAATGGATTTCAGTTAAAATTTTAGATTATAATTGAATATTAATTTTGAATATTAATATTTAAATATTTGAATTCTAGTAGAATTTTCTAATAAAAATTGATTTAATAATGAATTTCAATTAAAATTTTAGATAATAATTGAATATTAAAACCAATATAGCGTGAATTTTGAAAAATAATTGAATTTTGAAATTAATTTTTTTGAAAAAGTTTAATTGAATTTTTTAAATATTATTTAAAGTTTTTGTTTTCTAATATTTATTTAATTGAAAAATTGAAGAATTGAAAAATAATTGAAAGTTCGTAAAATTGAATATTGTAAATAAATGGATTTGAAAATTGTCACAAAACTTTTTCAAAAATTATGAAAAATAATCGATTTAAAGAAGAATTTTAGTTAAAAATTCTGGAGAATAATAATATTAAATTGATAATGATTTTATCACTCGTTCAACTTTAATTATTATAAAACATGAAGAAATCGATCAGTTATCGATATCTTTATGTTTTATTTACGAAAAATTTAATTTACAGTTTTAAGTAATTAGTTTCAGTAAATTGGTCCGTAATTTTTAATTTTTGGTCCGTAAAGTTCGTATTTTTAAATACTTTCACTGGTTCAAACCCTATTAAAATTGTTTCGATTTAAAAAAATATTCTCAATTTCCAGGGAAGGCGAGAAGACAAAACTTTTAATTTCAACTCAACATCAGAAGGTCGTCGAGAAAGACGCCGAGACCGATAGGAAGAAAGCAGTGATAAATGCCGAGAAAGAAGCACTAGTGGCAAAAATTCAATTTGAACAGAAAATAATGGAAAAGGAATCACTTCAAAGAATTGCTGCAATCGAAGATGAAATGCATTTGGCACGTGAGAAAAGTAAATCTGACGCTGAATTTTATCAAACAAAAAAACAAGCCGAAGCAAATAATTTACTATTATCGAAAGAATTTTTGGAATTGAAAAAATATCAGTCACTCGCGCAAAATTCAAAGGTCTATTATGGTCAGGATATTCCAAAAATGTTCTCCCTAGGCGGATGCTCGAATGATCCATCACTGGGTGGTCATATTTCCGAGAGGATACACACGAATTCTGTTGACAGTAAAACATAACTTCCCCCATTGCTTATCAAATATTTATCACTCTATATTTTTTACATCAAATTCTATCTATAAGTTTTTCGCGCATCTATTTCCGAAAATTGTTTTTCTTCATTTAGAAAAATAATTTCAACATATAAAAGTTTTTGTTTTATAAACTCGTTTATTAGGAAAAGTTTATAATACAGAAACTTTGGTTTTTGTATATATAAAGTCTGTAAGTACTTTAAATTCATTTTTTTTTGTTTGAAAAAAAAAATGGTTGTAAACTGTTGTCCTATTTATGAAAATACATATTTTTCATCATTTTCGATTGTACAATTTTTCCACTCTGCTTTTTTTTTAACAATAGAAACCGAGAAATTCAAAAATCTTTTATTTAAATATAAATTAATAATAAAGACACTAAAAGCTACTGTTTTCAATTTTTTTTTCAAAATTTGAACTACTTTAAAATTTAAATTCGCTAATAGTTGAAGTAAAATAATTTTTAATTTTAATAAATTAAATATAAATGTAATTACATAAATAATAATAATTAAATTTAAATAAATAATAGTTGAAGTAAAATAATTTTTAATTTTAATAAATTAAATATAAATATAATTAAATAAATAATAATAATAATAATTAAGGGGCCGTCCATAAATTACGTAACACGTTTAGGGGGGAGGGAGGGTTCGAGAAAATGTTATCATATGTTATATGGGAGGGGGGGGGGGGTCAATCATCATTGTTACGTAATATTTATAAGGAACTTAATCTCTTTATAATCGATAAATTTTTGAAAAGCTGTCCCTTGCCGCCACTTCAATATAAGTAAAAATCGAATCATTTCGCGAATCGATTCTTGGGAATAATATAAAATTTATTGTTAAAAAATCAATGTTATATTTTTGGTTGTTCAGTATGATTAATAAAATTATTCCTCTAAATGTTTTTTATATTTAACTTAATTTTGTATTGCTAATGTACGATATAAATACTAAAAATAACAGTAATAAGGGGCCGTCCATAAATTACGTAACACGTTTTTAGTGAAATTTAGAACCCCCCCTCCCCCTATGTAACAAGTTGTAACAAAATCGTTTTACACCCCCCCCCCCTATCATTGTTACGTAATTTTTAAAATCATTTTTTTTACTAACATTTTTCGAAACAAATTTGTTTATTACTGTTATTTTTAGTATTTATATCGTACATTAGCAATACAAAATTAAGTTAAATATAAAAAACATTTAGAGGAATAATTTTATTAATCATACTGAACAACCAAAAATATAACATTGATTTTTTAACAATAAATTTTATATTATTCCCAAGAATCGATTCGCGAAATGATTCGATTTTTACTTATATTGAAGTGGCGGCAAGGGACAGCTTTTCAAAAATTTATCGATTATAAAGAGATTAAGTTCCTTATAAATATTACGTAACAATGATGATTGACCCCCCCCCCCCCTCCCATATAACATATGATAACATTTTCTCGAACCCTCCCTCCCCCCTAAACGTGTTACGTAATTTATGGACGGCCCCTAAACAAATTTGTTTCGAAAAATGTTAGTAAAAAAAATGATTTTAAAAATTACGTAACAATGATAGGGGGGGGGTGTAAAACGATTTTGTTACAACTTGTTACATAGGGGGAGGGGGGGTTCTAAATTTCACTAAAAACGTGTTACGTAATTTATGGACGGCCCCTAAATGAATAATAAAAATAATGTTATGCTGAATTACGAATTTTGAATAATCCCGCCTTTTTGGACAACATGACCAAGCGCCCCCACGCGGTCAGTTCTACCAACTGTCAGTTTCACCCACATATTTAGATAATTTTCCGATGGGTGGATATTTGTTGTTATAGAAAATTGTGCTTTTCTCATAATTAACTGTTTTATTTAGTGCTGTTTTGCAAACGTCAATAAACCAAATACTGTTTTTTTCAAGTTTTCAAAGTGAATATTTCAATAAACAACAAGTGTTATGTTAATAACGAAAAATTACGAGTCAACCGGTTTGACTCAAGAGGATTTTGAGATGTTTCCGGAGCTTGGTGGTTTAGGTGAGTTATTCTATTATTTTTTTCCTTTTTCTCACTATTATTGCGGCAAATAACTTGATGTCTTGGAGATAAAAAAAAATTAACTTTGCTTTGTATCCCATAAAAACGAGTTTTGCCGATATAGAAATATGTTTATTAGTCCGAAAAAAGAGTTGATGAATGTTAACACATTTTTACGATCAAACAAATGTCAGAAGCGTGATGCTCTTTTATCTTTAATGTTTGATTATTTGAGTGAAGGCATTGTCAATAAACACGTGGCTCAGTGGTTTCAACAAAATATGGTTGTTAATAATATTGGAATTGTGATAAAATATTGCAAATTTTATTTTTTCTATTTCATCATTTATAGGTTACGTTTCAATTAGGCATTTTTTTTTTTTGATAAATTCCCCGTTTTATAGGCTTTCAAATAAATCGATATTCACACATTTATGTCTATTAATAAAGCGTTCCGTCAAAATAGTTATAAATAACCTTGGCACAAAATATGGAAAAATACAAGTTTGCAAAAAATATGCTTTCTTTTCAGTTCTTGTCACATTTTTTTATTTTTCATAACTTAATACTTTTATTTTTTTACTTTTTTTCTCTTAGACAAAAATTTTTTTTCTTTTTATTCTTTTGAAAGTTAATATTTTTTCTTTATTTTACCAAAAATTAGAGAAAGTAATTAACTGATAAATTGCACAGAAGTATCAAAGTCTGAAGATAAATTAAAATTGTTTCGTGGTGATAAAAATAAATTGTAAAAATTTTAATTTTATTTATTTTATAAATTATAAATTTTTCGAATTATGTCAATTTGGAAGAAATGTCTAGAATTTGCAAAATCGATTGATTTAAAAATATTTAAATTACGTGCTTGAAAGAAAAATACAAAGTTTGTTTAAAAATAATCAAGAAGTTTATTGTTTGCTCACGAATGTTGTAAAAAAAAATCTTCTTTTAATCGTTTGCCTTCATTTTTTCGTGCCTATTGCAAAACAAACAAATTACCTTTTCATGACCTTTTCATTTTTTTATTGATGTAAAAATTTATCAAAAAACAGTTCCTGTGACAATGTAAACTTTTAAAGATTACATTTCCTATTACTTACGCAATCACATAAAATGTGATAAGACTTTTTTTTCGGTGAATATTTTGCTATTATTTTTTTCCCTATTACAATACATATATTATAAGTTGTTATACAATAGTATTATGAGGATAGAAAAAAATCCGGTTTTCAGTAAAGGATCTAAAGAATTAGACCCAGAAATAAACTATAGTTTATAGGGATGTCTTTGCAGGAATAAACTGTAGACTTTTTTACAGTTTAAACTGTCAGTTTGAAACCCCCTCTCACTTTTTGACGACTTGTTGCGATGTCGTTGCCTTCAAACACATTTCTTTACCGGTGAAATTCATTCTCTCAATAATATTACACAAAAGTGTGACTCAAAAATTGATTTTTGTATTGTCCCCTATTTCCCGTATAATAAAAAAAATTCTCTCATCCCTTAATTTATCGTTCGATTCAGTATATTTGGAAGAATTGAGAAATTGAGATATTAAATAAAAATCACTGTATTTTTTCTTTTGACGGAAACAGGAAATATTCGGTCACGCTTTTATGTTTTTAACATTTTGTTTTGTTTTGTTTTTTTAATAAAAAGAAACCTACTTTCCACGAGAAAAATTTTGATCTTTATTTCTAAAAAAAATCCCCTTCCTTCAAAAAATAAAAAATTCGTCAATATTCAGAAATTAATTAATTAAAACAGTAAAAGCATTTTAATAATATAAATAAAAATAAATAATAATGAATAATAATAAAAATAATAAAAATGAACAATAATAAAGTTAATAAAAAATTATAATTGTCTAATTTTGTGTAAACTTATAAATTATGGAATTCGTGATAAAAAGTGAATTTCATCTGAAAAGTGTGAACGTTTTAGGGTCCTCTTGTGTGGACACAGGTGCAATGTAATTTACATTATTGAATTTACATTAAACTTATGAAACTTATTTTCAATAATAATGAAATGTGTTGTTATATTAGAGGCAAGTGTGGTGGTATTTCTAGTCTATTTTCGAAGTGTTATTAACATTTTGGAAATTCTATGAACATGAGGTGAATTTTTCTCGTGACACGTGATTTAGTTTTAAATAAAAGAAAAAAAAATATGAGTGAATTTAGTCAGATCTTTTTTTCGTTTTTTCTTTCAAATTAAAAGTGGATAACAATATGATGAATATGTCCGAGCATTGTATACTTGACATGATGGATTTCGAGGACAGTAATTATCTTATAGGTAAATTTTCATTAATTTCCATTTCTTGTTTGAATTCCCATTTTTCCAATTCACAATCATTTTTATTTATTATTTTTATGTTATTGTTTATAATTTGTTTTTTTATTAATATTTTATTTATATTTTACTTTATGAAATATTTTTATTTAATTAAATAATTTTAGTTAATATACTTTTATTTACTAAAATAATTTTAATTAATAGAGATGCGATTTTTTGTAATATTTCAATTATTTTTTATTTTAAATTTATATTTAATTATTATAATATTTTAATTAATAATATATTTTTATTCATAATAGAATGATTTTTCAGTTAGTAATATATTTTTATTTATAATAGAATAATTTTAGGTAGTAAAATATTTTTTTATTTTATTATCAAAAGAAATTTTTCTATAAATTTTTATTACATACCTATATTTTTTTACTAACAAAAACAAAATTATAACAAAATTATAATTTATTAAAATTTTCTCCCTTCTTTTTTTTGTGAAATATAAATTTTAGTTTAGTAAATGTTTAGTAAATGTAAAAATAGTTTTATAAGACAATATTTTTTTATTTTTAAAATTCGAATAAAAATAATTTTACTGAAAAAAAATATGATTTATAGTTGAAATTGAAATAAAACATTTTTTTTCTGCGTCTATCGCCTTTACAAGTGACACTACAAACTTGGTTTTCCTAGATAAATTTAAAACTACGATAAGTATAAACTAGTTTCTCGCATCATTACTTTGAATAAAATTTTTAAATTTCAAATTTTTTTAAATTCTTAAATAATTCAATATTATTATTTGGAGAAAAAATCATGAAAAAGGAAAAAATTAATTAATGTTGACAAATTAATTTTACCAAAACTAGACTGCGTTAATTTTACAGTGAATTAATTTATTAAATTGAATGAGAGTCTCGAAATCCCATTTCAATCGAACTTTAATAATTAGAAAGACAGATGTTCGTTGATAATAATAATTTTATCTTATCTCCAAAATGGGCGTCAAAGGGACTAAGTTTTTCGAAAATTTGAATTCAGTGAGGAAAACGAAATATGTACATAGTTTACGAAAATACTTTATTTTTCTATTATTATTATTTTTTAAAAATTATTATTATTATTACAGGGCACGAACATGATCCGTAAATTAAATTCTACTCCGAATTATTTTCAAAAATTTTTAATAAAATTCTTGGCAAAATTTCAATTATTTTTAAAAAATTAATACAATTCTACGCAAACTATTAATTATTTTCACAAAATAATAAAAATTTCACAGGCATTCAATTATTTACAATTTTTTTTTATAAATTTCTTCGCAATCATTCAATTATTTTCATAAATAATATAATTTTTACAGGGATTCAATTATTTCCATAACTAAAAAAAATTTTTCCAAAAATTCAATTATCTTTATAAATAATAAAATTCTTCTCAGAAGTTCAATTATTTTCAAACCTTTTAATACAATTCTGTGAGAAAATTCCATTATTTTCATAAATAATAAAATTCTTCTCATAGGAATTGAGTTATTTTTACAACTTTTTAATAAATTCTTTGAAACAATTCAATTATTTTTATAAATAATAAAATTCTTTGTAAAAATTAAATATAATTTTGAATTTTAAAAAATTTCAATATAATTTACAAAAATTCAATTATTTTCATAAATAAAAAAAACTTTTCCAAAAATTCACTTATCTTTATAAATAATAAAATTCTTCCCAAAAATTCAATTATTTTCAAAATTAATATTTATTTAATATTATTATTTTTATATATTATTCTTTTTTTTATTACATTATTTTTTTATATATTATTGTTATTATTATTATTATCATTTTATTAATTTCTTCTTAATAATTAATTATCAATCTTCTTAATTGATTAGAAACGATGTGAAGTTGACAAACGTTTAGAAAAAAACTTTTTCTTCACTAATTGATTTTAAATTGATTAATTTTCGTAAAAGAAATTGTTTATAAAAAAATAAAAGTATCATTGATAGAGCACATTAGACGTAATGGAAAATAAAATAAATATAAGACAATGTAGGTGACAGGTAATTGTAGAGAAAGTAAATAATATTAAAATATGTATAACTCTAGATGTGAGAATATGAGAAAAAAAAACAGGTCACATTTTATTGACATTTTAATGGTGACTCTAATGTTTGTATAATAATTTTTTATTCGACACAAGTGCACCAAATGGATTTGATAAGACATTTTAATATTTTCTTCTTTTGATAAAAATACTTTTTTTTTAATTATGCAATCCTGATTCCGAATTAAATCGTAATGGATAATATTAATCGAGTAAAATTATTTTTGTATTATTTATAATTTTTTCTTGTATTATTTTCTTATTGTTTTAACAAAAAAAAATTTTTTCGTACCTACATATTGTAATTTTGTTTGCAAATTGTGATATTTTTTTCAAATTCAAATTCGTGGAATTATTTACAATTTGAATATATGGAAACAATTATTAGAAATTTTAATGAGCCGGCCGGCATTGATTCGTAGTAAAATACTCGAATTCACTTTCTGACGATGTATACATACAAGAGAGAGAGAGAGAGAGACCGGCTTCTACAAAGTTCATTGACATAAAATTATTACTCTCTTCTTTCATGGCGAGATATGTGAAACATTGTTTGCTAAAATTTTAGACAGACCTTGACAAAAAAGTGTTGATGAGTATAGAAAACATTTTAGTTAGTAGATAATAATTTTCCCATAAGCGAGAAAATAAATTTTTTTAAAAAATAATTGAAAGAAAATAAATTAAAAACAAATTGTTCTAAAATAATGAAAAAAATTGAATTTTTCCTCAAAACATACTTTTTTTCGAAAACAAAATTTTTAAAATACTTTCTTTTTTTTACAGATGAAGGATTCCCAGCAGATGATCTTCTTGAAGCTCTCAGTTCGGAGTTGGAGATTCCTCAACTTTTGGGTGGAGAGGGATCTCTTGGTTGTGATGAAAGTCCAGATGATATTATTAAAAATGCCGTGGAATCGCCTTCGTGTAATTCCGAGGATATTGACATGAATCTTATGCCTATGGATCTCGATATTTTCCAGAATATTTGTTCCAATGGTAATTTTTTTATTTATATAGAAACAAAATTTTAATTAAAAGGAGCAAAAAATAAATATTAATTTCTATTACTTGATAATTATAATAATTGTAATAATTTTCAAAATATTCAGAATTGGATGGCGTTTCGGTGGAAACGGATTTAATGGACGGTATCACGGAGAATGTGAAAATTGAAAACGAAATTAAATTGGAGCCGAGAAGTCCAAGATCTCAACTGCCACCTTCACCTAGTCCTAGTCATTCAGATAGTAGTGTACACGAGTGGCACAATGACGCTTCATCAAATTCATCCAACGATGGAAAGGTATTTTTGCAAAAAATTAAATTGTTTCAAAGAATATTATTACAATATTTTTGAAATGTTTCTAAGAATTTTATTAAAATAATTGGAAAAAAATTTTTTTTTATTAAAATCATATTTTTATTCTAGTTCATGTTCGAAACACCGCCAATATCTCCGCCACAAAGTGAACCAACTTCTCCGCCAACACTAATTAACACATCAATTCTACAACAAATAAAATTCATTCCCATGAAATCGGACGAAACAAAAACAACAAAATTCATTCTATCAAAAGGAAGCAGTGCAAAGAGAATTTGCATTCAACCGAAAGTCAACAAAATAAAAACTGAAGGAGGTAAGAACTATTTTTAAAAAAACCAAGGCCAAAAAAATCCAATAATTATATTTAATTTAACTAAAATATTTAAATGAAATTTTATTTAAAATAAAGAAATTAAATAAGAGTTTAAATTTTCTTTTTCAGAACAACCGCGTAAAACAATAATTCTCAGTGCTCAAGATTTTGCCGCTCTTTCGCAAAAAGTCAAACAAAATGGAACGCCACAATTGAAAATTCAAGCATTGCCAACAAGTAAAACGGTGAAAATTCAAAATCAATTGAATATTCTACCATCGCAGCAGGTGAATCTTGAAAAAGGCACTGCATTCACTCCAACGAATCAAGTGAAAATTCTCAATTCAATTCCAAAAGTACAAATACAAAATGTCAAACCAATTGTCATGACAAAAGAATCGACAGTATGCACGCCAATTGTGAATTCAACGTGTCAGCCAATTGTCATTAAAAATGAAACCTCTGATTTTTTCAACATCTCCGGCAGACAAGAGAGTGAAATAAAGGCATTGAAGAGACAGCAAAGAATGATTAAGAATCGCGAGTCTGCTTGTCTGTCGAGGAAAAAGAAGAAGGAATATGTCACTGCTCTCGAGAATCAGATTAGCGATCTACAAGAACTCAATCGTCAGTTACACGCTGTTAGTATTTTAATAGTTTTACTTTTTTGAAATTTATTAATTTTCTTAATTATTTCTGAAAAAAAATTATTATTTTCTAGTTTTACTTAATATTATTTGTTTTATTTTATATTTTTCATTTAATTGTTATTAATTATTGATTGAAATGTTGAATTATTAATTGAAATAATGAATTATTGATTGAAAATAAATGTTTCCAGGAAAATACGGCGTTAAGGCAAAGATTATGCGAGTCGGAGGAAGGAAGCGGAGGCAGGAGTAAATTAAGAACCATGAATCTTAACGGAAACAAAAAGAATACAGTAATGCTTTTAGCAGTTTTTTGTATGATAACCTTAAACTTTAGCAATTTTGGGTAAGTTACTAAAAACTAAATAATTAAAAACTTTATATATTACCTTAAGAAATGAAAATGAAAATTTTTCCGTTTGATCTACAAAAAACAAAATTTTTCAGCGTTTTTCAAAGTAAATCCGACTTGGAGAGAATGTCACCACACATGCCCCTGCCAAATGTGCGACACAGTAGGAGTTTACTTTGGACCGAGTTAGACTCAGAGGAGAGAAATTCGTCGAGAAAAAATTTTAACGCCACATCAATAAATCAATCAATGTGTCCAATGTCAATAAATGACACCGAATCGAAGCGTTTAGATTATGAGATACGGCGATTTTTTGGCGATAAGAGCAACGATGGTAGTTGGAAGAAATCGCCAATAACAAAATGGGAGGACAATTCTTCATTGAGTAAAATTTCCCTCGCATCGACATCGACGACGGCGCCGAAAAAGAAAATATATCGTAAATTAAAAATCACAAGGGAGAAGAAAGTCGAGGCGAATTCGAATAATATTCCTTGGCAAAATGATAATGCTCTCGAAGTTTTCTCACCGAATTTCAAGGAACACTCGGCACTTTTTGATGCGTTGAAAACAAAACACGATACGCACTACGTTGTTTGGTTTAGTCGAGAGCATTTACTATTGCCAGCATCAAGACAAAATAATACCCTGAGACCGAAAATGACACTTATTTTTCCCACTCTTCCACTCAATGGTAGGCAATTTTAATTTACTTATTTTTTTTTTTTAATATAGAAAATATAAATAATTACATTTGTCATTTAATTTTTGATTATTTTAAAGAAAATTATTTTATTTTCAGACACATTTTCAACGGATCCAAATAATGTCACAATGATGCAAATCGACTGTGAAGTGGCAAACGTGGAATTTCTCAATCTCGAAAATAATGTGATTCCCGATTATTTGCGAGCTGCGCAAAAACCAAGTAATCCACCGCAAAAGAATAGCGAAAATTATAGACCATATTTTTTGAAAAATAACACAGAGATTGTCAAGAAACTACAAAAGGAAAGTTCTCACTTAATAAAAAAGACTGACATCGACGAGAATAATTTTAAATGAAACAAAATTGGCTCCAAATAATATTTATAGAAAATCAAATGAGGAAAATTTTGACCAAAAAAAGGTAGGTCTCGAAAATTTACAAAGTAAATCTCTCTCTCTTTTTTTTTTTTTTGTTTTTTACTGTCAAAACTGAAATTCAGGCTGTGTAGAAGAAAAGTTAATAGGAAGTAAAAAAAAGAATAGAAAAGAATAGAAAAGAGCCTAAAGAGATATAATATATTGTACATTGACAATAGAATTAAAGTATGGAATTTTTGTCCTTTGAGGGCAGTGACTGAAAAAAAATTAGTATATTTGGATATTTTTAGTTCTTTTAGAGAAAAATTTTTTTAAATCTATTATTTACATTTTTTAATGCAATTTTTACGAAAAAGAAATCTTTACATAATTCGAAAAAGATTTAAGCCAACGTTCGATGCAATAAAAAAGGAAAATTGTAAAAAAAAGACTAAAATTACGATTTCGAATTTATTATAATTTGATAAAGAGTGCAATTTGTATACCATTTAAGATTTTTGTTCACGAGTATTTTTAATTGATATTTTTTAGCAGGATTTAGATTGTCATAATATATATAAATATATAAATATATTGCATAATGTAATACAAGATAAATTCAATTTCATTAAATTGAGAACAGATTAATTGATAAGTAATTATAATAGAATATTTGATTTCTATTTGAACACAAATTTTTTTTTTTAATTTATAAGTTTCACTAGGTGTGTCACAGTATTGTGAAATTCTTTGTATAAATGTTTTTAACTTTAGGCATGTAAGTAAATATACAAATAAATGTTTTAAGCAAAATGTGAAAATGAAGTTAAGTTTTTTTTAATAAATAGTTTTTTTTTAATTCTGTACTAATATTGTTTTTTTCCAACAGGAATATACAAAAGTTACATGAATAATTTTTATTTGTAATTGCGTAAATACGATTTTCAAAAAGATTAGAATTTTATTTGAGATCGGGTGTTGAATTACCAAGATAACTTCGTAAATCTGTAACTGTCGATTTTATTAGTTTTGCTCGTATTGTTGGTTTGCCAAGTTTTTGATGAGCTGTATAACGATGGCAACCTCCAAATGAATAATAATAATCGCCGCCTGAGAAATTTAGTTTAAAATTATTTAACTTATAAAATTATTGTCATTATTATTATTTATGTTATTTTTTGTTTAGAGGATAATTATTTATATTGTATTTTGTTATATATAATTTATTAATATTATTTTTAATTATTATATATATTCCTCTTCATATACGAGGCTAGAAATAAATTATTTTTTATTTCTGTTATTTTTCACAGTAAGAAGTTATTTGTGAATTATTTTTTAGAATTTAGAAAATATTTGAATAATTTGATTTCTAGTAATTAAATTTTTCTTTTACCTTCTCTTCCTGTAATCCAGAGAACATCAACAGGAGGTACCAACGATTCAGTCTCAGGATCCTGTAAAGTTTTCATCAAACTCTTCACCTTTTCCTCATTAACTTCCGGTGGAAATGGTCTAATCAATACATTCATTGGCATCTCATGAATTTCTGCATTCTCGCTCGAGTGAATACTCGTCATTTTTTCATTCACAATTGAACCTTGAAATTAATTCTCATTAAAAATCCTTGAATTCATTATCATTAATTACAGATTAATTTAAATGCGTAAAATTGACATGAGTGTAACTAAAATTAACATTGTGCCAAAGTGAATTTCAAAAAATTCACTCGGATAGTGAATTTTTAATTTTGAAAAATCGAGAGAAAAATTGTTTTTTGTATTAAAGGAAAAGAAATATGAAAGAAAAATTTTTTTACTAGTGCTACTTACCTATATATTTATTGCTCGGATTTATCAGACGTAAGACTTTCAATTTTGAAGGTAATATCATAGCTGACTTGCTAATGAATGAAGTTCTCTTTCAACTTGTGTCACTTTTACAGTGTCTCCCTACTTTTTTTTCTCTCTCTTTCTCTCTCTGATATCAGATGACAATCTATAGCTAAATCCAGAAGTACGTTTATTATTTACGTTACATTATGCAATTATTAATTTACATAGTAAATAACATTTTTTTCCTCTAAACTCGCAAAAAAAACATATTTATAGACTTTATGGCATAATAGAAAAAAAATTGAATGTCAAAGTAACTAATCGTGAATTTCTCCTTCAGGGTTGCCACAAAAAATTAATTTTGTTTTTCCCTGATTTCCAGACAAAATTTTCATTTTTTTCCTGACCCTAAAGAATATTCAGATTCACTCTTAATAAAATTCTTGGCAAGATTTCAATTATTTTCATGAGTAATTCAATTATTTAAAAAAATGTTAACAAAATTCTTCGCAAGAATTCAATTACTTTCATAAATTCGTTGCAGGAATTCAATTATTTTTTACAAATAATAAAATTTTTCACGTAAATCAATTATTTTAAAAAAAAAATTGATGAAATTCGTTGCAGGAATTCAATTATTTTCATAAATAATAAGATTCTTTACATTATTTCAATTATTTAAAAAAAAAAATTTGAAAAAATTCATTGCAAGAAGTCAATTACTTTTATAAATTAATAAAATTCTTCACAGGATTTCAATTATTTTTAATACAATTTTAAGTAAATTCTTTAAAAAAGGTAATTATTTTTTAATTATTTAATTAAAAAAATTAAAATTAGGTATTAATTATTATTTTTTTTTTGGAGGAATTGTAATAAAATTTTCAAGAATAATTAAATTTTTCGAGGATTTCAATTAAAATTGCATTAAAAATAATTGAAATTCTATGATGAGTTTTATTATTAATGGAAATAATTGAATTTTTGTAAAAAAAAATGTTATTATTTATGAAAATAATTGAATTTTGACGAAATTCTTTTGAATTTTTGAATATAATTGAATTTCTGCGAAGAATTTTATTATTTTTGAAAATAATTGAATTTCTATCATTTGTAGCTTCTCCAAAATTCAATTTTTTCCAGTACTTTAATAAAAATCCCTGACTTTTTCCTGAATTCCCTGACCTGTGGCAACCCTATTCTTTTTCAAATATTTTCAACAAGAAGAAATTCTTTTTACATGAGAATAATTTTTCACTTTGAATAAAATAAATTCGTTGTCAATTATCAATTATTGTCACAGTAACAATAACAAAAGTAATTAATTTTTCACCTCTAAGTTGAATATTTAATTACAAAAAAACTATATACATATTGCAATTTCCTGCAAATTCTAAAATTTGTTTCTATTAAAATTTCCATAATTCATGTGACTTTTAAAAGTCGTTCATGCAAAAATTCAGCGACATTTTTTCCCAATTTTTTATAAGCATCAGCTTGTCGTGAATTTGGCTTGGAAATTAATATCGGTCTTCCATTATCACAGCCCTCTGCGATGTCATCGTTGAATGGAATTTTGCACAATATATTAATGCCTACAAGAGAGAAAAGATGCAAATGAACAATTTGATTGCAGGACATAATTGAATAAAATAATTCACAGAAAAGAGAATAATTGAATAAAATAATTCACAGAAAAGAGAATAATTGAAAAATCATTCAATGAAAATACAATTTGTTTTTACAAACATTTTTTCATTCAATGAAAATTGAATTTGAATTTGAATTTTATATTCGAGGAAAATATAAAATAAGGAAGAATTTATATACCTAATTCCCAAGCGAGACTCAATGATCCGTCTTTAAATAGAGAGGCTTCGTGATGACATTTTGGACAGATGACACTACTCATATTCTCGACAATTCCAACAAGTGGGACATTTAATTTTTGATACATTAAAGCTCCTCGTCGTGTGACATCGAGAGCGGCTTTTTGTGGCGTTGTGACAAGTAAAACTCCATCGATGGGAACATTTTGAACAAGCGACAAATGAGTATCACCTGTTCCTGGCGGTGTATCAACAACAAGATAATCTAAAGGGCCCCACGCAACTTGTCGAATTAATTTGTCAAGGGCATTCATTACCATAAGTCCACGCCATATCACAGGTGATTTTTTATTCACTAAAAATCCCATCGACATACTGTTGATCATAGAGACAATTTCATTATTTCATATATAATTTTGACAATGACAGATTTTATTAAAACAGAGTTGCCACAAAAATTAAATTTTCTTTTTCCCTGATTTCAAGACAAAATTTATGACTTTTTCCCTGAATTTCAAGAAAATTCTAATGCACTTTAAAAATTATTGGACACTGATTGAAATTTTTGAAAATTAATGGAATTCCTGTAAAGAATTTTGTTTTTTACGAAAATAATTGAAGGTTTTGTATTAGAATTCGTGTCAATTTCGCATATTTTGTGAGGCATACAAAAAAGACAGAAAAATTCAGAATTTTCTTATAAATTCAAAAAATTTAATTTTCTCCAATACTTCTAATAAAAATCCCTGACTTTTCCCTAATTTCCCTGACGAATTAATAACCAAAAGAATTTACCATTTAATATCATAATTCACTAAAGGTTCCATGAGATTTTCCTCGTTCAATTTTGGCGAATCGTCGAGATTCATCATTAGAGGAACACTTGGACCAAAAACATCGGCATCTAACAATCCAACTGACTTTCCAGGATCATTCATTTTTAAAGCAACTGCTAAATTAACCGAAGTTGTTGATTTTCCAACACCTCCCTTTCCCGAGGCAACAATTAAAATTTGTTTCACACCTTCGATCGCCTTTTTCCTCGGTAAACCACGTCCCATTACTTCTCGACGACGACTTTCTAGATCTTGTGACGTTTTATTTGTGCAAAACTAAGAAAGAAATGTTCCCTATTAATTAAAATATTGAAAAAATTTTAATTTATACAATTCGCAATACACTTTTTTTTCTTATGAGCAAAAAGTTTGTAAATTGTTTCAAATAATAGCGATCGTATTTTTTTTCTTTTGCCGTTCTTAGAAGAATAAAATGTTCAGAATAAAAGTTAACTCACGTGTTTTTTCGGCACACGATTGAGAATTAAAGACCACCTTTCTAGAATTCGAGACATTTTTATATAAAAAATTAAAAATACGTACTTAACCTCTCTGTTTATGAGTTTTATTTTTAGAGTCTTTCAATTAACCACAACAATTTATATAAAGACAGCAAAAACAACATAAGTTTTACCGAAAAGTACATGAATTACTCAACTGTACATTATTTAGACGCAAGTCTTTCTCTTTTTTAAAAAAAAAAAAAGATTAAAAACTGTCACGAGGGCGAGACGCACTTTTTCTGCGGCCTGTTCGCCATATCGCGTATTCGTTTTGTGCGAGACTCGTCGACCAGTCGTTACTCCCCGTATACTTGAATCATTATTTTACTGTTTTATAATGTTTTTATCAGCCGTAAATATGTGACAGTAAGTATTTTAACATTTTTTCATGTCTACATTTAATTTTCCATTCTTGTTAAACCCAATAAGAGCAATTTTTTAATCGTGAATCGTCTATGATTGTAATTTGTCATTCCTAACCTATTTCGGTAGAAAATTCTTTTTCATTTTTGACATTATTTTTCATGTTTGTAAGCAAATTTTCATCAATTTTTCATAAAATTGAAATGTCGGAAAACTTACGATTAACTGAAATTCTTGCCTTTTGGAAAAATTTTTTTCTCCACTAAATATTTACTGTCATCCTTTTTTTTGACCGCATATCAAAAATTTACAAATTTGGTCGTTTTTTTCGAAATTTTCTTATTTTGCCGATAGAAAGTATTTTGTATTTTTTGATATATTTGGAAATAATAATGAAAATATGATAGTTCTTCATGATTTGTGAATTGCGAAAAATTTTGCAATTTTTTTTTCAACGTTCCCCTTTTTTTGAAATCAAGTGTTAATTTGTCACTTCCGCAGGTAAACCTGGATAATCACGAGGGCGGCCATCGCAGATAATGGGCCTAAAAGCAGCGGTGCAGGCCCTAAAGTAAGTTCTAAATTTGTTATATCAAATTTCCCTTTTTCTCCACAATGGTGAAAAATCTATTTATAGAAATTGGAATTTAGTCTTTAATTTTTCTTTTAAAAAAAAGAGAATGGAAATAATTTCTTTTTCAATTCAATTGAATTTTTTTATAATTTGTTTGAAAATCTGGAAATGTCAGGGAATTTTATAAACCTTGAAAAAACCTGGAATACTTAGTCAGGGAATTTTTATTGGAATCCTGAAAAATTGTTGTTTTCTAAAGTTATTGTGTTTATTCTTGAAATTTAATTATCGAAAGCGAAAAGCTCATAAATATTATGAAATTACCACGAATTCGAATACAAAACATTCAATTTTTTCTATTTTTGACAATAATTTCTTTTCAAATAATTTAATTCAATTATTTTCAAAAGTAATAAAATTCTTTGCAGTACTTTAATTACTTTTAAAAATTGCATTTAAATTCTTCAAAAAAAATTCAATTATCTTTGTAAAAAATGAATTTCAGTTAAAATTTTAGTTAATAATTGAATATTAAAAGCAATATAGCTTAAATTTTTGGAAATAATTGAAATTTTGTAAAATTAAATTGTCAACAAGTGGATTTGAAAATTATCAAAGAACTTTTTCGATAATTATAAAAAATAATCGATTTAAAGAAGAATTGTAGTTAAAAATGCTTGACAATAATAATTGAATTGAATAATTCAATGATTAATATCAACATTTATTTTTTTTTAAAATAAGAGATTGGAGTAATTAATTATTAATGATTATTCAGGAAAGCTGAACCACTAAAGGACAAAGTACAACAATGTAAGGATCTTCTTAATGACAATGACGCTTGGCTTTGCCAACAACAATTACAAAAGATTTATCAACAAGTTCTCATTTTGGACCTCGAATATGCTCTCGATCGTAAAGTGGAACAGGAACTTTGGAATCTCGGTTTTAAGAATTACATAGCTCTACTTCAATCGCAAGCTAAGGATCGAAAAAATCCAAAGAGAGGCGAGTCCCAGGCGATGCTTAGTTGGTGCCTCGAAGGAGCCAGTGGCTTTTATTTGACTCTCCTTCAGGAAATCTGCACTGCATTCGATCTCGATTTACCTTTCAGAAGGTAAAATTTAGCCCAATGACAGACAGGCTTTGCCTGACTGACTCGATAATTAATTTTTGAAAAAATAGCTTTAAAACTGAAAAGTAGTGATGATTCCGAAGCCTTGTAATCAAAAGTAAAAAATTGTTTTAATTGTAGAAATTTATTTTTGCAGAAAAGGATACGTTTATGGTTGTACGTCGCCGTGGAAAGCAATTGAAAAATTGACAGCACCACACAAGTCTTCGTGTTTTTACGCCTGTCAATATTGTCTAGTACACTTGGGTGATATTGCACGTTACAAAAATCAAAATAAACAAGCGGAATTATTTTATCGACACGCAGTGTCATTGTCACCGTCGAGTGGTCAACCCTACAATCAATTGGCACTTTTGGAAGCATCACGTGGCGATAAATTGGGCACTGTTTTCCATTATGCACGTTCAATAGCCGTTAAACATCCATTTCCAGTGGCGACGACAAATTTGGCAAAAACACTCTCGTCCGTCATGAATGATACATCATTTAATATCAATGGAAAAACAAAATTAACCTCACAAGAGTATTTATTGGTATTTTTGAAATTGCACGCTATATTACACAATTTGGGTGATTTGAGTGAGGCGACGAAATACACGAAATTATTGACAGAAACATTAACGGCATTAATTGCCACTGAGAGTTTCAATTCATGGCGACTTGTACAAATGTTGGTTATTAATTTATATGCCTTGCAACATGCGATTGGAACATCGTCGGACAATACGGATTTTTTATCTGTCGATCAATTGAGCGTTGATGAGAAATTCGCTAAGGAATGTATTTTGGATCTTGTCGCTGGTAGTCTCTCAGCTCTTTTGTTGCCTGTTTATACGATCAAAAATGCAATTGTCGATTATTTCGCTTTGCCAAGTAGTAAGTATGGAACAATCAATCATTTTCAATATCTAGTATTTTTATAAATAATATTTCCCCAGGAATTCAATTTATTTCGAATAGCATTTTCAACAAAAAATGCGAAAAAATCAATTTATTTAACAAAATTTTTATACAATTCTTCACAATAATTCAATTATTTTAACTAATAATAACATTTTCCATATGGAAATTCAATTATTTTCTTAAATAATAAAACTCATCGAAGAATTTCAAATATTTTAAATACTATTTTAAATTAATAAATCGAAAAATACAATTATTTTTCCAAATAAAGTTTTCCACAAGAATTAAATTGTTTAAAATAAAATTTTCATAATATTTATTATATTTCGAAAAAATTAATTATTTAAAACAATGTTTATAAAATTCTTATAAAGAATTCAATTATTTTCAAAATTAACAAAATTTTTTGCACAGAAATTCAATTTTTTTAAAACATTTTAATAAAATTTTTCGCAATAATTGAATTATTTTCATAACTAATAAAATTCTTCTCAGAAATTCAATTATTTAAAAAAATTTTAAATAACATTCTTTACAAAAATTCAATTATCCATTTAAATAATAAAATTGTTTACAGAAATTCAATTATTAACAAAAATTTTAGGAAAATCTTCCCACAAATTCAATTATTTTCAAAAATTTTAATAAATTTTTTCGAAATAATTGAATTACGTTGATAAATAATAAAATTCTTCTGAGAAATTCAATTATTTTCAAAATTTTAAATATAATTCTTAACAAGGATTCAATTATTTTCATAAATAATAAAATTCTCTGCAAACTTCAATTCTTCTTAAAAATCTCAATAAAATTCTACACAAAAAATTAAATTATCTATCAAAGTCTGTTATTAATTGGAGATTTTTTTTCAGTCAAATTGTGCCTTGATTGGATTCGTCTGAAACCGACTTTATTGGAGGAGCCTGCTTTCACAACTCGGCTGCAAATATGGCCAAGTCTTTGTGTTTTACTCAACGGTCTACAAACCTGTGTATTAGACTTCAAGCACGAACAGTGTACGTAGTTATTTTCTCTTTAGCTATTCAAAAAGTATTTATATGTAAAAATTAAGTAGAAAATTAAATATTCTTTTTTTTGTTTAGATACCAAAGTACCACTGCCGGAGGATCGAGACCTTCAGGGTTTTCTGCCATTGGAGAAAAGTTTCGAACCTCTAAGATTCACAAACACGGATTTGGAAGGCGACAATGTTTCTCTCAATAAATTGCGAGCGATTCGAATTTTGCAATCGGGACGAAAAATATCCCAATATCAAATCAATGGCTCCGCTTTAATAACAGTCGGAGATGAGGAGAATGAAAAATTTACGTCTGCAATCGAGGGCGTTGGACCCAGTAACGAATTAATGCGCGAATTGGAGGAACTCAGTTTGAATAAGGAAAAGCAAATTGTTGCCAATAGTCCCGTTCCATCAGAGTCGGCGAGCAGTAAAGGATCCTCTGAGACGGACGCCTTTGAAATCTTACGTAAGCATTGCCTTCTTTTATTCTCATAATTATTGTTTTCAGGCTTCGCACTCTTTTACTAAAAACTACTAACATTTACTACTTTTTGACGATTTTGACGATTAATTAATCAATTTTTCCTCCAGTCGAAAAGAGAGTTGGTATTCTCAAACCGCAAGGTTCTTTGGAGAGAAATCGTGACAATGTGGTGAATAGTACGAGTGTAATTATTGCCGAATCGCACGCAACGCCCGCAACACGTAAACCGCGTCAAAATGTCGCGATGCAAGCGATAATGCGACGAGCCGAGACCGAGCAAAAACAAGTGACCTTCAAAAATATCTCACCAGTAATTACCGATCTGGACGAATTAAAGAAGAAAAAACAAACCACTATCACTTCTCCCGGAACCAAAAATTCTCCATCCGCCAGTCAACCAATCACCGTTCAAAATCGTCCTGCCCTAATTTCAAATCCAAACCAGGCGAAGAAATCGCCAAATCCAATTACATCTCCGCCTCAGAATTCAATTTCCCATCAACAAACTCTCGTCCCAAGTCAAATTCAAACTCTCGCACCAAATCAAATACAAACTCTCGCTCCAAGTCAAATCCAAACTCTAAATCAAATCCAATCTCAACAAACTCTAAATCAAATCCAATCTCAACAAATGAAGACGCAAGGACAGATTCAGTCAATGATTCCAACTCAGGGCCAGCAGAACCATCAGCAGCCACAATTAATTCCCCAACAGGGTCAACAATTTTCCCCGAGCGATCAGAGAAATATCTCTCAATACCAATTGCCAGTGAACTGTTTCCAAAATCAATCGTTCAACGTCCAGAATCCCGCATTCAGCAAGAACTTCATTGTCAACCAGTCGGATTTTCCCCTCCAAGGAGCGCAATACCAACAAAATCGTTTACATCCCCGCGCCACTCAGAATCCAATAATAAATCTAAATCCACAGCAAAAAATCCCCAATCTCGCTCAACAGAATATTTCAACTCTAAATCCAAACGTCAACCTCCAAGCCAACTCAACAATGCGTATTCATCAACAGAACATGTTACCAGATCCCCGTAACAATGGAATCAATTTGCCAAATACATTAAACATGCCAGGTTCAATGATTGCCGCGACAAATTTAACAGGCTATCAAAAAAATCTCCAGCCTGGTATCGTCGCACCACCTACGCCATTGAATTCCGAGCATGGTAATCTTCAAATGAATTTCAATTCAAACTACGGACAGCAGAGTAATTTCAATCAAATGTCGTCGAATTTTGCTGCTAAAAATCAGGGGCAATTTTCACAGATGCCACCACAGACGACGGGCTTAAATAAGGGACAGGCGATTAATAACTATGCAATGTTTCATGGTTATGAGAATAAGGATTTTAATCCGTGGAAGCAGGAACCACAGGCGCCGCCGCAACCGCCAATCACGTGGTGGGGAAATTCGGGACAAGGACAAATGTTACCGGGAAAGGAGAGTACGAGCAATGAAGTATTTTCGAATTGGACGAATGCACCGAATTCGGGGAATATGATAGGACGAGTGCCTATTAATTCGGGAAATAATTATTCGCAAAATAGTTTTCATGGGCGGCATTATAATCCAAGGAGTGGTCCTGAAGACGCACGATCGTTTGAGGTGAGTTGTCTTTTAAACTGTTGTCTTAACATGTTTTTTTTTAAATTTTGACATTTATTTCGCCTATTTTCGTCAATTTCACCAATTTTTACCAATTTTTTAAAATTTATTTTTAATTATTTACAAATTACACGTATAATTTTGTAAACTTTTTTCTAATATTTTGAATCAAAACTAATTTTCAAAAATTATTAATGAACTAGCGAAACGTGATATTCAATTATTATTATTATGCAAATTACTAAAGTTTTTATTTTCAAATATAATGGTAAAAGTGACCTTTTAAGATCCGGAGCCTCAAATAATAAAATTCTTTGCAGAATTTTAATTATTTTTCAAATTTTAATAACATCCTTGACAAGAATTCAATTATCTCTAAAAATAATAAAATTCTTCCCAAAAATTCAATTATTTTCATAAATAACAAAATTCTCCGCAGAAACCCTTTAATTTACAAAATTACAAAATAAATTCTTCACAAGAATTCACTTAAATTTATAATTAATAATAATCAATAATTAAAGAAATTTAATAAAATTCTTCCCAAACATTCAATTATTTTTATAAATAATAAAATTCTTCGTAAAAATTCATTTATTTTTATAAACTACAAAATTGTTCGTTATAATTAAGTTATTTTCAAAAATTTCAATAAAATTCTTGCCAAAAATTCAATTATCTTCATAAATAACAAAATTCTTGCCAAAAATTCAATTATTTTCATAAATAACAAAATTCTTCACAGAATTTCAATTATTTTCAAAAATTCCAATAAAGTTCTTAAAAAATTCTTATCTAAAATTAAACTACATATTTACATAATTGTCTATAAAATTCGATTATTTTCTAAAAATTAATTTTTTATTATTTTCTAAAATTTTAATAAATCATTCGAAACAATTCAATTATTTTTTTAAATAGTAAAATCTTTGCAAAAATTCAATTATTTTTTATACAAATTTAATAAATTCAGCAAAATAATTCAATTATTTTTTATACAAATTTAATAAATTCAACAAAACAATTCAATTATTTTCAGTACAATTTTAATAAACTTCAAAAATCAAATATTTAATTATAATATTATTAACAGACAAGATTATTATCAATCGATTTTTATTCAGTAACATTGTAAATATTAAAAATAATTTAATCTAGGTAAAGAATTTTATTGAGATTTTAGAAAATAATTGAATTTTAACGAAGAATTTTGTTATATAAAAAATAATTGATTTTTTGGGAAGAATTTTATTGAAATTTTTGAAAATAACTGAATTTTAACGAACAATTTTGTAATTTATGAAAATAAGTGAATTTTTGGAAAGATTTTACTAAAATTTTTAAAAATAATTGAAAGTCTGTAAGAATTTTGTTATTTAAGTAAATAATTGAATTCTTGCAAAGAATTTTATTATTTCTGAAAATAATTGAATTCTTGCGAAAAGTTCTATTATTTAGGAAAATAATTGAATTTTTTCGGAGACTTTTTTATTTTTAGAGATAATTGAATTCTTGTCAAACATGTTATTAAAATTTTCGGAAGTAATTGAATTTATACGATGAGTTTCATTATTTACGAAAATAATTGAATTCTTGTCAAGAATTATATTACAATTTTTTAAAATAATTGTATTTTTGCAGAGAATTTTGTTATTTATGAAAATAATTGAATTTTTTCCAAGTTTTTTGACATTTTTTAGAGATAATTGAATTCTTGACAAGGATGTTATTGAAATTTTGGAAAATAATTGAAATCCTACGAAGAATTTTGTTGTTTTTGAAAATAATTGAATTCTTGCGAAGAATTTTGTTGTTTATGAAAATAATTGAATTCTTGCGAAGAATTTTGTTGTTTATGACAATAATTTAATTCTTGCGAAGAATTTTTATTAAAACGTTTGAGACTTAAAAAATAATAATAATTAATTAGTATTAGTTAGTTGTATTTTTTTATAATTGTAATTTTTTTCTCACCTTCTTGTCACCTACTTGAAAAAAATTCTCCTTTTCGCCCATTTTAAAGGAAAAAGATACTATGATCCCTATTTTTTACAAATCTGTTTTCTATTTCCTTTCATTTCTTGTTGTGTTCATATTTGTGTCACATTTTTGTATCAGTTTCCCTTCTAATTTTAATGAATCCTTCCCGACTATAAGAACAAAAATTAATCATTTTTCTTGTAAAATTCACAGATGGATCAGAAGCAACAACAAACAATCACAACAGGAAACACTTATTCCCTATTCAGTGGCAATAGTTGGGGTGCGAGTGGACAATCGTCAGGTATGTCAAATCAAGACCAAATGAAGAGTCGACTAAATCAACAATCGCTCTGGTCTGGACCTGGACCATCACCACTCGAACGTCTCTTGGAACAGCAAAAATCCCTTCGAGAAGGCGGCACTTGAAGGAAAACAAAAAAATGACCCATGTCGTCGTTGATTAAAAAAAAAGGGGAAATTCCTGTTTTTTCAATTACCCAAAACACGCGGGACGGGTAACAAAAAATATGTCAAAAGCAAAAATGTTAAATTACCAAGAAGTCAATTTATAAACACACTGGAATTTAAATTGCATAGTGAGAGAGCAAAAAAAAAAATACAAATTTAGAGAGTTCTGTAGAAAGACGAAATAGGCCAACGTAAAAGAGAGAACATCTACAAAACAAAAACAAAAAAATAAATTAATTAAAAAGCAAAAAAGTGTAGCTCCAAAAAGACTAGTTCTTGGAATAAATAAAACTATGTATTTGGATGCACTAAGAGAGGAATAAAACATTGAGCAATTTTCCCGTGAAAAAAATAACAAAGAAACAAATAAAAAAAAAATACAAGAAACTCGTGCAAAGGAGGCCAGAAAGGCTGGTTTTAAAGAATACTGATAAATACCGAAAAAAAAGTCCCCCTGTGACGATAAAAAAAACAAAAGAACTAGATTTCGTTTATCAGTAGTCGAAAATTGAGAGTGGCCTCTGTTAGTATATTACAAGTGTAGTTAAATTATTATGTAATTGACAAAAGTTAATTCGCATTTTTTTGACACGAAGATTTCTAGTTTCGTTATATTTTCGTTTTCTTTTTTTTTCCTTTTTAAGAAAGAAGCTTATCTCGAGGCCGTGTGTTTCTTTTCCTTGCACTTTTTATACCACAAGTTTAACTTATTTTAACGACAATACTTGTCTAAGATCCAATTTAAAGAATAAGAAATTTTTTTTCTATTCTAACAATTTTTTTTTCCACAATAAATCTCTGAACGACAATCCAATTATCAATTTAGTAGATTTTATAACTGAATTAGGAAAAAATGTATCAGATTTGTTTTGGAAATTCAAAATTAAGAGCTTAATTAGATGTCCGCGGCTTCGATGATAGTTAAGTAGAGGACAATATTTAAAAAAAAATGACGTAGTGGCATAAATATTATGTTTAAATTAACAAAATTCATAGTTATATTCGATTACAGGCAAAATAAAATGATGTTGGAATTAAATTTAATTTGTCTTGTTATTCACTCGAATTTTGAAATAATTTTCAAAAAAAAAAAACAACAGGAGAGGTTTAAAAAAAATAGAATTAAAATAGCAAAAGTATCGTTTTCTTAAAAAAATTTATTTTATCACACACTTTCGTATAAAATTTCCATAGTTTTTTGAAATTTGTTTAAACAATAAAACTTTTTTTCTTGAGAACAATTAAAATATCAATTAATTGTAATAGTCAACATTTTAAATTTAAAGGAACAAAGAATCATTAAAGAATAAAAATAGAACGAAAACCATGAATTTTTATAATGGTTATTAACATTTTTCTTAAGTATTAAAAAAAAGGAAAGAAATTGAAAAAAATAAATAATCTCTGTTTTCTTAAGTCAGTTGGCGCTATTGGCAGTTTTTGGTTCATTACGTGTCAATGTAAAAATACAGGTAAATTTGTTTTTATTACATACTATTCTTTGAATATCTTGAGATGCAATGTGAAGACTATTTTTAAATGTTGTTTCCTCGAGCGTTCTACAAGAACGAGGCTGAAAAGAAAATTTTTTATTTGAAAATAATCCCAATTACTATATATTTATTAATTATTAATAACAATCTTAATAATTCTTCTTGTTTCTTATCTTTTTTTTTTGATTATTTTTCTATTTATTGTTTTAAATTCTTAAATGAATGAAATTCTAAATTTAATATTTAAAAGATTAAAAAATACCAAAAATTAATTAAACCAAATAGTTTTCAATTTAAAATATTTCTTCTATTTATTAATTTATTAAAATAATTCAATTATTGTAAAAAATTTTATTATTTAAGAAAATAATTGGATTTTTTGAACAATTTTATTGGAATTTTTGAAAATATTTGAAATTCTGCGAAGAATTTTATTATTTATGAAACTAATTGAATTTCTGGGAAGATTTTAATAAAATTTTTGCAAATAATAATTGAATTTCTGTAAAGAATTTTATTATTTACGAAAATAATTTAATTTTTTGGAAGAATTTTATCACAATTTTTGAAAATAACTGAATTTTTTATTTATTTTTATTATTTATGAAAATAATTGAATTTTTAAAAATTATTTTTATTGTAATTTCTAAAAATAATTGAAATTCTGCGACGAATTTTGTTATTTATGAAAATAATTGAATTTTTTGAATAATTGAAATCTTGCTAAGAATATTATTAAAATTTTCGAAAATAATTGAATTTTGTCGATTAATTTATTAAAATTGTATTAAAAATATTTCGCTTCTCCTAAAGAATTTAATTAAAATTTTTTTAAACAATTTTTTTTTTTTGGAACAATTTTATGAAATTTTTAGAAATATTTGAATAATTCAATTTGTTTGATAAATTTTATTGAAAATAATTGAATTCCTGTCAAGGATTTTATTTAAGTTTTTGAAAACAATAAACAATAATAATTGATTTTCCAATTTAGTTAATAATTGGATTTTTTTAAAATTTTGAATCTAAATTATTCCAATATTGAAATTAATAAAAACGGAAAAGTTTTTTAATTAACTAAAATTAAAAAATCCATGTTAATAAGTTTATTTAATTGTGTAAAATAAATGAGTAAAAATTTAAAAAAGTAAAATTATTAGTCTTACAATTCTCTTTGGAATTTCATTTTGTGATTGAGAATTGAAAGATAAAAATTAGAAATATATAAAGAACAAATTTATAACTTACAAATCCTTCGAATGAGCAAGATCTTCCATTTCCTGTAATTTCCAATTTGTATTTAAATTCGTGAGCCGTATTATTATTGTGCACCATTTGAACATTTCCGGTGAAATCTCCAGCACCATTAATAGTCGTTATTAAAAAGAAAATTCCCATTTTTTGAATGAAAAATGCCAAATCGAAAACAATATTTGAAAGATGATCCATTTCCCATTGACGGGAATATTCCTTTCCACTTGAACTTTCAGTCTAGAGAAAAACAATTTTATTTTTAATAATTAAAAACAGATTTCAATTCATTTGATAACAAAATTAATTTCTATTTTCCAGGTAAATAAATTTGAATAAAAATAAAAGAATATTTTGTTCTTTGGTTTCATGCTGTGAATTTTTTTTTGCGATTTGAAAGTAGATTAATATTCACCTCAACTAATCTGTCTTTATGGAAATAATTCAAATGATTGAGAATTCGGCTATGAGGACCTTGAAAAGTACATTTTGCCAATCGACAAGGAAATGATCCTTTTGCTGCTGAAGGTTGTGATAATTTCACTTCCTTTACAGTTTCTTCTTCTTTTTTTTCTATTATTTCAACGTTGTCAGTTTGCGTTGAAATTGTAATAAGTTGTATTTCCTTCGGAGGCGTGAGGAGTGAATTCTACAAAAAAGGTTATTAGTTAATAATAAAATCCTTTACAGGAATTCAATTATTTTCATTAAAATTGAATTATTATTAGGATTGAATTATTTAATTATTTTTAAAAATGCAATTCTTTTCGAAAATTTTAATAATATTCTTAGCAAGATTTCAATTATTTTAATAAATTAAAAATTCTTCGCAGAAGATTCAATTATTTTCGTAAATAATAAAAAACTTTTTAGGAATTTAATTATTGCAGAATTACAATTATTTTTAATTTTAAATTTCTTTCACGTACTTTAATTTCATCCAACTTCAAAGTTAAATCTTCAGCCAAATAACTTCTTGATCCATTATACGTTTTTTGACACATGGGACAAATTGTAATTTTTCTTTTGCAAACGGAACAAATATGATGTCCATAGTTGCATTGATATATTGGTTTTACAGGTCTTTCGAAACAAACAGGACACTGGAGGATTTCTTCTAAATCATTGCACCACTGTAATTGAATAATTTTTAATTTACATTATCGTTTGTCATGAGACACCAGATTAAAAAAAACTTTCTGTTCCTTCAAATTAAAAAATATCAGTTTGTTAAAAAACTGAAACCGCAACATTCTCTTTAGGTCATAAATAAATGAAACTTATAACTCTATGAAAACTTCTAAGTTAATATGTTTTCTAAAAAGAAATTTTTCACGCTTGTAGAATAAAGTTCGTATTTTATAATCAAATTAATATTTCACTACTTCAGCACAAATTATCAGAGTAATTAACAGAAAACAATAGATAACGGTGATAACCAAAATACATAACCTATAAAATATTTACAAAAATAGTCTTTTTTCTAAGTTTCTTACCTTTACTCTTAATTCTTCCATAATTGCTTAAAAATACAATAAAAATGTGCACTTTTCTATTTGCACTCTTGTTTATTGTGATTGATTTAATATCATTAAAGAGAAATTAAATGCAAAAATGAACAAAACAATCCTTTGTTTATAAAACGACAACACAAAGCATGCGTAATGCAAATTTTGTTCTTTTACTAATGGTGCGTTCACAGGGAATAATTAGAGAGAAGGAGACAAACAAATTTTTTTTCTCCTTTCCTCCAATTGCTGTCAGAGCAGAGGGGCAGATTTATGAATTCACCTTAATCAAATTATGTTATTTACGCATGCGTCGTTTTTTATCTACCCCTCTCTGATCCTCACGCTTCCCAACCCTGGAGTGTCAGCTGATCCACATTTAAAATCTGTTGTCCGTTAAAAACGTTAAAAAACAATATGATTCGTGATGTGTTTAAAAAATACTGTTGAAGCAAGTTGAAGAAATTTAAAAACAATAAAAATTATAAGAAAAAACTTGAGAAATAATTGTTTATTGTTCAATTGAAATATTCTTAAAGAAAAATTGGTTTTCGTGTAGTATTTTAATTCCTCTCAAAGTTTGTTTACTTTTCAAAATTGGCTGCATCAATTTTTTGTGTTTGTTATTTCTGTATTTAATTTAATTTAAGATATTTTCTAGAAAATTTCGAGTAATTTAAAAAAAAATGGAAGATTTTTTTGAAAAAAGTGAGCAAAAATTGAAAATGTTCGAAACAGCGACGTTGGTGATAAAAAATCAGCATTCTTTTATGTGTAAGATTAATTCTACATTCAAAATATTTATTTACATTAAAAATATTTATTGTAAGTAAATTTCAATATTTACGAGTAATTGCTTCGATAAATTTACAGATAAAGAAGACATAGAGAAAAATCTTTTTCAGTCAAAGGAAACTGTAGGAAATATGCTCGAGGGAACCAAATATTTGAAACTACATCTCAAAGAATTAAAAGAAGGAAATGAGCGTTGTAAGGTAGAGAATTATATTGATATTATAATTAAAAATTTAATTATTATGAACTTTTAATATATTTTTAATTATTAGAATCTTTTATTATTTTTCATTATAATTTTAATTATTATAAACTTCTATTATTTTTCATTATAATTTTAATTATATTATAAACTTAAACAAAAAACAAAATGAATTTTAAAAATTATTCTTTTACTAGGAAATGTTATCGACACTGAAGACTCTCGAAGAAAAATTGGTGCACATGGAAAATAACATTCCAACGGGTATAAAAGACTTCTTGAAATTACAAGAAACCGAGGAGATTAAAAATAGTTTTGCAAACCACAATGAGAAGGAAAATATCTCCATGGTTTCAAATGGTGAAGTTTTCACTCCAGACGCTCATTTAACGATTAAAGACTGCAAAAAATCATTGTTTAAAGAAGCTGAAGTGTATCCATTAATCAGTCCAGTCACACAGGAAGAGTTCACGAAAATTCCAAAATATATAATCGGACGACAAACTTTGGCAATGATTAATAGTTTAATTACAACGATTAATCAAATTTTAAAAGCCAAATACACACTTTTGTCTTTAGGGAAAAATGGTGCCAGGAAAAAGGGGGATTTAGATTCATATCTTGAGTACAAGAAACAACAGACTTCGGTCGAAGAAGGAGAAGGTAAATTTACAAAAAAAGAATATGAATTTAATTCAAATATAAATTATTTTAACTAAAACGTAAATTTAATTCAAATGTAAACTTAATTCAAATAAAAATTCAATTAAAACGTAAATTAAATTAAAACTGAAAAAAATATATTCTAATAAACAATTTGTTTATGTTGCAGGCAAAATTTATTTTTTTACAGCTGAAGATTACTTGAAACACACGTCGAGCAAATTGGATAAAATCAAATTAAATATATTGACTGCTTTGCGTTCCTGTCGAAAGTTACGAGAAATTAGAATTGGAAAATCATTGTTCTATATGGTCGTAACGAATTAATTTGTCACGATTAATTAATTAATTTTTTCAATTTATTTTCAATTTTTTGATTTCTAATCTCTGAAATTAAGGTAAATTTAAATTGTACATAATAAACGTTTGAATTTAATTGTAAGGTATAGGTAAATAATGAAAACAAAATAAAAATTATTAATTATTAATTCAAAATTTTTTGAATAATTTCAGATTCAAACTTTAAAAAAAAATTAAAAAGAAAAATTATTTAAAAAAGTTAAGGATAAGTACAAATTCATTAAAAATTATTTTTTCTTGTCTTTACATTTTTTGTTTATGAAAATCATGAAAATATAATTATACAAGATAAAAAAAATTTGAGAGAATTTGTACCTAACCTCAAAATTTTCGGTTTTCTGTTCTCACATGGGACGATCAAAGAGTCGAGTTCGTCGAGTTTTACCGCAGTTTTACCTTTGACTGATTACAATTTTCTGTTATCTATTTTAAATCAATCGATATAAGTTTAATTTATACTAAAAGTCATTTAGTGATAATACCTATTAAATAATAAAAGTTGTCTTATATTTGAGAACTTTTGAGAGTTGAGAATTGTTTGGTAAAACCTAACCTCACTTTCAAAGAGTCCTTGGTGCCCTTGGTGAATATTGCTTTGAAAATATTATAATGGAATTCTTTAATTGAAAAGAAAAGTGTATAGAAAAACGTTAAAGAATAATTAAATTTCGAAAACAAAATTCAAAGTGGAAAAGTGAACATAACCTAAGTAGCAATGGCTAATGACAACAAAGCACGTTTGTCAAAATCTATTTTGGATATGAAGGTAAGAAATTCTTTCTTTATTATAATTTTCACACTCTTGGAAGTTATTTCATTAATAACTACTACATTTAATTTATTTGTCTGCTTTTTAGTTTATGAAAAGAAGTAAAGAAAAAGTGGAGAAAGAACAATTTCAAGAGGAAGGCGAAGAATACTTTGACAATCAATTAACATCCTACATGAGAAAACAGACGTAAAAAAATTATTTATTTCGAAAAATATACTTTTTCTATTCACAATTAACAAATTAACTAATTTTCCGCTTTTTTCTTTTTACAGTGGACAATTTATTTTGGAGCCAAGTTATTTAGTCTGTGAACAATTAATTGACGGTCGAGTAAGTTTTCAGGGAATGAATCCTGAAATTGAGAAAATAATGGAGAACGAAGCACAAGGAAAAACCCAACCGCAAAAACAAAAAGAAGAGGATGCCGATGTTTCAGATTCTGAAATGGCCGACAGATTTCGTAAATTAAAGAAAATTAAATCCGATAATTCACGTGTCAAATCAGTGCACAAAAAATGGTTAAAAAAAGAAGAGCAACCACCTGTTCAGGAAAAAAGAAAATTTCTAAAACCTGAAGATTAATTTTCTATTCAATTAATTTTTTAAGATTTATATTAAATTGTAATTATGTAAATTACTCTTTATTTCAATTTTCGCCTGTCGATTTATTTTCATATATTTTGTAAATAAGGTAAAAATATCTTTAATGTTATATTCTACTGTAATACGCATTTTTTTTATTAAAAAAATCATTTTTCTAAAATTAGTATTAATTTTTTAAATTAATCCAAGAATAATAAAATTAAAAATTTCCCGCCAGTTTGAATCAAGTGCTGCTGAAGGTCACGTGACAGAATCCGACGAATCAGAAGCCTCGAGGTATGGTATCAACGCTGAGAAATTATCGACCAATCGCGTCATAGTCTATTCCCGACATTTAAACGCACACGATTTCCAAAGAATGTCCGGTCAAATTTACCCTAAACTCCTTATTTATTAAAATAGAAATCCATCCCTAAGTTCCTGGTGTTCAGTTTTATTGAAAATAGATCAATTACTTTCGGTATTATTCTAAAAAAACGGTTTTTTCTCTCGTCTTTTTTTTATTTGATTTCCCCTTCCACCAGCACACAGTGTTCACTTGTGTTTGTAAAGTGGCTTCCTTCACGCATCTTGTGGTGCGTTTTCCCCGAAAAAGAAAATGGCTCCCAGCTGTCATTTAGTGCTTAAGTGGAACTTATAAAAAGCCAGTTTTTATGAAATAAACGCACATTACTTGATTCAAGTAACTCAGTGCAATTAAGTAACATGACAGTGATTGTAAAAAACAACTTTCTCGGAAGAAATAATTGAATTTCAAATACAAAAGAGTGTGCCATGATTAAATGAATTCAATTCTATGTTTACAATTATTCTTCATGTAATGTGTAAAAAGTGCTTTTCAAGACGTGTAAAGTATTTTTTGTTAAATTTGCATTTTTCAACAAATACGTAAATTCGTCTTGATCAATAATAGTTGTATTCGACGACGTGAGGCACCCCTCTTTTTCTCTCCTAGTCCTTCCCCTCTTTTATATATCATCAACGCAAGTCAGTCTTCTGGTGAAAATTTCTCCAAATATAAAGTAAGTCCCGAAAAATTTATTTTTTATTATAAAAAACATATTCGTAATAATTGTGGTATTGGAATTTTTTATCGTCATATGAATTTATTGTTTTTTTAATTTTATATATGATATTTTATGGAATCTTATCTCAATTTATCACCTTCTACACCATTGATAGAGAAAAGACTTGCGCGAAAAAGGCCCAAATTAGTTTGATACAATGCGTCGTAGAAAAATTAAGTTTCTTTTTTTTAAGAAAATAAGGGAGTTTGTGAAAAAGTATTTATTTTTATTGTGAGAGGGGGGGGGGGGGATTATTTTTATATTGAAAATAACGATCTGTGTCGTTCAACTGAGATATATAGAATTTTATGATGTTTGGTTGAACTGTGCGGGGGTGAGAATTTGTTTTCCTCCCTTGTATAACTCCACCATTGTAGCCGACATTTAATTTAGATTAACTTGATTTCATAAAGTAATGTAATTTTCACCCTTCTTCGTATTTATTGCAATTTATACAAATTTAAACTTTTTAGGGCACGAAACAGTGAAAGTATTTAAAAATACGGACTTTAAGGGCCAAAAATGAAAAATTAGTGACAAAAATATAAGTCCGAGTCAAATAGGAGAAAATTTTACTTCAAACTATAAAATAAATTTTACATAACTATAAAACATGAAGATTTCAAGAACTCCGAGTCTTCGACTCGGAGTGATCGATTTCTTCATGTTTTATAATAAATTAAAGATGACCGAGTGATAAAATTATTATCAATTTTATTATTTTCTGGAATATTCGAAAAAGTTCTTTTGACAATTTTCAAATCCATTTGTTTACAATATTCAATTTTACGAAACTTCAATTATTGGTAAATTCTTCAATTAAATATATATTAGAAAATAAAAACTTGAAATAATATTAAAAAAATTAAATTAAACTTTTTAGAAAAAAAAAATTAAATTCAAAATTAAATTATTTCTAAAAGTTCACGCTATATTGCTTTTAATATTCAATTATAATATAAAATTTTAACTGAAATACATTTTTAAATAAATTTTTATAAGATAATTCTATTAAGCTTCAATTATTTATGTACAAAAATTAATAATTTATTGAATAGTTGAATTTTTTCTTCAATTGAATTCGTTAGAAGAATTTTAATAAAATTTTTACGAATAATTGTATTTTCGAGAAATGAATTAAAAATTATATTAAGAAAAACTGAAATTTAAAGAAAAATTTTAAAAATCATTGAATTTCTTTTGAAAAAATTTTTTATTTATGAAAATAATTGAATCTATATGATGAATTTTATTATTTAAAAAAATAATTGAATTCTTGACAAAAGTTTTAAAAAAATTTGTAAAAATAATTAAATTATTGCTGAGAAGAGTTTTCTTATTTATGAAAATAATTGAATTCTTGTGTAGAATTTTATTTAAAATTTTAAAAACAATTGAATTCATTAGAAAAATTTTTTATTTATAAAAATAATTTAATTTTCTCAAAGAATTGTATTAAAATTTTTGAAAATAATTAAATTTATGCAAAGAATTTTTTGTTTTTACGAAGATATTTAAATTCCTGAGAAGAATTTTATTGAAACTTTAAAAATAATTGAAATTCTGCAATGATTTTTATTATTTATGAAAATAATTGAATTCCTGAAAGAAATTTTATTATTTACAAAAGTAATTGAATCCCTGTGAAAATTTTATTATTTTATGAAGATAATTAAACGTTTGCGAAGAATTTTATTACTTTTGAAAATAATTGAATTTCTCCAATCATTTTTTATTTCTCGAAAATTCTCCAAATTATATCGTACAATTTACGAACTTTTCGTCTTTTCTCAATCAAATTACGAACTTTACGGACATTTTTTCATTATTTACCTATTTATTTATACATTTTATCCCCCAACTCTGATAATTTCTAAAACATACGATTTATTTAAAAAGAAAAAAATAAAAGTTTAACTGAAACATTTACTAAATTTTACCATTGAAATTAAATTTAGTTATTGTACGTCTTTGATTTTTAATGTGTTAATAATGTGTCTTTTCTTTAAAATTGTGAAATATAGTTATCGATTAAATCGATAATGAGAAAGAAACTTATCATTGAAAATAGTGTATAGTGGACATTAATCTGAAAAGATAGGCTCTGTGAAATAGAAGCAGGCTTGGAATAAGAAAAAGAGAACCTGGGGTCCTGGGCCCCCACTGTCAGAGAAGCCATAATTACTGGAAGGGGATCTCTGCTTTGGTAAAGGGGACTTTCGTACACAGTTGTAACCCCCCAGTGAACTGTTCATAATTATCAGAAAAAAAGTAGCGTGTAGTCCCCCTCTCGATTCAAACTGAATTTCTGTATTTTCATAGACGAAATATTTTCCAGTTACAAAATTTGTTACAATTTCCGAATGGAGAATAAATTTTTAAACTAAAACGAATCTTTTAGTAAGTTTAATTTGATAATTAATAATTTTTTAGTAAATTATTTTCTTATACTAAATTATTCAATTATTATTCTAAATTATTTTAACAAAATTTTTGTTATTTTTATAAACATTTTTTTGAGACACTATGAAATTTATTGTTTTATTTTACTTTTGTAAAATATTTATTTATTTGTGAAAAATTAATTTTTCTTCTACATGTTTAGTGATAATTTGTTAATTTATTAATAATTAAATAATTTGTTGATTATTTAGTAGTGGAAGCAGGAAAAGTGCTGCGAGTGTTTAGAAACATTTAATTTATAGATTAACTAACTTTTTGGGTATATTGAGAATTTAATATACAGTTTAATACATCTTCCCTTTAAATGAGTTTAGACCGTTTAGACCTATTAATAGATACAAGAAAATAGTATTAAAAAAAAGGAGTTGTAACTTCCTCTCTATAAGAAGGAACTTTCCTCCCTATTTGAGGGGAAATTGTCAGGATGTGAAATTTCAAGCTTAGGAATTTTTTTTTACAAACATTAATTGAACGTAATTTAAAGAAATCGAGACAAAAAAATTATAAAAAATTTTTAAAAAATCGAGACACAGAAAGAACAAAGAAAATAAAAATAAAAGATAGTAAATACTAATAATAATAAAAATAAAAAATAATAATAGAAATAAAAAGTAATAATAAATAATAAAAATAAAAAATTGAATTGTGTAAAATATATTTTAGCAATTAGGATGACTGTAAATTCTCTATAATGAGACGATTTTATTTTTTTAGACAGTCATGGGTTCCAGTCAGCAATTTTCCTTGAGGTGGAACAACTACTTGAAGCACATTACTTGTGCTTTCGACACTTTGAGAACCGACGAAGACCTCGTCGATGTAACACTCAGCTGTGAAGGAAAGAGAATCAGAGCCCACAAAATGCTTCTTTCCGCTTGCAGTACATATTTTAGGGACTTATTTAAGGTATTTTTGAATTTTAATTTGAAAAAAATCAACTTTAATTAATAAAATTTGAAAAGAATAAAATTTAAGTAGTAAAATTTGAAAACAATAAAATTTATTAATTTTAAATAAAATTTAATTAATAAAATTTGAAAAAATATATTTTAGTTGATTATTAATTATTGTGAAGAATTAAATAAAATCAGCGTTGACACAGGTCAGGGAAAAGTAAGGGACTTTTATTAATAGTACAGAAAAAAGTTAAATTTTTAGAATTCATAAGAAAATTCTGAATTATGTTGTCTTTTTTGTTTGCCTGATAAATTATGAAATTACTATACGAATTCTAATACAAAACCTTTAATTTTTTCTATTTCTGACAATAATTTCTTTTTAAATAACTTCATTCTTGTCTTGAAGAACAATTATAAAACTTAAAAATTATTTAATGAATAATTTTACTTAAATATTTCGAAACTAATTGAATTTTAAAAGAGTTGCGTTAACAATTTTCATAAATAAATGAATTCCAAAAGGTTTTAATTTGAAATTTTCTAAAATTACAATTTTGAATTAATTTAATATTAGAAAAATTAGTAAAAAAAATTTTTTTGATAAAATTCTACTCAAACATTTAATTATTTTAATAAATAATGAAATTTTTCGCGTTACTTCAATTATTTAAATAATTTCAATAAAATTCTTCTCAAAAATTTCATTATCTTCATAAAAGCAAAAAATTCAATTATTTTCATAAATAAAAAAATTTTTCAAGGGTATACAATCATTTTTAAAAATTTTATTAAAATTCTTCTAACGAATTCAATTGAAGAAAAAATTCAATTATTCAATAAATTATTAACTTTTGTATTTAAATAATTGAATTTTAGTAGAATTATTTTATAAAAATTGATTTAAAAATGGATTTTAATTAAAATTTTAGATTATAATTGAATATTGAAAATTCTGAAAGAAATTTTTTAAAAATTATTTTTAATGCAAATTTCTCGAAAAATGTAATTATTCTTAAAAATTTAATTAAAATTTGTCGAAACAATTGAATTATTTAAAAATTTGTTGATAAAATTCTTTATAGGAGTTGAATTTTAAGAAACATTTAATTATTCAATAAATTATTTATTTTTCTATTTAAATAATTGAATTCTCATAGAATATTCTAATAAAATTTGATTTAAAAATGAATTTCAGTTAAAGTTTTTTTTTTAGTATCTAATCATTTTTAGAGTGAATTAGAATATTCTTTAGTGTCAGGGGAAAAGTCAAAATTTTGTCTGGAAATCAGTAAAAAAAAACAAAATTTAATTTTTGGGGCAATCCTGAAAATTGCTTCTTTGGAAAACAAAAAAATAGTTAAATTAGTTATTAGTTAGTAAATTGAAAAAGAGGATTAGTTTAATCAAAGGGAAATGATTATTTTCAACAGGAAAATCCATGTCAACACCCAGTCGTTATATTCCGAAATGTTAAGTTTGATGACCTAGCGGCATTAGTTGACTTCATGTACCAAGGTGAGGTCAATGTGGTTCAGGAACAGTTGGCCAGTTTTTTGACGACAGCTGAACTTTTGGCAGTTCAAGGTCTTACAGATGGCAGCGGGAAAGATAACGACAGTTTAGTCGAGGTCTGTTTAATACTTTTATTTCAATTCCTAAGGCCTCGGATTTTATTTACATTTTGTTTACTATTTTCAAAAAAATGCGAGTTTTTTCGATTTTAATAAAATTTGACTAACTCTATCGATTTTTCTATTTATTTAACAAAAAGAATTCCGCTCTTTCGGTATAAAATGCTTATTTTGGTTTTGAAATTGTGGAAAATAACTAAATTTTCTCATTCCGAAAGTAATTGTTTAAAAGATTAAAATACTATAAAATAAAATGTTATATTTTGAAAAAAAATTGATTTTAAACGACAAGAATAAATGAAAATTGTAAAAATTTCACAGGACGACATAGAAATTCCCAACGAGCCAGAAGTACAACTACAAAATGCTTCGGGTAGGATAACGACAAATAACAAAGGAAGCAAATCGCCAACGTCACCAGTGGAACTCCAATCGGAGCCACCGCCAACGAAGAAGAGAAAATGTCGTGAAAATTCAAATGCAAATGCTGAGAAAGGAGGATCGAATGCGAAGAATTCGGAGAAGGCCGACAGTCAAAAAGGTGGCTCGGAACCTGTCGAAATAATACCCCTCATGCCAAATCTTAAACTCGAGATGCCAGAATATTTAGAGCAGGATGGCAGTAGTTGTAGTTACGACGATCAGAGTGCCGGTGATTCGAATAAATTGGGTATCGATGATAATCCATCCGATAATCCAGATCACGATCAGAAGCCGGACATTAGTCAAACATTTTATTCAAATCAGTCCACGTCTGACAGTCTCGACGGCAAACAGGCGGATTTAGGTAAATTTTTATTCTATCCATCATTTATTATAAAATTGTTTCTGCTTTATTATTCTATGCATTTTCTTTCTCCAATTTGAAAAAAATCCAATTTTATAATTATTTTATAAAATTATAATTATTTCCATTTTATTATTCTATGAATTTTCTTTCTCCAATTCGGAAAAAATCCAATTTTGTAAATTTTAGAATTCTTGGCAAAATTTTAATTATTTGCAAAAACTTTTCTCAATTCAATGATTTTTAATATCTACTACTTTAATAAAAATTCCTAAAAGAATTCAATTAGTTGACAAAAATTTTAATAAAATTCTACGCAAACATTTCAATTATTTTCATAAATAAATACAAATTTCACAAGGAATTCAATTATTTACAAATTATTTTCATATATTATTCAATTATTTTCATAAATAATAACATTTTTATAGGGATTCAATTATTTTTATAAATAATAACATTTCTTGGCAGAATTTCAATTATTTTTAATACAATTTTCATCAAATTTCTCGAAAAATGCAATTATTCTTAAAAATTTTATTAAAATTTGTCAAGAGAATTCAATTATTTAAAAATTTGTTGATAAAATTCTTTATGAAATTTCAATTTTATGAAACATTTAATTGTTTAATAAAATATTTATTTTTATAGAAATTCGGAAAGAAATTAGTTTTTTGAAAAATTGAAATTAAAATTTTTTTTGAAGGTAAACGAATTTTCGAAAATAATTTAAAAAATTGAAACAGTTAAAAGTTTTGTCAAATTTCATTGAAAATGATATTTAAAAGAATGTAATTTTATTGCTTTTAAAAATTGTTTTTAATAATAATAATAATTCTTCTTGCAGGACATTTGCTTTCAAAGCCAAGCACGTCAGGAGAGAGATTAGCACAAGAATCAGCACAAGGTGAGTGATTTTTAATCAATTTTTCATGCCTTTTCGATAGTTTGCTGTCGCTGCCACGTCTCCTTTAAATGATTTTTTTATTATTAAAAAAAAATGTAGAAATTGTCATTTTTAATTGGGGTAAATTATTTTAAACTTATTTTAGGATATTTCATTAAGAAATAGAAATTAAATAAAAAAAATAATCCGTTTTGCTTTTGCTGAGAAAAATGATTGAATCGTTATTCTCGGAAAAGAAAATAGTAAAAAATTGGAGACTGGCACTTTAGCGAACAACTGAGTTTTTACCCATGAAATGCAAAGAATGAAAATGAATATTTAAAGTAATAGTTTATTCATTAACTGTCGTTTTAACTCGAGATTTTATTTCTTCGATTTTTCTTCATTCAGACAAATTTGATTCAGACTTTCATTATTTTATTTCAATTCTCTAATTTGCTATTATTTTCTATTATTTAAATAATATATATTTTATAAATTTAAATAAAAAAATAAGTTCAGTTTTAAATAAATTATTTCGAAAATAAATTCAGTTTTAAAAATTATTTATGCATTTTTTTTAAGCTTTGTAACTTTTCTGAGATTTAGTAAAACAAAAATAAATTTAGAAAGAATTTTTAAAATTATATTTTATTTTATATTTTTTGAACCTTTTTCTTCATTTCAATCATTTTAGTCATTTTAGTCATTTTTAATAATTTTTAATCATTTTATTAATTTTTATTAATTTTTAATCATTTTTAATAAAATAGAAGAAACAATTTTCATTCTGAAAATAGAGAAACCGTAACAAATTAAAAATGTACAGGATCTAAAAATATTTTAATATAAATTTTTGTTACAAACTTTTTTTTTCATGAATTATAAACTTGCTAATTTTATTCATAGTAAGAAAATAGTAATTTTATATGAAAATTTCTTATTACTGCAATTTTTCATTTCGATGGGTTAGACTTTTTTCCAAGAATTATTATTTAAATAAATATACACAATGGCTCGGTAGCACTTTCGGCTTTGCATTTATCCTACGCTGATTCAAGCGAATTCGTTTTTTTGAAAGAAAAAAAAATGTGGGTCAAGATAGAATAATATATTTTTTTTGGGAAAAATTATACAAAAGTAACTAAAATCACAAAAAATTAGCAACAAAAGCTTGTAGCTTCGGGAAGCGTTTTATTATTGCTTTTCGTTTGTTAATAGTATTGCCCAACTGTGAACCTGATGGCGACAATTTTTCAATGAAATCTTTCGACTAGTGTCACATTTTCGTAAAAGCGAATTAAATTTTTTTCTTTAAATTCAATTTTTAGAACAAACTATCTTCTTTTATTTATTTCTTTTCATTTATTTCCCTTTATTTATTTATTGTATCTTCTTGATTTTATTTTTTGTTTTTTTTTATTTCTCTTTATTTATTTTACTTTATTTATTTCTATTTACTTATTTAATTAATATTCAATGAAATTTCTTGTTTCTTTATTTATTTTACTCGACATTATTTTTTTTCAATCAAGTCTATCTATAGACATTGAATTTTGTTTCAATAAATAAAAATAGTATTTATTCACCAATCAATAAACAATTTTCTTAAAGAAGTTTCATATCAAGGACAAAAATAATTTTCATATTTCTACATCGAGATTCAAATCAGGTTCACAAAAAAAACTGTAAATTAACGCAAAAAAAAAACGAATAATAATAATTGATCTGTGTATATAAATCTGGTGGTTATATTTACATTATACAATATTAAGGCATAAACTTTCTTTTTTCTTGCAAGTGATTCTACTTTCATGAAATATATATATTTACTATCCATATAATATATATATTTACAAATCTATCTGCGTGTTAATATTTAGGGTGATGAGTGCATGAGTTGTGAATTGTCAAAAAAAAAAAAAATTTTCTATTATATAAATATTGTGTGTTTGGGACAAAATTTGGGTTTTAGGTTGTAGTTTTTTTTTTTGTACATATATAAAAACTTAGAAAGCATTGTCAAGTGCTGTATTGTGCCCACAATCATTTCCAATAATAATAATAATTAGATTGAGGGTATAAATTAATTTTTTTTTTCATTAAAATACTAACCGTAATAATTCAAAAAAAAAAAAAAAAAAACACGATAAGCTCAGAGAAAAAAGCTATCGAAAAGGCTCGTGTAACCCAAAGACTCCCCCACAAAAAGCAATAATTAAAAAAAAAGAGAAACAAAAAAAAGTAAGCTCAAAACATACTTTCAGTATCCAGAGTCTTTTTTCAAGCACAATTAATCTGGCGAATGAAAATGTAATAACAAAATAGTAAAATATTAAAGTAATTGAAAAATATAAAATCATAAGGTATTAAAATAATAATAAAAAAAGGATTATACAATATTAAAATAATAAAAAAGGAATTATCAAAAATATTAAAATAATAAAAAAATAATCATAAATTATTCAAATAGAAAAATTATCATGAAATATTAAAATAGAAAAATAATCATGAAGTATTAAAATGATAAAAAAAAATAATACTAATAATTGTTTAATAAGTGCTAATTGAGTACTAATCAATAAAAACTAATTCTTCTTATACAATTAAATTTTAATTAGTCCAGATTTTAATTAATTAATTACATAGTTAATTCATTAATTGATTACTTAAATAGTTAATCAATTAGCTACTTAGTTAATTGATTAGTTATTTAGTTGATTAGGTAATTAGTTACTCACTTAATTAGTTACTTAATTGATTAGTTAATTAATTACTTATATAATTGATTAGTTAATTAGTAACTGAATTAATTAATTGGTTATTTAATTAGTTACTGGATTAATTAATGATAATTATTACTTACTTAATTGATTATTTAATTAGATACTGGATTAATTAATTAATTACTTACTTGATTATTTAATTAGTTACTAGATTAATTAATGAATTAATTTCTTACTTACTTAATTGATTATTTAATTAGTTACTGGATTAATTAATTAATTAGTTATTTAATTGATTAGTTAATTAATTATTTAATTGATTAGTTAATTAGTTACTTAATTAATTATTTAATTAGTTACTTGATTAATTAATTAATTAGTTACTAAATTAATTAATTAATTAATGAGTTACTAAATTAATTAATTAATTAATGAGTTACTAAATTAATTAATTAATTAATGAGTTACTAAATTCATTGATCAGTTACTTAATTAGTTAATTAATTAATTAGTTACTTGATTAATTAATTAATTATTTAATTTATTAGTTAATTAATTACTCAATTGATTATTTAATTAGTTTCTGGATTAATTAATGAATTAGTTTTTTAATTAATTAATTAATTTTTGGCACTTTTTTTTACAAATTACACTGTAAATTGGACTATTGATCAAAATCGACAAACTGCATGTGATAATGAAATTCAAAAAAGATTAATTTGCTGTGAATAAGGCTCTTGGCGAAATAACTTCGAAAAATCTAAATTAATTATAAAAAAAGTAAAAAAAGTATTATTAATGAATATAAAAATGCGGTAGTGGTGGTGGTGATGGTGACAGTGGCATGTAAACAAACCTTAGGCATTCTTTCCAATTTCATTCACTCTATATGGTAGAATTTTTGTATATATTATAATTAGATATGATAATTAATAAACTTGTAGGTAAGTAATTCATTAACCTAAAGGGTGCTATGGCAGCATGAACCATTTTTCAGTAGCTACTTCAATAATTTTCTTATTGTTTTTTTCTTTTCTTTTGTTTTCTTTTTTTCTTCAAAAACTTTTTCAAAAACAACAACAACAAAAAAAAGCTTAATTCTCTACTATTATGATGTGCCCTTGTGATTAAAAACAATTAAAAATATAATAATAAAATTTAAAAAAACAGAAAAAAAGGAAAAAAAATTTAACTGACAAAATTTGACTATATATTCGAACTAAAACTGTGAACCGATTTATTTAAAAAAAACCATTGCTAAGAACAAAAGCAGCGTGAAATGGTTGGATTTTTTTTTACATTAGTGTTAAATTTATTTATTTTATGACTTTAAATTTAATTCACAATCAATGGAAAATGAGAAGTGCATTCGGATTTCAAAAAGAATTTCAAATTTTTTGTCCTCGTTTATTATGGGAGTTATGTACATAAATTTTTTGTGAATAATTTAATGAATGTATGTGTATGTGTGAGGACTTAAGTCGAATTTTTGTTTTTCTGACGAGGATATTTTTTTTCCTCGAAAGAAATTTTTTTTCATTTGCTGTTTTTGTTCTTATTCATTTTTTGCTCTTCGGTAAAATTAATTTTGTGTCTAAATTAATTTTTTCAAATTATTCTTTTAATTCATTTGTAAAATGCTTTTTTAAATTTCTTTTAAAAATTATTTTTTAATTCCTTTTGAAAATTAATTTTTTGAAATTATTTTTTTCAAATTATTTTTTTAATTCATTTGTAAAATCCTTTTTTTAAATTTCTTTTAAAAATTAATTTTTTAATTCCTTTTGAAAATTAATTTTTTTTTCATTGATTTGATTCGAAATATCGAAAAAGGAATTTTGTAAATTTTTCTAGTCTGAGAAAATTGTCTGTAACAAAACTTTTTTTGTTTAATTATTTAATTAGAATTATTAATAATTATTGGATTATTCTAATTAATAATTATCGGATTATTCCAATTAATAATTTATGAATTATCGATAAATATGATTTTTTGTGGGTACTTTCTGGTTAATGATGCACAAGCGTTTGGATCGAATTTATTATATTTTCACTTTAATACGAAGTTTAATATTAAAAATAGAAAAAAAATTAGAAAAATTCTAGGAAAAATTGTCTAATTTATGACTTAATTATTCAATTAATATTTATTGAAACTTAATTATTTAATTTCTCGAAGACGAAAAGTAAATTCTATTAATTTTTGTCAAGTACTTAATAAATAATAATGCCACAAGCGATTTATAAGCGTCGTTCTCAAATATACGAATAATCGAATACTGTCGAAGAATTAAT